CCACCTCCGCAAGAAAAGCTGAAAACTCACGTCCAGCCACAGGCTGCCTCCCCTTATGACTATAACGACTTACAACTATAATTCTGGGCTCAATTAGGATTGTAAATTGAGGACTTCCTGTATCGGGGTTTTGTAACTGAATAAAAAGTACAAGCAAGAAATTCACACAGGGATAATGCATACCTTGTAGAACACAAAGGCTGTTTCAGTTCCATCCAAGGGAAATTCTAACAGGAAATTCCGATGAGATGGGGTTTTATTATGAATTAATCTAGTTCTTCCACTGGTTATTTGACTCCAGATAATTTCTGTCCATTTTATTCAAATCAGAAGGTCAGGTTATTTATCTTTTCTCTCTCTCTTTTTTTTTTAAAAAAAAAAACAAGGTAAGGATTCGTTTCACTTTAAACTTTGAATAGGAATGGAAGCCAAGCCTGAATTTCACACTCTTCCCCCCAGACACATCGTTATTTCAGAATAACTGAAACAGGGGGATGAGCATGCTTTTCAGCCAGCCATGTTCTCTCAGAATTAATCTAGCCCATGAACAAAATGATTTATTCAGTAAGGTGCACTTGTCCTACCAATCACCCAATACTGTTTCTTCAACCCATTTAAAACCTATGACAGATCTGATTGCTGCATCCTCCAGAAGCCCAAAGTACAATCTGTTAGGAAATGAGACATTTCTCTCTCTCTCTCTCTCTCTCTCTCTTTGATTATGCCAAACTGGCAATTTTTCAAAATGACAATTTTACCGGCTTGAATTTACCGCAGGCTTAAGGAAGCGGAGGCAGGTATTCCATCCAGATTAGAATGAGGAGGATAGCAGCAGATTAACCAACAGGACTGAGAATTTGGAGGCAAGAAACTGTGGAGAGCACACTGTATTTATTTTTCTGTCACCCTTTTAGCCCAGAGAAAATATTTCTATCAGGTTTTAGATCAGACAACAAATTCTGGCTCTAAGGTAAACCCAGCCTAGGAATACTATCTTGCAGAGGCTTTCTCAATATATTGTCTTCTAAAACTGTTGAGTAAAGGCTATAGTTATTTGAGATGTTGGCAACCAATGTAAAGCTCATTTGGAACATACCAGAAAGATCTTGAAGGAAAACCAAAAATGCGGATATCAAGGGAAACAGAGAACATGCCTTCTGTTTCAGGACATATCTGCATCCTGCTTGAAGCTGCTCCTATTCTGGGCTCAAGCTTTAGCCTGACCTACGCCACTTTCTGATATTCTGATATTATTTTATTTTATATTTCACATTTCTAAACCACCCATCTTCCTCAAAGAGGGATTAGTTCCCCTGTATATGGCCCTAAAGAGCATATCTATGCAACTGTTATGCTCTTTCCTTTCCTATCTTCCTCCCCACCTTAACGGTAAATATTGTGTATTGTGGCAGAAGGCACAAGGTATCCCTTCCAACATGTTTGAAGGAACAGAGATCTGTAATAAAAGGCTGTAAATTGCAAAAACGGTAGAAATTAGTTACACTCTAAGATAAGCTTCTGAACCACACAACAGAAAAGACTAGCCCTGTTTTGCAAGATTTATTTAAACAGAAGAGATTGGGCAGCTATTTGTCTGAAATGGTATAGGTCTCCTGTTTGACCAGAGGGTTGAACTAGATGACCTCCAAGGTCCCTTCAAACTCTCTTATTCAGAAAGCCAACATCTTGCCTGTGCTTTATAATGTTACAGTTGTGCAATGTGACTTACCGTATCTTTCATGACTTATTTATAGCCTTGCAGGAAAAGAGAGTGAACTAAGTCTACAGAAAAAGGTTATTTTTCTCTGCAAAACTATAACTGGATGCACAGCTGAGGAAAGAGTCAAGATCCGGTTCTGTGCAATATAATATCTGTTGGAAAATATTGATTGGCTTCCTTGTAAGGCCACTTAGAACATGACAGGACCGCCATTAGTGCTGTTTTAATTGATAAATGACGAGACTCATGGCTGAGGAAAAAGAGATGAATTAGTTGTTCTGTCTTTTGTAATAATAATATCTCCAAATCTGCCTTTGAGGAGCCACCAGCCAAATTGCTAAAAAGAAAATGACGTGATGAAAGAAAGCATATTCCTGGCACATCCCCAGAATATCACATAGGAAGCCTGCATTAAGTTCATATGTGTTTTTGCAGAAAGCTTCTTACTTTTAAAAGCATTTTATTTCACTGAGGAGTTTCATGAGTAACTTCACGATTGGTACAATGCCAGTCAAATTAGACACCCGAGAGTGATAAAACAGTCAAATTTAAAATCAAAATTACAGTTAACTTTGTTCTGGTGTCTATTCCACAGAAGGATCTAAACGGATGCCTACTGTATTGTGACCACCAGGCATGTGGAGAAATCTACCAGATCTAAAATTTGAAATCTTGTGAGTAATCTTTCGATTTTCTACCTCTATGAAGATAAGTTGAAAAGGGAGACAGGCAATGCCTAAGGAAACCTATCAAGAAATGGGAATATCCAGTGAGTAGAATTTCAGTATTTGCTTAGCTTATTGTCAATCCTTACATTGCTGTCAAGCCAGCAATGAAAATGTGATAAAGGTTTGATAAAAACTACAGGACTCAGCTTTTCTCAGATCTTTTGAAAAGTATTCAGATTTTTTTTTTTTTGCTAAGAATATGTCTGCCACCTGCTGTTCAGTTAAGTCTTATATTCACAACTTTGAAATAATAAAAATCCAATTGCCAGATGAATGCCTTTGTTAGTAAACCAAACCAGTTTGGGCTGAGTAAATTCTGTAAATGATTTATGCAGTGCTGCAACCTTTAATTCTAACAGACCCCAGAGATTTGCTTTCTCCAAAATCAGCAAGTGTTTAGTAAGCCTAACATTCTTTATCTCACGCCCGGATTTTTCTTCTTCAAATAAAGCATTTTTCACTACAGGATAACCAGTTTGTGATCCAAACCCATAAATATCCCCCAAATTCTCTCTTGGAGCTCCTTATGATTATTGCCACTGTACGTGGGTGGCATGGTTTCCTTCCATTTTGAGTCACAAATACACAAAAAGGGTAGTGTAAACCTTTGGACAGGCTTAAAGTGGCTTTAAAAATTTAGCAACCCTTTTCAAACTCTGGAAACAAAACCCAAAATCCCATTAATGGTTATGCGTGTCCTTACCCAGTCTTCAAGCTTCTTTTGGGGTTGAAGAAGTTACTTCCAAAGAGTTGGGCAGTTTACTAGGAAGAAAAAGTTGTCTGAAAATGGCAGCGTTTGAACCGGGACAATAAAATTGCCCAGTGTTTAGGCCTTCCTGATAGGAAAGGGGAGAGAATACCAAACTGTTTCCAGGTAGGAAGGAACTCTTAATGTTTATGGATTTTCATCATAAGGGCTATGCTTCTCACTGCCTTGCTAACGGAAGAAACATGGAGCAGGACTAACAAACAAAACTTAAAATGTCCAAATTGTCAGGGAGATAAAAAAAATAGGTGAGACAGGATTTTGGTGTATAGAAAAAGGAAGAGGATCTTGATAGAGATATGCAGGATCTGTTGCCTATACAAAATTCCTTAATTCAGTGGCGTATAAGAAGGAAGAACAGGGGCATGATGGCTCAGTGGTTAAAGACCCTGAATTTGTCAGCTGGGAAGCTGGCAGTCCAGATTCGAAACCCAAGCACCATACGACAGGATGATCTCTGGTTACTTACTTACTTACCCCAGCTCCTGCCCACCTAGCAGTTTGAAAGCATGCAAATGTGAGTAGATAAATAGGTACCACTTCTATGGAAAGATAACAGTGTTCCATGTGCTGTTATCATGTGCTGTTGTTCATGTGCTGGCCACATGACCACAGAAGTGTCTTCGGATAACACTGGCTCCCACGGCTAAGAAACAGAGGCACCACCCCCTAGAGTTAGACATAACTAGACAGGGAAAACCTTTACCTTTATAAGAAGGAAGAGGCAGTGCAGCACAATTAGATTTCTAAGATTCTGTTATTATAGTCAACTTCAATAAGAATACCTTTAGCCTTCTTGTAGAGTTGATTTCCTAATCTGATCTACCTATTGAGGCTGACATTTAATCATAGCTTGAGGTTGTCATCTTGGCATTTTGTTACCCCCATGCTATAGATGCTCCTGTCCAAATTGCTCACAAAGGAGATCCTTTTTGAATATTTAGGACTCATCACTTTGAGTGTTAATGCCAATACCTTGAGCTAGTTTATAAGCTCACTGATATCTACTCCATCAATAAGCAGAAATATTTTGGATGACCATTTATGAGAACCCTTGACCAGATGAAGACCAGTCTTTAAAAAAATGACCATGACCAGTTCATTTTGGTGACCACTTTGGAACTTCTTCTTGTGCCATATCCGTTATCGGACGTTGGCGATCGTGTTGGCGATCATGTTTTTAATCAGCAGCTTGTGCTTATTCTAACTCAATAATAAGAATTTATGCGTTTCTAGCACCAGAATGATAATTATCTTCGTAATTATACAGTTGTGGCACATCTCTGAACTTCGATCACTCAGTATTACCCACAAACAGGGCACAGCATGGATTGCAATCAATCCCACCGATTTATTGGGTCAATTTGAAGGAGGCCAAGTTTCTTTCTGCCAAATTTAATGTGTTCGGTTTCACAGGGGTGGGTGGGAAATAGGCAGCAGACTGGCTGATACAGAGGGAAATGTGGTCAGTTTCTGAGGACTGTAGAGTAGGACCTTACAACTGCAAGTGTTTTGTAGCAAAATGAAGAGTCTTGTGACATATTAAAGACTGCTACATAATATATTAGAACGGAATAGTCAAAGGGCTTAGCTGCTGAGAAGAGGAGGAGGGGAAGGAGGAGGAGGAAGAAGAGGAGGAAGAAGGAGGAGAAGAGGGGAGGGGGTGGGGAAGAAGAAGAAGAAGAAGAGGAGGAGGAGGAGGAGAGGAGGAGGTGGTGGTGGTAGTAGTAGTAGTAGTAGTAGTGGTAGTGGTAGTAGTAGTAGTAGTTTGGAATTGTTTTAGAGCTATTTTTCCCAGACTTAACCACCTCAATGGGCATCCAACTGTTCTGCAGCTTTCTTGCATGGACGATAGAAATGTCAGTGGGTGGGTGCCATGACAAGCTCCCATAGCCTCTTCCACAGCCTTCCCTGCCTCTTGTTTAGCAGATGTCACCTTGCCAACGCTGTGAAAAAGCGGGACGTTAGGACCCAGAGGCGGCTGAGCCGAAGAGGCATCCCCCTCTCTGCTTTGTGTCATCCTCTGGGTTTCTGCAGCCTTCCGCTCCCCATCTCCTTCCATGGTGACTGACCACCGCTTGCAGAGCCAAGGGATCAGAGCCCGGGGCGAAGCTGCCGCATCCTGATCCGCATGGCCTCCCCCAGAACTGTCACCATCGTGGCCCTCTCGGTGGCCCTGGGCCTCTTCTTCGTCTTTATGGGGACCATCAAACTGACCCCCAGGCTGAGCAAGGATGCTCACAATGAGATGGTGAGTAAATACAGTTGTGGTGGGGGAGACATCTTGCCAGCTGGCAGCAATCTTGTGACAGGAGCTTTGACACAAATGACAGGTTGGAGAGGTGCACAAAGGGGACCGAATACCACCCAACTCTTCACGCGCTGTTCTCCTCTTCCTTGGCTCGGGAATCTCTCCCACCTTCCATTTGCAAGATTCCTCTGGCATTCCCTTCTTCCTAAGGCAGTTTCCCCCACCGATGAGGAGGGAGAGCAGAAAGGATCTCCTTCTCTTTCCAGGAGAAAGCAAGGGAGAAATTAAACGGTTTGGGTTTTGGAAGGGGATGAAATAGCACAAGGCTACTGATGGATCATCTTTGACTGGAACAGAAGAGAACTTCTTCCACCCCTGTTTGCTTATTAGGGCGAGGGGAAGGGGGCCCCCAGAAATCTAGAAGAAGCCCAGCATTGTTGTGTCACAAATAGTCCCGTTATTTGGCCTCCGTGTCCTGATAACCTGTTACAGGCAGACACATGGCTCAGGCTGCCTGCAGCCCAACACAGAAGCGTAATGTTCTCCCTCAGAGAAGCTTCTAGAACATGACAAGCCAGGGTCTTCCATCAGCCTGGACTATGGAGCTGAAAGGAGAGAGGCAAACCTATTCCATCAAAAAGCAGGTCTATTTCCAGCTCTTTCTATTTTTTGTTTTTTGTTTCTTAAGGAATCTGGTGGTGAGATCCAGCTGTGTGGCAATGCAGACAGCCAAACCATGAAGGGGTTTCTTTTTTTGTCTCTTCTAGGAGGTCACTCATAATGCAGTAATGCTCACTCATATATGCTATTATCGAAATGGTCAGACATGTAACTTCTGGGGATAAACAGTAGTAGAACTTTCTAGTATGGTCTTTCTCTTCTCTTCTCTTCTCTTCTCTTCTCTTCTCCTCTCTTCTCTTTCTTTCCTTTCCTTTGCCTTCCCTTCCCTTCCCATCCTTGTCTTGCTACTGTCCTAAATATCACACAAACGACTCTCCGCGCAGAGGCGTTTGAAGGGCTTTGAAAAACAAAATAAAATAAAATGAAATCCTAGAGATATTATATAATATCAGGCTGCTTGTAAACCTCAGATCCTCCTTGGGTTTTTTTTTCCCTTACCCCATAAGTGTTATCTTCCTTTGTAGATAAATATAAATATCTTATTTCCAAGAGCTTGATAGCACTGGCCAACTGAATTGCTTTTCCTTTTGAATTGGTTACATTTGCACTGGCGTTGTAACAAATATTCATTTCACTAATTGTTGTATTCATCCGGTTCACACATTGTGTTCATGTAGTATGGTTTGGCTTTGAGTTATGTGATAAATCTCTCTGTGATCTACAAAATACGTTTGACGGCATAGTGTGATGTAAGGATTCAGTTGTGGCTAAGCTCACAAATGAAGGGTTTAACACAAGGTATAAATCTAGTCATTGGGGCTGGCAGAAAAATGGAACCAACTTCTCAGGATGAACGAATGCCTCTTGGGCAGGGTACATATCTCATTCTCAACTAAGATACCGGTGCTTGTTTGTGATTTAGTATATTGTCTGAACTCCGCCACTGTGGTTTGAAAGGCACAGATTACGCTTTGACTTATTGCATGAACCAGCCGATTGTGTGTTACTGTACTCATGAAACCATAGTTAAGCCTGTCATAGCTTAACATGTTGTATGAAGAAGAGCACTATGGCACAGCATTTTTCAGTGTGTTGCTATGAAATGATGTCCAGCATTGCAGGTTTTCAGATGAGATTTAATTGCTCTTTCTTATTTTCCACCTCCTTATCTAAAAAAACAAAAACAAAAAGAGTTTTACAGCTTTAGGAAGTGTGGGTTGCTTTCCCGTGTTTGTAGCTGTGCATCATTTTTTCTAACGGTTACAAGAATTCCTCTAATGCAGTTACTTTATCTGCACACACATTCAAATACAATCTGTTGATTTGCCCACCCAATCCAATTTATTTTCCCAGGAGTCATTTGATGGATTGTGTTTTGTTTTTTATACAATTCCATTCCTTAAGCTGGACACTGTTTGGTCAGGGATTGTAACAACAAGGGTCTGTTCACAACTTTATATTATGTTGTATTCCACACTAGTAATCTCTCAGGATATATGACATTATTGCTGTAGTTGCTTCATCAGGTGGCACCCTCCGGCTTTTGTCTGATTTTGGAAGCCACGCTGAATGGAAAACTCCCAGGGAAGTTTAGGTAAAAAGCTGGAGTGGGAAGTCAGGGGGGAAAAAAATCCTGAGTAAAGGCAAAGATGAATCATCTTCATGCAGTTCTCAGGAAAACTGCCTGTCAATGAAGTCAAGAGCTCAGCTAGATTCGAAAGAGATTTTTCTTTCAAATAAGTTATATTGGTAGTAGCACAATTCTCCAACCTTTTAGTTCACCTGGGCTGCATTGAGTGAAGAAGAATCATTTGGGCTGCATGTAAAATAGAGTTAACAAACTTACTTTACAGTATATATATATATATTTGGTATTTTTGTTATCTTGTGGGACCACATTACAAGAAGTCCAGGGCCACATGCAGCCATGGGCTGTGAGTTGGACACACCCAAACTTGCTCCACATATATATTCAAAGTGGTTCTCAGCAGCTCATATATTTAACAAAGATTGCTCATGAGCCATCCCTAGGAGCTGAAGAAATTATTTTATGGTTAACTCATCCATCCTTCAATCCATCCATCCATCCATCCATCCATCCATCCATCCATCCATCTCAAGATTGTCTACTGACTACACCAATGCAAGAGTTTAGTAGGAAGTTCTCCATCTGGAGAAGTTCGAATCTAAGACTTTCTTCATCTAGACTAGGTAATTACCACTGAGCTATGGTCTTCTTTTCCAACCTCATCATATAAAATACCCACCAAAGAAGATCACTGTGTCCATTACTGTCCGCTTCCTCCCTTCGTGGGATAAGATTGATGTTTCCTGTTTGACTGGATCTACGCTGATCTAAACTGTGCTCCATTGGGTGAAATAAACCAATAACTCAGGTCCAGACCAGTCACGAATGCTCTGCTCATGTCCTTTTGCTTACAGAAGCGTGCCTACAAGACCTATGTGAGGGCGCTGCCCATGCTGAAGAGGATGGGGGTCAGCTCCATCATCCTCCGCAAGAGCATTGGAGCCCTGGAGGTGGCCTGTGGGATCATCATGACCCTGGTTCCAGGCCGCCCCAAAGACGTGGCCAACTTTGTGCTGCTGCTGCTTGTGTTGGCCGTGCTTTTCTTTCATCAACTCGTGGGTGACCCACTCAAGCGCTACGCCCACGCCTTGGTCTTTGGGATCCTGCTCACCTGCCGCCTGCTGATTGCACGCCAGCCTGAGGACCAGCCTCCACAGAAGAGGACCCTGACAGTGAATGGGGAAGAGCAGCAGCTGTTGGCAGATGCAGCCCCAGAGAAGGGCAAAATCAAAGCCTCCTAGTGGGTGCCTCTGTACGGGACCTATGGACCCTCTTTGCAGCTCTCTGTGCAGAATGCCTACAACAGAGCAACCTGTTTCTTTTTGTCCTTGATTGATTGGTTGGTTTTGGAAAGGGTTCCATGGTGGCGCATGGGGAGATCCTTCAAGTAGCCGGTTAAATTTCAACCTGGCTTATGCACTCGGAACCTCTAGAGCTGCCCTCTGCTATAGCCTTCCACCTCCCGCACACAGTGTGTCGTCATCATGTATTGGATCTAAACAAGAAATAAGTGTCTCTTTGTGTCGAGTGTGTAAGTGTCCACGTGCAGCTGTGTATCTGTGTGCATGTGTGCGGAAAGAGGTGGATAGCTGAATTGCTTTGCCTGAATTGCCTCTGTACCAAAATGCAGTCCTTCAGGGGCAGAAAGCCTGGGAAGAAAAACAAAATTCCCAACGCCATCTGTGCTCATTCACTCTCCTGGTTCACCTGCGCCAAACAATGCATGCACCCACCCTTTCTCAGCAGATAATAAAGGATCTTGCAGAGACAGTAATCAATCCATCAGGCCTCTTCTCTCCCAAGTCTGTCTGTGTGGTTGCTGGCACAGGATCAGGGGCTGTTCATTATCTGTCCCTATGTAAATCCACTTCTTTGGCCATTACAAGAATCACAGAGTAAGGCAATGTTTCTCAAACGTGGCGGCTTGAAGATGTGTGGACTTCAATTCCCCAGCACGGTCAGCTAGGGAATTCTGGGAATTGAAGTCCACATATCTTAAAGCCTCCAAGATTGAGCAACATTGCTCTCAAGTGATGCTAAGAGTGCAATCAATTTTCTATTCTGCGTAGGTCTCTCTCTCTCTTAAGCCAAAACATTGTAAGATCTCTGTTATTGAGAGGTTTTTTTTTATTGTTCAGCTTGGGATGAACACGAAAGGCAAGTCTCGACTATCAAAAGAAATACATTTTTAAAAAGCTATATATAAATATATATGTATATATATGTTGCTTTACTCATATTGTCTGGTTCGCATTCCCCTCCTGTGCTTCTCTCCCCCAGCCCTTACCCTATTTATAAAAATAAACTTTTTGAAATTTGGAGGAAATTTGCTTTTTAAAATATGGGACGTTGCAATTCTTTACATATATGCTTGCACCACTTCATGTATGGCTACAATGGCTTTTATCCTGCCATGTATTGGTTTTTGAATGACAAGAGGCTAACTCAAGAGCCCGAATAGGTAGTTGCGCTCAATTCTACTTGAACATATTCTAATGCAGTGGTTCTCAATCTGTGGGTCGGGACCCCATTTGGGGTCGAACGACCATTTCACGGGGGTCGCCAAACAACGCAGTCCACCATTTCCCCCCCCCCTTTTCCTTAGCTGTGCTACTCCCTTTTATTCTATTGGCTTTCAAAAGCCAATAGGAATTGTCCAGGCTGTCTCTGCCCTGCTGAGCCCACCCATTCTGCAAACGGTGCTGCACCAGTTGAGTAGTCCTCGACTTACGACCGGTTGGGGGGTCGCGGCATTAAAAAGGCTGAGAACCACTGTTCTAATGTGTTGAAATAAGATCTGAGAAGTGGTCAGCATAAACCCTAAGGGCAATGTTTCAAAATGAAAAACAGCACAGTCGAAGGTGTTTGGGAGAACATGACCTACCCATCAAGATAGGGAGGATGTATGGCACATCATTTGTAACATGTGCTCATGACATCATGAAGCACATGGATGCCTGTGACCATAGAGATAGGTAAAAATATGGGGCTAGATTGCCTCTTATCCCAATCAATGAGTTCTGGCAAATATTCCTTCCAAGAAATCATTGTTAAAATGACTGCATGATCGGTCAAGTTATCATGCATCAGAGATATAAGATTCTCTACAAGCATCAGGCATTTTTCTACATTAAGACTGAAATATATTCTGCGGATGATCAGCGAAATATGGCCACCCCCCTTTCCACTATTGCACAGAGAAAATACTGATGTACGTTCATATCAAGATTAAGAGGGAAAAGGTAGGTCTGAATTTTTTCATGCCATCTTACCCCATAGAACAGTGGCCAATATGTCCAGAGAGTCTAACTCTATCTGCAGAGGCCAAGCATTAAATAAAATCAAGTACTGTCTCTCTGGGTCATTTGAAACTTCGGTTGGAAGCTCTGAGGTTCTCAATCATGATGATTATAATCAATTTTCTGTGGTTAGTTCAGCTGATCTGGAATAACGAAGGTTTGACAATCCCACAGAATTTTCTGAAATATTTGGCAAAAAGTTGCAATGGCTTTTACATGATGTATGCCATTCACAAAGTTTTTGAGCAATGCTGAACAAGACTGCTGTCCAATGTACTGAAAAGTTTGCCTTTGTATGCAAATATGCCGTTTGCTATACTTTGGGTCTAAAAGCAATTGAAATGCATATTTTCACTATTAACTCAAATTGAACCTAAAGTACTGGATACAAAATATCGAACAGAATTTCATTCACTGAGTGCTACCCAGTTTTTACCGAATATTTGGCCATTTGAAAAACAGTAACACAATTTAGTGTATAAAATATTTTCTGCAAATTGAAAAAAAAGGACATCTTAATGTATTTTTGTAGAAGGAACTCATGCCTTGAAATCCTGTATACATTTTCTCATAGGTAAACCTCACTGGATCTAATAGGGTTTGTTTCTACACTTATGCTTTACTCCTTCAGTGTCGACAAACTTGCTTTTGAGTGTGACCAAAGAGATCAAATTTGAATTTGGGATTAGAGAATTAAATTAAAGCAAATTGGTCTTGAGGCAATTCTCTGTGGATTTTTGTAAGAAAGCTCAGTAATCCTGTTTATATATTATGAAATCTGAATACAGGTAGTCCTTAACATATGACCACAATTGAGCCCAAAAGGTTTCAAACTTTATCTCGTACTGTAACAAACATAATGGTGACTCTTAGTCATGAAATAAAAATATATCTACCGGGGGGGGGGGAATGACCAATCTAGACAAAATAAGAACAAGGCATCATCACATGGACAAGAAAGGTGAATATTGGCGTATCGTGATTTTCCCACTTGTAACATGGCTGTGAAATCTGCACATCATCGGAAAGGCCAAAAAAAGGGAAAACTATGCTTTTGAAAGGTGATTCGGCAGAAAAATGGTACAGTACCAAATGCTATTTTATAAAAAAACAAAACATTTAGAACAGATGAATAACACCAGACTGCTCACTGAAGTACTAATAATACTTAATTTCACTGAGTCACATAATCACAATAAAGACATTCTATTCTATTCTAATAAGACCTTGATACAGATAGTCCTCAATTTACAACAACTGAGTCCAAAAGTTCTGTTGCTAAGCAAGACAGTCGTTAAGTGAGCTTTGCCCCATTTTACAGCCTTCCTTGCCTCGGCTGTTAAGTGAAGCACCACACAGTTAAGTGAACCTGGCTTCCCCATTGACTTTGCTGGTCAGGTTGCAAAAGATGTCATGAACCCAGGACACTGCTCTTGTGCAACTTGTGGATTTTCTAATAAAAGAGCCTGTATCTTATATGCATTCTTTGATTGGTAATCCATAAATGTCCTTTATTGCTGCAACCATCATAAATATGAGTCCGTGGCCAAGCGGCTGAATTTTGATCATGTGACCTTGGGGATGCTGCAATGGTCGTAAGTATGAAAAACTGACAAAAATCTCTTTTTTTCAGTGCCTTTGTAACTTTGAGCCGTCATTAAATAAATGGTTGCAAGCCGAGATGGACCTATACTTGAAAAAAAATCGAAAATAAGGTTATTTAGAAGCCACCATTATGAAAGTCGCGGAAGAATTCAAAGCAGCAGTTACCGCTGACCCATAATCGTAGCAAAAGCACGTCCAACAGCTACAAAACCAATTTTGCAGTTATCCCGGCTTGGAGTCACTACTCCAACGGGCGCGCATGCGCACCTCCCTTTCAGGTTCCGCCCGGCTTTCCGCTCCCAAGGCTCGGATGACCTCATCCTCCTTAACCCAGCGTCTCAAATTTAGTCAAAGCGAGAGAAAGCGCGCCTGCGCGTGCTCCCGGCGAATCAGCGACGCTCGGGCCGACGGTAGGAGCCGTCTAACCAATGGGAAAGGGCCTTTGGACCTTTCTGGCGGCCGGACGAGGAGGTGCGCCTGCGCGTGGGCGGGGCAAAAGGAAATTTGAACGGGCGGCGGTTAAAGAGAGAAATTGATCGCGGCGGTTGTTGTGACAGCGAAGCGGCCCAGGTAGGCCCTGAGGCGGCTCGCGCCGGGGGCGGAAATCGGAGCTGGTCGAGGTGGGGCAGAAGGAGGAAGCGGGGAAACGGCGATCTCCAAACGGCGGGACGACTGGCTGGTCTCGGGAGGGCCGGGTGAAGAGGCGCCCCGAGGGCTTCTGCACCCGGGATCCTGCCCGGGGTTGTCTGAACTGACGTGTCTTCTGCCAGGTGGGTTCCCTGCCTTCAGACGACACCCGGGGCCTCGCATACCCTCCTGCGCCCAGGTAACGCCGGCCCGACACTCTGCCCGGGGGCAGCTACAAGGCCTGAGCCGGCTTTGGGGCTGGGCTCAACACCAGAGTGGACAATGGGCTCGATTGCTTTGTTTCTGGTTTGGGGGGGGGAGTCCTTTAAACTCGGCCACACCGGACTCTTAAATGAAAAATAATACGAGGAAGGTGCCTGGAGGGCAGCCCAGCCCCCCTTCTCCCCCCTTCTCCCCTAAATAACCTTTATTGTCATTTTTTTACTGTGAGCACAAGGACACACATCAAACATGAAATTTAGTTGCCCGCTGTCAAAGTGAAACACATGATGCACACCTAAATTTATTTATTTATTTATGAGACTTATATACTGCTTTAAGTGCGAGCACTCTCCAGGCGGTGTACACCAGTAAGCAATGTATATATATTTTATTTATTTATTTATGAGACGTGTGTGTGTGTGTGTGTGTGTGTGTGTGTGTGTGTGTGTGTGTATGTGTATGTGTATGTGTATAGGTCTTTGGTTGTTCGGGTTTTATATATATATATATACATACTATGTACAACATAGGTATAGACCCACACCTTTGCAAGGTGAAAGGGCCTCTCCCAACCCGGTGCCTTCTCTAGGCAGTGTGTGTACTACAACTCCCATCATCCAATCCTCGCCTTGGCCTGTTCAGCTCCCAGATTTAGCATTTTAAACAAGGTGATGGATAGCCTGGCCTCCGGGTCTTGTTTATGAGGTTCGGAAAGGCTTGTTTTGCTGTTCATCAAAGTTACGTTTCTGCTTTGGATTGCCTTAAACAACAAGGTGCCTATTCTGGAAATCCTTGAGTGCGTTTGCAAGTATGCGGAACAAACCTGCCTCCCGAAGTTGTGAATGCTCCAACACGGGAAGTTTTTAAGAAGAGGTTGGACAGCCATTTGTCTGACTGTGGTATAGGGTTTTCTGCCTGAGCAGGGGGTTGGACTAGATGACCTCCAAGGTCTCTTCCGACTCTGTCGTGTTGTTGTTAAAAATGCAAACTTGACCGGGAAGGGAGATACATTTGCCACTGACAGTAGTGGAGAGTACTGAATTAAAATAAAAAAAAATATCTGTGGCCCCAGAATTGACCTTTATTAGTTGCTGGCTAAAAAAGCAGATAGATTGCAGATTTTGTTTACATTCCTTTTCCTTTAAAGATCAGTCAAAGGCAAGCAGTGAAAAGCAGTAACCTGCCTGTGGAGATGAAAGGAGCTGGGATTCAGCATTAGCAGGAGGAGATTTAAAAAGTCCCTGGTGGGATCATTTTTATTTATTTATTTATTTTATATTTCCCTGCCAATAATAGTGCCCATCTTCTAGTTAATAAAATCTACCTTTGGGTATATTTAGCTGTGTTTGGCAATGAACTTGTAGTTGTTAATGCTGTCATATGTTAAATATATAGATCATTTGTGTCTGTACCTATAAAAATAATTGATCCTCTTGTGAGCATTGTTTTTAATTTTTTTTATAATACTTTAAACTGCTCAGAGCCTCTGAAAAACGGAGTTGTTTATAAATTGTATGAATAGAAGATATATTGTAACTAAAGTTACCATAATACCCCTCCTGGGAATAAGGGTAATTGTAGGTAACTACACTACTAAGATTGATACTATAATAGAATTGTTTATAAATATGGACTGATTTTATAACAATAGTACCAATATTAATATATACCAGTAAACATAACTTCAGACTCTCTAAAAAGGAAAAACCTTTTTTATCTCCAGTTGTTTTGTTTTTAGTTTGCTTAGGAATGCATTCTTATAGTTTAGTTTAATCATATCTTTTTTGTGAGTTTATATTCTACTTAAAATGGCTTTCTGTCTTTTCCAGGTAGTTCTTTCAGTGTGGATGCCCCAGTTTAACATGGTTGGACACAGCGTTATTTCTGGCAAATGAAAATAATCGGTCCTATTTGCATTTCTATGTTTGGAATTGAAAAGGATGAAGAGAGTAGTTGCTAAAAAGCAAAAGCAGAATTTACCAGTTACTTCTAGTAAACAAACTGATATATCCACCTGGGTAGCAAATGGCAGCAAAAGTACCCAAGAACATAAAGACCATAAAATATCTTCTAATGAAGACCCCACCCAGGATCCTTTTGAAGAAGCACTGATCTTCTTGAGAAAAAGTAAGAATAAAAGCAGGGCTAAGTGTTTAATGCTCTAAAACAAAGTAAATGTCTAAAGCAGATCTGCAAGTGTCTCCCTGGATCAAAAAAGGCTACTATAAATCTGATAGTGTACCTGAATTTCATTACTGCCTTTCAGCAGTGCATTATTTTCAACAGAACACAATTCTACTGTGTACATCTTAACTTAATGGTTAAATATTTTAATTAATTTTAAATTGGATGCTTTATTTAAAACTGTAAAATGATAAAATATCTATCTTGGATTAGCACTATGATGTTTGTGTCTGATTGTGGCTGTTTTCAAATACTTGGTTTGGCAGCACACATAAGAATGTAAATACATTTGTTTTAAAAAAAACCTTTATAGTATATGTATTTATACTTTTTATTAGAATAGATGGATAGCGTAAGTTTTAATGTTCACTCAATAAAGGCCTCTTTCAATGGTTGAAATCACTGTGAGATATTCTTTATCGATCATATTGATCATAGTATATATTAACACTTTTCCAGGTAAACAACATATCTTTTTGCAAGCGATACATTTTCTAATGAAGGTTCATTTTGTAGGAAATATTTTGGTGTTTCTTTTTAATTGGTATTGAGTTAAATTTCCAGTCAATTGTGACTTTTTCTATATGTGTTATTTTTCTCTTCTAAATTGCCAAGAGTCAATAAAGACTTGGGTGGGCTCAAAATTGAATTAAATGAATAAATATTTTTGGAGGGTGAAACTGATGGTGAAATAAGCAAGTGGGCAGATTCTCCTGTGAGATGCTTGCTACTCATGAGAATTGCACTTACTTTCATGTTTTGATTTTTTTTTCCTAGTTAAAGATCGTACTACCCTGAAGAATGAAGCTTTGCAGAAACACTTATTAAGAGTGGAAAAGATTGCCCAAGAAAGAGGCTTGACTCCAGAAGAAATTGATGCCTTGCTGAGTATAGCACTCAGCGGCAAGTTTGGTAAATATATATCTATATCTTTCTCCTTGTGTTTCTTGGGCGTTTCAGTACTTAACCCTTATAAAAAATTAATCTCTTCCAGCTGAAGTGATAAACATTCGACTGTTGAAGAGCCTGATTCCCATTTCAGCAATAACAGAGGATTCAATTGTTTCAGCTGTTTCATTACTTTGTGTTGGCAAATGTTCTCGCAATACTCAGGTAACTTGGGAAGCGTGTACTGATATCTTGGATCGTAATAATATTTTCACTAGTATAGTGTATTCTGTTGACGTCTACAGTTCTTTTATATCTTTCTGCTTTGAACTCTTAATTACTTATACTATGAACCGTATTTGTATGAACTGACCAGTTCCTGTTCTCTTCCCATTAGGTTCTTTTCTTAAAATGGTTAATTGCAATGTATGATTTCATTGATCATAAAGAAAAGGTTAATGCACTCTATGGGTTCTTCTTCAACTTCTTACAGGATGAAAAATTGGTAAGATAGAAATTAATATGTTTTTTTAAAAAAAAAAAGATTTCCTGGATATTGTGTAATAGGGATGAGCAGCGTTTCAGATTCAAAAATGCTTCAAAGGAAGAATGTAACACAATCTGCGGCTCTTTAAAAGACACTGTAGCTTTAAGGAGTTTTAGACTGTTTCTATGTTGATATGCCAACAAACTTTTTGCCTTGGAATCCAAAGAACTATGTAATGCCTAACTCCTTACTTGGGTTGTAATCAAAGATTTGGTCCTTGGTTGATGGAAAAGGAGCATAATTAGGTAGATTAGAAAGGTTTTTTGTAAGGCACAAAAATACCACCTGGGGCCACATGCTGCATGCAGCCATGCTTTTTGTGTCTCAGAGTGAGAAGAGCTAAAAACATGTGTCCTTTTCCCATTGGGAGGAACAGCAAGGAGTGAATAGGCATTTAAAGAATTGCAGATGTTTACATTTCCCATTTCAGTTCCTGAAACTCCTAAAATCACTCCCAGATTGGGCCAACCCTGTCTGCTTTTACAGTGCTAGCCCAGTCGTGGGGTTTAGCGCTTGCTGCAATCCTGAATCTGATGTTTTTAAGATACTGAAAGTCAAATTGTCCAATATAATGCCACTAATGTGTCCTAAGTTTTAAAAGAAATGCTAACTCTTTACATTGTTTTGGAGAAGTGTAAAGCATAGACTGTGTCCAATTATGCATTTCTTTAATATTTTTTTTCTGTAGTGCCCCTTTATCTGCCATCTGCTATATTTGCTGACCAGAAGACAAAATGGTGAGATGATAATTGGAATCAGAATGCGTAATGTGCTTTCAAAAGAAAGTATTTTTTTTTCTTATTTTCTTCCTTAAAGGCTTTCAAATAATATAGGTATTATTTTTTTTTATTTTTCATTGCTAATCTATTCGGTTGACTTGAATTACCTGCAATAGAGTTTTTTGTTGTTTTTAGAAGAAACAGTGTTCAAATCTTTTGTGCTCTAAATTACAAGATTATAACACAGAAAATAAAGAAGGTAGTCAATTTTGCTTGTATATGCTATTCTAGCTCAAATCTAGTATGTTCTTATCTTAGAATAAAAGTTCCTTTTCCTTTTTATATCTAGCTTCATCAAGGCCAGAATATAAATTCTTAAAACATCAAATAATTAGACAATGTTTATCTTTCTAGTAAAACCTTTCCGCGTCCGACGACTCTTGGATCTAAGAACCAAGATGGTAAGTTATTTGAAATTAATGTCATGTGAATTACAATTTATAAAATTTAAATCTCACGTTTGCGACAGGGTAGCTTTTGTACATTGTAAAAGCTAATCAGTATCCAGTATTTATTTATTTCCACTTTTTATCCCAGTTTTCATTTCTTAAGCTGATTTTTAAATATATATATATACCAATACCAAACACACACACACACACACACACACACACACACACACATATTTAAAAATCTAGTTAAAACTATTGATATGTTAAAGTCAGGAACATCCATTGTCTATCATTACATGACTAGCAAGTTACATTTTAAGAAATGTAATATAACAGTATAAAAGGATCTAATGTTCTAATTGCTGATGAAGAGTTTGCTTGAGAAGTAATGCAGTCTTTGCTCTGCAAGCAACAATGTCCTGTGTGTTTAATCCATAAATGAGAAGGTGCACACCAGGGGTTTATGTCACTAGAGACCACTTCATTAGATTCTACTTCTCTTTTCACTACTACTCTTACAGATCAGGATTTAGAATAATCCTCAGCTTCCTACATTTGTAGGTTATAATAAGAGGGCTTTAGTTTCATTCTTTCCCAGCACTTAACTTTGGACTTTGTTATTGTTCCTATTTTTACTCAGGGATCAGAAGCTCCATTGCAGGCTCTTCTCTTAATGTATAAAAGCTTTGCTCCAAGCATGGTGTCTTCAGATTTGTTCCAAAGCAAAACGGTGAGGGAAATGATGACTGAATTGGAGGCTGTTCTTTGCTTTCTCTGTGAGAGGACCACCCCACGTTCCTACATTCTTTATGATTGCAAGAAGGAATATTTGGTGTGCATGTGTGTGTAGTTATAACCTGTAGGCCAGAGGAGTGAGCAAACTTTGAAACAGAAGATGAAGATTCTTCCTGTACAATCCTTTCTGAAATAATCTCATGTCTTTATATGAGAGGTCTTCAAACTTGGCCCTTTTATGACTTGTGGACTTCAACTCCCAGAATTCTTCAACCAGGCTGAGGAATTCTGGGAGTTGAAGTCCACAATTCATAAAAGGGCCAAGTTTGAAGACCCCTGGTCTAGATAAACATCTAGCCAGGCTCCGCGAGTTGTGACTTACAAATACCCTGTGGAAAACAGGCAGAAAATGTGTGTGTATGTATATATATATATATATATATGCGTGTGTGTGTGTGTGTGTGTGTATGACTTTAATGAAAATAATAATCATTGAATGGTATTGAATGGTCTTCTGCTCAGCAAACTCTTTGTTTTACCAATCTAAACATTTTGAAAAGGAAAGCTTGCGTGTGTCTTTAATTCCACATGTGAATACACACACACATAGACATATACATAGATACATGCTGTTTATCATGCTCTTTTTAATCTTGGATGAAGGCAACTTTCACTTTCACCTCTTCCCAGATGCGATTTAAGAATACAGAAAACCTGTGGAAAAATGCAATTAATAACATAAAGCAACGGATTTCTGGCCTTTCGCCAACATCTCAACCAGTTTTAGTATTTCAGCCCCCAAAGAAAGTAAGTTCCTTTAGATTGTTTAAATGCAGTTCCTAGTTTGTGATTGTGTGTCAATTTTTCATTGACATTTTTGGCTGTATTGGCAGTCAATGCCTTCTAGGCTATTCCTTAGATTGTTCCTGTTTATAATTCATGATCAATTTATTGTTTGTCAACCATGTTCCATTACAATAGTAACTCATTTCTTAATGCTTCATCTTTTTTTCTCATTCTCATCTTTTAACCTCTACATAGATATTAGGGGGAGGGGGTTTCATATCATTTAATTTTCTTGATTGATTTCTTCTAATTTAACTAATTCAATTGAGTATGCAAAGGCTCTGGATGTTTCTCTCCTCTGATTTGGTTCTACCTTGAATTTCCATATTGAATATAGCTGTGTGTATTTATAAGGATGGAGACGATCCATTAAGGAAATCATATTTAGGAAAGAGTAATACTATAACATCACAATAGAATTATATCTATGAATTGCTAGGGTTGGATTTTTGCTCTTTTGTAGAAATGGAATCCACAATTGATGATACCTGCGTATAACAAGAACTCTACTTACTCGGCTCAGAGTTCAAAGGCCAAACGTATCAATTTCAATAGTCATCCTGAATCCTTCCCCGTGCAGCATCTGCAGAACTTCTCCCAGCTTTTGGAGAACATGCAATATTTAGAAGTAAGTGGCTGACATCAAAGTGAGCAGAGGGGAGGGGAGCGCAAGGGCTTGGCTTAGCCCCCTGAAGCTTGTTATAATAGGCTGTAATAATAAATGCCTGGCTAATCTAATGCCCATCAAATAAGTCTAAAATGGATCACAGTTTTTGAAAAACATAAAAGTACACGATAGTTACAATGTATTGTAAAAACATGAACTCGTATTAAGGATTATTGTACACTCTTGATCATTTTGATGTGTATTCTGGGCAGTTTTCTTTTTTAACTCAAGCCAGAGGGGGAAATGTTTTCTAAACAAAACTGAAGGAGTAAATACCATTGTTACTGTAGCAATTAAAGCAGCTTCTGAGTGTTTGTTTAAAAATTGATTAAGAAACAAAGAAGCAGTAGCTCAACACTGTTACAGTACATGTTAGTTGACAATGTCTTCTCCTGATTGCTTTGATAGCTTCCTTCCCAAATAGGCTCGGTATTAGGAAATCGAGTGTTACTCAACTACATTAACTGTGTCACGGATGATGTCGTTTACCAGAGGATGTACTATTGGCTGGGCCAAACATTCAGAGAAGGTAGGGGGACTCAAATTTGTGATTTGTGCCATCTAAGTGAAAATCAATAAGAAGTAGTCATCCAATGCACTGCAATTACAGCAGTCAAACGGACGAGAGAACACAGCAGCAAAAGCCTTCCCTTTTATACTCAGGCTCTTAAAGGGATATACACACACCTGCTGAGTCATTCCTGTTATTGCATTATCCACCTTACATTGCATTACATCATTACATAAGCTGTTTAGCTATTAAATTATTAAACCTGACATACAGCTATCCCTGTAGTGACTGTTTGAAGTTACAACAGCAATGAGAAAAGTGACGGGCGACCTTTCTTCACGCTTACGACCATTGCAGCATCCATGTGATCAAAATTCAGCCGCTTGGCAACTGACTCATATTTATGACCGTTGTAGTGTCCCTGGGTCACGTGATTATCTTTGGCAACCTTCTGACAAGCAAAGTCAAGGGGGAAAGCAGATTCGATTAACAACCAAGTTACTAACTTAAAAATTGTAGCGATTCACTTAACTGTGGCAAGAAAGGTCGTAAAATGGGGCAAAACTCACTTAACAAGTGTTTTGCTGAGCAGTGGAAATGTTGGGCTGGATTGTGGTTGTAAGTCAAGGACTACCTATATGCTAAAAACACATACTGTTGCTTGCACACGTAAGGGCTTATTATTTCTCGGAGAGGCAAGGAAGAAGAAAGGATTCTATTCAGACAATTTTTTTCCCTGTTTCTTATTTATAATGCAGAATGCCCTTGGATTAAGATTGAAAACCAGAAATATGAATTGGAATTCAAAGAATTCTTGGACACAATTTTGGAAGCGGAATGCTTCTTGCAGGTTAGTTTTATGCCTTTATGCCTATTATCTTTCCCAAAAGAATATTTTTGCCCTTGCGTCACCGGAGTGTGTATTGGAATGTCAGGATTCCCTATTCACGGAACCAGAGGGCATAGAGTGGGGCACGCAGAGACCTCAGCATGGTTGGGGGCACTGGGGAAGATTATGATGGAAGTGGGAATGTATGGTGGGAGACTGAGGGCAAGCCGCTTGTAGTGAAGGCAGACCAGGTCTCTCATACTAGTTCTGCATTCCAGCCCCCAAGTCTCAGCCCTTTTCCCTGATCTGGCGGTCCTTATGTCCTTAATAAAGGCTCCTTTATCTGTGATCTAATCACAAATGAGAGGGCTGACCTGACTGGGTTCAAAGGGAGGGTTCTTCTATTGGAAATATGCCCAGCTAGATTTTAGGTGTGACATCAGCTGAGACTCCACAGTACCAGTCAGTGTTAGTTGGGCGTGAGACGTCCCACCCTCTATCCCTATTATGCGGGGTTCTGCGGGATTTGGTACTCTCTCCACTCCTATTTAAAATCCACAGGAAGCCTCTGGGTGAGATTATTCCTCACCATAAGGTTGAGGTATCATGAGAGATACCAGAGATGAATCATCTCCATGTCTCCTTCCCTGGATGCCGTTGATGTCTTGTCCCAGTACGGACAATTAAGAATCGGCTGCCCAGGAGAGAGTAGGAGAACTTATTTGGAAGACAATCTGGGTTTCCTTGATGGGAGTTTGTGCTTTTCAGGAGGGCTTCTCATCTTGTGAAGAATTTTTGTACCGAAGCCTGCCCTTCTGGGATGGTTGCGTCTGTCGGTCACAAGTCCTGCAGATGATCAGTTGGATCCCCCTCAGCACCTTCTCAGGTATGCGATGCAGACCCAGCCCATCTTCCCCTCTTCCGCAGTTGAGAGCGGCTGCCTTCAAAACCACTCTTTGCTTTTTCACTTTCAGAAATGAAAGCTTATCTCTGCCAGCCGTTGATGCAGCTGTTTTTCACCTCCTCTCTTTATTTTAAGGTAAATGAAGGGGCCTCTGAATAGATGTTTTGACACAACAAACGTGATTTATGCTGTGCTAAGGAATGTGCCATCTGCCGACTATCATTCTTCCAAAATGTTAACAATTTTTATCCAAGCTGCAGGAAGCAATATTTGGGTTCACTGAATAACTTATGGCTACTTATGCCAAAAGAAGCGTGCAGTTTTCTCTTGCATACATTTGTGCAATGAGGTAGAATCAAGGTTTAGGGGAAAAAGAGAAACGGGAACACATTGCCCATAAAAACAGCAAAAATACAAATCCAATATCATTTAACTTAAAAATCCCTTTTTTAAAAAAAAAAATCTACTGTAGCCATGCTTTTATCATTTTGTTGACTTTGCAAAAATTTCTTGCTCCACTACTGTCTTCTGATTGCTGTCTTTTTTCTTTTTCTTTTTCTTTCAGGCCTGCGGTCTGTCTATCTCCCTATCATCTATCTATAAAATTAGTATAGCCCAGCATAGTTCCTTATTCAGTCTTAAGTCCTTCAGTCCTTAAGACTGAATTGTAGCTATTCAATATGTGTTTTTTGTGTCCTTGTTCCTCCACAGTGCAGTGTTCTTGAAAGCCTGAGGGAACTGCTACTAAACTGGCTGAATTGGCATTCCTTGAAACCAGACGTGTCATCTGAGTTAAGTGTAGATGTCCTGTAAGTATCATCTTTTTAAAAAGTGGTCCCACCTGTTTTGCACTATGATTTCCATCTGGAAGCTGGAAAAAAAAGTCCTTATACGCAGAAGTTATTCCCAATGTAAATGTTCATGCTTGTGTCTCGTTCTGCTGCAGGAATACTTCTGTTTCAAGCCTGGTTAATTCTATGGCAGAACTCATCCAGTTCGTTGGCCGGCTTTCAACCATTGCCCTGCACTTGGAGAACAACTCTGCTTTTTTAATGCACTTCATTCTGGATTTCTATGAAATAGTATGTAAGCTAGTCTCACTATAGCTTTGTTCCAAGCATATAGATAATGCACTTTGACAGTATTGGTGAGGAGATTCCAATAGATATGTTGGATATGTTCACTGCCTTGAGTTATTTGTAGAAATAATAGGTAGGATACAGGTAGGTAGGTAAGGAAGGGAAGGGAAGGGAAGGGAAGGGAAGGGAAAGGAAGGAAGGAAGGAAGGAAGGAAGGAAGGAAGGAAGGAAGGAAGGAAGGAAGGAAGGAAGGAAGGAAGGAAGGAAGGAATTTAAAGGATTCAAACCCTTTTGTTCATATAGAACCCATAATTTTTTCTTAGAACAATATTTCTCCAGTTTCAGAAAGATTGCAGCCAAGGGAGCCTAAACAAAAAAAATGAATCCGCTCAGGATAGCAGTAAAAGCAACTCAACAACATTTAAGACATAACACTCAAACTATTACAAACAATAATGATTTGAAGACTTTACTGAATTTCAAGCAAATGAAGTATTTCAAAACCTAACACATTTGGTATCTAGTGTTCTAAAAGATTTGCACTATTGAGTAGCACCAACTGGAACGGTCTTCTCCAATAAATAGTTGAAAAAAATTCCAAATGTTTCTGTACAGGAGAAGGTCCAATAGTAGCAGCCAATCTCATTACCCCATGGTGGGTTTTTTTTATCTATACTAAATTTGCATTACGTTTTGCACATTGATTAGAGCCCAGTGTGAATATGTGGATGACAAGGATATGATATTCTCTCAATTTTTATATGTAAATGCTGTACTGAAAGCAGAACACTGAACCCCGAAATCTCTTCCCTATTCTAGGTATGTGATATGTTTCAGACGTACCAGGTCCCGTTGCTTATGATCCCTCCTGCAGGAGTTTTCTACCCAGCACTGCTTAGCTTGGATTCTGTCTCAGTGGATCAGCTGTGCTACATCATGTTCAGGTATTGACACGGCCTTTGTTTCTCTTCCCTACGCTAGGAATAATTCCCATATTTTTATCTTTCAAACCATTTGGGGGACCATAATCTCTTTGGTTCTGGATAAGCCAGTACAGGTAGTCCTCAGCTTACAACCACAATTGACCCCCAAAATTTATGTTGCTATGTGAGAAATTCGTTAAGTTTTGCCCCATGTTTATGATTTTTCTTGCCACATTTGTTAAGTGAATCAGTTGTTAAGTTAGTAACCCGGTTGTTAAGTGAATCTGATTCCACATTGACTTTGCTTGTCAGAAGGTTGCAAAGGGGGGGCCACGTGACCCCGGGACACGACAACCGTCATAAATTGCCTATGAGACAGAAAAACAGGCTCTGCTTCGGCCTTCTATGAAAGAAGCACTTCAGAGCCGGAGGTCAAATGCCAACGTGCCTGGCTTGCATTTTAAATATTGGATTTTTAAAGAATCTGTTGACTTAGCTTGAGAATTGTTCTCTGAGACCCCTACACTTGTTATTTTATGTCGAATTAGGAAGAAATATCTTTTCATTGCCTCATTGTTTCCTTCCCTAAAATGCTAGCATTGTGCCAAGATCAGCTTCCTTTGGCCAAGAAGCCAGGGCTTAAATCTGACAAACAAGATAGTTATAGAAATAAATTCCCAGTTGATGACTTATTTCTCTTAAACCTACTGTTGCCTTGGTTACTGGCTTTCATGCTTTTTCCCCACGAAGAGTGACTAAAGGGACAGAATAGTCTCAGACAGCGATTTCATATGGGCTTGTAAGCGGTCTCTGTGAAATTAGAGTAATTTTTTTTAATATTAAATAGTGCTCCACAAGCATCATATCCGTCAAATCTGACATGATTTTACGGACAGGTGAGTCTCAAAATTCCAAGAATTTTGTAATTGTGTAGAACATAGTGATGTCAGTTGGGGACACGAAGCCCTGTTTGCAAGTGGACAGCAAAGAACTGGGTTATTGAGGTCAACGGTGAATCTGGATTTGTTTTTATACAAGGCTTGTGGCTTAACAAGATTGTTGTTCAGCAGTTTTGCTTCTAGTACTTGCATCTGAGAACTCGCCAGCTGCTGAATACCATGTTAGGATTCTGTAGGTTGCTTTCCTCCTCTCAAAAGCCACCGATAGTCTACCTGGAAAGAAGCATTCTGGGAGTTATAAAGAAAATTACATTCATTACATGGAGGAGTATTTGGAGCTTATTATGGAGGGATTTCCAGTTTCTATAGCGACTGAACGACGTGCTGTCATTCCTCCAGATGAAGTTGTGTCCTGCCTTCTGCATTAGATGCATAGCCTGTTGGGTTTCATGGTCTTCTTATACAGCACAGGTAGTGACCGTTACAGCAGCACTGAAAAAAGTGACTTATGACCATTTTTCACACTTAATGGCCATTGCAGCACTCTTCCCCCCCCCTGGGTCACATGATTCAGATGCTTGGCAACTGGTTCATATTTATGACTGGCTGCAGTGTCCTGGGGTTATCTGATCACTGTTTGTGACTTGTTTGTCACTGGGGAAGCCAGATTCACTTGTTTGTGACTTGTTTGTCACTGGGGAAGCCAGATTCACTTAACAACTGTGGCAAGCAAGGTCTAAAATGGGGGAAAAACCCAGTTAACACACTCTCGCTTAGCAACAAAAACTGTTGGGCTCAATTATGGTTGCAAGCTGAGGACTTCCTTTACATAGATCCTGCGGTGAAAAACGATCGGTGTGCCTTCTGGCATTTGTCTTACCAGAGTCGGAATGGCTTCAGAGCTTTAAAAGGGGCTCTCAAATTCCATTTTGCATTCTGTACCAAATCCAGCTGGTTGGAAAGAAGAACTGTCCTGAATGGCTCCTGTATTTTTAATCTTCTGGTTTCTATTCTGAAATCATGGAAAAACACCAGTGATTTCCATAAAACTGGACAAGAAAGGTTTCTTGATGCCTGACATGTTGGGAATGGGACCAGCAATTCAAATAGTCAAGAAATCAGCTTTCTTTCTTAGCCATCGTTTATGGGTTGGAATTTTAGCCGTCCTGTTTGGAGTTAAAAAATACTCAAATCCTCTTCTTTGTTTCTATTTCAGGTATCGAACTAATTTGGTAGCTGCTAAACAATATCTACAAGCTACAAAGGTACAATAAAATAAGGCACAATGCCTGCTATGTCATTGCCACAATATAGTAATTAACTTTTGTCTGCCTTACCTTTCAAATTTGTTTTCCCAAAAGTTTTACTGTACCTGTTCAAAGATGCCATGGTTTTTTCTGGCTTTGCCTGAGAAAGCAATTTCTGTCTTTTCCCTTTTTGCCTTTTCATACGATCCGAGTCTGTTATTCTGTAAGTAACGCAAACGCTGTTGCTTTTAGCAAGAGTTTAAGAGCTATTTGCAAACTTTGTCTTCCTTGATCCTCTCAGCCATCACTGAGGATCAAGTTTAGCAACGAGATTTGCCAAGAATACAACCAATATATAACAAGCATGGTCGGATGCCTGTGGACCTCAAACGTTTTCCAGAGAGACCTCCACCCTCAGGGGATTTATATGGAGCCCGAAGTGCTGGAGAAGACCTTGGTGCGGGAATCCAGGAAGGCCTTGAACATAGTGTACCATCCTGCCTTTACAGGTTACGCTATGCTCTTTGTGCAGCAGGTAAATGGAGGTTTTATCTTTCAGTACCATCTTTCCTATTTTGTCAGGTTTTCTTTACTGAATACACCCAAACCTTTGCTGGGTTCTTCACTAGTCTTCATTGTGTCATATTTTATTCATTGGCATAGTGTGGTCAAGCTGCAACTATGCTTTAAAATTTCAAGCTTGCATTTGCTTCTCAAGAATGATTTGAGATTCTATCTATCTATCTATCTATCTATCTATCTATGTCATCTATCATCTATTTATCTATATCTCTATCTACCTTATCTATCTATCCATCCCTACAGCTGTATATCTATATATTTATAATCACATTTCTAAACTACCCATCTCCTACAAAGAGTTTGATTCAGCTCTCAGCTGTAGAAGCTCACTGGCAGACATTGGCCGGTTAAGACATAGGTTTCATGATTCCTTTTGTCCAGTACCCTATTAATTTTACTTTCTTTCTTTGGGACTTAAAAAAAAGGGCTTTCTTGCTGTCAAATATTCTATTTATAGTTAGGGACTAAGCCCAATATGATACATACTCTGAATAATCTAACTTTATTCCTTAAAAAAAAAAAGACTTCTAGTTCTTAAGCTAAGCTTTTATGGCAATGCTTAAAGAAATTTAGAAGCTGTGAAGATTTCTTCATGGAGGTGCCCTGGTTCCCTCCAAGATCCATATTTCTTTTTCCTAAGTAATAAGAAACAGAATTAAGGGTTAATATTTATAGAAACATGCATTATTTTTAGGCAAGGCATCAACATTATCATCTTGTTTTCTTATGTAGACAGATTAATTATGCTAATTTGTACATGCTGACATGCATTGTGATCTCTCATCAGTCTAGCTGCTCTTAATGTGTAGGACCAGCCTTTATAATTTTAGGGAGAAAAGATGGTAGGAAAAAAATTCCCAAATGTTGGTTTACCTCCACTGAGGGAGTCTCTCGTCTCCAGAAAACAAGCTACAGCAACTTCCTTTGAAGAGTTCAACATACTTGAGGAAGTGCAGACCTCAGCATAATTTTTTTGTTTTGCTGAAGAACATTATTTTTATTCCTGATGAGATGTCTGTCAAAGGATGTGTTTCTAGCTCCCTATAGTATCTATAATACATCAGAGCTATGCAGTGAGATCCTATCTCTTAGGAGCACTATAGAAAACTAACATTTTGATCCTTCTTTCTAAAAGCTTTGGTGAAAGCAGATTTGTCATGAATGAGCATTCCTCTTCAATTGCTAAAGACAAAGCTGCCTTTTGGGGGATCTGGCAATTGCTAGCTTCGGTGCCTGGTAGGCACGTTCAGTTTTCTGACAGAGACAGAAATTGCCTTAAGCTGAAAATGACCAATAGGATGGGTTATTTAATAAATCACTATAATACGAAATAGAGATATCCTTGAAAAGAGATGGAAGAATAAGGTGAGAAACGTTACTGAAGACAGAAATAGTGAGAAGCCCATTGCAGAGAATTAAATGTCCCTAGCAATTAAGTCAATTACAATTCAGTTTATAGTGGAATGGCAATTGCTTAGCAGCAGTAAGAGTTATCTGTTCTGTAAGTGGCCTAGATTTATTGTATTGTATTGTATTGTATTTTGATTCACTGAAGTTCCTCATGTTGACCTCAAGGAGACTCAGGTGTTTTTCTAAAATCACTCTAATACAAACCAACTTGTATAGGGCCATTATAAAATGCCAGGTTTGCATTCACGTATCCTAATTTCATGGCATGGCTTAGAGATATAGATATACTTTATTTTATTTTTTTTAGAACCCAAAAAGCATCATTGTTCTACCTTTTGTCCTTCAGCAGTATCATGTTTTCCGAAAGGGCAAGTTTTTGATGTAGTTTCTAAGCCGTGTTAACCAATAATTTTCTTAAATATCTTCTCAAGGCTCACGAAACAATTTAATTTTTTTTCATTGTCCTTTTTTTTTTTCCAGGAACAATCAGAACACAAAATCCCAGATATCAGGCTAATTCAGGTAAAAAGTCATACATTTTGAAAACGACTAAATTTCTTGGGAAGTTTGCTGTGTTGTAACCAATTTGGCAGTGCTTCTGAGAACAAGTCTGTACAGTGAAACGATTCCACACTGCTAGGTTTGAGTTACAAAATATTAGCACTTCTAGCCTCTTGCTTTAGTAAATTGATCTGTGAATTAAGAGGCTGCACAGAAAATGAGTGGATATTATATGGCAAAGAAGAGCGGTGTGGGGCCTAGAGGTGGTGCTTTCGCCTCACGTTCAGGAAGCTGTGAATTTGATGCTAGGTAGCAGGCAGATCTTTCTCTTTCTGGGTGCAATGAGTTATTGTCTGCTGCTAACTCCATGTAGGTGTCAGGAAGGGCATCCAGCCAGTAAATGCTTGAGCTCCATTCAGTCACCCCAACTCCACCCAGATGCAAGGAATTACAGGGTCGTTTTTTTAAAAAAAAAAAAAAAAGTATGGCAAAGGAGAATTTCTTTACCTGGAGATGTAAACTACTCTAATGCTTTATCTGCAGGGGAGGAGGTGGGACTGGTACTTGGAATATCTATACGCCCAAGAGTTACAAGGTTTGAAAGTCTTCATTGAAAGCAGCATCAAGCGTGCGGCTCGACCTCCTCAAACAAAACCAGACAACTAATCGGGTATTGAAGATTGACTCTTGTGAATGGATTTCTTCTCACCTTCTCCTGTCAAAGCTAAACTTGGATTCTAATGGACTCCTGTTTCTGAAGTGCCTCAGTACTGATAGCTGTACAGATAGCTCTTGGTGACAATAGTAGCACACACAAAGATATTTGCCCAGCTGATATTTGTGACATTAAATCTTTCATCTTTGTGTCTGGAGACTACAAACTTAACTCTCGTGAAAGAAATAGAGCGTGCCTAATTCCTGTTGCTAACTTTTTGCTTCGTTTTGGACTTGAGCAACCCGATTCATTATTGCAAACATTCAGGATTTTCCAGCGTTTGACCACTTTTGGACAGAAATTGTGACCATTCTTTGGACAGCTAAATTATCATCTTTCATTGATAATCCCAAAGCCCACACAACAGTCTTAGACTTGTAGATAACTGTAAATAATTGTATAGAACTTATTTATGCATAAAATGCTCTGTAATATAAAATAAACATTGTTTGGCTTTGGTTTGTACAGTGAAACCTCAATTTTATGAATTTCGGTTTTCTGAATACTGCACATGGTGGATGAAATTCTGTTGTAATTTGTGGAATGACATCATTTGTACGAAGACGTTCTGAAAAAAATATAAATCAGTTTCTTGGTCTGCTGTACTCATATTCTTAACCAAGGTCTTTGTTTTTTGTTTATTTCCTTTTAAACCAGCTAATGCCACAAAGTCTTCAATTTCCTCATTAAGTGTTCAATAGTATTTCGAGGCTTTGTAAAATCAAATCTACATCATCAGCAAAGGTCCTCAATTTGTAAGCCTCTTTTTAAATTTTCAAACCAATAATTTTCTCACCGTCTAGTGTCTCTAGAACTAAAATAAAAAGTAAAGGAGAGAGAGGATATCCTTGTTTTGTTGTCTTCTGTACATTACGTGGTTTAATGAAACAAATTATGTTAACAATACCATTAATAATAATATGCACATTCTAGGGCAGGGGTCCCCAACCACTCGGACGCAATCTACTACCGGGCTTTGAGCCGTTTGTAACTGGGATGCAGAAGTGGTGGGCGAGGATGTGCACACACCTCCCCACTTGCCTGCTACTCACACTGATCCATCCATTTCCCCCTCCCCAATCCACAAAGCCAGGAAGGTGGAAAAACTCTGTTCTAGGGTATGTATATTAATTTAATCCTTTGAATAAAATTCTCTCCCAAATCCATGTATTCCAAAACTGTAAACATAAAAGACCAAGTTGTCAAAAGCTTTCTCTGCAGTCAGAAAAAATCAGTGCTGCTTGCTTCTTGTTATGTTGTTGTAGATATTCTTATATCCAATGTAGTTCTCACATTATGTCTTTCGGTAAGAACCACATTGACCTGTAAATTTTCTTTAATCTATCAGCCAGTATTGATGTAAATATTTTAGTCAAGTTAAATTTGGCAATAAAGCAATATTAGCCTCTTTCCAAGATTCTGGCACAGCAGATCCCTGCAAAATAGAACTCATCGTGCTTTTAAGCGGATGCAGAAGTTGGCCTTCTTAACATTTGTAGTATGAGCTTGTTATTTTGACAGGCCCTGGTGCTTTCTCTATTTTGACCTTTTTAATAAATTCTAATATTTCAAATATTGTAGAGCTTCTCATATATTTTTCCGAGATTGTGAAAACTTCTGTAAATTCTGTTTTTTCAAATATTCCATTTTTTTTCCCAGAGATACCTAACTTTTGTACAAATTTGCATAAAAATTATGAAAGGATTTCCAAATGCTCCCATTATCTGTTAACACAGTATCACGTTACTGAATCTTTAATATTATTTTCTTTTCTTTCAATCCTGATAGACCAACTATTGCTTCTCCCCTTTTCTCTTGGAATGGTAAAACGGCTTGCTGAGTATTCCAGCTGTGCTCATTCTGGCCTACTTGTGTTTCTGCTCTGCATCCCTAGTGCTATGAATAAATCAGGAATCCCTGATTTAAGAAAGGTGCAGCAGGATCCATTTGGAGAAATGAACGGTTTAAAGCAAAGCTTGACGGAGGGCGGTTGGTCTCCTGAGGTCTTTTAATTTTTCACATCCAGTGTACCAAGAAAATGGCTTAAAAGTTATTGGCTTCTTCCTCACCCTTCCGTCCAACTGGCCCCAGATCAGACTTTGAAAACAAGCCTAGTCTGACTTTCAGTATTGTTTCTTTTTATATCTTGTGATTCACTTTCATCTTTAGGCAATTTGAGCTCCCAGCTCCGACAGCAATTCTTGTAACAGCCTGGCTTTCACCCAGCTTGGTGTTCAAAGCCAAAAGTGGATAGTTCTCACAAATAGCAGATAAGGTAGTCAGCTTAGCTCTGGGATGTGTCTCTTCCTTTGAAGTTCCTCCATGCACAAGTTATCCTGCATATATAACATGTCAGGTTAATGTGCGGCCATCCAAATGTTGGAACTCCAATTACGAGAAGTCCTCTCTTGGCCAATAGGAAAGGGTCAGCTGCTGCTATCCAATAACAGCTGACAGGCTTGAGGTTGCCAACTCACGGGCCAGAAGCCAGCCTTCCCTGCAAGAAATTTAATTTTCTACATTCATGGAGAAGTCATAATTATGTGTGGCGTAAAAGGCTTGAGTTGGCATTTCCAAGTTAAGAAAAGCCACCAATAACAGGGTACAAATAAATACGCTTTACTTGTCAAGCCTCAGTGGCTCTACCACACAGCTTCCCACAAGTCATCTTTTCTGAATGAAAGAAGCCTTTGCGGAGACCTGCTGAGAACAAGACCGCAGTTCCAGCCCTCTGCCTATCTTTGTTGGTGCTCACCGTATTGGTTTAAACATAATTGTGCTTCTCTGTGATTGCTGTGGTTCCTCTTGTTCATTACCGCAGGCGGGAGAGACGAAACAGAGGTTTGCGGGAGAGAATTGAAGTCCAGGAAATTGAACAGGCATTTCTAAACAGGTTTTTAAGTCAAATGGATGACGTTGGGCAGCGGGGTGCCCAAAAGACCATGGAAAAAAAATTTGAATAAAGAGGATGGGAGAGATTCAATTGCCATTCAAGCCAATTCTGAGCAAAATGCACGGACACGTCCAATTTCATTTCCTGTCTTGTTCAAATGCTATATAGAGTGCTTTCAAACAGGATGTAATTGGAAATTTTCAATGATCTACCTCCATCCCAATGAAACATTTTGCAGAGTTGACAGCAAAGAAAGAGCAAACTCTGATTTACATTTGAATTCATATTTGCCTTGACCAGAGATGAACAAAAATTACAAAATATTGGGGCTGAAGACATCTCACCAAATTTTTTAGGACTCCATACTTCTCCGGGTTTTTGTTTTTTTTATCTGCTTAATTTCTTCTTGATTTCCTGACAACTTTGGGAGAAAGTCAGCTAGAGTACTCCCTCAAGGAATAAAGGACCAAGCTCAAATTATCCTACTTCAGAAACATATCTCTGGAGAATGCCCTAATGTTGGGTAAAGTGGATGGAAAGAGAAGGAGAAGACAACCAGCAACAAGGTGAATGGACTCCGTTACAGCAACCATGGGTGCTCCCTTAGAAGTTCTCAAGATGTTCTGTTAGGTACAGAATATCACAGACAAAATCTATTGGGTTGCAAAGAGTTGAGACCGATTTGGCACATAATCAATTGAGAAAAACTCTCCAAGGATGTCAAGTTACATGTTTCAACTGCTGTTTGAGCTCCGTGCATCTAATCTGCAAGCATCCTTACATATTCTTTTATCATAAATGGGTTATAGGTTGAATTAAACTTTAATTAAATAACAAGAGGGTTCTCCACCTAACAGTATTGATAACACAACTCTTTCTAGCTGCTGGTTTTCCTCCAGTCTATTAATGGGGCACTGTTGTAACTGATTGGGACTATTCCCATAAAATTTCCACCAGCCAAGCACTTAAGATTTAAATTTGGGATGCTTTATGTTCTAGTTTTTAAAGCTTGCATTTTGCATCTGCCAATAGTTTGGTTTTTTTTAAATAAAAGTTTATTTTTTAAAAAATGTGCTGCTCAGTGTCCATATAATTTTCCAGCCAAGTTATGAGTTCAATAACATGATCTTCGCTTTTATCATGGAATAAAAACCAGAAGCCAGAAGCAAAATCAGTTTTTGGCATGTTTATTCCTTTTATATCCTTAGTGCCGTCTCCTAACTTACCATCTGATTATCAAATTCCCAGGGGGGTCCCCCAGTTAATTCCTCTGCTATCAACGTCCATTTTATTTATCTGCCCACATGTACAATCTGCCATTTTCGGGGAGCGATAAAAACGGACCCATAAATCACGGCCCGAGCCGAGAAATGAAATATCACCTAACCAATTTGGCTTGCCTAGAAGAGGCAAAAGGACCATCAATAACCTGGGATGGGGTGGGGTGGGGAGGCCATTCCAAAGTGGTGGGGGCCCCTATTGAGATACCCAACCTCCTCCCCCACAGCCCACCAGTGGGGAGGGGACCTACCACCACCACCTCCAGCAACTGCTTGGAGGAGGGGGGAGATTTTCCTCCAGCAACGCCTTGGGGGCACCCAAAGTTGCCACCTCCCATCTCTCTCCCTCCCCCACCCCACCCCAAGCCAGCCAAGCTCCCCACCCCTTTGATTCCCCTCCCTTGCTCCAAGCAGGACCCCCGCCGCCGCAGGAGATTGGAGGGGGGGTGCTCTTCCTTCCCCTCGCCCCCTCGACACCGCCCTCCTGAAAGCCAGCAGCCCGGGCAGGGCGGGAGGCTGAGTGGGTGGGTGGGTGGGTGGGTGGGAGGCGCGTAGTCTCGCCCGGAGGAGGCGCGCGTGGAACGGCACGCCCCGACTTTGCCCACTCGGCGCCCCCGGTTCCAGAGCAACCCCGCCGGTCCGCGCCGGAGGAGAAGCGCCCGCGGCGGCAGGGGTCAGATTCCCCCCTCCAGCCGCCGCCCCCGCCGGGGTCGCCCCCTGCTTGCTGTCTGCCTCGGCAGAAGGGCCGTTTCCACCACCACCTCCTCCTCCTGCTGCTGCTCCTCCCGCCGCTTCCTCGCCGACCGGCTCCGGGTGCAGCCCGTTGGCTCTCGCGGCAGCTCTCTCGCCGCCAGGGGCCAGCAGCAGCGTCGAGCGACCTGCTGGGCATCTCCGCTTCGTCCTTCCCGGGGCGATGCCATCGCCTGGCCAGGCTCCGGACGCTGCTGGGGCCCCCGGAGGGAGCGCCGATCCGGGCAGGCTCAGCAGCAGCTGCCGCGTCTTCCCTTGCCCGCCGGGAAACCCCCCCAGGTAGGCCGGCTGGGGTTGGAGAAGGCGAGCATCCTTCCGCCTCCACCACCATCACCACCATCCTCATCCCCTTCTTCTTCATCATCATCATCAGGCTCTGTGTTTCCCCCTCCATCCTCTTCCTCCTCCCTCCGGGCGTCCTTGCCAGTTGCGGGAGGCAGGGTCTCTTTTTTCCGTCTCCTCGTTTTCAGCACCCCCCCACCTCCCCCCCACCCTTCCCAATTTCACGACGGGTTTCCCACTGAGATGTTCTACAAGCCCAGCCTGGCCGGGTTTTTATCCCAAGAGAAGAAGAGCAGCCAGCCTGTTTAGCAGGAGCGGCGCGACCCGGGCTCCTTTCCTCTCCCCCCCCTCAAATGAGGTCCCCGAGCACCCTGCCTCTTCCCTGCAGCCCCCTCCCCGAATCTTCCCAGAGAGGGGGGAAAAAATGATCAAGTGATCCTTGGGTGGTTAGGAAAAAGGGCCGGAACTTTGCTCAGATGCGATGGGAACAGGGCGAGAGACAACACCCTAAATAAGCTTGGATGCCTGGCCGTCAGAATCCCCTTCAGTGTTTCTTTTCGGGGCTCTGCCATTCTCGGGGGAGGGTCTACGTGAAGGGGCTCTACGTGAAGGGGGGGCAGATAAGCAGGATAGTCTACTTTTTGGGGAGGGTACGAATCCAGATTAAGTGCTACCTTGAAAAGGTGACCGGAAACCAATGAGATAAGAGGAGACATTACCAATTTCAGGGCAGGCTGGCAAGAATTGGAAGAGAAAACTGGCAAAGGACGGCTTATGTTTTAATCTTTAAAATCACAACGAGGCATTTCCAAACTAGAGGTGCTTTCCATCAAGCATGCTAGGTCCTTTTGCTTTAAAATAAAAAGAAAAAAGAAAAAAACGACTCTTTGACCTAAGCTGATCCTGCAGCCCTAGTATCAAGAGGGAATCAAGCAAATAGAGCTTGAAATCAAAAGGAATGCGTGAATACACATTTATTGTGGTTGGTTTCAGGGGTTTCCCGATCATTTCAGTGAGGTTAATGCTGGGTCAGCTGTATTTTTTTTTTAATTAGGGTCCTCTTTTAATTTTGTGCAAAAGGAGAGCATCATCACCCTACAGATTACAAATAGTAAGCTGGTCCAAGAAACTGGGTACACACACATTGTCACGCAGACTGAAGCCTGGGGTTGCCCACACCACTCCAAGTTTTGCTTGCAGCCTCCAAGGCCCTCTAGAAGTTTCTCCAAATCAAAATATTTCACAGGACAGAAGGAGGGAATTATTAAGAAGGATGGGAAACGATATGAAAGACATTTCATCTTGTTTGAAAGGAATGTTAATCAAACATGAACCTTGTTTTCTATTCTGGCGCCATTTTATTATTATTATTATTATTATTGGAGACTGACTCTTTAGCACATCATTCCAAAATCAAGAAATTTTCAGCCTAAAACAATGTTATCCAGCCCAGTCCTGCCCTGAACTTTCTTGAATAAATCATTCTTGACTGTATTTGCAAAACCAATTTAGATTATTTGCCAAATCTGATGTATCTTAACCTGTCTTTCGTAGCAGGAGAAATCTTTTGACATAGAAGAATATTTCTTTCTGAGGTGATGATTTTGGTATCTTTGCACACAAAGAACTAAACAGATTGACTGACCCATTGCACCAACTAGTGTTCAAAATATTCCATAGAATCGTGGGTACTCCATCACTGGAGATTTTCAGGAAGAGACTAGACAGTTACCTGTCTGAGATGGTATAGGTTCTCCTGCTTGAGCAGGGGGCTGGACTAGAAGACCTCCATGGTCCCTTCCAGATCTATTCTATTCTATTCTATTCTATTCTATTCTATTCTATTCTATTCTATTCTATTCTATTCTATTCTATTCTAATCTTGAGGTGCTTTTCACTAACATCAGCTTTTCAAGCTATAGAAAGAATGGCACTGAGCCTCCAAACACATAGCTACACAATATTTTGATTGCTTCCTTTTTAATTAAGGGGATCAAATGGACCAGAAATAAATGAAGGTGCAAAGGCTAAAGAAAATTATCTTAGAACAATTGGAAGCACTAGCTAGAAAGTAGAAAAATTTCCGAGCTAGTGAGATGGGACAGTAAAAGTTCAAGAGCATTTGAATTGTGCACTAGTCTACCTCTTACTTTAAAGAATCCAATAAAAATAGTGTAGATGTATTAGGACAGGAGCCCATAATATTTCTTTAGCTAGCAAAAGACTGTCCACAGAGACTGGTGGTGGAATTTCTGGATGGCATGGTGTTATTCTCACCACAAACGAAACTGGAAATTAGCCAACCGTACAATATTTCAGCCTGGCATGTTATTCATGTATAGTACGTTGTGTGGTCTAAGGTGGTTGAGTGAAAGGAGGAAACAGAGGTTATTACAGGTGAGCTAGTTGAGTGAACGCAACCTAGGATAGGTAGACTGTAGCCCTTCCATTTTTCTGCTCTTTTGAGTTATTAGCTAGAGATGTTTGGGATTCAATTAGATCTCTTATTTATAAATCAGTCAGACCTGCTTTGTCATTTCTCCTTAAACATCACTCTTTTACTCTTTGGGGTAAATTATGTTTTAATTATGATGCGGGGTGGAATAAATTACAATGACTGGCCTCATGTAGCACTTCCTGTCATTAATGTGCTTTCAAAGAATCTGATAGTTCTTTAACTCATATAATTTGGTCTTGCTCTGTTAGGGCTTTGTTCTATTTTCACATTAATACATATGTTAATCACCATGTTATGCTAAATATTTCACTCTTTTTCTTTCCCATGTTACCATTATTTGATCTAAACCTTTTACTTTACATTTCATGATTGTACGTTGTACGAAAAGCTACGTTTCAAAAACAACCTTTTGAAAAATCCCCCTAAACAAATTCTATTGAAGTCTTTACTGCAAAAAGCTTCAATGGGATTTCTTTCTAGCTAGAACTCACAGAAGTCCTGACAGTGTCTAGAAAATGCCTTGTGTTTTATCTCTGTCTCTGACACTAACAACTGGAAAAGCAAAGTACAGTACTAAAAGTGAAAAGGAATCTATTCTACACAAACGCCTCCCAAATCATGCTGTGGTACTTGGAAAAGAGATGCTCACAGCCCGAGTAGAATAATAGTAGTAATATTAGCAATTGAAACAGTGGCTTTACAAGTAGAGCTATTTACTCTCAAAGTGCACAAAGCAGAGAAATTCATTCTTTTGTTCTGTGATGCTGTTATTTGCTCATTTAATCACCTTATACGCTGCTTTGATACAAAGGAGACCCTAGCTAGCATACTATACGTAGTTGGATTAATAATAATGAGAATAACACGCCAGACTTAACAACTGTTGATAACAAAAGACAAAAAAAGTATGGATAATGGATGTGGCAGTACATGGAGAGAGCAGAACAGGAGAGAAAGAATTGAGAAAGAAAGAATACAAAGACTTGCAAGTAGAAGTGGAATGTGGCCGAGAAAACTACAGAAAGTAGCCTCAGTTGTCACGAGTCAACACTGGCTCAAACGTTTACATACAACCACATTACACATAGATACACAAAGTTGCTCTGCACCCGATCTCCAGAGAGAGGCACTCAAAGATTTGCTCTGTTTGATTTGATGTCGCTTCCTACAATCTTTCAGAACTTCAAAACTTTCCATTCATTTCCCATTCTTCGTCCAATGGCTTTCTAGTGTTCCTTTTCAGTCTCCCACAAGCCATCTATTTCATCTGGTTTGAAAAAGTGGGCTGGGGAGGGAGACCCCAGGGAGATTCTTCTTCCAGGATGTGCCCATTTTAAACAATGCCCTCCCGAAGAGCAAGCATGCGAATTGGCTTTGTAGTCCTTGAGGGGAAGCTTCCAAACAGCAAGAGGTGAGATAGATTTCCTACCAAAACAAAGGCTTTGGAAGTCTAGACTTAGGGCTTCAGGCTGTTCCAGGCTGAGGGACTTTTTCGTGAACTAAGTCAATAATATATACAAATAAATAAATTCAATCAATTATAAAACCTGGCTCTGCCAACTGGCTTGGGGTCCCGTAGGGATGTCCCCTTCTGGAGGTGGTTAATAGGTTTTTAAACAGTGTTTCTCAACCTTGACAATTTTAAGGCATGTGGACTTCAACTCTCAGAATTCCACAGCCAGCATTGCTGGCTGTGGAATTCTGGGAGTTGAAGTCCACATGCCTTAAAATTGTCAAGGTTGAGAAACACTGGGTTATAAGATCGCACCTCCACCCCATCTACGAATTGGCCCTTTGTCTCCACATTCTCCTTTTACAGGATAATTTTTCCTGAGAAAAATTAACCAGTGGGACGGCTTGCCTCCGGAAGTTTGGGTGCTCCATCACTGGAGGTTTTAAGAAGAGATTGGATAGCCATTTGTCTGAAATGGTGTATAGACTCTCCTGCTTGAGCAGAAAGTTGGACAGGAAGACCTCCAAAGTTCCTTCCATCTCTATTACGCTATCTTCTTTCCAACGTAAATTTTAATGCTTTAACTTTTAATGCCTGAATGTTCTTAACCGTTGCTATTTTTAATATTGGAAGCTTGATTGTGAGGGTGGGCAGCATATAAATTTAGCAAACAAATAAATAAATCCTGGGATCTCCGACAGGGGCCTGGGGAATTCTGGGTGTTGCAGTCCACATATCTTTAAACAGCCAAGGTAGATCCCGTGGAAAGACCGAATAACGCTTCTGTCCTTCATCTCATGTCTTCCTTCCAGTTCCCACTGCTCAGCTCAGGCTTGGTCCTCATGAGCAACTGTTCTAATGCAGCCAATGGTCATGCAGGGATGCTCATTCACCCTCCCCAGATGTCGTGAATGGCACACCACCGGGACATCCCGTCGCAACAGCACTTCCTACCCTCAGTCTCAGGTAAGACCTTTCAACTCCAGCCAACATCTGTCTTCTTTGCCTTACCTGTGCAAGGGGTTGCTCTGTGGCTTCGCACTTCACCTTCATGGATCGGATAAAGAAAAAGATCCCTAATTTGCAGCCATGGAAGCCGGCTTGTAATATGGGCACCACCCTTGAATTTCATTTCTTTCTTTTTTTCTTATTGTTTCGAGACCCTGCAAGGGTTGAACATCAACGGTTTCTAAAGAGCATCCTCAACATTCTGTGCTCTCCCTTAAGCCTCTCTCCTAATTTCTTTATCCACCTAAAAGAAATCAAACTCACACTTTCAGAGAGAAAAGAAAAGAGGACGGTGATTCAAGGTGGCATTCCCTTACGATAACATTTCAAAGAGGATTCTGCCTCCGTTTCCTCTTTTCTCTTTTTGAGAACCACAAATGGCACAGGTTGTTCATTTGTATTCCGCCTTTATTGTTTTTACAAATAATTCAAAGCAGGGAAGACATGGAACACGTCTCCCTCCTCCTATTTTCTCCACAACAATAACCCCTGTCAGGTGGGTTAGGCTGAAAGAGAGGGACAGGCCCAGAATTACCCAGTTGGCTTTGATGGCTAAGGTGGGACTAGAACTCAGAGTCACCTGGTGATTAGTCCAAAGTCACCCAGTCAGCTTTCATGCCTAAGGTGGGACTAGCACTCACTGTATCCTTGTGACTGGCCCAAGGTCACCCAGTTGACTTTCATGACTTGAAAGGCAGGACTTGAACTCACGGTCTCTGCTTTCTAGCCTGATGCCTTAACCACTAGGTGTCAAAGCAGAAACATGTGATGTTAGACTCTCTAATAAAGGTTCTTTAAGGTAAACAATGCCTCAAAGTTCTTTGAAGAATTTCATCTGTCGGAACTATGACACTACTAGGCCAATGCACCGTTGAGGGTAGAAATGGACCAACAGGTAAATACAATAAGCGTTTTAGTGGTGTGCGTATGTGAATCTTCCACGTTTTCATATTTTTGTATGTCACTCGAGGGGAAACAGGCAACTCATTGGTTTTTTTTTTAAAAAAAATTGGTGCTGAGTGACACATATTCACAATACATACTGTATTATATTATTTTACTATTTTGGTAGTTCCTCCATAAACATCCGTTGGACAAGGCCAGTACAACATGCAGCCGAGCTTCAGTGGCTCTCTTCCTGCCTAGCTGGTCTTCTGTTTTCTAGTCCAGCCTTAGCCGGTGACCAGGGTGGCTGAGAAATACTATCCGAGGTATTTGAAAAATGCAAGGCTTGGAGATGTTTCTCAGTACCATCCGTGATGGTTTGTAGAAGGTCATCGACAATGAGAGGTTTAGCCCTCAGAAGGGAGAGAAAGCGAGGCAGAGGGGTCGGGGTAGCACATCAAGCACAGCAGGCTGGTTGAGGGGACGAGAAGGAGGCAGAAGTAAGGGGGGATTTTTAATCCCGTGCTTGTAGGCGAGTTGCAGCAAGGAAATGCCCTTTGGAACAAAAATCTGTGGGAGACGCTTGTTGATGGGAATGGAATCCTCTGGGTGAAAACAATGCATGTTTTCCTTCTTGGGTGCTATGGATTGGAGGCCAGCCACACATTCCTGCTCTCCCCAGGGAAAACAGCGACTCTCCAAAGGTTCCAGAGGTCAGCAATGCCTCCTTTCCCTCAACCACATACCACCCACACCCCTTCACAGGCTCAGAGACAGAGTGGGGGCAATCTGTGAATCCCCCACCCAGAGCTGCAGAAGTGCAATTCTCTTGAGTAGCCCCAGACAGGATGGTCCATGTACGTTAGCAAAGAGTGGAGACTCAGGAAGACCCTTCTTGCCTCTAGGATCGATTTCAGGAGAATGGGAATTGGAGTCTTGACCTAGGACAGCAGTCAGGGCAAAGGGAGGGGGCTCATGTGCCTTTAATAGCAGGCTGGGAAAGTAGCTTTGCAGAGCGAAGGCCAGTGGGCAGTGGTCCCTGATTTGCACAGCTACTAAAGATGGATGGATGAATCCCATCCTTTTGCTCCTGCTTTCAATATTTCGGTTCCTGCTTTCATCCCGTCGCTCCCTTGAATATTGGGGAACTAGGAGGAAGGCTGAGAGGAGGCAATGGCTCTTCTACCATGCAGTTGAAAGCTTCCGCTGCATGGGCTCCATGGCCGTGTGGTTGAACACTTCTCCCGTCACACTCTAAGACCCTCAACCATTGTTGTAGAAGAGGACTTCTTGCTACCTCGAACTTACTGATTCTGTAAGGGCTACGTGAAATGCGATGTGGAGTCTTCATTTCAAGCCCATTTCTAGCAGAGACCCTGCCCCACCTGCCCAACCCCTCCCCGCCTCCCCTCCCCGTGCCTAGAAGATCTCAAAGGCCATCCCAACGCCAAGCTTCCTTTTGTCTGAGTAAGGCAAAGTCAAGCGTGACTCTCACACGTGTCCGTGCCTGGGGGACCCATAACATTTCAGCCTTCCTTGCCCATAAGCTGTTCTAAGTTCTCTCTTGCTGTCCCCCTCCCTCCCCCGTCCCTCCGGAGTCAAAAAATGGCTTGGAAGTTGCTGGAATTCCACCTAGACAAAGCCGTGATTCAGAGAGAGAACGGTGGTTGTCATTTTGCCGCCACCTCCTGCAGATTCCAAGAGGGTCACAGCCTGAAGGCAGCAAGTCTTTGGGCCCCTCCTGCCCTCCCTCCCCTTTCTGTCACTGCTCCCTCCCCCATTTCTTTTCAACTTTTTGGGTGCTTTGGAGATGTAGGGAGGTGACAGCCAGGCAAGGCTTCCTGATGGAGCTCTTCACCCACTTCTGAATAGGTGAGCCACGGTCCACGGAGGCCGAATGCCGGCCTTGATCTAAAAAAAAAAAAGCCATCATGCCTAGATTGGGTATGTGGATGGGGGAATGAGGGAGGGGTGAGTGGATCAACCAGAGGGACTTCTGTTGTAACCAGCGACTGATATGTTGAGACTGAAGCTGGAAAACTGCATACACCTAACTCAAGAATATTTGATGTCAAGGGAGGAAGACATGAAGAACGTCCCATTTCACACTGAGCCATTGCACCTATTCTGGCATTTCTGCACGAACGGTGGATATCTTTTGTGGCTCTCGTACCCAGTCAGGTTCTTTTCCAGTTGACCTCTGAGGTTGCTTCTTCTGTCCTTCTTCTTTAAAAAATTTGGATTCTGATAAGAGTTCCTCTCTTGGGCTCTGGGTAGCTGGAATGGTTACAGAGCAGGTCGTTAGTCTGCCTGGGCACGTGGAAAATCCCAGGGGACCACAGCAAGATGCACCACAGCAAGATGCACCGGCTTTGATGTGAATGATTTATAAAGGGCATCTTTTTAAGCTGGAGCTCTTTCTCTCTCTCTCTCTCTCTCTCTCTCTCTCTCTCTCTCTCTCTCTCTCTCTCTCTCTCTCTCTCTCTTCATAAATCTGTATTGCTTTTGATGCTGTGGTGTGTATTAGGATGGAGTTGGTCAAATCAAGCCTGGCTTGAAATGGGCACAGCAGTGCAAACTCTGCCAAGGGGAGGTTGTTTTGGCTATATTCAGGGTACACCCCTATGGAATAAGAATGAAAGTTTTTAACTGTTACAAATGGGGCAATGCTCCAGAAAGTTAGAATAGGGGCTCTACTAGCATGGAAAGATTTTTAGAACGTGGAGGAACTCTTTGAAATGGCCCTTTTGCTATCTCTATCTCCATCTCTATCATGTCTGTCTGTCTATCATTTATCTATCATCTATCTTATCTATCTATCTATTTATCTATCTATCGATCTATATCGATCTATATCTATCTCTCATCTATCTATCTATCTATCTATCTATCTATCTATCTATCTATCTCTACCTATCTCATCTATATCTATCTCTCATCTATCTTCTATATCAATCTGTCATCTATCATTATTTTCTTTCTCTCTCTAATCTTGTTTCTTTAATCTGCTTTATCTATCTATCATGTCTCTCTCTCACTCTCTCTCCCTTTCTATTGCTCTCTCTCTTTGCATAAAATTATTTCAAGTCTCCAGTTAATAACCTTTAATTTGCTGAGTGAAATTGCTCATCTCCCTCCCCCTCTCTAAATTTCCTTCCCTGATAAAATAATTCCTTAATGGCCTGTGATAGAGGCATAATGTAAAATGTTACAAGGTCTTATTTGAACAAGATTTTTTTTTTTTTTTAAAAAAAAAAACCTCTGTGGTAGGAGACTGTATAGGAGAAATCCTCCATTCTGCTACTTAACCAGACTTCTAACTGGGTTTGTGCTTTGTAAGAGCCCGGTTCCTTCAGACTGTGGAATATTAGGGCAGATAAGGCCTCTCTCAGAAGTAAACCTTCCATGAAGAAGTTGATGATGCTTAAATGTAGCTGTGCTGAAACGCTTGGGACAAAGAACTGCAGACGGAAGCAGCACTAAAGTGTTCCATTTTCTGTGTCACTAGCATTTGCTCTGCAGTAATACTGTCTTTGTAGTGAAATTGCTCTTTAATTGCCAAATGAAAAAAAAAAGGAAGGCTTTTCTAATTGACACAACAGAGATCCACTGCATCTCCCATTGGGAATCAAATCAGGATCCTCCTTGAATCCAACCTAGGGTGTCTGAAGAATATCAGTTGCTATCTACCATTTTGAAGCCCCGTTTTCCTCCCTGACATCTTTGATATTTTTCAGCAGATTAAAAAAAAAAAATACAAGAAGGTGACAGGTGATTATTATGGTTCGTCATACAGTCAGCCAGATATTCAGACTGGATTTGATATTTTTATTCACCTATTGTGTCCTTCCCAAGGACATTGTTAGCAAATGTCGCTTGGCGGTATTAAAGATACCATTGTAGGATGTGAGCTAGTCCAAGTGAAGCTGCCTTTTGCAACTGACCGATGGTGATTTTTGTCAGTACCAGTGGTGTTCAAATGATGCTTCAATTGTTTTCGGATTGCACCAAAAACACCAATTACTATGGGTACCACTCTTATCGTTGTTATTATTATCCCATTTATGTGCTGCCCGTCTCATGGTTCAAAGCAACTCTGAGCTGGGAAAGGCTAGCATATAATACCAACAGCCCGATGGTAGTTTTTGTAAAAAAAAAAAAAAAAAAAGATAATCGAAATGAAGGATTCGGGAGAAGCAGCTTCTTAGGCGAGATGACAAACGTGTTGTGCTTCCTTAGGTGTCATTTGCTTGCAAATCTTTTTGGGGCTGGAGGAAATTTGCTACATTACCTAAAGAAAAGTCATTTGGTCCAATTGGGGTACTTCTGTTTGCGATTGCTCAAATGGATGAAAATCGAAAATAGACATTTTGGGGAATGCATACCCCTGAAATAAAGCACTGCTGTGAAATGCACCCAGCTGAAACAGGGAAATGGTGCTGTTTGGTGCTTATGTTGCCAGACTCCCTCTGTGTCGATCTGGCACAAGGGAGCCTGCAGAGAGGGAAGCCAACGTGAATCTGAGAAAAGGCAGTGCAAGAAGCTAACACAATGGCAGACAAATGGTGAAATACCCTCCAGAGGTCCCCTTCCCCAGTTTTAAACGCCTACAACACCTTATGGCAAACTTTGAGTAAATGGAAGGGGTGCAAAAATCTGTTTGGACCATCTCGGTTTATAATAATCTGGGTCAAATCTTCGGAATACAAACTACGACCTGGGTCAAAACATAACCACAATAAGAGAAAACAAGTAATTCAAAGTGTGTGTGTGTGTTCTGTAGTTGAATAGCAACAAGCTGAACAGAAAAAGTGGGCAAAGGTAAAGTCTCCCTTGAGTTGAGGTCAACTGCTGATGGCTTCATGGAAGCATCTTTATAGCTTTATTGGAAAATGGGATATGGAACATGGAAGTGGTTTCCTGATGTTTTCTTCTGGGATATTTTTAAACACTTCTCACTTTAGCCTTCAGCCAGGGATGGGATTTTATCCAATGATCAACCAGCCCCAGATCTGTTCCATTGTTTGAGATCAGCCAAGGGCACATAGGTAGTGATACTCCCTAGATCAGGGGTAGGCAACCTTGGCTCTTTTATGACTCGTGGACTTCAGCATAGCTGGCTCAAGAATTCTGGGAGTTGAAGTCCACAAGTCATAAAAGAGCCAAGGTTGCCTACCCCTGCCCTAGATGGATGCTCTGCACAGTATCTTCTGTGCTTTTGTTTTTCATTAAAAGAACTTGAAACAAGGAAATCAGATAAGACAAGATACCTGGCAGGCATAAGGCAAATATAGTCATAATGGGGTCCACAGGTTCCATAATTGGAGCCTGATAGTTAGGACATTGATTCTGTAACTTGAATAGGAAGAGGTAAAAGAGAAGCAATAGCTGACTAATCTCTTAGCCAGTTTATGGTAGTGATGATGGTGATGTTTATGTTAATGTTGGTGTTGGTGTCAACGTTGACATTGATGTTGATGCTGACAGTGACGACAGTGTTGATGTTGATGTTGACAATGTGGACATTGATGTTGACAGTGACAGTGATGATGAGTAGAGCTAGTTCTGAGGCATGATACTATTTACTGTATAGAAAGGAATCCACATTTTGAAAACTATATGATGATCTGGGTAGCTTTACTCCAAGCAAACGTTTGCCATGAGCTGCTGACTCTCCATCACTCCATGAAGTGTACTCCCCTCTTTGAAATGCTGACTACCACATTCAAGCACAATTTTGATTACTAATATTATTCTGCCTTTCTGCCCATGGGGTGCCCACAATAACACATAACTAAAACTCAAAGATCTAAATAATCATCCACCGCAGGGGAATCCTGCATGATGGCTGTATTATAGGAGTTGATTGGTATTCTCTCGCAATCTCGGTTTTTAAATTTTTCAATTTTAATTTGTACTTCAGTGTTTTAATACCTGTCATACTGTTTTAATTGTCCCTGAGGTTCTACGACAACCAGTGTCACGTTCTATGAGATAAGTAGCTATATAAATCTGCTAAATAAATAAATAGCAACTTATTTAGGGGGGGGGGGATGCCTGAATCAAATTGATTCTGTTCCCTTTGTGCTTCCCTTCCTTGACCAAGGTCTCTGTGTTTACCCTTAGGTTAAAACAGCCCGTGATGGCACCATACCGGCCAGTCTGAACAGGAAACCTCCAAACGGTGCTGTTGGGCCCCAGATGACTCTGGAAATGAATCTATGCTGGAATGAGATTAAGAAAAAATCACACAGCCTTCGGTGAGCACTTTCAAAAGGGCCAAGTGTAACTTGTCTTCAACGTCTTCTCTTTTCTATGCTCTCAGCATTCAACGTCTTCTTTGTCTTCTCAGGGCTCGCCTTGAGGCCTTCTCAGACCACAGTGGAAAGCTGCAGATTCCTTTGCAGGAGATCATTGACTGGCTTAGCCAAAAAGATGAGGAAATTTCTGCCCAGCTACCACTCCGTGGGGACGTTCCCCTGGTACAGCAGGAGAAAGAGAGGCATGCGGTAAGCATCAACAGTCCACACCAATCCTAGCATCAGACAGGACATCTGAGAAAGCCCTCAGAATCCACAAGAAGTTTCCAATCCCATCTCCCTGGCTGACTTTTTCCCCCAGTGAGCGAAAAAGTTGAAAATTTGTTTGTTTGTTTGTTTTATTGATTGATTGATTTTTATCCCACGTCTATGGAGATTCTCAATCATCTAGGTCAGGGGTCTTCAAACTTGGCCCATTTGAGACTTGTGGACCTCCAGAATTCCTCAGCCAGCATGCCTGGCTGAGGAATTCTGGGAGTTGAAGTCCAAAAATCATAAAAGGGCCAAGTTTGAAGACCCCTGATCTAGGTCATGGTTGTCCCTTTTCCACAAGGCAACTGACTTTCTTGGGGTTTTTTTCTTTGAAAAGCTTTCGCTTCTCATCCAAGCAACAACTTGTCGTCCAAGCAGCTTCTAAACTGAACTGAACTGAAGAAGCTTTTTGGATTAGAAGTGAACCATTTTCAAAGAATGAAAAAAAAAAAAAAACTCTAGGAAAGTCCAGTTGCCTTTTGGAAAAGCACCTTTGGGACATTATTTTCTCTCCACCTTTGCTATTTTTATAAATAACTCCTATTGCGTTTTTCTTCCATTTGCTCTTCTGGTCACTCAAGTAGAAGAAAAGAAGATACCAGTTGAGGTAGAACTTAATCAACCCCATAAGGTTCCTCTGATGTGTCTTTAGCTCATGTTGTGCTCAAGTGCCCTTCCAAAATCTAAATTGTGAAAGTCGCAAGGTTGACCCTTTCCAGAGTCCTAAGGCTGCCATTCCTAGTTAGTACGTAAGATCCAAAAAGAGTTGATTCAGCCAAAGACAATTGTGACTTTAAGGGCTCTGTCTTGTGCATGAACCCCTGGGGTTCCTTTCAGTTTTTCTGGTCTTCTCTCCCTGATGTAGGCCTTCATGGAAGAAGTGAAATCTCGAGGACCATACATTTATTCCGTTTTGGAATCAGCTCAAGTTTTCCTTACTCAGCACCCATTTGAAGAAGTGGAAGATGTAAATCTTGACAGCAAAGGTTGGCAAATCTGCTCGTTTTCTCAAGCCATCTGATCTTGTACTTTTCAACATTTTCTCTTATTCTTAACTCCTTCAGAATTTCAAAAGGCTGCCAGCTCAGTGGGTGGAGTATATCGACTTGTCGATTGGTCTTTCAACCTGACTTCTCATCTTGAAAAATAATCTCTCCAGCGGATAATAATAATCTCTTAGTGGATATAGCAGTGCCCTTCTGCCTTTCAAAGGGATATCTTAGGGAGAACTTTATTAATAGCCTATAGCTTAAAAGCCCAGCCCAGGAAAAGACCTTTAGTAGGAGAAGGTTACACAGAATAATAAGAACTTTTCTGAAGTAAGTAGGAAAATGGAATATTCAGAATTAGGCAGCCTAGCGGACCCAAATAATTGATAGCCAGTTATTTCAGGCATAGTACTTCAAAATAGTTGTTGTGTTGTCTTCTGTGGGATGCCAGCCAGCTAGCCATGATCTTCTCATGGATATTATTCCATTCCATTCTTCTTCTCCAAATCATTATCTTTCATTCTACATCCATCAAGTATGCTCTGTCTTCATTGAATGTTCAGGTGTGGTTTATTTTCCCCCTCACTGTCCACAGATTCTTCCCCCTTTCATGTAAATACATTTTTATACTTATTCACATTTGAACCTGAGATTCAATGCAAGGCAAGTTTCTGCTGTATCCATGAGATGAGTCTTCTGGTAAGGTCATAATCTCAGCAGACCCCACCATCCATGCAGAGGAAATGTGTACATTTGTGGATGTTAACCTGGAACCATCGTGAAGACAATGCTATTCAACCGTCCTTCCCCACCCCCATCTCCTCCTGTTTCTTTTTCTTCCCAAACCTTGTTTGCTTTCTATTTTTACCTACCGCTAATTTATTTATCACTGAAATATGTACAACTTCCTGAATCAGAAGCAGCATAAACTAAATGCCAGCTGCTGGTAATCACAAGTGGAAGAGAGTGATCACCCTCCTCTCCATGCTTGTGAGTTTCTGAACACCGTTGTATAATTCAGAATGTTCAGCTAGATGACCATTGGTCTGATCCTACAAGTTCTTCTAATATTCTGCTCTCCACTCTGACTGTTGAAAGTCCATCGGGTTTTCTGATGGCGCAGTTGCATTACTGGAAACTTAACATCAGATCTTCACCTTCCTTGATGCTCTCTTTCTAGATGTCTCCCCAAGACACCGGATCCAGAACATCAGCCGTTTTGTGTGGAAGCAGGCAACGGTGGCCAGCGAACTATGGGAGAAGCTAACAGCCCGCTGTGTTGACCAGCACCGTCACATTGAAAGGACCCTAGAGCAGCTGCTGGAGATCAAAGGGACCATGGAGGAGCTGAGCACCACTCTCAACCAAGCTGAAAGTGTGCAAGAGACATGGGAACCCATTGGAGATCTCTTCATTGATTCTTTGCCAGAGCATATCCAGGCCACCAAGGTAATCTTTCTAACTCATCTTGTACCTGTTCAGGTGATCTGGAGGGAAGGTTAGGGAGATGAAGGCACTGTAGACTCTAACATCTCATGTGCAATAGGGCACTAACTCTACAAGCACCTAAAGTGACGAGGGTCCAGTGTTCTGCCGAGTCAGGGCTGTAGAGCATTTACCACTTTGAAGACAGAAGTGTTTTATGTGATATGTGCCAAACATCAGTAGAGTAAGAGTTTGTGGAGAAGAACCCAGGATTTTCAAGGAGTGAAGTAGATGCTTTCAACGCTGCAAAGCTCAAGGCATCCATTTGATTCCTTACCGCCCCAACTTTTCCCAAATGCAAAAAAAGTCCCTGAGGACAGAAAAAGTTTGTTCATGAGCTTCATAGAATTGCTGTTCTATACTTTGTGCATTCCTCTGCTTAGTGATGGTTTGTTGAACAAACCACAATGACTGAATTCACACAACATATCCATCCCTAGATCATGTTATGCAATCACAGAATTACTAGCTGGAGATCAGAAGCTTGGCAGAGACCAAGATGGTATGTCAGGCACATTGGTCTAGGTTACTGATTAGTTGCTTTCTTTCTGTCTCTGTCTCTCCCCCACCACCACCACCATCAACTTTGATCTCACTACTATTTCTTGGGCTGATGTGGCTCCCCAGTTGGTCCAAGAGGAGCTCTCCCCCATGAAAGATGGAGTGAAACTTGTGAATGACCTTGCACATCAGCTGGCTATCTCTGATGTTCATCTGTCCATGGAGAACTCCCGTGCTCTAGAACAGATCAACACACGCTGGAAACAATTACAGGTGAGAAAGGGGGCAGGACAGGGCTTGGATCAACATGGTGCCTAGTCTGCTCTGCTTTTGACACCGGCCCCAGGTCCTCCACCCCTTCCCATCTTCCCAAAATATAGACCTGTGGACTTGGTAGACTTGGAACCCCACTTCAGCTTTCCCTGTGACTGTCCAATTTGGGCTACAACTCCTATCTTCTCCACTCTGGTGGGGTTCAGTGGTAGAACCTCTGGCTTCCAAGGGGCTCAGCCATGAACTGCTTGCTCAGACCGAAAGGCTGAACTTTTTGTACCACTTAGTTTGATGGGTTCATCTTCTGCACAGGTCTCCATCAACGACCGTCTGAAGCATCTTCAGGATGCCCACCGGGACTTTGGGCCAGGATCACAACACTTCCTCTCGAGTAGGTGCACTGTTGTTGTTTTTTTAATGGGGATTTGCTTTCTTTTTATATTCTTGTGGCATTTTATATACCGGTGGCATAGAATGAGAGCAAATTGTGCCCCGATCTAGCACTGATGATGTTACCTAGCTCAGAGGGCGCCAAGGACCCTACAGCCCCCTCTCTCCCCCTTCCTCTTCCTCTCTACAAACCCCACTCTCTTCTAGCACTGATAATATTACCTAATTTGGTAATGAAACGTCTGCAAGAAAACCACCAAGCTCAGAGAGCACCAAGAACCCCACAGTCGTTATCCTCCTCCTCCTCCACCTCCACCTCCTCCTCCTATCCACAAACCTCACTCCCTTTTAACACTGATGATGTTACCTAATTTGGTAATGAAACGTCTGCAAGAAAACCACCAAGCTCAGAGAGAGCACCAAGGACCCCACAGCTCAACCTTGAGCTACAAATATTCACTTGTTTTTCCTTTGCAGCCTCAGTCCAGGTCCCCTGGGAACGAGCTATTTCTCCCAATAAAGTCCCTTACTACATCAAGTGAGTATCAGGCCATGCCTCAGGAAGCTTTATCTTGCATTGTGACCTTCATTATTCTTAGCAAACCTTCAGCCCTCTTGCCGTATCCTTTTCTTTAAGCCTTCATTCTGCCCTTTGCAGAAATCAATATGGTTGATTTTTTTTTCTTGTACTAATCAGCTATATTCTCAATGGGGATTCTGCAGGAGGCCAAGATGTATTGTGTTACTTATATGAGTCTTGGACTCATGTTATTTGTTTCCATCCAAGCGTTCAATTTAAGTTTTATTATGACCCTATAACATTTCAGACAAATGGCTGTCCAGTCTCTTCTTAAAAACTTCCAGTGTTGGAGCATTCACAGCTTCTGGAGGCAGGTTGTTCCACTGGTTAATTGTTCTCACTGTCAGGAAGTTTCTCCTTAGTTCTAGGTTGCTTCTCTCCTTGATTAGTTTCCATCCGTTGCTTCTTGTCCTGCCTTCAGGTGCTTTGAAAAATAGCTTGACTCCCTCTTCTTTGTGGCAGCCCCTGAGATACTGGAACACTGCTATCTTGTCCCCCCTCGTCCTTCTCTTCGTTAAACTAGACATACCCAATTCCAGCAGCCGTTCCTTATATGTTTTAGCCTCCGATCCCCTAATCATCTTTGTTGCTCTTCTCTGCACTCTTTCTAGAGTCTCAGCATCTTTTTTACATTGTGGTGATGTAAAAAACTATGTGACATGTATAATTATAGTTGAAAGTAGCCTTATGACTTAGTTTATTATACTTTTTTTCCAGCCACCAAGCCCAGACAACATGTTGGGACCATCCAAAGATGACTGAATTATACCAAACGCTAGGTAAGAAAATCCTTGCCTGACCACCACAATTGAGCCCAACATTTTGGTTGTGATGTGAAACATTGGTTAAGGAGTTTGGGCTCATTTTAATGACCTTTTTTGCCACCATTGTTAAGTTATTAACACGGATGTTAAGTGAAACTGGCTTCCCTCATTGACTTTACTTGTCAGAAGGTGGCAAACGGGGATCACATGACCCCGGGAACATTGCAACCAGCACAAGTACCAGTCAGTTGCCAAGTGTTTGAATTTTGATTACGTGATCATGGGAATTCTGCAATGGTTGTAAGTGTGAGAATTGGTCATAAGTCACTTTTTTTTGGTGCCTCTGTAACTTTAAACGGTTAATCGAGAACTGCCTGCCATACCGTGTCATGGACAGTGGGAACTGCCAGTCCATAAACTCTAGAACAATCTTTCCCTGCATGTCACCCCCAAATATATTATGGCTACAATTCCCAGGCAGTGTGCCTGCTGAGAAAACCCAGGAGTTGCTGTGTTTGGATGGTCCTAAGAAGGAGAAGACTGTTCTGAGGAGCCAAGGCTCTCCGATTGTCAAGGGAAATAACGTGAAATCGATTGCTTCCTTTCTTTCTCTCCTTTTTGTTTTCTCAGCTGACTTGAACAACATCAAGTACTCTGCTTACCGTACAGCCATGAAGCTACGGAGGGTGCAGAAGGCTTTGAGACGTAAGCCCCGCCATTCCTTTGGTGCTCCTTCTGCCCACTCGAGTTGTATTTGCCTCTGATCGAATTCAGATTGGTCTGCACCATGAGCTTAATATGAGTGTCCTTAAAGGAGGTGTGCGTGTGCCGACTTGCCTGCACATCCATCTCCTACTTGATAGCGTTGTGTGGATATTAGAGGTCCACGGGCTTCCATAATTCCAGTTTGAAAAAGGATGGGAAAGACCATGGAAGATGGAAATCTTTCTCACTGCAGACTGGAAGAGAGTTGTTGTTGTTGTTAATTGCGAAGTCGTGTCCGACCCATCGCAACCCCATGGACAACGTTCCTCCAGGTCTTCCTGTCCTCTACCATCTTCTGGAGTCCATTTAAGTTCACACCTACTGCTTCAGTGACTCCATCCAGCCATCTCATTCTCTGTCGTCCCTTTCTTCTCTTGCCCTCAATCTTTCCCAGAATTAGGCTCTTCTCCAGTGAGTCCTTCCTTCTCATTCGGTGGCCAAAGTACTTGAGTTTCAACTTCAGGGTCTGGCCTTCTAAAGAGCAGTTGGGGTTGACCTCCTCTAGGACTGACCGGTTTGAACGCCTTGCAATCCAGGGGACTCGCAGGAGTCTTCTCCAGCACCATAGTTCACAGGCCTCAATTTTTTGGCGCTCAGCCTTTCTTATGGTCCAACTTTCACAGCCATACATTGCAACTGGGAAAACCATGGCCTTGACTATACACACTTTTGTTGGCAGGGTGATGTCTCTACTTTTAAGTATGCTGTCTAGATTTGCCATAGCTTTCCTCCCCAGGAGCAAGCATCTTTTAATTTCTTGGCTGCAGTTCCCATCTGAGGTGATCTTGGAGCCCAGGAAGACAAAAACTGTCACTACCTCCATTTCTTCCCCATCTATTTGCCAAGAATTGAGAGGGCCGGATGCCATGATTTTGGTTTTCTTAATGTTGAGTTTCAGGATTGATGGACAAGGTTTTCTTGGTAGCTATTGTCCTAAAGGTGCTTTTCCAAAAGGCAACTGGACTTTCTTGGTTTTTTTTTCTTTGAAAACATTTCACTTTTCATCCAAGAAGCTTCTTCAGTTCTCCTTTTGCTTCTTCAGATGAGAAGCAAAAATGTTTTCAAAGAAAAGAAACTAAGAAAGTCCAGTTGCCTTTTGGAAAAGCAACTTTGGGACAACCATGACTGGGAGGATTGAGACTCTCCATAGCACCTGTAACTCCTCCTACTGGCTTTGGAGGCGGGGTTAGGAAAATTACTCCGGTTCGCCCCCTTTTTGTGGAAGGAGTGTTCTATCCCAGTTCAAACTCTGCCTGTTCTAAAGCAGCAAGATCTCCAAAGATCCAAATTATTTGTGTCTTGAAAGGGCTGGGAAATTATCTGCCCTTGAGAATATAGCCATAGCTAAACTTTCATGCACAAACAAGGACATCTCACAATAGGTTGCTTTTCTGGTGCTGACCCCCACTTAGCAGTATGTGGGCTGCTGAAGTGCTGTAGTCTTTCAGGAAATAAAAGATCGCAACAATCAGGCAGAAAATAACAATCCAGGCACCACCAAGGAGGAAATTACACCTCCAAAGCAAGATATTTTATATATAAACAGGCACCAAACTTCACACCCCCTCACACTGATGATGCCTCCTAGTAGGGTAATGAAATGACAGAAAACACCAGAACTTGGCAATTCAACCCTGTGAATTCTCTTCTGTTGGGATGTGTTGTGTCTGCTTTGTTCATTTGTCTCCCACGATAATCTCCTGGTTTTGACCCTCCTTTTTTTTTTTTCACCAGTGGACATGATGACCCTGGCAACAGCCTTGGAGCTGTTTAATGAGCATGAGCTGCAGCCCAGTGACCACGTGATGGACGTGGTGGAAGTGATCCATTGCTTGACCTCTTTGTATGAGCGGCTGGAGGAGGAAAGAGGCATTCTGGTCAACGTCCCTCTCTGTGTGGACATGAGCCTGAATTGGCTGCTCAATGTTTTTGACAGGTACTGGGGACAGACAGCCATAACAAAAGCTTGTTAAAACGTTTCTCTTTGGGACTTTTACTTGTGAGAAAAGCAGTCATTTCCTCCTTCATCCCTGGGGCATGAAGGAGATCATTATTGTAGGTCTGTATCAAAGCATTGTCACCTTTAAAAAGCTCCATAGCTTGGGACCAGGTTATCTGAGGGACCATCTCTTGCTGGTTACATCCACCCAACCCACTAGAGCAGGGAAGCAAGGCATGTTGCGAGTCCCACATCTAAGGAGTTACAACTGGTGGGACCCAGAAGAAGGGCCTTCTCTGTGGTGGCTCCCTCCTTTTGGAATATCACCTCTGCGGAAATTAGACTGGCCCCCAACTTGACATTCTTTCATAAGGCCCTGAAGACAGTTTTGCCGATATAGATTGGGGTTTTACTGCTTGTAAGCCAAACAAAGTCACTGCGAGGGAGTGGGCAGCGCTGTAGATTTTTCAAATACATAAATAAAATACATCAATCGTTTTGCACACTGTCCATAAAACAAACCATCCTCCATGCTTCTCCTTCCAAGACTGGAAGGAGTTCATCCAAGGGACGAGAATCTATGAGTTATATTAATGACATTTATTAGAGGAAAATTAAAGCCACAAGAATTCCAGCAGGTTCTCCGCCTTAAGATATGGGCTTTATGGCAGCAAAATTCTCACCCGTTCCAGCTGGGCTCTTTCAGGATCTGTTCATTGTTTGGGCTGTTGCTGTTTTCTTTTATCCGTGTGGGAAAACCGCAGTAAAATTCAGACTTGTAGGGGACATGGGAATTTGAACTGAACTGGAATTTGTTCGCTTCTCCTCTCTCGCCGCAGAGGGGAGGCTTAGAACTATGCATGGAAATTGCAAGGAAGCAGATGGCGACTAAATAAAAAGAAGCTTTGTGAAGGCTGAGCAGGGCTCCCCATTCTTCTGACAAGCTAGCAAAAGATGGAGCTTTTATCGTGGAACAGAAGACGAATGTTTCACCCCGCTCCTTTTCTTCCAGTGGGCGCAGCGGGAAGATGCGGGCCCTCTCCTTCAAGACGGGCATTGCTTGTCTCTGCGGCACGGAGGTGAAGGAGAAATTCCAGTGTGAGTCACTCTGCAGAAGCCGGCTGGTGGAATCCGAGGGGGAGGCTTCCAGATTTAGCAAAGAGAGAGTCAAGGGCAGCTGCATCCAAGAAACGGTCCTTGGTCTGGATGGCAGCCATATTTCATAGCTCTCCAGCGTGGAGGGTGCTCTTAATTTTGGCAGGGGAAGGAAGCTTCTGTACCAATGGGCAGCGCTATAGGGAACAAACCAGAATGGGCCGTCCTGCCAGAGGTAGATCTTCTCCCAATTCGGGGTCTTCTTCTGTTCCAAGGAAGAGAATTTCTTAGGGAATGCCCTGGAGTTTTAAAGAAGGCCATTGTTTTCTCCCCAGATGCTCCTTATTGAGGAGCATCTGAAGAGGAGTATCTTGAGGGTTGGGATGGCTCAGTGGTTAAAGATGGTGAACTTGTGAGCTGGAAAGCTGACGGCCCAAGTTAGAGCCCCGAGCTCCATGCAAAAGGGTGAGCTCCCACTACTTGCCTGAGCTCCTGACCATCTAGCAGTTTGAAAGCATGCAAATGTGGATAGATTAATAGCTACACTTCCAGCATTCCATGTGCCTTTGGCGTATAGCCATGGTGGCCACATGACCACAGAAAATGTCTTTGGGCAAATTCTGCCTACCTAGGCCAAGAAACCAAGATGAGCACCTGAGCACTAGAGTCAGACACACCTGGATAGGGAGATCTTTACTTTTACTCCTTATTAAAACCGAGCAGTAGAATAAATCAGATTTGGGAGACATTGTTGCCCAAATAAGATTGAATTGTCCATCTGGTTTCAAAATGGGTTAGGGGCATGTTTTTCACTGCTTGGGGGGGGGGCAGCAAACTAATTTAGAGCACAGGGATCAGAATGGCTGGTACCCACTGCCCTGTTTCTTAATATTTTGCCATCCCAGCCAGCGTGAGCCTGTCTAAGGCAGATGCCTCATGATCAAACCTCCCCTTGCTACATGCAAGATTTCCACGGCTATTTTCTTGCTATGAAAAGACCCCCTGAATCTAAAGCTTTGCAAAAGACTGCCAACATTTGTAGCTGTGCCAAAACTAGGCATGCTCACATATCGGCCGTTGTGTCTTTTTCCAAAGAATTGGAGCCTTCACAGAACTGAAATTTTTCCCCTCCGCATTTCAACAGTTCAGACATAGGTTTGGGTCAAGCTTATTTTCTTCCTATGAGACCAGGAAGATGGCATTGAGGAAGGCTGCAATTCCAGCCACTCTTCCTCTTCTCTCTCCTCCCTGTTCTCTGCGGCTCCTCCACGCCCTTCCTTCCTGCTTTCAGATCTCTTTAGCCAGGTGGCCAACTCCAGCGGGCTCTGTGACCAGAGGCATCTCGGCATCTTACTGCACGAAGCCATCCAAGTCCCACGACAGTTGGGGGAAGTGGCAGCATTTGGCGGGAGCAATGTGGAGCCCAGTGTGCGCAGCTGTTTCCGCTTTGTAAGTGAAGTTGGTGGGGCTTCTGCCAGGGGTACCTGTGGGAGGGGTTGAAAATATCAAAATGGCAGGTGCAAGGATGGATGGTTTTAAGCAAAGAACCTCTTGTGCATGCTAGATTTTATATATTACAAAGCCTTGGGAGTAGATCCACTACAGCTGCAGTAAACTGTTACATAGCCACAGAATCAGGGTACCTTCCTATTGCAATATTTCAGTTCCTTTCATGACTCATTATTTGCAGGTTGTAGCCAATACAGTTATGCTAAAGCGGAAATTTATTTGCTATTTAAACTGGAAATTTATTTGCTAGACTGAAACATTTCTCTGTAAAACTCTAAACAAAAAAACCTAAATACAGGGACTAGCAGGATATCTAATCCTACTCTCCAAAAGTTGTTTGAATCCAATTTGCTGTCATGTAACTTGTTAATTATCCAAATCCAATAATTTTAACCCCGTTCAATCATTCTCAAGCCCAAGGAATTGAATATAGTATCTCACAGATTCAGAGGAAATAAGATCTGCTACGAACTCTGCATAGGTGTCAGGAAGGGCATCCAGCCAGTAAACACTCACTTCTATCCGGTCGCCCCGATTCTAACCCGAATTAAGGGATTACAGGGTCATTAAAAAGGAGAGTTTTATATTGCAGATTCAGAGGGAAAAGGTGTACAGCCTTGAAAGTTGTGGGATCTGATTTTTCTCCTTTCCTTCTTCTAGGGAAATGGCAAAGCAGCCATTGAGGCAACTCAGTTCCTGGAATGGGCAAACTTAGAGCCACAGTCAATGGTGTGGCTGGCCGTCCTTCACCGAGTAGCCATTGCTGAGCAAGTAAAACACCAGACCAAGTGCTCCATCTGCCGGCAATGCCCTATCAAAGGTTTCAGGTATGGAAAAAAACACAAAGGGCCATTCAGCTGACAGGCTGGTGGGTAACAGCGAACAATTTTCCGGTTGCTCCAGATACCGCAGCCTCAAGCAGTTCAATGTGGACATCTGCCAGACATGTTTCCTGACGGGACGAGCCAGCAAAGGCAACAAGCTGCATTATCCTATCATGGAATACTACACGATGGTAAGAGAAGGAAGGCATTGTCTGCAAAGTACTGTGCGCAGCGCTGGGACGCTGCTTAAGCGATGCTCTGCTTAGCATCCTTATGGGGCCGGTTGTGCAGTCCTGCATAGGCCTGGGCATATCACAATTGGCTACGTATTACTGATCCTCCCCTTTTATTTATTGAAAAAAGAATAAGGATTGGGGAATCCAGTGACATATACTTCAGATGAGTGTGCAACCTAGATTTCGGGCAGGTTGACCTCAGCAAATTGAATATTGAAAAGTGTGTGTGTGGTGGGGGTGAGTCTCTCAAAATTGACCAATCAAATCAACCAATAGTTCATTTCTCAAGGGATGTTTTTAATCATGGTCCATGGGAATGACCTTAGCAGACGGGGGGAATTGCTGCAACCAAAGGCAACCGTTGGATAAGTAGCAACTTAGCCTACAGAAGGAACGAGAGCAAGGCAAACGTCACAGAAAGGACCCCCCTTAGTTTCCTGAGCTCTAAGGGCAAGGGGGGAGAGAGAGAGAGATATCTTCAGACTTGCAAGATTCAGTTAATGTAACCTTAGGATAAAGTAGAACAAGTACTTCCTGGTGTACTTCTTGCCTGGACTACCTTGCAAGGCGGATGCTATTAGACAGGCATCAGAATAGCTCAACAGCTTCTTGCTTTGCATGTCCTGATTATAACCTTCCAAAAGATCTGTCCTGCTCCTGTTGGAGTCAGTCACGTGCTCGACAGAAGGTGTCCCTGTCTCTTAATCCCTTCCTCCGCAGACCACTTCCAGCGAGAACATGAGGGATTTTGCCACCACCTTGAAAAACAAGTTCCGTTCCAAGCAGTACTTCAGCAAACATCCCCAGAGAGGATACCTGCCAGTCCAATCCGTGCTGGAGGCCGACGTCGTTGAAACGTGAGTGGAAAGTGGAGAGACAGCTGGAAATCCTATTGCCTTCCACTTCAGAGCTCCTCTGGGCAGCCAGATCTGAATTTAGGCATTTGGGGTCATTACTTCTCTTTTATAAAAGACTGGAAACCTTTTATGGGCTTTTTGCTGAAAATGGATAAGAACGAACTGGTGATTTCTGGATTGGCTGATTATTAAGGGGTGGATATGAGGGGGAAGGAAGCCCGTTATGTGTGTTCAATTCTTTTTTCATCATTTCTATTCTATATTGTTTTGTGTTTATCTTTCAACTCTGTTAAAACCTTTATTTAATAAAAATTATGTGTGTAAACAGGAACGTTGGGCACTGATTCTCAGAGACCCTTTCCTTGTCCAATTGAATGTAGCAGATGTTTTCACTGATGTCCTAATAGTTAGCTATTTAAAATTTTACCCTTCTTTCGGGTATTTTTTCCAGGCCAGCCTCTTCTCCGATGTTACCACATGCTGACACCCATTCTCGGATTGAGCACTTTGCTAGCAGGTGAGATTTGGAAGCTCTCAAAGAAGGAACCAGGAACGGGCCAGGAAAGTCTAAGGCAGTGTTTCTCAACCTTGACCATTTTAAGGCATGTGGACTTCAACTCCCAGAATTCCACAGCCAGCACCTTGCTGCCCAAGGCCAACCAGCTGATATCTCTCTCACCACCCAAATGAAAGCATCTTCCACCCAAGATTGGTCTTATTTTCCCCTGCTTCTCTTCCTAGTTCTAAAATATAGCAATGATAAATTGAAACCACCAATCCTCTTGGGTCAAATCATGTCGGATCCACCAGCTTTGGCTTGGCCCCTTGCCGGCATTCTGTCATCAATTGGGGAAGGGAGGGGGGAACAAATGGGCAATAAAGCTGTATGACTTTATGATGGGAAATTGGGAGGGGGGAAATGACAGTTGAGGAAGAACAGAGTGTTTTGGTTCTTACTGGCGCACTGGCGTCTTCAAGGCCGTTTTCTCTGAGTGTGGAATTTCACCAGCACAAACACCTCAGTGTTTCTCAAAATATCCTGGTGGTTCTAGATTGGCTATGCATGCATAGACCGCAGGGGGAGGGCTAGGGAAAACCAGGGTTTCAGTTCTGTATTGGTACGCAGGAATTTTAGGTTCCGCTTGACTCTCCTGCAATCAGCATCTTGTCTTTTCACTTTGAGAGTTTTACTTCCTTAAAGGATCAGATTGGGGCAGGTCTGACATATCATTTATATCTGAGGTCATTACCGCCCTCATCTGAATGAGAGGGCCTATCCCAAGGTCACATAGTAAGTGGAAGAAGTTCAAAAGATAGAGGAAGAAGAGGCAAACTCAGCTGGTCTACTCTAGGCTAGTAAAGTGATAAACAATGTTCTTTAATCAAATAATCAAACTTAACTCATCAAAAGTGATTCCGGGTGGCACACAACCACAATGTAAAAAACTGCAGGTATCAACTCTAAAAATCCATATTGATAAACATCACAAAAATTAAAGATACAAGCCTTAGATGACAAAGGGGGATAAGCCTTGTCCACTGACTCTGCTTTCTTCTCTTGTAGACTTGCAGAGATGGAAAGTCAGACTTCTTCTTTTTACAATGACAACCTTTCTCCAGATGATAGTCTGTGAGTTGCAACTTCTCACCTTTTTTCCCTTTTCATCTCTTATTTTGCGTATCCATTTTTTTTTTTTTTTTTTTGGCAACCTGGATCCTTCTCAGCCCACAAACCTAATCTAGCCCATTAAGCCAACTCATCTTGCAAAGATGGAAAATGGGGGAGCCAGAAGACCACTGGGCAGAGGAACATAATTCCTAGTTGTCTGGTTAGATTAATTTGGCTGGCCTAATGTGAGGTCTTGAATAAACTGTCCCTCTTCACTGGGTCTCTTTTGAGTTTGAGAAAATTTTAGGCTGAGCATCCTCTGGTGGGCCATTTCCTCTGCCAGGTGTCCAGTTGGTCATTGGGAGCATCAGATTGTGGTTTCCATTTTCCAAATTGGCCCAGGACAATGTATCCTGCTGGTGCCACTTCTTTCTGATACTGCTGATCAGCAGAGAAAATCCTTCAAAGAAACCTGGGGCAGATATGATCCTTCTGGGGTTGATAGACCCTGGCAAATACATGAGAATTCAGATGTTCCCCCTTGTTTTGTCTCATGGAAGCTTTGGTCCTTTAGCATCTCCATCTCTTCTCCATGGATTCACATTCTTCCTCACAACCCAGTTGCTCTTCTCTCCACTACCTCAACCTCATCATAGCTCTATTCACAACAGGGATGAAGATCAATATCTTTTGCGCCATTCCAGCCCTGTCACAGACGGAGAACCTATCTCCAGCCAACAGGCCCAGAATGGCACCAGGACAGATGATAAAGGAGAACTGGAAAGAATTTTGGCCCACCTGGAGGATGAAAACAGGTGAGCTGGTGTTGATAACTGAGTGATAACTGAGGTCTAGCAGATCTGGTCTTCCAAAAATCAGGGCAACTGCCAGATAGCCGTTATTTTATCTCTTCAATCCTTAATTCTTAGCAGCTAAGAATTGGTTTTCTGTATTTTTTGCTGTTACCTTCTGGTTAACTGACTTTTTCAAGACCAGATCTGGTAATCCAACCATCTGATAATGTAATCGCTGAAACGCAACATGGCAAACCTCACATGGGCTGCATTTCTAAATATACAGGGAGTAATAAGCCAAAAATAACTCCCATAATCCCCAGTAAATATTCCAGGCTGGAATTTTCTTTGAACTCAAATTAATCAGTGTGGGGGGGATCACATTAGGAAAGGTCATGTTAAGCCCCTGATCTGGTGGGTTGTTGTTGGTCCCTCAGCTGGATCTAGGGTTACCAGATCCAGATTGCAAGAGTTCAAACGCTAGATAGCAACAAAGAGATAGACAAAATGTTAATTGTGGGGTCCCGGGTGCTGTGCTCTCTGCACTTCGTTGTTTTCTTGAAGAGGTTTCATTACACAACTCAGTAACATCCCATCAGCGCACTGATGATGTTACCTAGTTGGGTAATCAAACGTCTGCAAGAAAGTAACCAAGCTCAGAGCGCATCAACAACCCCATCGTTCAATCCTGAGCTGCAAATATTATTCGGACAGCCATTTGTCCGAAATGGTGAAGGGTTTCCTGCCTGAGTAGGGGGTTGGACTAGATGACCTCCAAAGTCCCTTCCAACTTGACTACTACTACTACTACTACTATTACTACTATTATTATTATTATTATTATTATTATTATTATTATTATTATTATTATTATCTTCTATGAAAACCTTAATTCTCTGCTGCCGTCTAGCAATTGAGATCTGGTGGCTCTAATGGGTTCCTTTCCACAGGATCCTTCAGGGAGAGCTGAGACGTCTGAAGTGGAAGCACGAAGAGGCCGCTGAGTCTGCACAAGGAGCTCCGGAAACAGCACAGGATCCCCCTAGTGAGGAGCTTTTAGCCGAAGCCCGCATTCTTCGACAACACAAGAGCCGCCTCGAGACCCGGATGCAAATCCTGGAGGATCACAACAAGCAGTTAGAATCTCAGCTGCAGCGTCTGAGGGAGTTGCTTCTTCAGGTAACTGCACACCAATGTTTATTCTGAAGAAAGGAGTGGGTTTGTGGGTAGGAGGAATTGGAAAACAGCCAAATGCTCTGTTGTGAGTTACCCTGAAACTCATTTAGACCGACCTTGGAGCCGTATGAAGGCCTTCACTGAGACTGCAGCTTTATTGTCGTGGGCCAAAACTTTCCAGTCGTTGCTTATGTATTTTCAGGAAAGTAGAATCCACAACATCTCACTCAGCCTGGTCCACCATCTTATTGCTGAGAAGTTGGACTATTGTTTACCTGAATTATGCATTCCTCCATCTTTATCCATTAATAGATAGGATCAAGGCCCAATTCAACCTTCCCCCAGCCATTTTTCTGAATGCCGTGGCTGAGTATTTTAGCACTGAAGTCCATGCAGCTGGAGGGTGCCCGCTCTGAGCGAACCTCACCAACTTGTTCAGATATGCTGTTCCTATTTCCTCCAGCAAATCTGATATTTAACCCACAAGCAGGAAAAGAGAACGAAAGCACATTCCTTTCTTGGCCATCTTCATTTCTGCCTCCTCGTGCGTTAATCAGTCTGGATACGTTACCATAATCTGTATGTGCTATTTTTCTTTTATAGAATGTTTTCTTGTGATGAGATTCACGCACGCAGTTTGGCCACCCGAGGCTCACAGAGAGCGCTTAGCTTAATTTCAAAAGCTGCTGCCGGCCTTTGTTAATTTTCTTTGCCATCTCCCCAGCCACCAGCCAATTCCAAAGAAGAAGGCTCTGCCACGTCCACCGTGACTTCTTCTCCTCAACCATCTGAAGGGAGTCAGCCGAGGGAAAAAGATGCAAGCACGCCAAACACCGAAATGGCAGGTAGATTCTGTTACGCTGTGGAGCTTCTCCTTCTTCTCAGTAAAGCATTTTCTCCCAGTGTTCCTCACTTTGACACTTGGTGACCCACCAAAAATGGGGCTTTTTCGAGCACCTGTTGAAGTCCACACCTCTTCAAATTGCCAAACACTGACTCGGTGTTTAAAGCCACCCTTCTCAACTAGCGTCTCGGAAGAGAACAACAGCAAAGGGGGGGAAAAATGACATGATAAATTCACAAAAGTAAGTGCAAAACTTAAAATACACAGCAGCCAAGTAAAACAATAAAGGCAACTGTATTGAGGGAGGGAGGAGAGGGGTCTTTGCAATGCAAAGTGGGAGCAGGCTCACATATATTGCCCCAAGAGTCTTCGGCAGTTGGAGTAGCATGGGATGTTTCCAGGTCTCTGGTCTCTCCTGCAGAGTGGGCATGACCGCTTTTCTTGTCCTTTCTCACAGATGAAGTAGAGGCAAAGTCCCAGGATGTCAGCCTGTGCCTAGAAGATATCATGGAGAAATTGCGGAATGCTTTTCCCAATTCCAGAGGTAGAATGCAATGAACAGTCTCAAAGTAGTATGTGCAGGTGGAGGAACTTTCGATAACCCATATCCTCTCACTTGGCATCCATTGGAAGCCTGCCTCCCAACAGCAAGGGTGCATCATCTTAAAAAATAGATCATGCTGGCGGGGCCTGTGGAAAGAGATAAGTCAACTTTCACATGTAAATTTTATGTGGATGTTTTCGCCGGTCAGTTGTCCTAAGAAAGATTAGACTTCTGGCTGTAAATCCTGAGACACTTTGTTGGATGATATTGATTTAGAGCAGGAGTCTCCAAGCTTGGTATCTTTAAGACTCCGGGATTCAACTCCCAGAATTCCTCAGCTGGCTGAGAAATTCTGGGAGCTGAAGTCCACAAGTCTTAAAGTTGCCAAGGTTGGAGACCCGTGGTTTAGATGAACCTGGTTTACAATAGGCTGTTGGTTGGCTGATAATGTGATGAAAATCCATCAAGAGAAGGAGAATGGAAGAAGGTATCTTGAACAAAGAGCTTAGGCGTTGATTGGACTCTGAACAGAAGTATCTCATAGCTATATACCGCTCCATAGTGCTTTATAGCACTGTCTGAGATGTTTATAGAGTCAGCATATTGCCCCCAAAAATCTGGGTCCTCATTTTACCGACCTTGGAAGGATGGAAGACTGAGTCAACCTTGAGACGGTCAGGATCAAACTCCAGGCTGTGGACAGAGTTAGCCTGCAATCCTGCATTCTAACCACTGTGACCTCAGGGCTCCTTGGTGGGACCCCCTCCAGACCCTCACATGTCAAAGTTTTAGCTAGTGAAGAATAATTTATGGCTGGGGGTGAAAGATGTGCAAAATTGCTGGGTATGTCCCATTCCATTAGCAATGAACTTTTGGTTCCCTGCAGGAATCCAATGCAAGTAAACCAGACTTTATCCTTTAGATGTGCCCTAAGTTACAATCCTCTCTTTTCCTAACAGGACAAAGACCTAAACCCTTGGCCTTGTGGAAGAAGTCTCTCACGTTCTCCTAGAGACTTAGAATTGGCAGCTGCTGGTATAAGCCACCATCTTAGCATTTGCTTCTGGTTCATTGGCTTCTGATTGAGGCCTGCAATTCCCAGTCTCTAACTGTTTGCTAATTGCTTTGCCAGCTTGTTAATATTAAACCTGCTTTTGCTCATCAGTGATGTCAAACATCAAGATGTATCCGTCCTCCTGGTGAAGCTGCTTCACCCCTTCTAAAATCAAGCGCAGGGTGTAGATACGTCCATCCCCATAAGATGTGAAAAATCTTTAATCACGCTGAATGCCATCTTGTTGCAGACATTCCATGAAGTCCTGACAAAGGACATGACCCTCATTAAAATAAATCAGGTCTGTACAGATTTCAAAAATGTTTGGCCCCAAACATTTTGGGTCTCACGTCAACGTAGTATCTCTGCTCTTCATTAAACCAGCCAGCTCTTTTTTTTCAAGCTTCTGTGGGAGTTGAAAAATGCTGTGGCTGCTTGAAGAGACACAATCGGTTCCTAGAAGTTCAACATTGCTGCTTCCCAAGCTGTATTCTTAATGATAAACCAGCGGGCACCACCACGAACATTGTTGGATATGACTCTATTTTGTTTTCTCTTCCAGGTCCAACCTCCTTAATCTAACACCTCCTGAAGGCAACAGGCTTTATCTAACCAGTTCTTGCCAACTGCTATCCTCCTTCCTCTTCACTTCTATCTTTCCCTCATGTGGTGGGTTTCACTCGCATCCTCAATGGAGAGTTAATCAGGATCTGTGCAAGCCTGGACTCCCTGCAGACCTCTACTTAGAGACTTCAGGAGACTTCCCGGAAGAGTGATCTAGGATCAGCAAAACAAAGTCAAAACCCAGTGCCAGAAGAAGCCCAGGTTTAAGGAACTGGGAAGGGGCAAATGGAAAGCGAAGGGAGAAATCTTTCCCAGCAAAACACTGACAAAAAACAGTGGCCTGTTCTCTTTTATGGTCTGTGAATTGTTGCCGTTTGTGAGATCCCTTTGGAATTGAGGTGACCTGCTAAGGATCTCGCCTAAGCCGGTCAAGTAGTAGTTTAAGATAGCAGAGACTGAAACTGCTTTCATAAGAACTGATTGACAGATACTTTAAAAAAAAAAAGACAATTTAAGGACATGAAAAGAAAATTACGTTTAGAGATTAGGATATTGTGAAATGACCGCGTATTTCCATACCTAACACGCTCAGCGGAAACGATGGAACGAATCGGAAGAAATCTCACAGACTTAGAAGAGAAAGAATAGATTTTGGAAATATATCATTTTAGCCGCAGCAGCAGCAGCAGCAGCCGCCTTATGAGTGATAAGCTTTATAACAAAAAGCCTTATAGTTTTATTTGTGTGTGTATACACACAGAGAGAGAGAGAGAGAGAAATACAATGTTGTCTATATTGTATTTAAGTGTAGTTATGGACTCCATCATGCATTAAATTCTAATTCCTGGTTGTATGTTTGTTTTGCCTTGCCTCTTTCAGTCTTGTTTCAAACACTGAGGCTGATAAGTTTTGTTTTTAACAGGATGGAAGAAAAATCTTTGCTCTCTCCCCGTTTTTTGCTTTAGCAGGGTTTTCAAAAAAAAAAAAAAAAAGGCTAGCTTTGTCTTTTGGCACCGGATTGCTCTCCACTGGAAAGACTCTGGAGCAGGGAGATTTGGGGGCCTTCTTCCATCCCTCTGGTTGATCTACACATTGCAGCATGAAGCCCATGGGTCAAGGAGGTCAGACAAAATGCCTGGGGTGAGCTCTTGCCCTGCACCTTTAGTATGGAGTAGAGTTAAAGCGTAATTGATTGAAATGCTACTCAGAGTCTTGCACTACCAACAATAGAGAACATCAATAGCTCAGTTTTGTACTGCGGAGTCCTCAGTGCTCTCCAAGCTTGCTTGTTTGCTTACAGATGTCTCCTTACCCAACTTGATAACATCATCAGTGCTAGAAGGGAGTGGATTTTCTCCCTGTTTATATATATGCTAGAAGGGAATGGGGGTTTTCTCTCTGTTTATCTATAGTAGCTTGCCCTTCCAGTTTTGGTGGAATTGTGGTTTTTCCTTGGTAGTTTCTTTACTACGGTATTGTTTCCCTCTTGTTTGTCTGGTGGTAATCCCTGCTTATCTGGGTGTTGGTTGCTGGAGAGGACTGATTTTGTCTTTTTTGTTTCCTTCTTAGCTTTGTTATTGTCTCCTTTGAATGGTGTGTAAATATGCCTCCTCTCTATGTGTCCTGATGTTATCTAGCTGGGTAATGAAACATTTGCAATCAAACAGCCAAGCTCGGAGAGCACCAAGGACTCCAGAAATTCCAAACAGATTTTCTAGAAAGGAGCTCTTCAAAACAGGCAGTTTTGTCTTCTGGGAAACAATCCTTTGCATATTTTATTTCTGCCACAGAATATTGCTGTTGGCCAGAAGGACCGAGAAGATGTGAGCAAGAAAACATAAGCACAGGCTGGATAAATTATGTATGCTTATCACTGCTGGAGTGTAAGTTTAAGCCAACGTGCTTCTTATTAGAATCATTCAAGATATTTTTTTTTAATTTCCACTGATTTATAATAAATATACATTGTTGTGTAAGAACAGAAGGTGGGAAAATTATTCCAAATTTCTCCAACTGAGAGGGGATAGGTGATACAGATTCCATTGTGTCTATGGGATAAAGAGAACAAAATGGACAAAACAAATAGGAAAAACAAGTATGGCCCAGATAAGTCTTCTCCCATGTATTAGTTTGGCTGGGTGAGAATAGCAGGCACCCACATCATTCACGTGCATTCAGCATCCATTTTGTCACAGGACTGACACGTGTGCCAGTCAGGAGCAGCATCTATGGAGATTCTCAGTCATCCAGCATATGGTTGTCCCAAAGGAGTTTTTGCAAAAGGCAACTGGACTTCCTATGTTTTTCTTGAAGATGTTTCACTTCTCATCCAAGAAGCTTCTTCAGTTCTGTACCAATGGTATACCCATGATGGATGTTGGAATATCTAGTCAGTAGTAGTATTTACAACCCTGAATTAAAGCCATCAGTATGGGTTGGTTGGAGACTGTGAACTCTGATTTGTTCTAAAGCAAACATCCCTTGTAGAGCTTGGGTTTTAGTCAAGTATGTTGGATGGTTTGTGTAGTGTCGAATTTAATGCGCAGTGATTGGAACAAGATCTCTGTATATGGCATTTACCTTTGCAGAGCATGGGCTGAAGAGCCGATAAAGGAGAATATCGGTAGCTCAGGGTTGAAATGAGTTCTTGCTGCTCTTTGAGCTTCATTGTTTTCTTGCAGATGTTTTATTACCCACTGGGTAACATCATCGGTGAACAGATCATCCGTTCACTGATGAAGTTACCTACTTGGGTAATGAAACATCTGCAAGAAAACAAACTACGAGAGCACCAAAGGCTGAAGAACATCTCTGTTCAAAAGAAAGGTGCGCTTTTTGAGGCCTCTCTTAGACAGTTGCCCTGTTTCGGTGCACTTGTATGTTACAGTTGTTGCTTTAGCAGTAGAAGGTACACTGGGTTTTTACTTTTCAGTGGATGATGCCAAGAATGGTTCTTCATTGTAACATTGTGAATTGTCAGGAAGTCTACAGAGGTTGAAAGTAGGGTAAGCCGAGAAGAATATTGCAGCATGTCAGGTTATTTTATAAAGTGGAGGAGAGACTGCGGCATTTTGAATATTTGGGTAGGTTCCATGCAGTAAATATTTAAAGACTGTCTGGGATGGTTGCTGGCTATAGAAGGAGGCAAACTCTGGAGTTGCTGCTTGGATTTGCAGATGCTCTGCGGGAAGCCAGGTTGAATGGGAGCTCCAACAACCAATGTTAAATCAGCCTCTTGGAATTAATGGTTGCGTTCGGCTGCAATTCTCGCTATTCTACTCCTACAGCTGTACAGCCCTTTCTACTTTTTGCATTTCAAAAAAAAAATTTTTTCTCCAGGAAAACCTGGGGAACGCAATTTTACGACAGTGATTTGTTTTCCTGGTATTCGTTTCATACCGATCTAGTAGAGTTTCAGCTTGATATGTTTGAAACATTCCCTCTGGATGCTTCTTGGAGTTACTAGGATTAGGAACCAGAAGTTGACTTGCAATACCCTGTCAGTGTTGGTGAGAGTGTTGCTGGTTGACCCCAAGATTAATACTAGACCAACAATCAAGCAATAAGCAATACCTCAGTCAAGGAGCTACCAATTCAGTCAAATAGTCAACAGTCTAATCAAATAACCACCAAGAGCACTCTCGCCAACACTGATAGGGCAAGCCACTAGAATATAAATTGAGAGCAAACCCCAATCCCTTCTAGCACTGATGTTACCTAGTTGGGTAATTAAATGTCTGCAAGAAAACAAACCAGTTCACAGAGAACCAAGGACGCAACATGAAAGGATGTAATAGCTGGGATTGCCCTTTCAATGTGTAAATAGACCTAATCCTTTCTATGGCATGTGGTCATTGCCAGCACCGGTTCTCTGGAGGTGCAGCATCCTACTGCCAAAGAGATGGCCAGCAAGTTCTTCTCCTTTGATCTCCCAGGACATCTTTTGTGGTCCATCCACAGAAGAGGAGCAGCCAAGAATAAACTCAGAATTTAGATTGTTTGATGATGGAATGAGGGGAGGACTCTCTTGAGTTAAAGCAAGTGAATGGAGGGAAAGGAGGGTTTCTTTCTCTAAAGATCAGGAGCTAATCTTGACAGATTATAATGTCTTCACTCGAGTCTTCTCCATTTCTTCTGTTCTGGAAAACGATGACAATAAATTTGTATTTCTGTTGAATTTCCGTTGCTTGGTTTGGTCTCTGATTATGTTGGGATTATTGCTTGCCTTAGAAAATAGTGCCAAGCTCTGGGTTGCATCTTCTGTTCATAACTTGAAAATGAATTACAGGTAGTCCTCGACTTACAACAGTTCATTTAGTGACCAAAATTATAACAGCACTGAAAAAAGTGACGTAGGGCCGTTTTTCACACTTACAACCGTTGCAGCATCCCCATGAACACCTGATCAAAATTCAGGAGCTTGGCAACTGACTCACATTTATGACCGTTGCGGTGTCCTGGGTCATGTGATCCCCTTTTGCAAGCAAAGTCACTGGGGAAGCCAGAGTCATTTAACAACTGTGTTATTAATTTAACAACTGCAATGATTCACTTAACAACTGTGGCAAGAAAGGTTGTAAAATGAGGCAAATTCACTTAACAAATGTCTCACTGAGCAAGCTCCATTGTGGTCGTAAGTTAAGGACTACCTATATTCAGTGTTAAACAGATCTGGGGACACCAAATCTCCATCTTTCTCTTCCCATAACATCCAAAAAGGAAGTTTCTTCCACTTTACATTTATAAAATTTTACAAGAGGCTTCGAGGCTTAAGAGTCAGTGAATTATTCCCCTACTGACTGTGGCTTGAACACTTTAATTTATTTTTTCTCAGGCAGGTGGCAGAATTCAAACATCCAGATATTATTGCATTTTAAAGCAAAGGGATACCTCTACGAGTTATTATTGGTGGGCAGAACATGAAATAAATTGAACGCTGTCCAAATAATTCATTTAATCTGATGAAAATGTGATTAAACCAATCTAGTTTTTTTACCCTAGCCTGCACTTACTATTTTGGATAATACAGCGCTCAAAGGTCAGAGTAGCCCCACCGAGTCCAACATACATTACGCACTTTTATTGTAAAGCTTGTTGGGTTTTAGCAATCGCAATTTCATCTTTACTAATGGAAAACAACACCACCAGATTTACGACGTTAAAGGTCACTCAATATTTAATTTCACAAAAACACTGCCAGACCAAGGAAGGCCAGCAAGGGGTCATGGTATGTTCTCTTGGGTTTAGAGGCAATGAAATAGAGAAGAAAGATCTTCTAAGTGACTTGTTGGGATTGTGAGATCTTAGAATTGGGATATCTGTTCTCAGGAAGTCGAGTTGGCTCCTTCAGCAAAGGAGATGAGATCTTCATGTTGGCCCTCTTTCCAAAGATAAGCTGGTTAACTGGCTCTCTCATACTGTCACTTTCAGACTATTTTCCTTCTTGGAAACCAGTTTCCTCCTGCATCAAGACAGTCTGACCTGGGATAGAACCATCCTTTTGAACTGCCGTTTCCAACCCAGCCATCTCTCCTGAATAAACACTTGTCTTTCATCTTCTGTGCAGTACATGGAAATGATGCATTCCTGACATCTGAAACCATCCCCAAAGACGTTCTTCTCCTCAGATTTGTTCAGTTCCTTCTCTTTTTTCAGGATCTTCCCATGTGACTTGCAAACCCACCTGCTCCGTGTCAGACGTTGTTCCTCGTGGCCCTATCTTTGAATTTGTAGCTTCAGTGCTGGGCATTAACTCGGCCTCAAAATATTCCAGTCCTAACTCATCCCATTCAACCTTTTCCCGTGTTGTAGAGTTGCCCACCATGTTGGTTCCTTCCTTGTCACATCCAGCTTTTTCTTCATGGTTATCTCTCACTTCCCTGTTAGTCTCTACGCTTGCACCATAAGTGATGACTACTTTCCCACTATCTTCAATGGATGGCACTCTGACTTCATACCAGTTTGCTTCAGGTCTACATAACTTCTTTTCTGGCTTGGAATGGTCATCAATCTCCCCTTTTTCCTCCCTCAAAGCTACTTCTTCCACCAAACTGAAACAATCTGACTCTTCTTTTCCTCTTTGGGACTTTTCTTGTTGGACTTGAGAACAATCCTCCTCTTCAAAACACTTGACTCTCGTACCTTCCTTGACATGTTCTGATCCAACATCTACGTTGGCCTGTTTCCAGTGATGATTGTGGGCTTCAGTTTCTCTGCTCTCACAGCTTCCTTCATATTCTCCCTTTTCAGTGAACATATCCAGCCCAATCTTCACTTCAGTCTCACAGTGTCCTTCTCTGGATCCTTCTTCTATGACATTCATGGGCTTTACTGCCATCCCATCAGAGTTACTAAGGATAGCTCTGAGGTCTTGCTTTCCTGTCAGTATTGTCGAATCTATTTCTCCATTTTTATCCCAGACCTCAGAAGTCATCTCTGCAGCTTCAACCTCTACTTCTGCCTCCTGTAACCCTGGGCCTAATTGTTGTTCATCCTCAGAACCTTCTACCATGCAGTTTCCAGAATTGGGAAATAATTGTCTTTCCTCCTGATCATCTTGTGTTTCTCTTTGTTTTGCAGTTGCTGTTTCCTCCATTTTTTTCTGAGGGACCAAGTCCTCTTTCTTTTGTTCTTCAGCCTTTACCCAGAACCCTTTCTCTTCTTCAACTACCTTTCCCTCATTTGTTCCACTGTTTTTCGCCCCAAATTCTCTCTCCTGCTTCGTAGCTTCTGGGTTGTTTTGCTTCTTTTCTGCTGCGAGGCCATAGCCAGCCTGCTCTTCTTGCTCCACCGAAGTTTCTTCAGATCCCTCACTTGCCCCTTTTAAGACAGGCTGCTGGAACAGATCTCGGTATCTCTTGCGATCCTCCACATGTTTCGATCTCATCCTCTCTCCCAGGATCTTTAATTCTTTCCTCACTGCGGCCGCCAGCGAGGGATCCAGCTGGGCCGCTTTCAAGAAATCTGCTCGGGCTTCCTTCTCGTTCCAAACAGCAGCGTGAGCTTTTGCCCGCTTGAAATATGCCTTCACATTTCCTAGGAAAGAACAAAGATGGTTTAAATGTTCCTAAGCAAGTCTTGTAAAATGTGATCATTCACAACCACTTTTCCAAGGTCATCCTTTATGTTCAAGGACCATGGTTACTGAGATGAGAACACCACAGAAATTAGTCTATTCTGTCATACAGACAACATAATCTTATGGAAATATGGCCTCTATCACAAACTATAATGGGGACAAAAGGAATAACTTGAGGAACAGGAGGAAGAGCCGTAACCAAGACAACAGTCCAATAAAAGAAATCTGAGTCCATGGTAGAAATGTAATTTGAGAAAACAGAATAGAATAGAGTAGAGCAGAGCAGAGCAGAATAGGATTGGATTGGAATGGAATGGAATAGAGTAGAGTAGAGTAGAGTAGAGTAGAGTAGAGTAGGATTGGAATGGAATGGAATAGAATGGAATGGAATGGAATAGAATAGAATAGAATAGAATAGAATAGAATAGAATAGAATAGAATAGAATAGAATAGAATATGATTGGAATGGAATGGAATGGAATGGAATAGAATAGAATAGAATAGAATAGAATAGAATAGAATAGAATAGAATAGAATAGAATAGAATAGAATAGAATAGAATAGAATAGTTGGAAGGGACCCTCATAAATGATGGTTTACAACCACAATGTCTAAGTTCATTAAGACAAAACCAGTCAAAGCAGAGCAAAGCGACTGCCATACCGCTGTGCTTCTGGAGGATTTCTGTGGTGTGTTCCAACACTTCGTAGTATTCCCCCAGCTCTAGCAGGCACTGGCAATAATTCAAGACAAGAGGAGTGATGAGGTTCTCTAGCTTCAGCCATTCCTCCTCCCATGGCTTCTCCTGTTAAAAGGAAAGAAGGAAATGGTAACTATGAAAACCATGGCCTTGACTATACACACTTTTGTTGGCCTGGTGATCTTATCTCCCTCCATCTCTCACCTTAACCTGAAGATTGCGCAAACAGATGACAGCTTCCTGATATTTCTCTGCTGCTTCCTTGAATTTCCTGCACAAGACCAGCCGGTTGCCCTCAGTGTGTAATTTTGGCACAGCAGCCAGCTTCTCATCATTATTCATAGCCCATGTGTCTCTTCTGTAGGAAGAAGGGTCCTCCACCTTGAGAAATCAGGGAAACAATGGATGGTTATAAATCCTGATTATCCAATTTACAACCCATCATATTCTTCACTACCTGTCAGCACAAGTTACTTATGTAACAGCAAACCAGTCCATTCTGGAATGTAAATCACCAGGGAAGCTACTTAAAAATCAAGGTAAGGATGTAAGAAGAGATGCTGTGGAATCCAGCATAGAGAAAACCTTCTAGAGATTATAATCTAAGAAGGTCCACCCGTCTTAAGGTTGCCAAGGTTGAAAAAAAAACTAGTCGGAAGAGCTCAAAACACCTTTCTGAGGTGAACTCACTTTGAATAGCTCCATGATGAAGATGAGGGGCTGAGGTGTCTTCTGTAGTTCATCCAGGTCTTCGTAGCCTGTGCTGTGATAGTCAAACATGTTGCCCATTCCACATTGGTGATTCTGTCCGTGAAGGGGCTCTTTGCCCGCAGCAATTTGCCTCAAGCCTTTGGAGACCAAGGCATACATTCCTGTGTGCTGGAAACATAAAAGGGTGGAAAGATGGGGATCCATAAAAATGCTCACAGATACTGGAGCAGCAAAGATACAATAAAGCAGGAGGAACAGAAAAACAGGTAGCGGAAAAAGGAAACTTTTACGCAGAGCTTAAGTGTTGAAAGAAAGCAGGTGCAACATCTAGAGGACCGTGGGTTCACCAACCCCTTTCCTTCAACCACACCACCTCCAACAATACTTAGATAACCAAGGAACCCTTGCCTATATTCATTCTTATTCTGAAGATCACCATCTAAGGATCAGATGTTATTATTTATATTATACATGTATTACAAGCTATAGCAATTGTATTCAGGCTCTCGGTGGATCACAGCATAAAAAGCCATAATAATTACAATGAATGATGTCAGAACCAACCCTCAAAAATGGACAATACATCAGGCACAATAATACGCCTTGAGTCTCCAGATATTTCACCTAATTTTCAGAAACGTGCTCCTAGGACAGGGGTGGGGAACCTTGGCTCTTTTATGACTTGCGGATTTCAACTCCCAGAATTTCTGAGCCAGATTTTATGACTTGCGGACTTCAACTCCCAGAATTCCTGAGCCAGCTAGGGAGTTGGAGTCTGCAAGTCATAAAAGAGCCAAGGTTCCCCACCCCTGTCATAGGAGAAGCTTTATAGATACGGCATGACTACAGAAGATGTTTATTGCAGAGAAGAAAGAGTCATTTATGCAGAACATAGAAACTGAGTTGTATATGTATGCCAGCTCCAGGGTTTCATCCCCAGATAAGATTCATGCTGGATCAGACCAGCATAGCTGACCAGGGTCAATCAAATGCCTCCAAGAGATCCGTGAGCAGGACATAAACCAGCTATGGCTGTCGTTATTCTCTGCCACAAGCAGTCTGAAGATACGACCGATCAGCCCATGTGCTAACAGAGAGGCAGCACTGCCCATTCAAACATAATCTTTCTCCTGCTTGAGCAGGGGGCTGGACTAGAAGACCTCCAAGGTCCCTTTCAGCTCTATTCTATTCTATTCTATTCTATTCTTATTCTTATTCTATTCTATTATTTCTTAGTAACACTCACTACAGCATCACACCAGAACTCCGCCACCTCGTTGATCCGCATGGAGGTCAGTAACGTCTCCCACACTTCGATTTTGAACATCTTCCCCACAATGATCTCCATGGGAACCCCACTACTCCGGCTGTCATCAATCACTGTCCGCTCAAAATCATCTTTCAGGGTCTGGAAGTGGAAGGTGATCTACATTGAAGGAAGGTTACAGTTAATCCTGATTAGGGACTTGCCTGCCTAAATATAGATCTTTATCCCCAAGGTTTAGCAAATGTTTGTTTCTAGATGGGATCCCGATTGTATATTCCTCTTCTTTCTCCAGCAATGAGTGGATGGCATCATCCCATAAATACAGCCTGAGAGATGCAATAGTCTTAATCTATCCTGAGAAAACATGTGTGTTTGTGTGTGTCATTTTTTTAGATTGAGAGTTCTGCATTGTTCTGCAGTTTAGGAGTCACAGCTTTGAGTTCTCCTACCGCCCCTAAGATGAGACAAGAGAACTTGGAATTGACGCCTGTCTGTCTGTCCATCTGTCTATCCATCCATCTAGCTAGCTCTCTCTCTCTACACAAACACTTTCTTAAAATAATTTTTATAAAATTAAAAACTAAACACAAAGAAATATAAAAGAAACAAGGAAAAAGATATAGAAGAAAAATGGGAAAGACAGAAAGATTAAAGAAAAAGTTAATAGATAGATAGATAGGTAGATAGATAGATAGATAGATAGATAGATAGATAGAGAAAAAAAAGTAAAGAATATTTCCAGACAGGAATTCCACTGCAAACTGTGCATTCTGAACGAATGGGATCTGCTCTCCAAAAATAGCCCTTTGGCTATTATGGCTAATATACAATTCCTGTCTTAAACTCAAACCTGCTAGTTAGTGCATTTACCTTGCTCCCATCCTGAAAGTGAGGCAGTTCCCCGTAACCTCCATGCAAAATCTTTTTCTTGACTCCTTCCACATTAAGGAGGTAGGTTTCTTCCATTGCTCTGACGTGGCGATTCTAGCGTTCCCTTTTCCTTCAAATCTGGCCGAAGGCAATTCTTCTCTTTACAACAAGCCTCTTCAACCTAACTCATTTCCATTTATTTAGACCTACATGCCGCAACAGAGGTCCAAACAGTTGCAACCGACTCTGGATAACTATCTAGAGCTCCTTACAGCGCAAAGAAACCCTTTTCAGAGGCTGAGAACATCTTTTCAAGGGCTCGGTAGAATATTAATCCTCCCTAATCTTCTTTCAGCCAGGTCAATGCAGGATTTGCCGTCTTAAAAATTTTAAAATTAGATCAGGCTAAACAAAGGGTGCCAATAGCTTTCTGAATGAGACTAGCCAATTCCTACAAGGGCTGCAGATCTATGAAGATCTGACTCTTCCCTTAAGCCTTGGGATAGGATGGGGAAGTTGAGCTGGAAGGCTCTTTGGTCTGGTGCCTCTGTGTGTGTGTGTGTGTGTGTGTGTGTGTGTGTGTGTGTGTGTGTGTATGTGTGTGTGTGTGAGAGAGAGACAGACAGACAGAGACAGAGAGACAAGAGACGTACCTTTGTTTCCATGTTTTATGGACTGTTATTAACCATCTAGTATCATTGTATGAGATTGGCAGCCATATAAGCCCCCTAAATTAGAGGTCCCCAACCCCTGGTCCATGGACCGGCACTGGTCTATGGCATGGCAGAAACTGGTCCACATAAACAAGCAAAGCCCCATCTGCAGGATGCAGGCAGCACACGAAACCACGTCCCTACCGGTTCGCACAAAAATCTCTCCATGGAACCGGTCCCCAATGCCCAAAAGGTTGGGGGCCACTGCTCTAAATAAAGTTCTGAGTGAGGAACTCAGATCTGGGAGGTGTTACTCCAGGCTGTAGGCAAAGCTTACGTTAACTGTACAGGTAATCCTCAATTTATGACCGTAATGGAGCCCAAAATTTCTGTTACCAAGTGAGACGTTTGTTAAGTGGGTTTTGACCCATTTTATGACCGTTCTTGCCACAGCTCTTAAATAAATAAGTTCTTAAGTTAATAACATGGTTGTGAAGCAAATCTGACTTCCCCGTTGACTTTGCTTGCAGGAAGGCCGCAAAAAGTCGGGACAGTGTAACCGACATAAATATGAATCAGTTGCCAAACAGCTGAATTTTGATCACACGGCCATTGGGATGCTCCACATCGTAAGTTTGAAAAATGGTCTAAGTCATTTTTTTCAGCGCCTTGTAACTTTGAATGGTCACTAAATGAACTGTTGTAAGTTGAGGACTACTTGTATATTACTGTATAGAAGGATATTTCTATTAAGCAGGGCAAAAATTTTCCTCTCTAAACGATGGATATCTTGAACAGACTAATTCTAATCCTAATTTTTCCTCCTTTCTCACTGTACTTTTGGACTATTTTCATATTTTTATTATTCCGTACTTTGCATCTATGTAAGTCTAAACTTTGTTATGTTCCAGTTCTTATGAGATCAAATCCATTTTCAAGAGATGCCCTAACATGAAGACTCTAGTTTAACACAAACTGAATTTTTGGAGATAAAAATGCCTTGTTTTTTTCCCCCCGACATCTGGGAAAACATCTCTTCTAAGGCATGCTGGCTGGGGAATTGTGGGAGTTGAAATCTATACAGCTTCAAGTTGTCAAGGTAAATTTTTACCACTATCAATTTTTGAAGCTGGAATTGTTTTCCGAGAATGATTGCTAGATAGTAGGCAGCTGTAGCCAATTTAATAATAATAATAATAATAATAATAGTAGTAGTAGTAGTAGTAGTAATAATAATAAAGTTGGAAGGGACCTTGGAGGTCATCTAGTCCAACCCCTGCTCAGGCAGGAAATTCTATACCATTTCAGACAAATGGCTGTCCAGTCTCTTCTTAAAAACTTCCAGTGTTGGAGCATTCACCACTTCTGGAGGCAGGTTGTTCCACTGGTTAATTGTTCTGTCAGGAAGTTTCTCCTTAGTTCTAGGTTGCTTCTCTCCTTAATTAGTTTCCATCCGTTGCTTCTTGTCCTGCCTTCAGGCACTTTGGAGAATAGCTTGACTCCCTCTCTCTACTTGAAGAGCAACAGATAACCTGGGAAATATAGTTGTGATAACATATATACAGAAAACTTTATTTTTATTTCACAATGCCCTTGAACCCAAAATTTTGAATGTGTAAAAGTAATGTAAAAGAAGCAAGCTGTTGTCTTTTTTCGCACAATTAGTATTTATAGATAATGCAGAGCAGAGCAGAGCGTTGTCCTCATTCATTCCAGGAAGAATTCATTTCATGCTTCTTAAAAGAACAACCCAAAAGTGCAACACTGGCTCATCAGAAAACAAAAAAGAGGCAGAACTGAAAAAAAAGAACCAAAGATTGTCCTGAAGCGGATTTTGCTTTCAGGAGCAATCACCGTTTTTGTGTGGCCACCTTCTAGAAAATCCCACTCTTCGCAAAGTATTGACGTTTTCTGCCTGTTTTCCACAGGGTATTTGTAAGCCACAACTCCCGGAGCCTGGCTAGATGTTTATCTAGACCAGGGGTCTTCAAACTTGGCCCTTTTATGACTTGTGGACTTCAACTCCCAGAATTCCTCAGCCAGGCATGCTGGCTGGGGAATTCTGGGAGTAGAAGCCCACAAGTCATAAAAGGGCCAAGTTTGAAGACCCCCGCTTTAGGCGGTGTTTCTCAACCTTGGCCACTTTGAGATACGGAGACTTAAAGTTCCAGAATTCCCTAGCCAACATACTATGCTGGCTGGGGAATTCTGGGAGTTGAAGCCCACAAGTCATAGAAGGGCCAAGTTTGAAGACCCCTGATCTAGACTTTTGAGAGGAACTTGCCATAGGCTCAAAGGTTATGATGAGTCTGGGCAGAAGAAGGTGCGGGCCACAGCACCACAATGGAGCTTCTCAGTCAACATCAGAGCTGTTCTTGGAAGTTCAGAGGTTCACTTTTCCATCAGAGCTTCTAGCTGCTCTTGAAGAGATGCCAGCTGCAGAGCAAGAAAGAAAGAAAAAAAATGCTCTATTAAAGAATGAAATCTACCATCAGTCCCACTTTTCTCCTTCAAGTCACGATCCAAGGATCTTTCTACTGGTTCCCCTGACCCCTTTCTATCTCTAGGAAGACAGTCTTTTTACTATTATTCCCAACCCGCTCGATAATCCTTTCCTCCCACTGTATAAAGAGTGTTCTCGCTAGGTCCATGGTTTCATCACAAGTGGGCTTGAGTGGGAGAATGCAAATGGGAAGCTTTTTTTGTGCAGAGATGTTGGGAAGGTAGCAATGAAAAAGAAGGGAAACGTCAAGGCATTCTCCTCAAGTCACGACCCTCGTTTGATTTCCTCAGGGTTGTGTAGACCAGGGGTCTTCAAACTTGGCCCTTTTATGACTTGTGGACTTCAACTCCCAGAATTCCTCAGCCAGCATGCCTGGCTGAGGAATCCTGGGAGCTGAAGTCCACAAGTCATAAAGGGGCCAAGTTTGAAGACCCCTGGTGTAGACAATGCCAACAGTTTCCTCATGGATTTCTCAGCCATCGTCAGAACCAGTCTGAGTTGCTAAAAAAAATTTTTTTAAAAAAAAAACAGCAAACCAGAAGCAATTGCATCCAGCTTTGTCTAATTCACAAGACAGTGAGTTTTAAAATTTTAATTTTAAAAAAAATCTATTCTAAGAGGTTATAGATATCACGAAAATGACCCCATGAATCCCAGCCAGCTCAGCCAAGCGAGATTCATTTGCAACTATGAAGCTGCTCTGATGGGTTGCCACTTATATATGCGAAAAAGGATGAAAGTTGCAAAAAAGGATGAAAGTCGCAACCAATTCCGATCTATCAATTTACAAGTCAAATGCTCGGTAATCACTTAACGCCCCCTGTAAATATTTTCCAGGGTTAGAATGTTACACTTCTGTGTATTGCATCCCCAATAAAATTGCTGCTCCAAAACTTGCCTGTTTCTTCATCTTTCTTTTTTTTTTAAAATATATTTTATTGGTTTTTTAACATAAACACCTTAATATTTTGTAAACAGCGTGTTGTCTAGGTTTATATTTACAAAGTAATCATTAACAGTTAGTTTCTCTATTCCAAAATCCACATAATAGCTTTGCTTGATTTTCTCTTCTTCCAATAATATTCTCTTTGCAACCTTATTAATTTGATAGGTAACAATTAAATATAAAGATTTTTTTAAAATTTCTACCAAAATAATCACATCGATTTCATGCTTCTTTTCTTGGTCATCTTGGTTGCCTCGTCTTAAATCCTGTTTACAGTTCTTGTTTAAATTTATTTTCCCTACAGTGTTTCTTCGCCTTTCTTTCCATGTGGCTTTTGTCAAAATGGCAGAAATCTTACCTGCTGTTTCTCTCGCTCTTCTTGCTGTTTGAACTCGTCCAGGACAGCTTGGAGGCGCGTCTGGAAATTAGACCGGCAGAAAATGGTTACCTGTTGCTGCAAGAATTCTATACTAAAATGCTTTCAAAGGAAGTTGGGTGTACCTCAGTCTGCCCCAACCCTGAGGAAGGATCTACAAACTCAGTCTAGAGATGCCACACGCTACAAAGCAGAGTTAAATGGCCTCAAACAGAAATGAAAATAGTAGTGCTAAATTTCTGAGTGCCAAAGAATTGAGGTCTTTGAACTATGGTGCTGGAGAAGACTCCTGCGAGTCGCCTGGACTGCAAGGCGATCCAACCGGTCAGTCCTTGAAGAGATCAACCCCGACTGCTCTTTAGAAGGCCAGATCCTGAAGTTGAAACTCAAGTCCTTTGGCCACTGAATGAGAAGGAAGGACTCACTGGAGAAGAGCCTAATGCTGGGAAAGATGGAGGGCAAGAGAAGAAGGGACGACAGAGAATGAGGTGGCTGGATGGAGTCCCTGAAGCAGTAGGCGTGAGCTTAAAGGGACTCCAGAAGATGGTAGAGGACAGGAAGGCCTGGAAAAACGTTGTCCATGGGGTCGCGATGGGTCGGACACGACTTCGCAACTAACAACAACAAAACATGAAATCTTTTTCTTTTACCTGGAAAAGCCAAGATTTGGACCTAAGACTTTCAGTCAAACATGTGCTTTACTAGTTTGCTATTATATATCCTGCAGAAAGAGTTTTATTTTCTTAAGAAGGTGCCTTCCGGCAGAGAGAGATCCCATGAGCTGCTGAAGTTAAGCTACCGCCACTAGAACTTCAGAGACACAGGTTCAAATCCAGCATTGATCACGGAAACTATTCGGGTGACTTAGGATCAGTCATTCTCCTGGGGGGGGGTGATATGGGCTTCAAACAGAAAGAGGAGTCGAGGCATGCAGACCTGAATTTCTGGGGGAATCTAAATTATTCTTTCCAATTTCAGGCAAAATAAGCCAGTCTCCACTTAGAGCAGAAACAGAGGCCACTTTGGTCTAGGCCAGCGATGGCGAACCTTTTAGAGACCGAGTGTCCAAACTGCAACCCAAAATCCACTTATGCATCGTCGAGTGCCGGGTGGGTGTGGCCCATTGGATGGGTGTGGCCAATTGGATGGGCGTGGCCAATTGGGTGGGCGTAGCTGTGGTGGTAATGGCATACTGGGTGGGACTAAAATGGTCAATCAATCAATTCCAACTTTGCATGATCTTTTTTTCCCCGCGAGAAGTTGAAATTGATTGAACTTTTTTTTTTTGCACACGGCGATGGAGGCCTAAAGCAAAAAGTTTTTATAAAACCCAGCTGAAGGCCTAGGACTGGGGCGACGGCATGCGTGCCCACAGAGAGGGCTCTGAGTGCCGCCTCTGGCACCCGTGCCATAGGTTCGCCACCACTGGTCTAGGCTGAGGTTAAGGTGATGGCCTAGAAACCAGGCAATTGTGAGTTCTAGTCCTGCCTTAGGCATGAAAGATAGCTGGGTGATCTTGGGCTAACCCCCCTCTCTCAGCCCAACCCATCTCTCAAAGGGTTGCTTTTCTGGGGAAAACAGAGAAGAGGAAAGAGTATTAGGTATGTTTACTACCTTGAGTTATTTCCAAACAATAATGAAGGTGGGATAAAAACCAATTAATTCCAAATAATTCCAGAGTCACCTTGAGTGCCAGATTCTCCACTTTCATGATAAGGTCTTCTTGGCGTTTCCTGCGCTCCTGGGTCTCCTGCAGCTTCCCCTTCAGGTGGTCAATTTGCTTCTGGATTCCGACTGCTACCAAGAGGGAAAAGCACTGACCCTCCTAGTAATACGACAACTGCCCCAAGGACTGTACAAAATCACCCAGACCCAGCGTAGCTTCCTTCCCCACCAGTTCCTAACCGATTTGACTGGTCCCCTCGTTCTCTGGCTGCTGGGAGCTGGATTCGTTCAGCTTGCCCTGCAGTCTCCTCTCCAGGTCTTCCTCTGTATCCATCACGTTCAGATCTTCGTCGTCATGGTGATCCCTCTCGTCTTCATCACTGCTGCTACTGCTGATTTCATTAAACATTTCTCTCAGTTCATCACGTTCTGCTGGTTGGACAGAGAAGGAAAAAGGAGACCGCCATTCCTCAATGTATCCCGTCGTATGTCTTGCTAGTCTGGTCTTTACTCCCCCCGGCCCCCTCTCCTTAGACTAAGAGCAACTTGGTTAGGACTATCATGAGCTGACTGCAGAACTCCAGTTGATCACAAGGTAGCGACAGAGAGCTGCAGGAAACACTAACCCTTTGCCGCCATCTAGTGGCCTTTCAAGAATTGGCAGCCCTGGGTTAGCATCCCCAAATGTGACAATACCTGAAGATCCATGGCCTTGCTTATGTCCGGTCATGCCAGAAGAAATATCCAGGCTTGAAAGTAACCCGTGATTCTCAGCTTCCTTTGTTTCATCTTCAGCAATGACTTCCCAGCCTGAATTCAGGCACAGACACATTAAGGAAAAGTCAATTGGCTAGGGAAGCACATCATCGAGAAACAGAATGTGCATCCATATTGGAAAAATATCCTTGCAGTTTTCCCACCGTTTGATGAACGAAGCGCTGCTTTTGAAAGTATGTCCTGAGAAGAGAATCCCAATCAAATTCTCACGGATGGAATGGAACACCTCTGACTTTACTTACAAGGTGGTTAAGTAGCACGTTGACGCCTTTAGTGACTTTCCGTACTTCTACTCAAACTCGCTGAAAGTTGCAATGAGTAAATATCTCCTGGAGGCAAGTCCAGGCTTGTCTGTGAGAATTTTTTCAGCCCCACCTGGGGTGGAAATTTCATCATTTTTTTTTTTTTGAAATTTGGTGAAATATTTCTAAAGCCCTTTGATGCCCGGGTTTAGGTAGTTTAGCAGCCAAGCATGAATAATTCCCCACTACAGGCAGTCCTCAATTTACAACCGTTCATTTAGTGACTGTTCGAAGTTACAATGGCACTGAAAAAAAAGGAACATGACTGCTTTTCACACACGGTCACATGATCAAAACTCAGGCCCTTGGCAACAGGCATGTACTTACGACAGTTGCACTGTCCCTGGATCATGTCATCACCGTTTGTGACTTTCCCAGCTGGCTTCCGACAAGTCAAGGGGAGAAGCCAGATCCACTTAACAACTGTGCCAAAAAGGTCGTTAAGTGGGGCAAAAGCCACTTAGAAACTGCCTTGCTTGGCCATGGAAATTCTGGTCTTTAAGTTTGAAAACTAATACTTCAAATCTTATGAAAAAAAAAAGGATACGGACGCTGACGGCTTCGGCATCTGTGCTGAGAAGACGCTTCACTTCTTTCTCTACATCTGGAGATTCAATATACTGGGCCAGAGGAAAGAAGGAGAAAAAGAGAATATATACTAGCAGCTGCCTCTAGGCCGGAGGCCCCCAACCTTTGGGACACCAGGGACCGGTTCCGTGGAGAGAGGTTTTTCCACGGACCGGAGGGGGAGTGGTTTTGTGTGCTGCCTGCATCCCATGGATGGGGCTTTGCTTGTTTGTGCTGGTCCACGTACCGGGGAGGTTGGGGACCCCTGCTCTAGAGCACCTTAAGAGTTTATTTCTCTGCTATGTTCCTGCTGTAGGGCACATCTGTGCAGCCATCAACCTCACCTTTCACATTCACTTCGATGGTTCAACACAATTTTGCAAGGGTTTACACTAGCATTCCGCCTTCCCGTGTTGCAGGTCAAAGCTTCCTCCCCCCTTGGCCACTGACAGGCACAAAAACTAGTAGCTTGCTGCTGATCTACCCCCACCCTGTGTTCCTTGCTCCAGTTGCTTTTTGGGGCGATGAAAACTGGAGAAGATGGGGAAACAGGGTCAGTATGGAACAGTGGTTCTCAACCTTTTTAATGCCACGACCCCCAACCGGTCGTAAGTCGAGGACTACTCAACTGGTGCAGCACCGTTTGCAGAATGGGACTTTGGGCGGGCTCAGCAGGGCAGAGACAGCCTGGACAATTCCTATTGGCTTTTGAAAGCTAATAGAATTAGACTCTATTCAAGAGAGTCTATTCTATTGGCTTTCAAAAGCCAATAGAATAAAAGGGAGTAGCACAGCTAAGGAAAAGGGGGGGAAAATGGTGGACTGCGTTGTTTGGCGACCCCCGTGAAATGGTCGTTCGACCCCAAATGGGGTCCCGACCCATAGGTTGAGAACCACTGGTCTAGAATGAGACCTGGATCACAAGAGGAAGAGATGAAATCTCAGGAGCTTGGCGGTGGGACCAAACAGGTATTCTCAAAAGAAGCGGCTACTTAAGTCATAGCTCTAAAGCAGGGGTTCCCAACCTGGGGTGCTCACAGCCCCTGGGGGTGCGAGACGATATTCCAGGGGGTGCAAAAACTTGGGTTTTCAAAATTATAGTGCAAATGCATAATTCGTTGCCATTATTTAAAACTTTTGTAAGGGCTGTGAGAATATATCAGAAGCGTTCTAGGGGCGCAGGGTATAGAAAAGGTCGGGAACCGCTGCTCTAAAGGGTTTAATTGGACTTAATCTTCTCAAGTTGCACACAAGCCCCAAGGTGATGTGGCCGGCTGCGCATGGAAAGTGAGAGGAGAGAGAAAAGAGTAAAGGAGGGGAGAAGGAAGTAGCAAGGTTGGAGGAGAAGAGGAGAAGTGGGGAGAAAGGGGAGGAGAGTGGTGAAGGAAAAAGGAGAGGAGAGGAAGAAGAGGGAAGTAGGGAAGAGAAGAAAGGGAGAAAGAAGGGAGAGAAGGAGGAGTGTGGATATAGTGAAAGGGAAAATGGGCAAGCAACACCAAAAGTCAGGTGTATGTATTTATTTCATTTTATTAAAAGTATCTTATATATGAATGTAAAAAAAAAAACCTATTTGGAAGCCATTTAAGCCTTCCTGGTCATTTTTTTTCTACCAAATTAAAATTTTTGCTAAATGATGTGATCCAAAAAAAAGAAAAAAGGAAGTATCTCAAAGGAAGGTGACCATCAGCCCTTTCAAGAGTTTTCTTCCTTCTCCACCCAGAGGTCTTAAAGCCTCCCATTGGGAATAAACTTCCTAGATAGAACAACTGTAAGAATAAACTAAGAATGCTGTCTATCCTCGACTCAGATTTTCAATTGTGCATTATATTTTGGCTCTGGCTTTCCATACGCAGCCGGTCGCTAAGGCTCGCTTATGTGGCTCACCTTCTTCTTAGCTGTCTTTCGGAACCTCCTCTTTCTGACGTTCTTCAACGGGAGTGTAACTGCAAGGACACAACCAATTAATGCGCAAACGGAACCGGTGCAAATTAAGATGGAAAAGGAGGGTGCAGCCAGCGGCTCTTTGGGGGTGCAGAAGAGATGCTAGCCTTCTGAACCAAAGAGAGGAAGATCAAGGAGTGTCATCCCCCTTCATGACGCACGTGAGGGCATGGAGGTAGGGGACAATGCACAGATAAGGATCCCTGGTGTAGAGAGACGAATGACCCCAGAGCTACTTACTGCCATGATTCCAGATGAACTTCTTCTCCCGATCCTTATCCTTCTTCTTGTTGGCCCTAGCATCAGTACTCACAGCTGGTTCCTCCAATGGAGGATAGAGATCTCCATCCACAGTGCACACCAACATCTGAACTCCGCAAAAGAATAAAAGGGTAATTGATTGTTATCGGAAATTAGAAGTTGTAAAAGCCCAAGGGAAGTACTGTTAGATCAAACTAAAATTTTGTCAGAATGGTCCACCAGCCAGTTACTAGTGAGAGATTTGTCACATGAGCACAAAATTGCTCAGCACTGGAGACTGACTCTTAATATCTTCAGAGTGAATCTTCCTAACTAGTTGTCGTTGCCTGTTTTATTCACCATCAAGTTGTCTCGTCTCCTTTTCCAGGCTTCCAAGCTTCTATCAATCTAGATCAGGGGGTGGGAAACCTGGGCTCTTTTATGACTTGTGGAGTTCAACTCCCAGAATTCCATGCTGGCTCAGGAATTCTGGGAGTTGAAGTCCACAAGTCATAAAAGAGCCCAGGTTTCCCACCCCCTGATCTAGGGCTAAACAAGTTTCAAGCACCCGGATGGCCGTTTATTAGAAATCCCGTACCCTCAAAGAACTGTTAAAGGTTGGTAATTCATAACTATTTGTGGTACGGGAAAAAAAGAATACAGGTTAGAGAAGGGAGCGGAAAATGAAGATACGGTCTGCAAAAACGAAAAGCGAAATCGTCTTGCACAAGAAAGGTTCATTTGGCTGACGGACGGAGGACAATTTACCTGGCAAATGTCAGCAGTCTTATAGGTGGTCTTCTTGTCGATGGTCTTCAAGCTTTCTATGATGCAGGGCAAGTCCACCAACTTGGCAGCTAAGGGGACCCGGTCAACACGTACAATTCCATGACGACCATCCGCTGCAGGGAAATGGGAGAATGTCTAGGTGATACTTATCATTCGGCAGTCGAATATTTTGGAAGGCACAAAACCTTGGGTCTCAAACCGCCAAGTTACTTCACCGTACGAGCGACCCAGATTTGAAAGTAGTGAAATGTGTGGGCGTTTAAAAAAAAAAAAAAAGACATGATGGGAAACATTCCATTTATAAAATGTTTATTTTTAATTCATTCCCCCCCCCAATCTTAGAAACTGCAGTGAAATGAGGTGTTAAAAAACATCGTGATGCTTTTGATTTTCAAAAAAATTGTCCCCAAAAGGCTAGGCATAGGATGAACTATTGAAGGTCAATGAATTTAATGAATGAATGAACCTTTATTATCAAATTATAACATGTATACAGTGAGATTGGCTGAGCCTCCCTCCATGCCCCCCACCACAACTCGCAGTGACTACAAACCCACCAACTTATTACACCCTGTGAGCTAATTGCACAGCACACCGGCCTCACGAATCTATCGTGCATAAAGTTATGTCCCGTTCAAGAGCCTGACAGCCCATGGATAGAAGCAGTTCTTCAGCCTGTTGGTACGGCTGGCTATATTTCCATATCTCCTACCCAATGGTAGGAGCATAAAGAGGTACCAATCAGGATGTGAGTCATCCCTGAGAATTTTCCTCACTCTAACAAGGCAACAGGCCCTGGCGATGGCAACAGTTAGAAAATTAGAACAATATTTTATTATGGTCCAAGACCTGTACAAAAATAAAGTAAAACAATCTGATACAATCAAAATATAAGAACACTGTGACCACTTAATACACGAGTGGGCTTTTATTGACCAATCTGAGTGTGACATAAATCACGTGGCTAAAGCACAAAGCCTGGCTATTAAAAAATATGATTTCAGGACATTTGTCATTTAAGAAAACGCCTAGCCAGCATTGATCCAGGCAGCTATGTAATAAGTATCAGTAGCACAATATTAAGTAGTTGCAAAAAGAAGGGGGAAAATTACTTAGGACATACTAGAAAACTCCAAGTAGCCTTCTTAACATTTTTAGATTTCTTGCTTACTCGTCCATCCTTTATTCTTTTATATTACAAGCAGTCCTCAACTTACACCCACGACTGAGCCCAAAATTTCCACTGCTACACAAGACAGTGAAGTGACTTTTGCCCCATTTTAGGACTCTTCTCGCCATCGTGGTTAACTGAATCGCTTGGCTGTTAAGTTCATAAGACGACGGTCAATGAATGTGGCTTTCCCATTGCTTGTCAGCAGGTGATCACATGACCCTGGGGCATTGCCACCGTCATACGTCCATGCCAGTTGCCAGGCCTCTGAACTTTGATCCCGTGACCGCGGGATTTTGCTGCAGCTGCCGTGTGAAAAAATGGTCACAAGTCACCTTTTTCAGTGCCCCTGTAACTTTGAATGGTCATTAAACAAGGGGCCTGTAAGTCAAGGACTACCTGCCGCTGACCTTTATTTTTTGTTTGTGTTTGTTTGTATGCTTTCTCTAAGAAAAAGGAAAGAAATTAAAAGCTGCTGAGGTTGACCCCTTACCGTGCAATTCAATAGTGAGTCTGTCCTTCAAGCTGACACTCCCAGATTGAACAGCCCTCCGCACGGTAGAAGCATATTCCTAAGTGGAGAAACAGCGAGAACGAGGATCAAAGGAAAGTTGGACCGTTCCAGACACAAGCATGAATCATGGCAAATGGTAGGTGATGTTAGCATTTACTGTATATTCCGGCGTATAAGACGACTTTTGAGAGCGTTGAAATCGGTGCCGAAGTCGGGGGTCGTCTTATACACCGAGTCGTCTTATACACCGGAAATAACGGTAGTTTCTGGCGTATAAGACGACTTTCTAGGCATGCGACTCGGCGTCGAAGTCGGGGGTTGTCTTATACACCAGGTCGCCTTATACGCCGGAATATACGGTACTCCTGAGGGGCACTTACCGGAGGCAGCCGCAAAATAAACTGGCTCTCCAACTCGTGGGGGATATTATCCTTGTTCTTGGTCATCTTCATTTCTTCCGGGTTGAGAAGACAAGAAAAAACACAGTTACCCAACAGTTGAGCAAGAGCTTTGCCCGAGCACCGCAACCTGCTGAGCTGCTGCAATCGCACAACAGCGGTGCATACAAATGCATTCCACCCAGAAGCACCTTACTGGAGAGAACTAAGGCATTACACCGTGTGTGGAAGTGAATGTCTATGGAGATTCTCAATCATCTAGACCATGGTTGTCCCAAGATGCTTTCCCAAAAGGCAACTGGACTTTTTTAGTTTTTTGTTTCCTTGAGAAGGATGAGAAGTGAAACATTTTCAAGGAAAAAAAGCTAAGAAAGTCCAGATGCCTTTTGGAAAAGCACCTATGGGATAGGTGTGGAAGCCCAATTCTAGCCTTATAGGTCAGAGATGCATCAGAAGCCAAGCCGTTAAATCTGAGAGCAGAATGGTTTCCTTAGCTAACTAAATCCACTCTGCTTATTTCCATTATTTAACTAATGATGATGATGTTACTTCCACTTAAACCAAAATACATTAATGTTTTCACAGCCGCAGAAAAGGGCAACTATGCACCTGCTCCTCTTACTTACCCTCCCTGCCCATTTTAAGCGAAAAAGCAAAGCTCCCTCTTGGCTCTTTCAAATAAGGTGCCACTGGGAGGCCAGAAATACTGATTTGGTGCATTAAGAAGAACACAGCATAACTCAATTGTTTGAAGCATGAAAATGCAGACACTGGAGAAAAGATCTTGCCACTTGCCAGAGCACGTAAAGGAAAGAAAGACAGTGATCTGTTCCCATTAAACTAGCACTGTAACAGAATGATTGATCCATATTCATAAAAGCTGGCAAAGCACAGTCATCACACACCCCCAGGAGTCTGCAATTCTCCTGGGCATCATTTCAGAAAGGCAGAGTAGTCTTTGTGTCAAAATCAGCGCATCTTCTAGAGAGCTAAAGACCCACCACCAGAGAAACGTAAAACAAACACATTACTTGCAGATGCCATTCTCCCTCTTCTTGATCCACGCAAACGTTTATAAAAACTTGTATCATTCAAAAATACTAAATGTAAATGCAAAGAAAAAGAGTTAAAAAAAACAAACGAAGAGTATCTACAGATCAACGTATTGCTATTTAAGGGGTTTTTTAAACACATCATATGGCCTTCCTCTGTTCCTGGAATGTTGTGTTATTTCTATAATAAAAAACTACTTGGAACAGTTCCTTGAATCTGTCTCCTACAGAATATCGTATTAGAAATATATCACCCACAAACCAGGAGATTCTCAGCTCTGCAGCATTTTTCCATCAGCAGCAGCATGATCCAAAATGCTATTTCTAATCTATAAAGAACCAGTTTGGGACAGGAATGCAGTTTTGTAGACTAGATCCAAAAGTAGGCAAAACTCCCGAAACATCTTTGGGGAAAGGGGGCAAAAGACTACATGGACTCTCCTGCATCAAACCTTGAAATCAACCAGGTTTAGTGGAACCATGATTTAGAAGTATGCCAGAACTACCTGAACTCAGACATATGCCGACTAGAAGGACCAGGGCAGGCTGCAGGGCCATATGCATTCCAGGGACAGAAAACTCACCCCCTTCACCCCCACCAAGCATCTCAGCATTTAACCCAGTGTTTCCCACTCAGGGCACCTTTAAGACACCGGTGGGCTTGAGGAGTCCTTGGTGCTCTCTGCGCTTGCTTGTTTTCTTCCAGGCATCTCATTACCCAACTAGGCAACATCATCAGTGCTCGTAAGGAATGGCATTTATATTCTAATACCTTGCCCTGTCAATGTCGGTGGGACCAAGGACCCCCTCATTTCAACCCCGAGTTATACATATTCTCCTTTATCCGTATAGGGCAGTGGTTCTCAACTTTTTTGATGCCGCAACCCCCAACCGGTTGTAAGTCGAGAACTACTCAACTGGTCGTAAGTCGAGGACTACTCAACTGGTGCAGCACCGTTTGCAGAATGGGACTTTTGGCGGGCTCAGCAGGGCAGAGACAGCCTGGACAATTCCTACTGGCTTTTGAAAGCCAATAGAATTAGACTCTATTCAAGAGAGTCTATTCTATTGGCTTTCAAAAGCCAATAGACTAAAAGGGAGTAGCACAGCTAAGGAAAAGGGGGGAAAATGGCGGACTGCGCTGTTTGGCGACCCCGTGAAATGGTCCTTCCGACCCACAGGTTGAGAACCACTGGGATAGGTGGACTTCAACTCCCAGAATTCCCCCTTCTCGGCCACTTTAGAACGGGCTAGCTGGGGAATTCTGGGAGTTGAAGTCCACCCGCCTTAAAGTGGCCAAGCTGGAGAAGTCCTGTTGGAAAAGGAGAGAAAAACCACTCGCCAATCCCGACCTCCAAATTAAGAAAAAAAAAAGCAGACCCCCCAGATGGAGGGGGAAAAGGAAGCGGGAGCCCTGGCCCTCCAAAGCCGTAGAATCCCCCCCCCCCAAAAACCAGATACGGCGAGCGCCCTAGGCGCCCCCAGGAGAAGACCGAAGACCCCCGGCTGCTCCAAAGGGGCTTCTCCCGGGGATCTCCCCTTCGCTGGGCCAGGGCCGGGGGGCTGCCGAGGGACCCCGCCCCAAAGCCTGCGGGACGCCCCGGCGCAGAGCGAACTCACCCGCCGCCAGCCCCAGCCGTTCAGGAGGCGGAAGCGGAAGCGGAAGGGGCCGCGGCCAGAAAGAAAAGGGAGGGGAGGGAGAGCGGAGGGAGGGAGGGAGGAGGGGGATGTTCTGCGCATGCTCGCCGCTGATCAGCTAAGTGATCGGAGCTGTCCGCTTTGGTTCTCCTGTCCGGCTTGGGAGCGCCGGAGTTGTCTGCCTTCCTCGGCTCTTGCTCTCTTTTGGGGAGGGGTCCTCGAGGTTTGGGGTGAGTTGGGGAGGAGGGGACGGTGTGGGGGGAGGGAATGAGCCTGGGGGTGGATGAGGGTCGCGGTCGTTCTGAATGAATGAGGGTCGTGGTCGTTCTGGGGAGGGGGGGCTGGCTCTCTACGGAGGGGAGGGCGCAGGTAGGATGGGGCGAGGCTGGCAATGTCGGAAGGGAAGCAGGGGGCAGAAACAGGCCAGACCGGGTCTTCTTCCCCTGGAGCTTTCCTTTGGACTACAATACCCATCGTGCCCAGGCAAGGAATCCCGGGGAGGCTGAGGGAGAGCCCTTAAAACTTTAAAAAGTCCGATGTTGGTTCAACCTTCTAAAAGTATCCCTAACTGTGGAGTCCTTAGAACACAGAACATTGAGTAATAGGGTTGGAAGGGACCTTAGAGGTCTTCTAGTCTAGCCCCCTTCCCCCCCCCCAGAGCAGGAGTACCCTCCATCAGTCTGGATAAATGGCCGCCCAGCCTCCTCTTGAGGGAGCACCCATAACGTCTGGAGATAAGCCAAATGGGCTATCAACAGACCCATGGCGCTAAACCACCTTTGCACACCATTCAAAAGAGGCGATGAAAAAGCTAAGAAGGAAACGAAAAGAGCTGACACGGCCTCGCCAGTAACCGACACACCCCATTAAGTAGGGATTAAACACCAGACAACAGGGAGAAATCAGGAGCGTAACCAAGGAACTGCCAAGGGGAAAACATCAGTACTAGCGGGTATATAAACAGGGAGAAAACCCCACAGTCCCCAGCACTGATAATGTTAGTTGGCTAATGAAATGTCTGTACACAGACAACCATGTTCAGGGAGGACTCCACAGTCAACCCTGAACTATAGATGGTCTCTTGTGCTGGGATATTCCTAATGTCAGGATGCCTATGCCCACCCTCCATTGCTATCCAATTCTGGTTTCAAACGGGACAGAAGGATTAAAGATGTGACTGGAGATTATTTGCCTGGGCTGTGTTTATTCTTGGAAGGTATTTATGTAGATCAGTGTTTCTCAACCTTGACAATTTTAAGGCATGTGGACTTCAACTCCCAGAATTCCACAGCCAGCATTGCTGGCTGTGGAATTCTGGGAGTTGAAGTCCACATGCCTTAAAATTGTCAAGGTTGAGAAACACTGATGTAGATTGAACGGGGAGCCCACTTCCTTTTTCCCGACCTTCTGCTGTTCCTGGACCAAGGATCCCTGGCCTTGGGAAATTGACACACCCTGCCTTAAATTACATTGTAGAAACCCAACTGGCTACTTTTACTCAATAGATCTAAAGCAATTCATTTCACAAAATGACTACACACCTATTAGGAATGAAAATGTAGTCACAAAATGACTACACACCTATCATGTCACAGCATATTTTCATGTAAATGTAGGATGAGAGTGAATGATTAATTAATGAGTCAATTTCAGGAACTTGCACAATCCCAGTCCGGAAGATCAAAAACGGCATTTCTTGGATAGCCTTAGCTCTGATTTCTCTCCTGCTTTTTCCTTCAAAACGATCCAGATGGGGACCTCCACGGGACATTACGAATTCTACATTGGCTTGGCCTTGGCTATAACCTCCAGCCTATTTATTGGAAGTAGTTTTATCCTCAAGAAGAAAGGACTTCTGCGGCTGAGTAGCAGAGGGGCTGTCAGAGCAGGTAAGGGTAGAGCTAGAGCTAGCCAAATTAACAGGAGAGGTAAAAAAAGAAGAATTTAAGTGTTGCTGAGAGTTATAGTCCTCTATAGAAAATTGTTCTGAGGGATTGGAAAAGTATGATTCCTGACGTTAGGGGCAGGATTGAAGGAGGAGTAATAAATCTGTTTTGGAAAAAAAACAGATGTATCTGCTCATTAAAAAAAATGACACAGCATGTTGTCTGAAGAAGCTTCTTGAATGGGAAGTGAAATGTTTCAAAGAAAAGCAAGAAAGTCCACTTGGTTTTTAGAAAAAGCATCTTTGGGACACCGCGTATTCTCCTTTGGCGTAGATTTTACGATGCTGCGTAATAATTGGCAATCATTATTTTCTTTCATTTTAAAACTGGAAGCTAGTATTGCTTGCTGCTTGAGGGATACACTATAGTTTTCTCCTCTTTGGGGTTCAATTTTTTAAGATAAATTCAATGTGTTCGGTTTGGCTTGGTTTTAAAGAAACCCACTGGATTCTGCTGCCTAGTTTTCTAGAAACGTCGAGTCTTTTCTCAGACAAGTTTTTCATTTTATGTGATCCACTTTCTCAGTTTCTGATCACTTTTTTTTTTCCCCAGGCCTGGGAGGTCATGCATATCTCAGAGAGTGGCTATGGTGGGGAGGACTGATTTCCAGTAAGTACATCTTGAGATTTCTCTCTTTTCTCTTAACAATTTTAATTTATAGGACCAGTGGTATGTAGACATTCTTGAAGAAGGAGCTTCCTCTTCCATAAAGATTGATAAGAAATCTACAAAAGTGATTACCATCCCGTTTAAATATTATTGTATTTTAGGGATATTGTCAACCTATAAGAAAAAAAAGGTAGGCTCACAAACACACAAAGGGAACTTGGACTTGAACTTGAACTTACCTGGATTTGCTTCAGGTAATTATTTCTTCCTATACCACCCAACGGACACCAATCCACTTTGTATTCTGGGGGGGAAAAAGTCTATTTCCAATCACAACTAAGGAGTCAGACAAACTCAGAACAAGCAACGACTGAATTGCATCATTTAGGGGTGTTTTTTTCCATTTCTGATGAGTTGCTTTTCTTTTACAGTGGGAATTGGAGAAGCTGCAAATTTTGTTGCCTATGCTTTTGCCCCAGCCACGCTGATTACTCCTCTAGGAGCCCTTAGTGTTTTAGTCAGGTAAGTTCATGTAATAAAAGAGAATCTTTGTAGCTCAGGGTTGAAATGAAGGGTCCTTGGTATTCTCTGAGCTTGGGGTTTTTCTTGCAGACGTTTCACGATCCAACTAGGGAACATCATTAGTGTTAGAAGGGAATGTGATTTATGGAATGGAGGAGGGAGGAGAGATAGGAGAAGGACTATAGGTGCTAAGCTTGCAGACATTTCATTACCCAACTAGGGAACATCATCAGTGTTAGAAGGGAATGTGATTTATGGAATGGAGGAGGAGGGGGACTGTGGGGTCCTTGGTGCTCTCTGCGCTTGGTGGTTTTCTTGCAGACGTTTCACGACCCAACTAGGGAACATCATCAGTGCTAGTGCTCAAATTCATGTTGTCAGTCATATTTTAAAGAGACGATTCCTTAACTTTCCAGGACCGTCTCTGTAGCTGCTCTGTGTTCTCTTCGAGCAAACTAATCTTGACAAGTTTTTCTTTCTTTTGTTCTAAAGTGCTGTTTTAGCCTCCTATTTTCTGAACGAGCAGCTGAACATCCATGGAAAGATCGGGTGTCTCCTTTGCATTTTGGGATCTACCGTGATGGTGATCCATGCTCCTCAAGAGGAAACAGTGGCCAGTCTGGACTCAATGTTGGAGAAACTGAAGGATCCAGGTACAGAGAACATGGTCCCTATGCAGGTGGTCCTCGACTTAACAGCCACAACTGAGCCCAAAAATTCTGTGGCAAAGCAGAACGTTGGCACCATTTTATGACTTTTCTTGCCACTGTTGTTAAGGGAATCACTGCAGTTACTAAGCTAATAATTAGGGGAGACATGACAGCCGTGTTCCAGTATCTGAGGGGTTGCCACAGATTGTTCTGTCAGGTTGTTCACCAGAGCACCAGAGGGAAGGAAGAGAAACAATGGTTGGAAACTGATCAAAGAGAGAAGCAATCTGGAATTAAGGAGAAACTTCCTGACAGTGAGGACAATCAACCAGTGGAACAGCTTGCCACCAGAAATCGTGGGCGCTCCATCACTGGAGATTTTTAAGAAAAGACTAGACAATCATCTGTCCGAGATGGTGTAAGTTTTCCTGCTTGAGCAAGGGGCTGGACTAGAAGACCTTCCAGCTCTATTCTAGTCTATTCTAGTAACACAGTTGTTAAGTGAATCTGGCTTCCCCATTGAGTTTGCTTGTCAGATAGTCACAAAAGGGAATCGCATCACCCCGGGCGCTGCAACTGTCATAAATGCATGCCGGTTGCCAAAAGTCTGAATTTTGATCAGGCTTTGAGGATGCTGCAGTGGCCATCAGTGTGAAAAACAGTCATAAGTCTTTTCAGTGCGGTTCGAACTTCAACCAAAACAGCAGAGTCTGAGACACAAAACATCTTTATTTTTTCCTTCCTCCTCCAGGATTTATCGTGTTCGCCACCTGCATGGTGGCGAGCTCGGTTCTCCTCATCTTTGTGGCTGGATCTCGCTACGGGCAGAGGACCGTCTTGGTGTACATCCTGATCTGTTCGTCCATTGGCTCGCTTTCCGTCGCTTGCGTCAAAGGCTTGGGCATTGCCCTGAAAGAGCTGTTTGCTGGGAAGGCCGCCTGGAAAGAACCGCTGGGCTGGCTGCTTTTCATGAGTTTGGTGGTCTGTGTCAGCGTCCAGATCAACTACCTCAACAAAGCCTTGGACATCTTCAACACGTCTGTGGTCACCCCCATCTATTACGTCCTCTTCACCACAGCCGTTATGACCTGCTCTGCGATTCTGTTCAAAGAGTGGCAGCATCTGGTCCTCATGAACATCGTTGGGACCATCAGTGGCTTCCTCACCATCGTCCTGGGCATCTTCCTTTTCCACGCTTTCAGAGACGTGCCTTTCACCGTGGATCTGCTGCCTCTCTTCGTGAGACGCAAACAGAAAGATCTACCTGCGGTTTCACAGAGAAAGGGAGACAAAGAAAGGTCTTATCTTCATCAGCCTCTTCTGGATCCGGAGGACTTAGAGAAAGGAAGGACAGAGAAACCGGAGGGGCAAGACAGAGTTTATGAAAGCTAAGGTTGATTTAAAACCATTAGGCTCTTCTGGAAGTTTCTAAAGCTCTTATTACTTCTCACCAAAGAACTTTTTCCAGGCAATGCAGAATTATTTGGGGGCCATTTTCTTAAAAACAATAGTATTTTTACTGGGAGCATCCATGAATCCACTGGAGCGCTGTCAGGTTCAAGCTGATAAACAAGCAGTGCCTCCGAGGTTGGGTGTAGTTTCTTCTTTCCAGCTTCCAGAAAAGGGCCAGCTTTGCATTCTTGGATGGAACTTGGGAGCATATTGATAAGCCTCGGGATCTCATGATATGTATGTTGAAAGCACACATATCAAAAGTGGTTGGGTGATGTGGTATGGGTGAGGTGTATTGTTTTTTTAAAAAAATAGGAATATCTCCATGAGTTCAAGGATAGGCAAGCCATCTTGTCACACCCTGGGAATGGAAGAAGATGATGGGTAGGAGCAAGAGGCTGACCTCAAAACATAGAGAAACATGGAAAAGGCAAAAGATTATTTTTTTTCTCCTTCCCTTCTGAGTGACAGGCATGAACTGGAAGAACGCAGAGGAAAAGAAAATGGGATGACTGCTGACCTTGAAGGCAGCGTAACCGTAAAAGAAGATGCAATTTAGATCTTTATTAGGAGCAGAAGATGCAGCTCAGGTGGAAAAACAAGCAACAGGCCAATTGAAATGCGTTCACAAACTTTTTTACCCTGAAGCCGCAGGTTGTTCTTATGGGAACAGCTGCTGAGTCCACTAGAGGTATTCTGCTGCTTTTTGAATATACAAAGCCATTTTGGCTTTGCCTTCTGCTTTACAAATTATTTAAAATAAATATTTTCTTTATATGACTATGAAGCAATTTGCAAAATAGGTTGCAAATGTAAAATGTGACTTTTAAAAGCATTAAAGAATATTTTTCAAAGGTGTGTCTTTGGCTGCTTGATTTCTTTTTCCTTAAAAAAAAAAGTCAGTCCCTTATTTCATGTCTAGAAATAGACTTGCGCTGCCATCTATTTTTTGTGTTGGCACTCAATCATTGGAGTGAATTCCTAGATCACCTTCCTTGCTGTTTTCCTTTCTAGCAGCGGCACCGAATGAAGGGTGGGTGGGTGGCTATTTAAGTGTAGAAAAAATGACTTGTGCAGACTTATGTTCGTTTGAGGATTTAGGAAAACCAAGGATTTAGGACTTCAGACTAGAAAGTGAAACCCCTAGTCCAAAAGTGAGGGATACCAGTGCTAAATTTCTGATCTGTGATAATAAAGGCTGCCTCTTAAGTTTCCAGTTTTTTCCATTTTTACTTAGCTCAGTTCCATCACATCATTTATCTTAGAAAGTTTTCTTAGTTGTTCCGAGAAAACAGCTTTTATATCTTTATACTATAATGTCAATTTTGGGAGCTACAACAGGATAGGCAAAGATTGAGGGTCTTCTATCAATCAGCCAAGGAGTTAACCATATTCCAAGTGGGGAAAAAAACCCATTCCAATATACTAAGATCTCCCTTCTAAAAAATTGGAAGGTTAATAAATGTAGTGGTTGTATTTATGAATTGCTGGAAAGTGGGACTTTTTTTCCGCCACAATTTTCTGGTTTTCACTCCGACGGCCGTAGATAAGAGCATGGAAAAGAGAAAACAAAGTCATAATTAACAAGCTTGGTGGAGGTAATTCATAAAATTGTAGAGATTGCCCCAGAAAAAAACATTTAGCATGTGTCAGGCTTTAGGATACCAAAGACTCAGTTGCAAGAGAAGTGTTTTCTTTTAGCCTGTTTTTCTCCTAATCAGTCACTGGCAGGCCAACACAGCAATCTGTGTTGGAATCTGGAACAGTTACACAGATTTGTAAGCTAGCGAAATAATTTATAGCAGAAACTTGACAGAAACTTCTCATATTTACATTCATGTCCCCCAAAATTCTGTGCCTCACATCAAATGACTTGGCCATTCTCAATGAAATCAGCATTTCATGGCTTTCAGTAAGGACTGCCTGCATTATGAACTGACCAGCAATAGGTCAATTGCAAAATGTAAAAGGAGAACACTGAAGAGCACAGCGTTCCAGTTCTATAAGAACCAGGACTCGTACTCAGAATGATGCTGAATCCAGAATTTAATCTCACTCACTTTGAGAGACACACTTTCAGGAAGGTTAGTCTGGAACGTGCAACTGCTACTAAAAGCATCCCCTTTACCTCAGAACTTTGGCGAGCTAAAAGGAACGACCACCAACTCAAAGCTTAAAATGCATCCAATTGATGTTTATTCCACTGATCAGGAGGCAAGGAATTCAATGTAGAAAATCAAGACTGATTTTTGAACTTGGCAAGAGACATATTGGACCACATGAGCAGCAACCCCCTTCAACAGCCACACGTCTGGGGTGTTTCTTTCTACGGTGCTGAGGTAGGTTTGAAAAAACACCTCATCAAAGACAACGGATCTCTTCTGGCGCCCTTTTACAATCTAATCCCGTGCTTTGTCCAACTGCAAGGTCCACCCACCCACGGTTTACAAAGGTTAATTCAGTTGCAAGTCCAAACAAGTGACAATTGGATCATTTGAAAGAGCAGTGCCTAAGCACAGGACCCTTTTCAAGGCACGTTTGTACCCCTACTTTCCCCTGGAGCTGCATTAGTATCTGAGGCCGCCCAGTCCCCTTATCTCAAAAAGAACATTTTCAAGTTTCAAGGGGGTGTATTTTCCCCACCTTACTGCTGGGTAAAGATAGTCAAGGCAACCTTCTGTTATGAAGCTCCCATTATCCAGAGGGGGAAGAAAATTAAAACCTAGGGCAGCAGAAGTCCGGGTTAAATAGCAGATGTGTGACGTTGCATGGTTATTAATGTTCACCCAGTGGGCATTTAACACCAGAACTAAACTAGGTGACCGGAAAGCCCTGATGTCCATCTCAGATGTGGGGGCCAAGTTCCCTCACAGCTTATCATCGTTAGGAATCCTTTCTTCGGTTCTTTCTCCTCCTCTTCCATTCAAGACAGCGTTCTCCTTTTGAAATGAAGAAAGCAGCACCAGTGAACGCTTCCGCTCAGTCGGAGAGACTTTCGGAGAAGGGCGACTTGGACTTCTGCGTCTGCTCCAGCCGATTCAGAATAAACTGACTGGTGTCAATGAAACGCTCGACACAGTTCACAAAGCAGGTCTCGGCTCGGCTGTCCAGCTTGGGGCCAGGTTTATCCATGCATTTCTCCTGTTTTGAGGGTCACAAAAGAGAAATCATTCAACAGCGAGAAGAACCTGCGGTTTCAGCCTTCAGGCCTACGGTTAGCAAAGACATAAACCTGGCGTGTCTGACTTTGCTTTTCAGCCTATCCGAACTGCTGCCAACGCTTCGTGCGCAGGCTCGTTTCCACCCACCCACACACAAAAACTTACACAGTTGGTAACACTTGTCACAAATGTTGCTTTTATACAAAGACGACGTGCTTAGCCAGCACAGAAGCCAGGCATCAATCTGGCAAACAAGCGGATGGGAAGACACGAAAGTTCCCTTATTTCGCTTAGAGAAGCAGAAATGGGAAGAGCGGATTTCAATACAGGCAGTCCTCGACTTACAACAGTTCTCTTAGTGACCGGTCCAAGTTACAACGGAACTTAGCCATTGGAAAAAGTGGCTAATGCCTTTTCTTCACACGTTGCAGCCTCCCCAGTGGCATGACCACAATTCAAAAGCTTGCCAATTGGCTCCTATTTATGAGGTTTTGCAGTGTCTCCGGGGGTCACGCGATCCCTTTTTGTGACCTTCTGACCTGCAAAGCCAATGGGGGAAGCCCGGTTCATTTAACAACGGTGTGACTAATTTAAGAACTCCAGCGATTCACTTAACAACAAGAAAGGCCGTAAAATGGGTCAAAGCACACTTAACAAATGTCTTGCTTAACAACAGAAATTTTGGGCACAATTGTAAGTCGAGGACTACCTGTAGTGTGATCGGTGATCCTGACATGACGCTCGGTGCTTGTGAAAGTGTGGCGCAGTGGCAGACCCAGATCCAAGGGAGAGCCACTGGATCACGCGAGTCGTGGGATGACCCTGAACGGCTGGCTCAGCCTAAGCGGTTTTAATAGGGCTGTGGCGTGATTCCAATTAGGGAAAACCCCCACCTAAGCTGCTTTGAGCCTTGCAAAGAAAAACACGGACAGACACGCAACACATAAAGGCTACATGGCAATGCCTTACATACTGGCACCCCAGGAGCTCCCCACGTAAAACACAAAAGAATGCAGCTTCCTGGTTCCTAAATGCCCACCTGCTTGGCACACCGCCAAGAGCGTCTCCCCATAGAAGCACCCTATTATTGCCAGCAGCAGCAGCTCAATCTCCACTCCTAGGAGACTGCTCCTGATCCTGGAGGCTCTATTCCAGCCTGCTCAAAACTGATGCACCCCGTACCGGGTGGCTTTACCCCCGAGCGGCCAGCGAGCCTCAGCGGTACGAAAGTAAGTAAAATTCTTACATCCCCTGACCCCATGGGGATAAATCAACTGGCACAGGGGAGGGGAGGGGGGGGGCTACAGGCAGTCCTCGACTCACAACAGTGACCGAAGTTACAACAGCACGGAAAACAGGGACTTATGAGCACTTTCCACACTTAAGACCGTTGCAGTCTCCCTACGGCCGCGCGATTTACATTCGGACGCTCGACAACTGACTCCCGTTGAGGATGGGTGCAGAATTCCCGGGGGAGTCACGTGATCCCCTTTGGCGACCTCCCGACCAGCAAACCCAACGGGGGACACCCGGTTTCAGGCAACCACCGCGTGGCCAGTTCGCGTGGCAGGAAAAGTCGTAAAAAAAAAATGGGGCAAACGCTCGCTTAGCAAATGTCTCACTTAGCCACATCAATCCCGGGCTCCCTTCCGGCCGTAAGTCGAGGACCTATCCGTGCTACTCTCCCTCCCTCCCCCTCCCCTCTCCCTCTAGTGGCAGGGAGTTCCGCCGACCCTGCCTCTGCCGCCCTACCCAGCACAGCTCCGTCATCTGGTGCACGAGCTGCTGGAAGCGCTGCTTCTGCGTCTCCACCTCGATGAAGTGCTGCAGCTGCGGGTCGTTGACGGCCGCGCCCAGGTCCCCCGCGACGGACGACGGGTCCATGCCGGGCTCGGCGGGAGGACAGAGCCGGCGGCTGAATGGAGCGGGCGGGCGGCGACCTTCACGTGCCTCCCCGGGCCGGCCCTCCGCGCATGCGCGTCCGGCGCCCGCTTTTTTTTTTTTCCCCCGGCCCGCGAGCGCACGCACGCACGCTTCCGTTTTCCGGCGGCGCATTGGAGAGGAAAGCGGCAGAAGGGCCGGGAGGGAGAGAAAAAAAGAAGAGGAAATTAGGCGTTGGGGCGCCCTCTCCAGTGTTGGAGTGGTACTCACTCGACGAGTGCCAACCCAATGTAATTAGCGTTGTAATTTTCGTACTGTATATGTATATGCATATGATGTATATGTATGTATATGTATGTATGTGTGTGTATGTATATATGTGTGTGTGCACATAGATACCTAGCTAGCTAGCTAGCTAGCTAGCTAGCTAGCTAGCTAGCTAGCTAGATAGATAGATAGCTAGATAGCTAGCTAGATAGATAGATAGATAGATAGATAGATAGATAGATAGATAGATAGATAGATAGATAGATAGATAGATAGATAGATAGATAGATAGATAGATAGATTGAAATAGATAGATAGGTAGATAAGATATAGATTGAAATAGATAGATAGGTAGGTAGGTAGGTAGGTAGGTAGGTAGGTAGGTAGGTAGGTAGGTAGATAGATAGATAAGATATAGATTGAGATAGATAGGTAGATAGGTAGATAAGATATAGATTGAAATAGATACTTTTTTTCAAAGCCAACCTTGCACAGTGTAATCTTGAACCCTTTTATTTGAGGATGAACATACAAGCATACACATGTTCCATCTAATCATGTTAAGAGTTACAGAGTTGCTTAAGTCACAATCTCTGGCTTGCTCTCCTCCCTTTGCAGTGTGCAGAAATAAATAGACTGCATTGTAAGGCTATTTTAGGAACTCAGCCTTGACTTTGCATGTTATATACATATTCTCTACACAAACAGTGTTCAGGTTTATAGCTCACGTATCAGCTCTAAATGAACAGGATTTCCATGCAAACGAGAGAGCAAATGGATAGAAGAGATGGAGGGGAAAAAAAACACTAATAAGTACCCATTATAACTGGAAGCCTAAATTATGTGAGCTTGTTTTCAAAATCTGCATAGTAGAAAAAGCAGTTTGGTCTGCTCTACAACACATCCTGTGGCAGACTCTTTTTTCCCCCTTCCTCTTTATTACTTCACCATTCTATTTTCTCACTGCTTCAAAGCGAAACAGACCTCAGGTATGGCCAGTGCTTTTTTTCTAAAACAAAAAAAGGTGCCGGAACTCACATACGTTATACAACCCGCCTTGCCTACCCTACAAGGTTGCATCCAAAAAAGGTGCCGGAACTCCGTTCTGGGCGTTCTATGACAAAAAAAGCCCTGGGTATGGCTAATTTGATGGGAAGTCTCGTGCGTTGCACTGTTCTATCCTTTCTCTTATATTGCACCAACATTTACCCGTTTTGTATTTTCTAAAAGGGAAAGTTTTCTCAAAGTTTATCTGAAGAGTTCTACATACAGTAAGACTCCTGGCTTCAGTTTTTGCAAGCAGAAGAATTTTTCAGGACTTTGAATGTCATTTATAGGGAAAGAAGATATAAGATTAGTCAGATACCTTCTACAGTAAACAGAAATTAAAAGCAGATCTTCGTGTTCAGCAAAGCACCAGTGAACAAGTCCACAGGGATCCAAGAAAGATGGTGATGCAAATGAGTTTATTTTCTCTTTATGAAATGCAATTCATTTTCCTATCGCTTCTTTCCATTTTTATCATCACTGTCCAATACATTTTGGAGTAGCTGCATTCCCAGAAGTTTATTAAATCCCATTATCTTGTTCCAAGTGATCTTGGAAGAGCTACACATTCTTACACCAAAAGCCTCTGCTATTTGCCTGTAATCATAGTTTTCTAGCTTTTCTGCTCATTTCAACCAGGTGCCTTTACCCATCCAGCGGTGGGATTCAAATATGTGAACAACCAGTTCTCTGTGTGGATGCCGCTTCCGGAAGTCCATTCTGGGCCTGGGCAACAAAAAACTAGCTACCAGTTCTGATCCCATCCAATACTAAGCAGGATTTTTCCTGTAATCCAAGGTCAATCTCCAGGTGAGCAAAATCTGGGAGTGATCATGAAGGGAAGGCAGAAACTGAGGTGAGTCAGGGATCATAAATGAGGACAGAAAATGTCATGCTGGTTTTCTTTTCTGCTGACTTGGGAATGGGATGATAACACTTCAGCTCAACAGTGGGGACAAGCTGCACCTTATCCTGCTGGAAACACCTAAACAGCACTTGCTGACTTGTTAGTTTTGGCTGGCTTCAAAGAGAAACACAAAGGTGAGTTAAAGGCGACTTGAAGACAGTTCTCAATCGATCAAAGCACTTTGGTTGTGATTGCCTTCTTGCTGATTTTGCTTTCACCGTGTCCATTCAACAATTCTTCAGCAAACGGAGGAAGGTGGCAGCAATTCACAGAGAAAAATGTATATTGGGTAACCGACGGGAATCAGGCTTCTTCGTTCGCTAAATCCATAATGTGTCCAAGAAGGACTTGAAAACTTGGACGCTCTTCTGCTTTCTGGAAGAAGAAAAAAAGAGAGAGGAAACGGCTTATATAAAATAGTTTCTAAAAGAGATACCCAAGGGATCTTTCTCTGAAGTGCTTAAAAGATAAGGTCCCTCTCACTGGACTGTCTAAAAAGAAAGAGAACTTGTGAAGGGGTTATCAAAACAAATGCAGATAGTCCTTGACTCGCTGCAGTTGTTAAATTAGCAACACTTTGGTTAAGTGAATCTGGCTCCTCTGATGATTTTGCTCGTCAAAAAGGTCGCAAAAGGTGATCACATGGCCCTGGGACACTGCAACCGTCGCAAATACATGCCAGTTGCCAAGTGTCCCAATTCTGATCGTGTGACCATCGGGAGGGACGTTGCAACGGTAGTAAGCTATCAAGGAAACTTACCTCATGCCAACAACTGTACATGATGGTGTAGATCCTGTCGGAGGCCAGCTGGGGGCGGTAGAGACGCAGCCCTTTGATGACGTGATCGGTGGTCTCGCTGTTGGTGAACCTCTCGTAGGGCATCTTCCCCAAAGCGTGGACCTCCCACATCAGAACTCCTGTGCGGGGGGAAAGCATCCAGAACAGTGGTTCTCAACCTTTTTAATGCCGCGACCCCCAACCGGTCGTAAGTCGAGGACTAAACCGGTCGTACGTCGAGGACTAAACTGGTTGTAAGTCGAGGACTACCCAACTGGTCGTAAGTCGAGGACTTTCCCTGCCCGGGAGTGCCACGCATGCGTGGTGCCGCCACCTGCGCCGGCCGAGAGGTAGCTGGCAAGCAGCAGAGACGGAGCAGGCCGACCACCGGCTGGGCCACCAGCTGGCCCAGCCCAAGGGAGGTAAGGCACCCGCCGGAAAAGGGGGAAAAAATGGCGGACAGCCTTGCTTGGCGACCCCCGTGAAATGGTCGATCAACTCCAAATAGGGTCGCGACCCATAGGTTGAGAACCGCTGATCCAGAACATGAGGCCAGAGCGCCACAGCTAGTTTTAGCCTCCTCTGAAATGCCGCTCAGTTCTTCGTATAAGATTCCTGGCCTCTGGACCACAAAGTCTTTGCTCTCTTCCCCAAAAGGCGGTTGTGTGTACGGGACAAAGACGATACAGGTAGTCCTCCACTTACTACCGTACGTTTAGTGGACATTCTGAGTGACTTCTGACCATTTCTCACATTTATGGCCACTGCAGCACCCCAGAGTCACGTGATCAAAATATCAGAAGCTGGGCAACCGGTTCATATTTACGACGGTCGCCGTGTCCCAGGGTCATGTGATTCCCTCTGGTGACCTTCTGGCAAGCAAAGTCAGTGGGGAAGCCGGATTCACTTAACGTCCGTGTTACGTACTTAACAACGGCAGTGACTCACTTAACAGCTGTCGCAAGGAAGATCGTAAAATGGGGCAAAACTAACTTGGCAACGGTCTTTCTTAGCAGCGGAAATTTTGGGCTCAGTTGTGGTTGTAAGTCCAGGACTACCTGCAGTATCAGGCGGGATCAGGGCTTTTTTTGTCATGGAACGCCCAGAACGGAGTTCCGGCACCTTTTTTGGATGGAACCTTGTAGGGTAGGCAAGGCGGTTTATACGACGTGTGAGTTCCGGCACCTTTTTTTTTTTTTTTACAAAAAAAGCACCAGGTGGGATTATGTTACACGAGAGGTTATGTTGAGAGATGTTTTTCTGATGTAGCTACAACAGGAGGGACAAAGTTCCTGGCTTCTAATCTCTTAGAATTGGATGGCAAACAATGGCTTTGGAACACCTTTTCCCCACATCTGCTCTGGGGCCTAGGAACTCTATCATGGGCAGAGACTGTGACCAAGAATACTTTGTCATTACATTCATCAGCCCAGATGGCTTCTCCCCCTGATATCTCAGCTTCCATGCCCACATAGTCTGCTCACCAAAAGCCCAGACATCCGATTTGCTGCTGAACTTGCTATAGAGAAGAACCTCTGGAGGAGACCACCGGACTGGAAATTTGGATCCCACGGAGCTGATGTAGTCATCATCCAAGACATACCTGCAAACAGAAGAATTGGGTTGGGCAACTTGACGGTGTACACCTCAAGCCAATAACTCAAGGGGCTCACGGTCCATTGAAGAAAATAGACCATTTCTCCACCTTGGCAACTATCCCAACCTGCCAGACACGCTGACGTCAAAACTAACCTGGAAAGGCCAAAATCAGAGACTTTGACCACTCCTTGTTCATTGACCAAGCAGTTGCGAGCAGCCTGTGGAAGACAAACCAAGAGAGGAAGCGTCATATAAGTAGTGGGATACCCTAATGAAGCATATTAGTGTTTGTACAGCCATGAACCAGCATAAACTTAAAATCACTGTCTTCTGAGAATCAGGATACCTAAGCTTGTTACAAAATTCTCTGGATAGAGAATTGACTGTCAATATTTTAAACAAATAAATTTGCTTTGGACAGAAGGAAAAGGTTCATACAGTACCAGGGAGAGATAAACTCCCTGAAACCACCAAGGCAGGTAAACTATCCTGTCCCTGCATGGTGTGGATTTGGGGCCCCTGATGGCACTTTCACCCCTGTTCTAGAACTTCCATCATTACCCCAGTCTGAGCATCCCCGATGGCACTTCCACCCAGTTGTAGCACCTCCAACCTCCATCGTTATCCCAATTTGAGGATATGGTAGCACTTTCACCCCAGTTCTAATGTCTCCATCATCACCCCAGATTGAGGATCCCAGATAGCACTTTCATCCTAGTTGGGGGAAAGAAGCTACAGTTTTTCAGTATTGTCAGTAATCTCCAGAATCCTGTACTGGGTAGATACGTTGGCTAAGGTCACAGAGATGTATCCTTCAGCAACATCTGGAAGGTCACAAGTCATCCATGCCTCATCCATGACAAAGTCATTGTGGCAGTACAGCCCAAAACATTGATTTGAGTTTTCTCCCTTGGTTGAGTTAAGCAGTGCGTCACCTACCAAGTCTCTGTGTAAAAACTGTTTGGATTCCAGATATTCCATGGCCTCACAAACATCCTTGCACATATCCAAAAGCTCGGTGGCCTGGAAAGACCGCCGAGTATCCCGCAGGTAGGCCAAGAGACAACCTTTGGACAGGTACTCCGTGATAATCAAGATTGGTCTTTCCTTAGTGCAAACCCCAAACAGCTGCACCAGGTTCGCATGGGAAAGATTCCTGAAAAGGAAAGCAAGAGCCTCATTGGTTTAGAAATTCACCTTTGTCCTTCATCCCTTTTTTTCCCCTCAAGTGGCAGACAAAGAGCAGATCAAAGCCATCGTATTTATGTGGTATAATGAACAATCACTAGAACAGTGTTTCCCAAACTTGACAATTTTAAGGCATGTGGACTTCAACTCCCAGAATTCCACAGCCAGCGTTGCTGGCTGTGGAATTCTGGGAGTTGAAGTCCTCATGCCTTAAAATTGTCAAGTTTGGGAAACACTGCACTAGAATAATGATGTGTCTGTATAATTACCGGAATAATGCTGTGTCAGTATTATGTGACTAACCTAAATGCGCATTGCACTTGGATACAATGTATGTAGCAAACTCTCCATTGTATACCCGTGAGAAACGGACCCAATGTATTACAATGTGTATTTCAATGTGTATTCCTTTGTTCCTGAGAAAGGGAAAATATAAAACTGAAGTCTGAACCCTCCCTCGGGGTTCAGAATTGCTGGTTGCTATTGCTTCTGAACCTGTGCAATAAATCTCTCTGCTAAAACCCTCTGGAATTTTGTAAGAGTCCTTTCGTTTTCCACAAGAGTATCCTTTGTTCAACTTGGACTTCAAATGTGTCAGGAACTCAGCTGGGGCCATTCAGAAAATCTTTATGTTCTACTAAGCACCAACTGTAGTTTTTTTAAGGAGTAAATCCTGATTAAACCAACCTTAGTTGGCGTGGTGTGCAAACCCAGTACTCCACTCTAAACTGGCTTTTGGTATAAGTGACAGGAAGAGGAACATTCAAATCCATTGCAAAGGAAAGTCTTCCTTCTGGCTACAGACGGAAGAGAATTGTCCTCAGGTTAATAGTTGAGAAGTATCTACCCAAATCCCCTTCCTTTAATGACAGGGTTCCAAGAACAGGGTTGAAATAAGTCTGAGCCTCCACCATTTGTGATGGACCACATTGGGCAATCTGAAAGTCCACAGAGACGTTCAGAATTGGAACGGAATCCCAGCAAGCATAGCAAGAAGTGAAGGATGCTGGGAGTAGTAGTCCAGCAACTTCTGGAAGGTTCCTCACCCCGATCTAAAGGAAAGTCTTGACAGAAAGAAGACGAAAAAGGAGGTGTTGGCTCACATCATGACTTTGGCTTCATCGATAAACGCATCTTCTGACATGCAGCCTTCTTTGATCATCTTGATGGCCACGTCGTATTGACCTCGCCACTTGCCATGTTTCACCACCCCAAACTGGCCTGTCCCCAGCTCTTTCAGAAATGTCAGTTCCTTCAGATCAATCTCCCATGCCCCTAGGAATGACACAAAGCAGGGGGTGGGTGAAAACGGATAGCCATCTGGAGGAGAAGAAGACCATATGGACAACTTCCCACAATGTCCCAAAGCATCTAACATAACCTCACTGAAGGGCCCTGTGGGAAGTGAACGGGTGGCTTCTGAATCACAACCCCATATCAGATATAATCTACAGCAGTGGTTCTCAACCTGTGGGTCGGGACCCCATTTGGGGTCAAATGACCATTTCACGGGGATCACTAAACCATGCTGTCCGCCATTTTTTCCCTTTTCCCTAGCTGTCCTACTCCCTCTTATTGGTGGCCACACCCACTTGGGGGTCACCGCAACATGGGGAACTGTATTATGGGGTCACGGCATTAGAAAGGTTGAGAATCACTGATCTACAGGCTATATTCACTCAATGTGCTTTTGAATTAACTGGTTAATATTGGCTATTGAATTAACTGGGTCGGCACAAAACACCCAACATGAATTATGAGAGAGAGCACAGCCCACTAAATGACAAGGAAGGAAGGAAGGAAGGAAGGAAGGAAGGAGGGAGGGAGGGAGGGAGGGAGGGAGGGAGGGAGGGAAGGAAAGCTTAGCAACTGCTAAATTGTTCATGGATCTAATTTAGTGAACCCAACCATAGGCATCAGCAGTTAAGAACATTCAGGTATTACCATATCCAAGACCTGCAGTGGAAGGAGCAGATTTTTGTTGTGCTGACACTGGATACTTCAATCGGGAGATAAGTCCTGGTAGATAAAAATAAAGATGTGATTAGAAGGTTATTCAATATAAGAAGAGTCCATTTGGTGCTGGGCTAGAAACCAGGAGGCTAGGAGTTGTAGTTCTGTCTTGGGCATGGCATCAACTGGGTGACCTCAGGCCAGTTCCCACAATGCTCCGTAGCTCCCAACATGGCATGCATTTGGGGCCTTGTGGGAAATTAAATTAGGAAGAAGGGGTGCAATTTCCCAGATTCAACAGTATCAGCTAAGTCAGGGGTCCTCAACCTTGGCAACTTTAAGACTTGTGGACTTCAACGCCGAGAATTCCTCAGCCAACTTTGTCCTCAAGTCTTAACGTTGCCAAAGGTTGAGGGCCCCTGAGCTGAGCAATCGATGGCGGATACCTCTGGAAACAGGTGCTCCTCCTCACCTGCGGAGTTGTGTTGGTGATAGTTGATGAGCTCCGGGATAGTGTTGAAGTGGTGCTTCTCGGCCAGGAAATATTTGTTCTGCGCTGTCGAGCACACCACATAGTGGCGGATGGTGCCCTGAGGCTCCCTAAGGAAGCAATTGGGACGTTAAAAAGAGATTCCGAGATAAGCGGAAGACGGCGACAGGAGAAATTGGGACAAGAGCAGGAAGGAGCCCTTAGGAAAAGAGAGAGAAGGTCCACCCCAGTTTAGAAAGGAAGCGTGAGAAAGTTGGAATGGGATGCCGAGGTCATCTAGTCTACCCCACGGTTCAGTGCAGGAATTTCTCCCCCCCCCCAATATTTAAAATTCTTAACGACTAATGATACAACGGAGGATCTATAAGAAACAAAATTACTAATGTCATTACATTAATTGGGAACCTATAACTGGTTAAGAATAAATTATTACGCCTTTGTCCTGTATAACTGATAAGCTTAAACCAGATGAACTAAAAGCCATCTTCTGGATGATCGTGATATTGCTGTATTTTTTTTTAAATTATTATTTGGTCAACTTTTCTTTACAAAAACTATATACCTTCAAACAGCCTATCCCACTGTCAACCATAATGATGTTTCTCCTGATACGGAGCTCTTCTTGAGGACTAGCCTGGTGTGGGATTCACATTTATTTTTTTTATCAGTAGGTCACACTTACCCGGAGGACTTAGCAAACACAGAGACGGTGTATTTGCCTGTCTTGCTGACAGAATCTCGAACAATGAAACCGCCATCTTTGCTCTGAAATAGAAAAATGCCTAAATTTTTCAGTTGTAAAGTTTGGAGAATGATTTTTGGAGAATTTTTCAGTGTAAGACAAGACCTGGGGCTCTTCACAAATCCGTTGTGAGTTTGCCCTTGTGAGTAAGCCCTTTGATAAAACTACACTGACCTAGAATGCTGGATTACTAGCCCTAGTAGCAGTAGTTAGTAGTACGGTGGTAAAACTAAATAGTTTTGTCTGAACTCTACATCTAAATCTACTGCACCCCTCACAAGCAAAGAGAAATTCTTGGCATTTAATTTAGGATCCTAAAATGAAATGATATACTAAACAAACTAGGTCCTGGTCAACTAGTTCCTGGTCAACTAGTTCCTATTCCTGGTCAACTAGTTCCTGGTCAACTAGTTCCTATTCCTGATTGAATCCAGAAGCTAAATAAATAAATAAAAGGGGTACAGAACATAGTCAGTGTATTCAAAGTCACAGGTGACCCCCCAAATCCTTACTTAAATTCCTTGCAGTGTTTCTCAAACTTGGCAAATTAAAAATGTACGGACTTCAACTTCCAGAATTCCTCAGTCAATAAATCCCCCCCCCCAACTAGCTGGGGAATTCTGGGAGTTGAAGTCCACACATCTTTAACTTGCAAGGGTTGAGAGTCCCAAATTCCTTGCAATGAAAAGAAGAAGAGGGAAAACAAGCAGACAGACACACACAAGGCACTACCTCTTTCTTCAGCAATTCTTCTGCTTGTCTTCTGGTTATGTTTTTTAAATACCACCTAAAACACGACAAGATAATTGTCAAGAAAGAACCCCTAGGATGAAGAGCCTTGTGGGAGGAATTTATTTGGAATAAAGAATGAAAATGAAATTCTCCAGAATTTATTAGTGGTTCATTCCCAAAACTGCCCTTCTGTTTGATGCAAATATGGCGGGGAAAAAACCCAATGTTGAGCATCTGTGTGTTTTTTTCAGCATGCCCCAGTTTCTCCCTTCCTGCTCATCTTATTACCAGCTGATTTTTTTCCTCTGGAGTCCAGATGGACAAACTACATCTCAAATGATGGAGGAGGCATGGGACATCTAGAGGAAGAAGACTGACAATGGGGCAGAAAATCCCGCACTTGGACTGAATAATGCAGTCCATCAGCCTTCTGCAGTCTAGACTCCATTAGATGTGTTAGAGCAGGAGTCTTCAAACTTGGCCCTTTTATGACTTGTGGACTTCAACTCCCAGAATTCCTTAGCCAGGCAGTGCCTGGCTGAGGAATTCTGGGAGTTGAAGTCCACAAGTCATAAAAGGACCAAGTTTGAAGACACCTGTGTTAGAGTATATATGGCATCTCCACGAATGGCTCCAGCCCATGGATCAGAGGATACTCACTCAAATATCTCCAGAGAATCTCTTGTTTCGGTGATGTAATTGGAGGGAATGTAACCTTGTTTCCTGGATGAAAGGAAGCAGAAGGAGAAGGGGAAGAGGAAGAGGAAGAAGGATGGTAAGACCACTAGAGTTCTCGTGCAGAATGTCTGTCTTCCTTTATTCAATCTCAGAGAATGGCAAATCCAAAAACGAGAATCTTGATGCTTATATAGGTAAGTTGAATATAGGCATTGCCTTATTCAACATCACAAACAACTGCTCAAAACCGACCCTGTTTGGGAATTTCCCACAATTAAAGGAAGTCAGACATGATGGGGCAGATCTTTTAGTTGTGCGAGTAGATTAAAGGCAACTCTCCTCACTTCTTCAGTTTAAACCCTTGGGAACTCTATCTCTGGGATATTAAGCTAACATCAATCTAGATCAGCAAGGCTGGCTGAGGAATTCTGGGAGTTGAAGTCCACACATCTTAAAGTGGCCAAGATTGAGAAACACCGATCTAGACCCGGGGTCTCCAAACTTGTGGATTCCAACTCCCAGAATTCCTCAACCAACCATGCTGGCTGGAGAATTCTGGGAGTTAAAGTGAAAGGATTTTATTGTGCTTATGATTTTAGTATGTTTAAGTTTGACATTAGCATTTATTTTATATATAGTAACCATTTTATATTGATAATTATAGTGTTATCATGTCATCATTGTTTTGTTATTTTGTAATTATTATTTTGTAGTTAATTGCTTGATCAGATGCTTTATATATATATTGGAAAAGTAAGGGCTTCATACTTTAAGTATAGGTGATTGCTTATATGAAAAGAGCACAGTAAGGGGAGGGGGAAAGGAGTTACGGATGGAGCCTGGGTTGCTGTGTATGAGTCATCATCCAGGAATTGTTTTTTTGTGCCATCTTATGCCTAGTACCAAGACCTGATCTCTTTGTTCTGAAAAGGTATAAAAGGTGGAAGACATCTTTTCTACCAGCCACGAAGAGAGATGGGGTCACCCAACTCTGTTTTGATCAAAATAAAAGTTGTTTGCTTGCTGAAACCTCGGCTCAGGAGTTTCTTTGGTTCTTTTAAATTCCTGAGTAATGCTGGGGCAATTGTGAGGTTAAGTGGAAAACCTTACAAAAGTCCACATGTCTTAAAGTTGCTACATTTCAGACCCTTGATTTAGGCCAGGGGTAGGCAACCTTGGCTCTTTTATGACTTCGTGGACTTCAGCTCCCAGAATTCCTGAGCCAGCCATGCTGAGGGAAAGAGAGAGGTTTCCAAGCTCAGCCATGCTGGCTGATCTAGGCCATAAACCAAACCACAATGAAACCCACCCCAAAACACTGTGCCCATCCAAACATTGATGTCCTCCCATCTCATACCCGTTCTGGTCTTGTGCCCGCCACCAAGATTCACTGCTCTCCTCCAGGATGAGATATTCTTCCCCTTTCTGCAGCTGCAAGTCTTGGTCATTCATGGGGGTGTAATCGTAGAGAGCGATCACTTTCCTGGTCTTAGAAGGAATGCTGGTTGATGGCTTGGGCGGCAGAGGCTTCTTCATGAACTTTGGATAAATTGGGACAGTGAGGAGGAAAATAGTGAGGCCTTCCAGGGATCTGGTCACGAGACTTGTGCACTGCCCAGGCATTGGTGGTGTCAAATCTACCCACCCCTGCCCATGAAGATACCTGGTTCTCTTCTGGTGTTGGGGGCAACGGCTTTTCGGGCTTCTGAAGCAAACGGCCACTTTTGAAACCTGCAAGGAGAGGACAGTTGTGATTGATTGATTGATTGATTGACTGATTGATATGGCTGACATCCTGCCCTTCTGTCCATAGGTTCCTAACCATTACAGGTAGTCCTTGGCCTAGGCCAGCGGTAGGTGACCTTGGTTCTTTTATGACTCGTGGACTTCAACTCCCAGAATTCCTGAGCCAGCATGGGGGAACTATGGCCCCCTCATGATTGGTGGACTTCAACTCCCAGAATTCCTGAGCCAGCATGGGGGAACTATGCCCCCCTCATGACTCGTGGATTTCAACTCCCAGAATTCCTGAGTCAGCATGGCTCAGCTTGGAAACCTCTCCCTTTCCCCTCAGCATGGCTGGCTCAGGAATTCTGGGAGTTGAAGTCCACAAGTCATAAAAGAGTCAAGGTTGCCTACCCCTGGCCTAGGACCACAATTGGGTCTAGAATTTCCATTGCTAATCAATGGTGGTTATGTGAATCCCACCCGAATTTACAACCATTTCTGCCACAGTGAATCACATGGGCCTTAAATGAATCCAGCTTCCCTTGTTGACTTTCTTTGTCAAAGGCAACAAAGGAAGGTCACAAAACAAATGACTCCGGGATGCCACAAGCATGCCAGCTATTAAGCGCCTAATTTTTGATCACGTGATTGTGGGGATATCCTAAGTGTGAGGACCCAGTTGTAAGTCCCTTTTTCGGGGATGTTCTAGCTCTGAACAGCACTAAACGGTTGTAAGTTGAGGACTATTTGTACAATGAAAGGAAGAAGGAAAGATGGAGACGGAGATCAGAGGGAAGGAGAATGCGAGATGATCCCTTACTTTGACTCCTGCCTGCCAGAACTTTGCAACCCATGGCCATTTTGGCAGTCTGGAAGCAGCAAAGATATTGTCCATCTGTCCAGAAACAAGGATGATACTTCTGCACCAGGTTGCTGTTATAGTAGGTCACTGCAGCAAGATGGAACAAGAGAGGAGATTTCTGAAGAGCATGCTAAGAACTAACTCATTGTGGTCTGATTTATTTGTCAAAACATTCACTTAGCAATTCAACATTATGTTCATGACATCCAGACTGCTCAGGTTACTTTAATCCTGAGTGAACAAAACACAAGGATGTGTTTGCTTATCATGCGATGCTCAAACCAATCAATCTATGATTTTACAGCTTTTAACCTGACGTCCTAGTTCACATAACCTACTTGGAAAAAATCTGTTACCTACAACACAAGCTATCAGTTGTCTTTTTAGTTGAGTCTGACATATTGTACAAACCCAGCCATTATACCGGTCTTATGCCTAGGCCAGGGGTAGGCAACCTTGGCTCTTTTATGACTCATGGATTCAACTCCCAGCTATGCTGGCTCAGGAATTCTGAGAGTTGAAGTCCATGAGTCATAAAAGAGCCAAGGTTGCCTACCCCTGTCCTAGGCCCTTGCTTGGTGACAACCATCAATCTCATAATAAACCTTTCTTTCATTTGTTTCTCCCCAACATTTTTATCCGGCCATCCAACAACAGTAAAATTAAGCCATAGCTTTAATCACAATTAGAAAACCCATAAAAAGCAGATTAGGGGATGCAGAAGCTGAATGTATGAATTAGTGACGGATATAAAGCCTAATAAATAAATAAATAAATAACAGCAGGCAGCTACAATGATAGACAGCGCTGAAATGCTACTTTCAATTAAAGTCTTAGATCTTTAGAAAACTGCCAGTTTTAAAAACTGTTCAGTTTTTAAAAGAACTTTCCCCCCAAAATTGATGGTCTACAAATGCATTTGGGTCACCACCTCCCTGAATTATGTGTCTGCACTTTGTTTGATGGACAGCCTGATACATTTCAGATACGGCCCTTCTCTGATGTCTCAGATGTTTCAACCACATTACAGATGTTTCAACCACATGGACGACACTGACTGTTCTTCAGTTGGTGAATCCAGCGGGTCCGTAATTCCTCCATGGGAGAGAAGACATAAAGGGGTCCTTCATCGTATACAACCTTGGGGACACACAAAGCAGAGATAAAAAACAGTGGTTAAAGTATAGATAGTCCTCTATATAAATGATGTATTTTTTAATACCCCATCTTTTGTCAAGAAAATTTACTTAGGAGTGTGCTCACTTGTCTGAAATAGTATAGGTCAGTGGTTCTCAACCTGTGGGTCGCGACCCCATTTGGGGTCGAACGACCATTTCACGGGGGTCGCCAAACAACGCAGTCTGCCATTTTCCCCCCCTTTTCCTTAGCTGTGCTACTCCCTTTTATTCTATTGGCTTTTGAAAGCCAATAGAATAGATTCTCTTGAATAGAGTCTAATTCTATTGGCTTTCCAAAGCCAATAGGAATTGTCCAGGCTGTCTCTGCCCTGCTGAGCCCACCAAAAGTTCCAGTCTGCAAACGGTGCTGCACCAGTTGAGTAGTCCTCGACTTACGACCGGTTGAGTAGTCCTCAACTTACGACCGGTTGGGGGTTGCGGCATTAACAAGGTTGAGAACCACTGGTATAGGTTCTCCTGTTTGAGCGTGGCTGACTTAGGAATTTTGGGAGTTGAAGTCCACGAGTCATAAAAGAGCCAAGGTTGTCTACCCCTGGCCTAGTCTGACACAGAAGCCCAAGCTTCCTTGTTAGTGATTCATCAGTGAGGACTGGAAAGCTGATAGAAAAGAAACTTACTTGGAAGGGATAAGGAAACCGCTCTATAATGGAAATCTGCTCGTGTTCATTTGCATCTTCTTTTCGCTGCATGCAAAAGAGTTTGGAAATTAAATTAAATTAAGGTGACCAACCGTCCTCCTTTAGGGAGGACAGTCCTCCTTTTGTAAGTTCTGTCCTCCCTCAAAAAGTGTCCTCCTACATGTCCTCCTTTTTGATATTTGAAGACTAATCTGCAGGGCTTTTTTATCCCTTATAGAACGCTCAGAACAACTTTTGCATGAGCTGTGCTACTCCCCCTATTGGATTTTGAAAGCCAATAGGAATTGCTGCTGAGCGCGCCAAAACACCCGGCCGGCAAACTTTGCACATGCAAGTTGTCTGTATTATTGTTGCAATGAATAAAATGTTTCTTTTATTTACGCTATTTTTTTCTTCAATTTATTTGTGTCCTCCTTTTCATTGTAAAAAAGTTGGTCACCTTAATTAAATGAAATTAATAAATAACACATACATACATACATACATACGAGTACATCAAAGCTAATTCTATGCTTTCACAACGCACATCTGGGAAAGTTGGAGCCCTACTCCTAGCTCCCACAGGCAAAATGCAAAAACATCTTAATTTTCATAATCTGACTGTAAAATTTCCTTCCTACCAAGCCAGTTAGACGCCATTCTTTGTGGCTGGCTTTCCATTCCTAGCCAAGGATCCTAGTTTGGATATAACAGCAAAAAAAAACAAACAAAAGAAAAAAGTAAAGGATGCTTTTTTCTTTTATCATTTGACTGGTAGCTTCCACCAACAGGCCACCTGTTTGAGATTAAGCCAGCATTCTTACAAGAGGCAAAAATGTCTCCTTACCGATATCCGTCGTTCTGGAGGGGGGTCATTTTCTGGAACCACAATCTCGACACAAGTGATTTTATCAATGTCCACCGAGCCCTTCTTACTTCCTCTGCGCTGGAGGAAGAAAGTGAAAATATTTGGAAGGTGTTTTTTTTTTTTAAAGAGACCTAAAATTTCAATCTACAATTTGTGCAGTTGGAGAGATGGGTGAGATACAGTGACCTGAGGGGTGTCAGAAGACAGTTCTGCACAGTGACTATATTTTATCAGCCAGATGATGACTTCATTCTTGAACCCCAAAATACATGCCCTTGACACTGTATTCCTCCAAAATCCTTTTTTTTATAGGCGCTAGAACAGTGGTGGCGAACCTATGGCACGCGTCCCAGAGGTGGCACTCAGATCCCTCTCTGTGGGCATGCGCACTGTCACCCCAGCCCCGCCTCCCCCTGCGGTCCCCTTCTCACCAGTAGCCCCCCTGGAGGAGAGTCACCCCTGAGCGCGATCTGCACGGAGCAGCGCAGCCAAGGACATGGCAGCTGGGCAGTGGGGACAAGACTCCGCCATCACACCCCATCACGTGCAGATGATGCTGCGGGGCACGGGCGGAGGGTGTAACTGCCACGGCGCTGCTGGGCCGCTTGGGTGATCTACTGCGGTGGGCTGTGGAGGCGGTGGGTGGCCTTATGGCGGGGAGCAGGGATGGAGAGGGTGGGGCGCAGAGTGGGGTGGGGCAGGGCGGGCGGGGAAGCAGGGGCGGTTTTGGGACAGGTTCGCCATCATTGCATTAGAACTTTTCATGACAGTTGCAAAATATTAGCTAGTTCAGAAGATCTGCACATTCTTCCATTCCCAGGAAATGATTAACCAAATTCCCTGTCATCAAACACTTATATTAGCAAGAGAATTAAGAGCCCTCCATACAGCGCTAACAAACCTAGGGATGAAATGGGTGGATAAAGTGAGAGTATCCAGTTGTCGATGTTTCTGAGACCTCATCCTTTTTCCCTTTCAATAAATCTGGTTAAAGAAGACTTTGGGCCAATCTTGTTTTTCTGTTGTTCAGTTCTCCGGGACTCACCCCACGTTCAAAGTCATATTCATAGTAAGAGAGCTTGCTTTCTGTCAACAGAAACAGGCGCTTCTTGAAATTCAGCGGAGACGTTTTCTTCTTTTGCTGAGAACGCTTCAGGAAGATGCTCTCTAGGATAACATTGGACATGACGCCTCTTTTCCTCCTTTTCCTCTTCCTCCTCCGTGATCAATTTGCTGGACTGCCGCTGCCAACAATCATAAAAACACTAAGGAAAATCCAACAGCAGGATTTATTTCTATCCAATCAGAGATGGCAGTGCCACGTTCTGCAGCCAGAAGTATTCAATTCTGTAGAGTTGCTGGCATTTGGGTGGCACGTAGATTTAATAGTTTTTATCCTACTTATTTATTCCTATCCTGCCTTTATTATTTTTACAAATAACTCAACGTAACAAACATATTCATACCTTCTCTTATTTTCCCCATAACGACAACCCTGTGCGGTGGGGTGGGGCTAATAAATCATAAGTTACCAATAGAAGGTAGTAGGAAAGATGAGAAGATAAGAAAGATGAGAATATGAGGAGGATAGTAGCAATACAGCCCTACTACATGGGTAAGTATCCTTTAAGTATAAGACAGTGCTGTGGGAATTAGATGTTCAGCAGAGCGATGGCACAGGGGGAAAACCGCTTTTGTGTGTCTAGTTGTTTTGGCATGCAATTAGACTATTATTAGATATTAGACTCTAACATCCTGAGAAAACAGCTTGAATTAAAAAGGAAAAAAAAGGAAGTGCTACAGTACTTCCTTGAACCAGTTGACTCCAGTCAGGGAAATGATTATCATTTTGACATACCCTGCAACCCCATTTTTGCACCGGTTCAGCACCTACTGTGTACCAATGTGCTTTATGAAAAAAATGGGGCTATGCAACCCTAACATCAAGCAAAGGAAGCCTGGAGTCCTAAACCGTCTTCTGCTTGAAGACACTCATCCGAGCCAACCTTACAATCTCCCCTGAGCAGTATCTCTGTTGTCAAAATGCTGCTCCTACCAGGATGATTTCCATAATAACTGGAGTCTGCCTTCTAAAGTCTAACTTTAAGAAAAGGTTGACGCAAGGTGGCTTCAGATTCTAGAAAAGCCCAATTGTACGCTGCTAATCCTTGCCCTGCTTGTCTTTCCTTCAAGCTAACTATATCCAGTATCTACCTTTGGTCTGCCCATCTTTGCATCTTTGTGTTGGGCTTTAGCTTCACAGATCATGTGAATTTGGCCGTTGTGCTTTGCAAACCACCTATTACAAAGATGAGTGGCATGTATGAACCCAGCCAGAGTAACTCTGTAGAAGGCTGAAGGCTGAAATCCTATAAAAGTCAAGTAGACAGAACTTGCTTCTGAGTCAAACTAGGCCTCTACAAAATGTCCATGCCAAATAGGAAGAGAGCTTCTCTCTTGAAAATGCACACATCTGTTAGTGAATGCAGCTGCCTCTTCTGTGTAATTTTTTTTTTAAATCAAGAATCGCCCTGCATGCCCTGTAAGCTTTCAGACTGCCTATAATGGACAGCTGCATTCTCAGAGATTTGCAAGGCTGGGTTCCCAGAAAGGTGCCACGTTAGAGGAACGTGCATCAGACAGACGTAAATATTATATAAAATGTTTGTATTTATTTCTCCTCCAGGCATTAACCCAATACTGATATAGAACAATTGTTTTAATTGCTTAAAAGCTCTTTCTTTGCTAGAATGAAGAAAGAAAGAAAGAAAGAAAGAAAGAAAGAAAGAAAGAAAGAAAGAAAGAAAGAAAGAAAGAAAGAAAGAAGGAAGGAAGGAAGGAAAGGATAGAGATGAGAGAGAGAGATAAGAGAGGAAGAGGTAGAAGTAGAAATAGAGGTAGAGATATAGTGATAGATAGATAGATAGACAGACAGACAGACAGACAGATATAAAGAAACAAAGTCACTTACTGGCTATTTCCTCTTTCTTTCCTTCCGCAAATGACAGGCAATCCTTTCAGCAGGGCCCCCCCAGATCCTGGGAGATGTGACCCCCACTGCCTTCCTGATGTTTGAGCAGAGGGTGACAGCGATGGCAGTGGCCGGAGATTGATTGGAAGAGCCACATTGAACAACATGCAGTCCAGCTCTCATCTGAGCCAACCCCACCCTTTCAGTTCCTCTTTTCTTAGTTTCTGACCGAGCTGTGTTTCCTCTCACTGAGAGGCCACATGGGTGCAAAAGAAGACTATTTTAATTTTGGGGGGAGGGAAGAAGGGATCTCTCGTCTTTGCCCTCCCCCCTAAAGGCAATGAAATCCTCTCCAGATGCGAAAGAACTGCTGGACAGATGTGGAAGCCAACCATGGAGACCAAAAGGACCAACAAAAGGTTTTCACCTAAGGTTGCACAGTATTCTTCCTCCAACAGTTGGGTTAGAAGCGTCCTGTGGAATCCAAAAGTTTGCTACTTGAACTATGGCCTATCGAAAGAACGGCTGGCACAGCAAAGCACAAGAGACCAAAACAGCTGTGGTTGGCACGAAGAGTTTAACTGGTAGACCCTAATAAAGGAGAATATTTGTAGCTCAGGGTTGAAATGAGAGGTCCTTGGTGCTCTCTGCGCTTTAGTTGTTTCCTTGCAGACGTTTCATGACCCAACTAGGGAACATCATCAGAGCTAGCACTGATGATGTTCCCTAGTTTGGGTAAACACTAGATTCAATCACACACACATTAAGCCCTGGGATTGGTTTGGGTTTAGCTGTGTGGTCCCAATTCATATACTCCATACCCTGAAATGTATGGTTCCTATAACCCAGTGGTTCTCAACCTGTAGGTCGGGACCCCATTTGGGGTCGAACGACCATTTCACGGGGGTCACCAAACAACGCAGTCCACCATTTTTTCCCCCTTTTCCTTAGCTGTGCTACTCCCTTTTATTCTATTGGCTTTTGAAAGCCAATAGAATAGACTCTCTTGAATAGAGTCTAATTCTATTGGCTTTCAAAAGCCAATAGGAATTGTCCAGGCTGTCTCTGCCCTGCTGAGCCCATCAAAAGTCCCATTCTGCAAATGGTGCTGCACCAGTTGAGTAGTCCTCGACTTACAACCGGTTGAGTAGTCCTCGACTTACAACCGATTGGGGGGTCACGGCATTAAAAAGGTTGAGGACCACTGCTATAACCCAACAAAATGAAGCTTATTCAGCAAACCAGGGGTAAGCCAATTATGGTTCGGTGTGTGGTACTAAGCCAGTCCACAGAGGAGATTCCTTTTGCAGCTTGAACTGGGGTTTAATGTTGGTTGTAAAGGTCTGGTTATCAGGGTCCTGCGTAATAACTGTCTCTGACCCTGTAGTTACTGTATTTGGCAGCACTTGATTTTAGCCAGCGCCTGCCTTGTTTTTTGCAAGGAACAATCAATCCAAATTAAAACGTGGCTTTTCCAAACTGGTCTAATTCGATGAGGGGTCTTGTCGGCATTGTCGACTTGACTTCGGTCGGCTGGATTCTGACATGTCACTTGGCCACGGTTTGTTCAATCATGACTGAAGTCACATCTGGCTGATTTCAAACCACAGACTAAGCTAAAAATAAACCAACGACCTTCTGTGCATGTGGAGAGACACGAGCCCTTGCAAGCCTGGCCTCAACTCGGATGAAGTCTGGAAAGAAAGAAAGAAAAAAAAAATCCTAAGGTTGCAAAGCCATCGAGGCTTCCTCTTTTTGCGAATTTCACTACAAAGAAATGATGATCTCTTTTTTTTCCAGGAAAAAATGTCTACCCCCCCCCCCCAAAAGGACAGAGGTGGGAAACCACCCTTCTGCTTTTTTGCGTGTCCGGCACCTAAATACGGTTCCTCCTCTGGTCATTTGAGTGATTTGAACCTAAATCACGGACAGCGCTTTCACGAAACGATGAAAAAAGGGAATTATCCCAACCTCTTTGCCTCACAGTATTTGCTCTCCTACCGCCTCCACTTCCTGCCTTTTCCGACAGGTGGCAGTCGCGGTTTCCTGAGGTCTTCCAAACCGTTGTTGGCTGGGTATGGCGCTCTGTCCTCCAAGCTTCCTTCCTTTTCTTTGCTCTATGGTCTTTACTTCCGCTTCTAGCGGGAGGCTCTTTCTCTGGGCGCCGATAACGTCGGCAAGATGGTGAGTTAAGCGAATCCGGTTCCATCAGGCGCTGGGACTGAGGGTTGGGGCCTCGGAGCGGAGCCGAGGGAAGCGGCCAAGACCGAATGCCGCGGCTGTGGGGTTCCCATGGGACGTGGAGAAAAGGAACGTGGTTTTACGTTGGGTAAAGCCGGAGCAAAATATGGAAGGAATACAGGACGTGGTTCTCTGTAACTACTAACAGCCCTGCCCTGGCTTAGGCCTAGTTTTCAGTGCAGCAGCCAATCAGATCTCTCTAAAAGACTCCGGGATGCTTAAAAGAACTGATCCCTGAACTTCAGTTTTCCTTCTCCCTCCCTGTCCCGTTTCCCTCTTTGGATCTTCGATTGTAAGTCTTAGCCAGGGAACCTTGGCTCTTTTAGGACTTGTGGACTTCAACTCCCAGAATTCCTTGAGTCGGCGTGACAGTTCTATTAATTCAGTGTTTCTCAACCTTGACCATTTTAAGACATGTGGACTTCAACTCCCAGAATTCCACAGCCAGCATTGCTGGCTGTGGAATTCTGGGAGTTGAAGTCCACATGCCTTAAAATGATCAAGGTTGGGAAACACTGTATTAATTGGTGTAAAACTGATTCCTTGACAGGTGAACGTCCCCAAAACCCGCAGGACTTACTGCAAGAAGTGTGGGAAGCATCAGCCCCACAAAGTCACCCAGTACAAGAAGGGGAAAGAGTCTCTCTATGCGCAAGGTGAGTTGTGTTTGGCGCATCAGTCTCTAATTAGCCCTCCGTGCATTACAGCACTGCGTTCTCACTTCCCGATTTCTTTTAATGATGAAAGAAAGGGGCCTCGTTTCCTTTCCACGCTTTGATTTATTCTTGGGTACAATGGTCGTTTGCGTCGGTTTCTAAATATATATGCATGGTTGTTTTTTTTAAAGCCTTTGTTTCTTCTCCATAAGGCAGTGGTTCTCAACCTTTTTAATGCCGCGACCCCCCAACTGGTCGTTAAGTCGAGGACTACTCAACCGGTCGTAAGTCGAGGACTACTCAACTGGTGCAGCACCGTTTGCAGGATGGGACTTTTGGCGGGCTCAGCAGGGCAGAGGCAGCCTGGACAATTCCTATTAACCCCCGTGAAATGGTCGTTCGACCCCAAATGGGGTCCCGACCCACAGGTTGAGAACCACTGCCATAAGGGGAGGAAAGGGCCACCGTCTCAATTCGTTTCCATTCAAACAAGAGATACAGAGGTCACACAGTTTTCACATTGTACTAAATTTCTCTTTGTAAAGAAAAAAATGTTTAAACTGCTTATACATAATTAAGAACAAAAGGCCTCAAATGTAGGGGGGAGGAAAAAAACATGCAGTTGGGCATTCTGAAAAACCCAGGAGCCAAAGGGAAGCATTGAAACATTCCATAAACAACAGCGGCGATGTAAATTTCTCACTTTCGGAGGCCATAGTATATTAAAAAAAATTCAGTAAATAAGGATGATTGTGTTGAAATAATCGGTCCTGTTTGTTGACTCGGGAGGTTTGCAGTTGAGAAGAAACAGGCCGTGGTTTTATCTGAGGAAACTTTCTTTTAGGAAAACGGAGATATGACCGTAAGCGCAGCGGCTATGGTGGTCAGACAAAGCCCATCTTCCGGAAGAAGGTAAGCTTTCATTTGGTAGACCCTGGATGCTGCCCAGACTGTTGAATCTTATTTGAAGAATTAATGTTGGGAGATAGAGAATTTGACCCCTTTTCTTTGTTAGGATGCTGACAGAGACTGTCAGGGGCATAGGGGATGGCCTTGAAGAGTTGCCATCAAGGCAACGGTCCGATAAAAGAGTCTTGGGCCCCTAACATGTCTCCAGAAGCCCCTCCATAATTTACAGGAAGATCAAGTGAAGGAGAACACATTCAGACATGCAAGATACTCTTACTGCAGCTGCAATAAAAGTAGTCCTCAACTATATGGCATTGCTGTCTTAGTCTGGTCTACCTTGTTGAACTGTGACTAATAGGCCCCACGTCAAGAAAGATTTCTCTTTCTAGAAGGCTACTAAAAGCCTTCAAAGCCTGAAGCTTCCACGTCTGCATATCACCACTTTGCCTCGCAGCAGATGTGGAGAAGACCGAGAAGGGTAAAGTTTCTGAAATGATCTGGCTTGAGGATGTATAGCACCTTCTCTTTCCTGCTTGCAGGCCAAGACCACAAAAAAGATTGTGCTGAGACTGGAGTGCGTGGAACCAAACTGCAGGTCGAAGAGGATGCTGGCCATCAAGAGGTGCAAGCACTTCGAGTTAGGAGGCGACAAGAAGAGAAAGGTACCACTTGAGCTATGTTCTGGGCAGTGGTTGAGCCGTTGCTTTAGTGCAGGGGTCTTCAAACTTGGCAACTTTTAAGACTTGTGGACTTCAACCTCAGGGCTGGCTGAGGAATTCTGGGAGTTGAAGTCCACAAGTCTTAAAAGTTGCCAAGTTTGAAGACCCCTGCCTTCGTGTCACCAAACAAGACTGGCCTGCTTGGATGATGATGTGCTTAGCAGTTCTGGAGATAGCAGCTTTCATTTGGAACACCAGATTAGCCGCTGAATTGGGTGGAATGCAAACAATAAATAGAAAGTATTTGAGTAAGGAATATAGAGAAATGTGATAAATTTGACTAGTTTTCTTTTACTAGGATATTTGAAGTTACATCTTTTGTTGTTTTTTTTAAATAACATCTGTCTGGATATGGTGATAAAATAAGACAGTCCTAGAGTTAAACTGTCCAACTTGTCATAAAACCACAGGGAATAGGGATTGCAGCCTGTCACACTTGGAAAAAAATGGGGAGAACCAGGTTGGAGAATCTTATCTCAGGCTTCCTAGAATCGCATCTCCCAAGATCCCAAATCCATAAATTTGTAATTAAGTCTAGGTATATTTTCAGTTTTCTAAGAAGGATTTTTTTCAAATTGAAAATTCAATCAAACGAAATGTGTTTTCATTTGTCACTATATCAGATCCTCAGTTGATGTCTTTATTTCTCTCTTCACAGGGCCAGGTCATCCAGTTCTAGATATCCTTTGGTATGGAACCCATTAAAATTCTGTCAGAACACAATGATGTGTTGTACTTTCTTTGTTGCTCGTTGTTGGGAGATACCCTTAAGAGTTCATCCGATATGAAGACCGTTCTTCCCACAAAGTGCACATTGTTAACAAAATAGGGAATGTGATTAGCTGAAGAAGCTGCTCCTGATTTGGGAAAATAAATGTGGGAGGGAAGGCTTTTTCAGTTGTCCCGCCTGTTGGGTTAGAGTTTCTATCCAATTCCACATATTCTAATTCTACACATTAACTGTTTACTTAGTACATTATATTCAAAAGCATATCGTTGAAAGCAGATTAAAATGCACTCAAAATACATTGTGTTCAAAAGCAAAAAAGTAAAACTGCTCCACGTTCTTTATTTTCAAGACATTAATTGCAGTTTTTAATGTACATATTTATGAAAAGAGCGTGGCAGAAATTATCTTCTGTTTGAAGAAACTTTCACAAAACTTTTGACATTTTATTCTTCCATGAATGGTTCAAAAGAATTGATTGGATTCCTTTTGTCTTCGTTTTCCTTCAAGCAGTAACAGCAACTGGAATAAACATGAGTTTGGCTGACTTGATCATAAACTGGGTCCTCAGTGGCTGCCTTGGAGAAAGCTACTGGTAGCACACGTCAATAAGGCAAAAAAGATTTATTCAGATTGGGGCAAAAAGCATTTTAATGAACTGCAAAATTCAGGTTCAGACCTAAGGGCTGAAATTCTCAAGGTCAAAGTGAGGTAGTGCCATTCGGAGGTAGGTAGATAGATTTTAAAAGTACTATGTAACTCGGCGCAACTTTTGGTGAGCTGCAGAAGTCTCTAAATTGAGACTGGAGAGTCTTAATTTAGAGACTTCTGCAGCTCACCAAACGTGCCGAGTTACACAGTACTTTTAAAATCTATCTGCTGGGTTTTAGTGGAGTGACAAAGTGTGCCCAAATCCTCTTTTAAGAATTTCTTCAGTTATTGCACAATCTGCCCGTAGAGCTATTGCATTCTCACATATCCCTAATTTTGATCCAGTGACGGTTGAGAAGCAATTGCAAGTATATACAATTGCAATCCTCTTTTTTTGTGTCCCGGCAAAGTCCACAGCACAGGAAAACAAACTGCTGCTGTACCGCAACGGTTGTGTTTGTAAACACGATTGGCGCTAATTTTGCTTCCAGCTGTGCCTCCAGAAAGACTCTCGTCCTTTTGAGGTTTAAAATCTGAGAATTCTGAAAAAAACATCTCGCATTTCTTGACCGTCAGCTTCCTGAAGCAAAAGACTACCGTGATTTCCCTTTGGGAGGGTTTGTTAGGCTTTGCCTTAGATCCTCTTGAAAGCGTTTGCGAGGGGAGGACGTTGTCATGTTATAAGAGATCGTTAGGGTGGCTTCTTCCATTGTCAGTAAAAAGTGTGCTTGTGTTCACCACTATCTTCAGCAAGACAGTACCAGTTGGGTTCACCACCAGCTTCAAATATGAAACCCAGTTGTGTAGCCCAAAATCCCTCCTGGTAGGAAGAATTTGTTGGATCAAACAACTGGGATTACAAGCTAAGCCATTGCCAAGGATCATGGTAGCAAGAACATAGGACTGTGGCCCACCCATCTCCTTCCGGTTTATTACAGCTACAGCACACGCTCCATCCGAGAGCGGGCGTTCCCACAGCTCAAAGCTTTGGTCCTAGGGAGAATAAATAAATTCAGTCAGAAGAAGCATGAATGCATCCTTAATCAGATTACACAGTAAGAGGCCAAGAATGGATGCGTTAAATGAATCCAGTCTCCCTATTTGATCTTGTTACGGAGGGCATCATTTAATAATCTGTAAAATTGATAAGCGTTAACTTTAGTTCTCAAAGTTAACCATAAGTACAAGAATACTCTTAAGTTCGTATCAATTCCTTCTGACTAGGCGTAGTGTATTTCAAAGTACATTATTACACAAAATACAAGCATATTAAAGCCAATGGAATGTTTGAGGGACGATAGATCTATTCATTTCTAAAATACGCCATTCATGGTGATTTTTTTTTTTATCATTTGTGTAATGGCACTTACGCAGATGGCAAAACGGTGCAAGCAACGTAAATATAATTTAACATAAATTTAAGGGCTTTGTCGAGGCTGCTTTGGGTGGAACAGGCTTGTATGTCTATTCAAGGATGAAAATGTTGGTTGCATTCAAAAATCCAATAAATAGGGGAGGGAGATATCGTAAATCACAATTATAGTGTACTATAACTCTGTCCTTGACCTGCAGCTGAAGCCTCCAGCGAGATGGTCTTACCTTGGTAATTCGGTAGCCCTGCTTGCCCAGGGGATCCTGGTTGATCGCTATCACTTCCTTGTTCTGGAGGAGAGCCTTGGCCCGGGAGCTGATCTGACGCAGGTCATTGGACATCAGCAGCGGAGCTGCCATAATAGCCCAAAACGCCATCTGTGTTATTTGCTGGTCCCAGCTCAGTCCAAAATTTCCAATCACAAGCTGGAAAGAAAAGTGCCTTTCACACTACCAAATTCAGCTGGAGAGTAGGAACGGAGAGATTCTGGCAATGAAAGTCTGCTTCCCCAGGCCCATCAAGGATGACAGAGGAGTGCCTGACTCAACCCCCGGGAGATTCACCTTCAAAAAACCAGATCTCTTACAAACTGGGTCCACGCATCGTGTTAAGCCAAAATCCAAAGAAACCAGGTTATGGATTATTGGTACAATGTCTGGAACACCTTCTCTGCCAGTTCCATCTAATGCTGGGTGGTGAATTGTTCTGGAGCTTTTACATTTGACGCAGAAGAAAGGAACAAGGCTCACAACTTCCATGCCCTGGGGACACGGGAGGGTCTGGCACCAACCAACTGTTGTATGCGGTCGTTTGCTGAATGGGCCAGGGTGCTCTGATGGCTACTCTTGCTAAACTTAGTTTGCTGAAATTTCCTGCCATTTTGAAATAGGAAATGGGACGTTAAGCCTAACAGCAAATTTTTGTTTGTCCACAGCTCAGAGTCGCTTTGGTGAGACAGGTGGTGTGGAAGTTTTGATAAGATGAATAAACCTTTAAAAAGACCTCACTCACTTTGCCTCCCTGCCCTACTTCTGGAACACATCAAGTCCCCCAAAATGTCACAGGAGGCCCCCTGAAAGTAGAAAACTGTCCATGGGACAAAGCTATTACTTCAACACTCCAATTTTTAAATGTCGGGGGATTCTCAGTCATCCAAGTCATAGTTGTCTCGAGCCCCCCACCTCACAAAGGTAACTGGACTGGCTTTTTTCCTTGAGAAGAAGACATTTCACTTCTCATGTAAGAAGCTTCATCGGTTCTGGCAGGTCCAGCACCCCACTATCCTGCCAGAACCGATGAAGCTTTTTGGAGGAGAAGTGAAATGTCTTCTCAAGAAAAAAAAAATCTAATTGCCTTGGGGGGGGAAATCATCTTTGAGATTCCAATTGTTATCATTCAAAGCAATAATCAGGTATCATCCTACTGATTTTACCATTTTGGTTTGATGAATATGCAGGCTATTAACAGAGGCATTTATACCGGCTGGGCAGTTGGCCCCAGGGCAGGTTTTCTTACCATGTCTGGGTCATTCCAGCCACCCGGCCCTGCTATGTCAACCAGAATGTCCTGGTGTGAAGAAGTCCAATCTAAGATATTCTTGATGCTGATCCAGGTATCAGAGATGTCAGCATAATTCCTCCAGTAATTGCAGTATTGCTTAATTTCTGTATAGTTGACCTGCCAGGAAAAAAACGCAAAGAAGACACATTCCTTTCATATCTTCAGCCTTAAAAATTGAGTAGAAGAGACTCAAAGAATCAGAAAAGGCTTTTCAAGTTGCAAGTGGGAGAACCTCATAAATAAACAGCACAATTGAACGAACTTGAGAAATTGTTGGAAGCTGCTTTAGTACGGAGTCAGATCCCTGCTCGACACAGGTAAGTCTTCTATACCAGATACATGCAAACCTGCTGATTGTTTTCTCCTAGAAAGAGATCAGAAGAATCCCTCCTTACCTTTTGAAAGGGTCTCTGGTAAAGTGGCCATTCACAGGAATATACAATATTTCTGCCAGTTTTATTTAGAGCCGAAGACATTTTCTTATAACCTGGTAGGAAAAAGAAACAGCCCATCATTAAAATATTCCAGCCTTTCCCAACATCTGCAACAAAAGGTAGGCCTACATCAAGCTTGACTTCTCTGGACTACAGGGAGTCCTCCTTTAGTGACCACAGTTAAGATTGGCAACTCCATCATTAAGGGGAGCAGTTGCTAAGTGAAACCCCAGCCGTTACAATCTTGCTTCAGCTTTCTTTTGCTTAGAGGCCTGCAAAGGTCAGAAATGCAGGGATTGAGCTGCAAAACTGCCTTTTAATTGTAACTGTGAATGGTTGCTAAATGAGGCAGCTGCTAGATAAGGACTCTCTTTATTTAGACATAGAATCACAGGATTGGAAAGGACCATGGAGATTTTCTAGCCCAACCCTCTTCCCAGGGCAGGCCTCCTCAGATCTGCCCAGACCAACAGTAATGAGTGGTAGAAGCACTCATTAAAAATGGCAGAAAATTTAAGATAGCATAGTGCCAGACAGGTGGCAGCGAAGCACGAATATCAATTGCCAAAGTCTAGCTGGTATATATTTATATGGCTTTCCATATAAACTAACAAACTGGAGGCCAACAGTGGCTTGTCAGCTACACTTTATCACAGAGTTGTCCAACCTTGGCAACTTTAAGACTTGTGGACTTCAACTCCCAGAAGTCCCCAGCCAACAAGTTGTCAATGTTGGACAACCCTGTTTTATGAGAACCTGGTTGTGTGAATCCTTCCAGCTGTGGCTTATTCAACAGATCGCAGGAAAAACCAGCCAAGGCTTAGCAGATTGCATGAACTTAACAGTTAACCTCTTTTACTGACTCCGCTTCCTGTCGCAAACACACCTTCAGCCATCTCATCCAGAGTCCCAAAGTCACATCCGTCGAATTTCAGCAGATCCACCCCCCAGCTGGCGAAGGTCTCTGCATCCTGTTCGTAGTGGCCATAGCTGCCGGGATAGCCAGCACATGTTCTATTCCCAATGTCGGCATAAATGCCCAGCTTCAGTCCTTTGGAGTGGACCTGAATCACGGATGCCAACAGGAAAAGCAAGATCAGAAAACAGCAGGCAAATTATATTTCCTAAGCATTCCTTAAAAAATAAAACAAAACATACTCAAGCTAAACTTTTGCAACCTGGCACTCTCCAGATGTGTGGGCCTATATAGTCAAAATTCCCCAGCAAGTATAGAATGCAAAATTATACCTCTAAAATATCTGGCCCATGTGTAGATAGGCTGCTTTGAAGGGGCCAGACAGAGGGTGAGAAAGACAAAAAAATATGCCATCCATCAGCAGAAGGAGCAGAAATTTAGATTACAAATGCAGATTAGTTTGATCAACACATATTAGAGGAAATATCCAGGTGAAACCACCACCCACAGCTGCAGTCTATCTCTAAATATCAGTTGCTGAAGATGGAGACCAAGGAATCAGAAGTCCCATTATGGTCTGCCTTCAAGATTTGAGAAAAACCATCAAAGACAGAGCGTCAACCTCCACCCCAGGTTAGAACTTTTTGATTTGATCCAGCAGAATGATTCTTATGGAATTGTGGAGAAAGTGAATTAGGTAATTTATGGGTTGCAGTTAGAAATTTATACAGAAGGCAAAGTATAAATTGCTTTTGTTTAGAAAATCTCTCCCACCTTCTTTAGAGGGAAATTGGATTAACAACAGCAGCAGTAACCGTTGCCAGGCATCCGGCATTCCTGACTTTTAACTTCCAGCTTCCCCAACTTGGAAGAAGCCTCCAGGAGAAAATTCCCAAGCACCCACTCACATAGTCTGCGAGTTTCTTAATCCCGCTGGGGAAGCGTTTGGGGTCTGGCTGCAGCCGTCCTTGTTTATCGCGGGTGGGAGCCATCCAACAATCATCGATGCACAGGAAGTGGTACCCAACCTCCTTCCATCCCTCCGATGCCATCCGGTCAGCCATCTGCATGAAGAGCCGCTCACTGGGAGTAGAGAGGGAGGGAAAAAGGTCAGAGGGGAATAAGGACGTAGAAACTGGAGGGGGGAGAAGAACAGTTGTGTCTTTCATTCCCTGGGAAGTTTCAGACTGTCTGAATGGCAACAGGTCTGTCACTTCCTAGGCAAAGTAGCCATGTTCTAACCTAGCCAAAACCACTGATGTTCTGCATGCAGTTATGGGCAGAACTCTGCCTCCTTCCTAGTCTGAGGGCCAAGGCTGGTCTGATTTGCACATTGCAGTTGGTCATATAGTCCTTGATTTACAACAGTTCATTTAGCGACTGTTCAAAATTACAATGGCGTTGAAAAGGGGGACTTATGACCCTTTTTTCACACTTGCGACCGTTGCAGCATCCCCGTGGTCACGTGATCAAAATTCAGATGCTTGGCAACTGCTTCATATTTATGCCGGTTGCATTTTCCTGGGGGGGGGGGGTGTCACATGATCAGTTTTTGCGAACTTCTGACAAGGAAAGTCAATGGAGAATCCAGATTCAGTTAACAACCATGTTAACAAGGGCAATGATTCCCTTAGCCACTGTGGCATGGAAAGTCGTAAAATGGGGCAAAACTCACTTACATGTTTCACATAACAACGTAAATTTGGGGCTCAGTTGTGATCGTAAATTGCGATCTCCCTGCACTTGGCTTACTCCCGCTTGGTGAATAAATAGAAGTTTTGGGCAATATAAGGGGCCACAGGAGCCCTTTCCACCACAAAACACTTGGAAAGACTGTGTCCTAGATTCCACTCAGAAGTTAGAAATTCCCAAACACAATCTCAACCATTCAACTAGGGGTAATTACACAAGGGGGTAATTTGACAATATGCTGGGGTTACTAATCTGTGGTGCTTTTTTTGTGTGGGAGTAATGACATTCAAGATCAGGAAAAGGAATAATTGGGTCAAATAGTTTAAGAACCACGGATCTGTGGTAGATACTTATCTCTACTTCTGAAGAAAAATGACAGCCTAAATTAAAATTGCTAGGACAAAATGCCATGAGTTTCAGCTGTTTTGTTGATGAAAACACTACCAGAATTCCAATGATAACCTTCCAGTCCTTTAAAAATCCAACGTATCTAATAAACCTGATCACAGTTCTTTGCTAAAAAAGGACCAGAGTATTTTCTTCCAAATGAACCCTATAGATAGATAGATAGATAGATAGATAGATAGATAGATAGATAGATAGATAGATAGAGATATATGAGTTAAAGGGAAGCTGGTGTAGCTATTTCAAGCTTCTTAGCTCTCATCAGCTAGCTATACCCTTCTGACATTCGAATATTTGGGCCGACCGGGTGCATCATAAAAAACACTTACACACACACACACACACACGGGGCTTTTTTGTCATAGAACACCCAGAATGGAGTTCCGGCACCTTTTTTTGGATGGAACCTTGTAGGGTAGGCAAGGCGGGTTGTATGACGTGTGTGAGTTCTGGCACCTTTTTTTTTTTTTTTTTACAAAAAAAGCAGTCCTATTACACCCAGGGGAAATTCAAATTATTCTCCAAGGGGAAAGATGGCTATACAAACAGGGCAATGAGGTGCCCATTTAAATCTGTAAAACTAGGGACTTTCCTTTTTTTCAATTGTTGTCTGTTGTTTCTAAGAGTAGCTGTGTTTTATCGTGCCTTTCATGTCTTAAAAATATATATTAATATATTTTAAGATCACAGCATAGAGAGATAGATAGATAGATAGATAGATAGATAGATAGATAGATAGATAGATAGATAGATAGATAGATAGATAGATAGATAGATAGAGCATAGTTTGGTCTTGGCTCTTTCTTGTGTGACTCCTGGGCTGACTTAACCAGTTTAGTTAAAAGGTGGGTGAACTGAGAGGCTGATGTATGAGAGACCAGGACAAGCAACGGGCAGGTGTGGGAGTTTGGGAAGGGAGCGGGCAGAGGCGACACCTTCCTTAGAGGCTCCGTGCCACTTGCTCCTTCACCAAGGGAGGGGGGAAGAGGCAGGCAGGGCGGCCTTACCACGAGCATCGTCCTACCTGATGCAATCGCGGGGCTCCCGCTCGCAGTCCGTCTGGCAGAGGAAGCGCTCCCAGTGCAGCCAGCCCATGGGCGGCGTCCGCGCCAGCCCGTTGTCCAGCGCGGCGCCCAAGCCCGCCGCCGCCACCAGCAGCGCGCCCAGCCACAGCTCCGCTCGCCCTCCGGCCATTGCGGCGTCTCTCCTCCGAATCAGGCCGGGACTCTCGGAACGAGGCGCTGCGGCCAATCGCAGCCCTCCGCTCCTCCCTCTCGGCCAATCGCAGCGCTCCCACCCCTTCGGCCAATCGTCTCCCGCAGGAATGAAAGAAGCTGAAAATCTTTTCCCTCTTGTGATGGAAGTTGGGTCACGTGACACGCGCACGCCACGTGATTGGGCAGAGTGTCGCTGTTAACCGAGGGCGGCTCTTCCAACAGGGCCCTTGGATGGCTTGTGGACTTCAACTCCCAGAATTCCTCAGCCAGCCAGGGCTGGCTGAGGAATTCTGGGAGTTGAAGTCCACAAGCCATCCAAGGGCCAAGTTTGAAGAGCCCTGCTGTTCTAACTGTTCACCTTCAGCGTTAATAGAACTTCATTTTTTAGTATATACCGAGAAGGTTAGATAAATAGAAGTATTAATGTAAGAGAAAATTAATCTTATTGTATATAATACAGATAGGGAAATTTGGAGAGAGGAGTTGCTCGGACATTACCCCTGAATTGTATCTGAAGAGGGATGAGAGGGAAGAAAGGAGAGGAGAGAGAAAAGAGTAAAGGAGGGGAGAAGGAAGTAGGAAGGTTGGAGGAGAAGAAGAGAAGTGAGGAGAAAGGGGAGGAGAGTGGTGAAGGAAAAAGAAGAGGAGAGGAAGAAGAGGGAAGTAGGGAAGAGAAGAAAGGGAGAAAGAAGGTAGAGAAGAAGGAGTGTGGATGCAGTGAAAGGGGAAATGGGCGAGCAACACCAAAAGTCATGTGTGTGTATTTATTTCATTTTATTAAAAGTATCTTATATATGAATGTAAAAAGAATGTATGTTAACATCTGATAAATATCATGGTATATGTATGGGGGAGAGTTTAGAAAAATAAAAAATAATTTTTAAAAAAAGAACATTTTTGACCGATGCAGCGCACGATAATTGCCATTGCTCCGACAAAAAATAATCCCCAAGCAAAACTGTGTAACCAGGAAAATGCAGGATAAATACATCAATGCATATGCACATTTCAGCTTTTCTTTTGTCTGGATAGTTGAGGTAGATTGTCACACAGACTCAGTTTCCGTTTGGGGCCACAAGTGGGTAATAAAATACTTTTTTTTTTAATTTCTGTGCATACTGTGCCCCAAGACAAGTAATCTATTTAATGCAGAATAATGTCATATAGATTGGAGCAAGTTGATCTTTCAGCCACAACACCCCTTGAAAGAAAAGCCAAGTTCTTTTTTCACAACGCCTGACAAGGAGAGAAACAAATGAGTCAAAAACTCCTGGCATAGCGTCTAATGTTTATTATTTTCGCCCTTCCACCATGATTATGTGATATCCAAATTTGGTTTTAACAGGGGGATCAGTGTACACCGGTTTGTCCATGCTGCTGACGGGCAAGGCAAACGCTGCATCCTGGAAGGGCCCCACCATGGAGCCTCTGCTCATCCAGCCCAGATCTCCCTGGAAAACAAGCACCAGGGAATGATGCAAAGGACGGTGAAAAGGACCTATTCCACCCTATGTAAATCATTTGCTAGAATATTCTACATGTACATGCATTATTTCTGCATTTCAGTTCTTAAGTAACTTAAGTAACCTAATTTTGGGCAAAACAAGAGGAAAGGTAAAGTGATTAGTCATGCGACTGGAGAAAACACTTTATTCATCTTAAAAAATGATCCTGCAAATGTTGTTGCTCTACTTTGGAGAAAGAAAAGGACATACCCCTTGTCTGGCTTTGTCTTCACTATACTGCGCAGCTACCTCACTGAAACGTACTCCAGCTTTGAGTTTCTCCAAGGCTTCCAGAGCTCGGCTGTGTTTCTCACACAGAATATGCCTCACCTAAAAAAAATCCAATCCAAAACAAACTAGATACATGTAGAGAGATCCTTCCACATTTAGCTTAAGAATATTCGTATTGTTACCTTTCTCAATACTTGGCAATCCAATCCACAATATCATTTTCCTTTTACTAATTCTTGACTTGATGCAGTTTCTAGCACCCTAATTCAGTTTCCCAAAGATGATGAGAGGCTAAGAAGAAAGCGATTTTAATCCAGGGAAATTGATTTCTGATTGTCAAAGAGTGCCTTTGAAGGCAGACAAAGATTCAAAATTTCGTCTTCTTTAGATAGAGACTAAGTAGCAAATAACCAGATCAGAGTTAGCAGAACTTTATTTGGCAATAGTATTTGATTTTTCTCTCATCCCAAAGCATAGTTCAGTTATTGTTTAAATTTTCATATAAACATGCAGTAAAAAAAGAGACCCAGCTTGGTGTAAAAAAACAAAAAGTGCATGAGTTCGACTCCTTTCTTAGACACAAAGAATGCTGGGTGATTCTGGACACCAGTCCTTGTCTTTCAGCCCTGGAAAGAATGTCATGACAAACCACTTCTGAAAAAGTGCTGCCAAGAAAACTTGCAGGGAGTTGTCTCTAATTTTATTTACTAAACATAAATATATTAACACATTTAGGATATTGAGCATTTTGGGGGGCAAATCCAGATCTCTGCCACTTTCTTTCTGGACTTTTCTCCCTCTCTGAAATATTTTGGGGGGGGAGGCTTTTTCCACTCTCATGACTGGAATGGCATCCTCAGATGCCACCTGAAGCAGGATGTGACCAGAAGACCTACCTTCACGGAACTGCCCCCTCCTTTTGGCCCTTGAGCTTTCTTGTCAGCTGTGTCACTGCCCGAAGATGCTCCTCCTTTAAAGACACAAGAAGGGAACGCAACAGTGAATCCGGGTGGGGAGTTAACCTGATTGCACCTCCATCGGCTGAATCCAATGGGCAGGGCTGGACTGAACGTTTTGGGCTCCAGGCTATCATTCCACACCTGGTGGAATCAGACAGCAAGCAAAAATAAATAAATAAATGTTAAAACAATCAGGCTTGTCATCCTTTGGGGCTTCCACCCCATGCACAGTGCCCATAAGGGCCATTTCACTTAGCATCCAGCCTTAAAAGGGAAATTTTTGACAGAAAAGCTTGTTCCTATTTTGTGCATTTTGGGCTGTCCTGATGGGACGAATGGAAGCCCTGCACATCCCAGCTGACTGCTTCTACCTCCTACTCCATGCTACCAAAAGGGTGCAAGAGCGATGCATTTGTCCCAGCTAGCCAGGGCGAGCCCCAATTCCAGGCAGAATCTGCAAGAACTACAACTCCCACAATTCCTTGCCCGGCCACCTTAAGGCGAGACCGCTTCATGGTGGGCGAGCAGAACTGGTCAGCTCCTCTCCCAGTGAAATGGAAACTGGGAAAGGGAAGAACTCGGATGCCCCGGTCCTCTCTCTCACCCTTTGCCGCTTTACCGCCGCCCTTCCCTTTCGGAGGCATCTTCATGGGTTCTTCCTGCCTTTCTACAGCACGGGTGCAGTCGCTTCCCTCTGACGTCACCGCACGCGACTGAGACAAGCAAGCCCCCCCCGCGCAACCGCCCTAGGAGATGCCTGCAGGCAGACTTTGATTACTTAAAAAACGGTCCCAGTGCCAGAGATTGCAAATCCGCTTCTTGTCCTCATTGATTAAGAAAAGCTTTTATAATTCAAATATTCCAGGGTAATGAGGGTCGACCCCTCATTACAGGGCTATTTTTTCTCTCTTTTCTTCTCCCTAGCAGGGCATTACTGCTATTCCGTTTCGGAAGTGGGACGCTGAGTGGTTATTTTTTTTAAATACTTTTCCAAGCTTTTGGGGAATGGAACATACATCAGAAACTAAGTTTGGAATTTTTGTAGAAGGATCCCGTTTCCTTCTCACTTTCAAGAGATTGATCTGGATTTTTTTGCTTTTATTTTTTTTGTTGCTTTGATCACCACCACGTTTACTGTTCACCCTGGACTCCAAATTTGAACAAGTTTAAAAACTTCACTCTTTTGACATGACTCCCCACAACATATTTTTGCTGCAACGTTGCAGAAATTTCTGCTTCAAAATAACGAGCATCTCTATATTATGAAACGATGTGAGAGGCCAGAAAAGAAATGTCTCCAATGTCATTATTGATTATTTTATTATATTGTATTGTATTGTACTTATTTTCTTTTAGCTGCTCTCAGTGGTAAAAATGTTAAACAGAGGCCTGAGTGTGTCGTGTTCAAAGAAAATGTTTTTAGCCAACGGGAGTTGTAAAAAGTATCAAAGATCCAAAGGACAGGGTCAGTATAAAGCCAAGAGTGTGTATGACAGTCCATTGCAAAAGGATTCGTTAGGGTAATGAACAAACAAACAAAAGAACAACCACATCCTTACAGTCCCTAAAAACTGGCCCCCAATTTTTTTGATGCAGTTTCAAGGACTGGCTTTGCCAAGAGGGAACTGTATCTATGCATACTGCAAATATTGCACATTCTGTTAAAGAGTTCAAAGGACTCCTGGCTTCACATTCAGGTTATAGTCTTCAGTCCTTCAAAACCACAAAATTTCCACCTCTTCTCTAGGCTCGCTCCAACCCCATTCATCTCTTGTTTGAAAGTATGCTGGAGTCGTGTCATGAGGTTTTCCACTTCAGTGGCACAAATCTACAAAAAAAAAAAAAAAGAAGAAGAAGAAGCAGCATGTCACTAAAACTAACAAACTAGGATAATCTCTTGGGATGATAAAATCGCCATCAAATGGTTAAGTTGATTGCCATGCTGGAGATCTGAATAGATAACATTTATTTCCCCATTAATCAATAAAATAAAATAAATAAAATTTCTGCCTTCTGAAGAACATCTCCCACAGGATCTTTTTTACAGAATGGTACTAACTGATGAAAACTAGTCAGTCTCTATTGCAGTGGTTCTCAACCTTTTTAATGCCGCGACCCCCCAACCGGTCGTAAGTCGAGGACTACTCAACCGGTCGTAAGTCAAGGACTACTCAACTGGTGCAGCACCGTTTGCAGAATGGGACTTTTGGCGGGCTCAGCAGGGCAGAGACAGCCTGGACAATTCCTATTGGCTTTTGAAAGCAATAGAATTAGACTCTATTCAAGAGAGTCTATTCTATTGGCTTTCAAAAGCCAGTAGAATAAAAGGGAGTAGCACAGCTAAGGAAAAGGGGGAAAAAATGGCGGACTGCGTTGTTTGGCGACCTCCGTGAAATGGTCGTTCGACCCCAAATGGGGTCCCGACCCACAGGTTGAGAACTGCTGCTCTATTGTTTAACCAAAAGGCATAGGTCCCCAGTCTTGGCAACTTTAAGACTTGTGGAATTCAACTCCCACAATTTCTCAGGCACCCAGCATTCTGGGAGCTGAAGTCCACAAGTCTCAAAGTCGCCAAGGTTGGGGATCCCTGCCATACGGTGCTTAGGAAGGGTGCAGGCCTTTGTTAACAGACCCACAGCATCCTCAATTACCCAGTGTCTGAATTTACAACATATGGTCTCAGCATACTGCTGAACAAGCTACAATCAAGAGGAGTTCACATTACGCTAAGCCAAAAACTGTGTCTTGTAGAGCACAATGATTAGATCTGCATGTCACATTAAGTTAGGCTTTGAGCCTGGCCCACTGAATAAACCAGACATTGCAGGGAATGATAAGCCATGGTTTTATCAACCCCAGAAGTTCAGATCGCATGAAATTTAAAAAAAAATGTAATCTCTTAGGATGAGGGGCAAACTCAGTCCATAGGGGTTCAGGCGCACAGTTTGCATTGCAGGTGGTCCTCAACTTCCAATAGTTCATTTAGTGACCGTTCAAAGTTACGACAGCACTGAAAAAAGTGACTTATGACCGTTTTTCACGTACAACCATTGTAGCACTGCCACGGTCACATGATCAAGATTCAGATGCTTGGCCACTGGTTCATATCTACGACGGTTGCAGTGTTCTGGGGTCATGTGATCCCCTTTTGCGACCTTCTGACAAGACAGTCAATGGGGGAGCCTGATTCATTTAACAACCATGTTACTAACTTAACAACTGCAGTGATTCACGTCACAACTGTGGCAAGAAAGATGGTAAAATGGGTCAAAATTCACTTTAAGAAATGCCTCACTTAGCAACGTAAATTTGGGGCTCAGTTGTGGTCATAAGTCAAGGACTACCTGTGCTTGGCTCGAGATGAACCACTCAATGGAAAAGGAGCATTCCAAAAGCACAAAAGGCTCTTTGGGTAGCAAAAGCTTGAGATGCATTTAAAGGTGGCCAAACCATCTAGAAGTGTACATTTTAATCTGCCCGCCTACCTTACTGTCCAGGCGCTGGAGGTAGGAACAGATGTATTCGATACTTGCCCCAAAAGGATGAACGTGCAGAAAAGTTGAGATTATCCCTAAAAAAAGAAAAAAATCGGGAGGAGTGTTATTCCCAAGAAATGGGGATGCCAACATAGAACACACCCAAATTTCTTACAAGAGCCTTCTGGTATTTTGGAGGGCTAAGTAGGAAAGGTTATTGGGCACAGAATAGCCGGGCCAGACCTGAAAGATGCACAATCTGTCTTCTCTATGGATGGAATAAAATGGGGCCCCACAGGCTTTGCTTCAGCAGATGTTCGATCAGATTCAGAACCAAGGTGGAATGGCCCAGCACCGTAGGCCTCTCTTAGTCAAGATATGGACCTCTCTTAGTCAAGATATGGACCTCTCTTAGTCAAGATATGTACCTCTCTTAGTCAAGATATGGACCTCTCAGAGGTAGCTAAATGGCACCTTGTGCAAAGCAGCTTCTGATGGTCCTAATTCAAATCTTAAGCCTCAAGAATCCTGCAAAGTCAGAAGTCCTTACCCACTAGTAAAGCTTCCCTCTCCAATCTTAAAGGGTTGCAGTGAAGTCCTCTCTCAAGCAGTCTTTCCTTCTCTGGACTCTTTGAGCCAATGGTGGACAAGTCATTGTCCTAAAAGGAATTAAGGGGACCAAAACAAAAGAGTTTCTGTCAACAGTCCACATCCAGATAAGCAGGGATTAACACCAGACAAACGATCAAGCAGGAAACAGTATCCCAATGAAGGAATTACTAAGCAGAAAACCATCGGCAATGCAAGCAGACCAAGCTACTGTATATCAATAGGGAGCAAACTCCATTCTCAGTAGCACTGATGATGTTACCTAGTCGGGTAATGAAATGTCTGCAAGCAAACAAACAAGCTTAGAGAGCAACAAGGACTCTACAGAATTAAGGGTAATCAGCACGTTACTCCTGATTTGTCTCTTAACAACATGTTGATTTCTTAATTGTGCTCTGCAGACATTGAAATAACTATACTGCCATAGGCAATTAAGTTAAATGACATCCCTTAAAAAGCCAGTTGGGACAAGAAGCAACTTTATATTTCACTCCCGGATGAAATTCTCAATCCTTCTAACACAGAATAACAAATAAATAAATCAGGTGCAATGGATTCAAACAAGAAGGAAACAACAAGCATGGTAAGTACCAACATGCATAATGTTCAGGAGACCACCTACTCCATCTTTAGCTTCCGTTGAGTCTTTCCCTCTGTCAGGTCCACCTGCCAGTTCTTGCTGCATTCAATTGGAAAAAGGAAACGTTATCATCTCCAGAGTGTATCATTCTTGATACAAGAATTCTTCTGCCTTCCTGATGATTCAAATAGCCTTAGCTTTGCTGCCAAGTTTAATAAGGAATTTATCAGTAAGTTAATTTGGTAATTCAAGGGAACAAAGCTAGCACAGCAGCTAATCTTTTTCAAAGTATATGTGTGCAGGGACCTGCTTCTTAATTGTACTAGTGACTGGACTGGGTTTGGATTTTCATTCTTGTAATGTTTATACTTGTTTCATTTCATTTTAATTCTGTTTGCCTTACAGAGTTCCTTGTTGAGATAGGCAGCTGAGAAGCATTGTATAAGAAGGCAAGCTGGTATAAAAAACAGTGTTGCTCTAAGACAGGGGTAGGCAACCTTGGCTCTTTTATGACTGGTGGACTTCAACTCCCAGAATTCCTGAGCCAGCATGGCTCAGCTTGGAAACCTCTCCCTTCCCCTCAGCGTGGCTGGCTCGGGAATTCTGGGAGTTGAAGTCCATGAGTCATAAAATAGCCAAGGTTGCCTACTCCTGCTCTAAGACAAAACTAAGATTTCTTTATATGAAAAACATCCAAATTCTCCAATGGAAATATTGTAACTAACAGGCACTTAAGTGTTACTGTACTCCAATAATCAGACATATGAAATGTCTGCATTTATCCAAACTGAAAATTTCCTTGGCACAGAATCTAGACCTTTTAATACAGTTTATATCTTTTCTTCCTTTCAGAGGAAGTAGAACCGTAAGTATGGAATATGGGCCACCTACTTCTCAGAATATGTTGCCAAGTTCCGTATGTTTGATTTCTGAGCTGTTACTGCTCATATATTTAAAACTCATAGTCTTTGAAATCTCAGGGGGATAGAAGTGTACACTGCAAAATTATTTGTTTTTGGCAAAACTGCACGATGGACTCTTTTAAAGATCCATCAGAAGGCACCGCTGTCTATGACAGCCTCCTATCCCGAAAAAGCAGAGAATCACACTGTCCAAAGTCTGATATGGAAAATGTAGCCTGTAAGATTGTAATGGCTGGCTGGAGAATTCTGGCCGTTGGAAGCCCGCGTATCTTAAAATTGCCCCAGGCTGAGAAACACCGCTATAAGGTCATTAGCTAAGAACAATTCATACCTTTTCCTTCAGTTTCTCAAGCAATTTGTCAAGCTTTAATTTTTCTTTTTTCACTTTTTCCAATTCAGCTTCTCTTCTTTCGCAGTCCTCCTGCAGTTTTAGGAGATGCTGAAACGGAGGAAGAAAATGCAGTGTAGCAATGTGCTACTTATATTACTACTACACCACATGGTAATTTAAGACAATTCTCATCCAGACAACGAAAAGTTAAATAATGCACGAATAAATACAACAAAGGCCAAGTTTAGCTCTAGAGAAGATTATTACATCTACAGCCCCATCTTGGGAAGATTCAACCTTCTTTTCTTTGTTCCTGTGTTTTTTTTTAAATTATCCTCTTTTTTTGATGAAGAACTGGGGAGATCTCGAGCGTTTGCCTACTGCAGTGTGTCATCCGAGTTAGTCCTTTAAAAAGGCAGAGCCCAGCTGTCCCTTTTATTTGGGAAAGGTTTTTGATAAGTTACAGGTAGGCCTCAACTTACGATCACAAATTGAGCCCAAAATTTCTGTGGCTAAGCAAGACAGTTGCTAAAAGAATTTTGCTCCATTTTATGACCTTTCTTGCTACAGTTGTTCAGTGAATCTGGCTTCCCTGTTGACTTTATCGCAAAAAAGTTTGCAAAACCGGGACACTGCGACGGTCATAAATGCGTACCACTTGCCGAGCCTCTGAATTTTGATCCCGTGACCACACGGGGATGCTGCGACAGCCACAAGTGTGAACAATGGTCACTTTTTTTCAGTGCCGTTGTAACTTCGGCCGGTCACTAAATGAACAGTTGTAAGTTGAAGACTACCTGTATAAATCTCCCAAGCTGTGCCCCAAGGAAGAGGACAGAAAGGAACCATTTGAGGCAAGGGTTTCAAACTCGCCATGTCACGTGACGTGTTGCGACGTGTTGCGACTTTTTCCCCCCCTTGCCGGAGCTGGGGTGGGTGCGGCTTACGCGTGACACATCTGGCCCCGTGGGCCGGCACTTTGACACCCCTGATTTGAGGGACGTTTTCCTTCCGCATCACAAGACAAGAGAACCCTTCCCCCCATCCCACCTGCTGCATTCCTTGTAAAGTCTGCTGGAGGATTTTCAGCTGCTGATCCTTGCCGGGGTCGTCTTCTCGCCCTGCTCTGCCCTGCTCCTGCTTCAAGAGCTCGACTTCATTTCGGTAAGCGTCCAACTGGCACCGTAAGCTGTTGTTTTCCTCCTTCAGCGCTTCTGTTTGTGAAACTAAAACTGGGACGCGGGGAGACAGGAAACTGAGATGAGTTAAGTTGTCCTGACCACGAATTTCAGGTCAGAATTCCACTCTGTGCAAAGTATCTTCTACCGGTAGCTTCTTCTAAACCAGGCTATCCCAAGCATGGGGGTGCTCCAGATGGGAGAACCAATTCCCAGGATGGCTCAGCAGCGGCCCTATTGGCACAAATACCTGATTCTTCAGTATCTTTGCTCTCAGCTGACTCCGTTTCATCATCAGACATCTCCATTGCTTCCTCCCGGCGAATGTCCATCAGTTCATCATTGTGAAGGTTACGGAGTTCCTAGGATTTAAAAGGTGGGGTGTTTTTTTGTTTTTTTTTAAAGGGTTGTTATGAGCTACTTTGGGCACGGTCCGTCATGAAAAATGGCACATAAACCGAAGCCACAAAATATAAACCAAACCAATCCACATTTGACTCATTCCAAATATTCCATGTTTATTCCAATAAAATCCTGTTTTCCTCTGGGTCTTCCAAAAGCAAAGTCACTTCAGCAACCACCCGAGTGCTTTGTTTTTTTTCTGTTATATGACCATGCGGTTTGGCCACTGTGAAAACTGCTCTTGATTTGCGTTCAGTAAGCCTCCCTGATCAGAACTGGGCTTCCTGGCATGTGTTGGGAATCTAATGCCTTCCATCCCGGCTGGGAACGATGGAAGACATAGTTCCATAAATAGGGAAGCCCTGCCCCCTATTTATGTTAAGGGGTGTTAAGGGGTGTCCTCACAAACATTATTGGAAAACAAGGCATATTTACTCCAATATTTGAACACCCTGTTAACATTTTTGCAAAGAGCCTTACAATAAAAATTATAGGAAAGTCTGCTAGGTTCGCTTTCTTTCTGCATTTGAACAAGAATCAGCGACCAAAATCAACAGAGCCTCCTGGGAACAGAGGCTGCTATTCTGTAAATATCCAGCTTAGATACAGATGCTCCCCCTAGCTGAGAAGATTTATCTCCGAGCAAGCTCTCCAGAAGTTTTGCATTACAGTGGCGTGTTTATTAAAGAAAGGATTACATGCGAGTAGGCCAAAACCTCTGGAGGGTGCTTAGTTATCTGATTAGCAGCAGCTTCCCAAAGTTTCAAGCAAATATTTCTTCTCCCAGCTTTCCTAATGCAATACGTACATACACCCACAAACAAGCACACAGTCCCCCATTTTAAATCTTATTTCAATCCAGAGCCAAATCATTGGAGCCATTTAATTCTGCATGCAAAAAAAGATACCAAATGTACTAAACTGGGGATGGAAATCTCTAGAAAGCTGCTCAGGACGCAGGGTTTAAATAACAGCACCATCGCTGGGGAACTGCTGTCCCGAGAAAGGGATTTTCTGATCTGCTGGACTGTTTTTTCGACAAAGATGTATCTTTTTCAAAACCAATGAACACCTTCTGCAGATCTACCCACTGTCTCTACTATAGCAACTTGTATCTCCCAGCCCAAGTTCCATTGTTCTTTTCGTTTTGTTTTGTTCTTAATGGAACTGAAAGGTCCCTAGGAAGAAGGAGAATTGGTTCCTGTTTTTTTAAAGAACAGTGAGTCCCAAATGTTTTTGTAAAACAAAAAAAAGAGAGAGAGAGATGGAAATGGAAATGTTCTAGATCAGTGGTTCTCAATCTTTTTAATGCCGCGACCCCCAACCGGTCGCAAGTCGAGGACTACTCAACTGGTGCAGCACCGTTTGCAGAATGGGACTTTTGGCGGGCTCAGCAGGGCAGAGACAGCCTGGACAATTCCTATTGGCTTTTGAAAGCCAATAGAATTAGACTCTATTCAAGAGAGTCTATTCTATTGGCTTTCAAAAGCCAATAGAATAAGAGGGAGTAGCATAGCTAAGGAAAAGGGAAAAAAATGGCGGACTGCGTTGTTTGGCGACCCCTGTGAAATGGTCGTTCGACCCCAAATGGGGTCCCGACCCACAGGTTGAGAACCGCTGTTCTAGATGTAAGCCTATTAAATCCTCTCTAGGCTGGATCCGTATTTCATTTAGTTTCATTCCCACGGAACCTTTACTGAAATAAAAACAATGAATTCTTAACAGGGAAAAGCCTCATCCTGAAGGACAGGTTACCTGTCAGACCACTTACCTGAACTTTCTGTTGACTGCAGTCAATGTCTTCATTCTATATGGGATTATTTTAGTTGGCTTGACCGACTGGGAGATTTTTTTTTTTTCCCCTCCCAGGGATCAGCTCTGCAGTTACTGATCCTTCTCAGGCCAGATGAACAGGCCTTTTGATTGACGGCTGCCACTGTGACGTGGACGTCAGCATTGCTACTTTTGGCAAAACTGACTCAATAAAGTGCTTGCGCAACACACTTACAATCTAGTGGCAGCCATGGTTGTGCTGGGCATCTGCTTGTTCAATGGCTTAGCCTGGTGTTTGTATCCTGGCCAGACTGATTAGTTTATGGAATAATGTCAGATCCCCAACTATTGCTAGTGCTATTAGGAGCCCCTGGTGGCGCAGTGCTGAATGCAGGCTAACTTTGCCCACAGCCTGGAGTTCGATCCTGGTGGGGGGTCAAGGTTGATTCAGCCTTCCATCCTTCCGAGGTCGGTAAAATGAGGACTCAGATTGGTGGGGGCCATAGGCTAACTCTATAAACCGCTTAGAGACGACTGCAAAGCACTTCAAAGCGGCATATAAGTCTAAGTGCTGCTGCTATTGGTGTGTGTGTGTGTGTGCTGCCACTTACCTTTGCAGGTCCAGGGTTTAATAAGTCCATCCTTTATAAGCCAACCTAGAGGCCCTACTGCAGCTAGGAGAAACGTACTGGAAGGTACCCACCTCAGCTTGCTTGCACCACACGCTGATGTTCTTACGCTGCGCTTTCGTAAAGTGGTCCCACGCCTTTTGTTTGCAGGCAGAATGGTACACGGCCACTATCTGCTCGACTGCAGGTTCAAAATCAGCAGGCAAAACCGGACCACAATATCATCCAAAGGGGAAGGGTGGGGGGTGGAGGGGGCAAGAAAAAGGAGTAAAGGAGTAAGAAAGCGTAATTTTTATTAAAAAAAAAAAGATGATGTGTTAGAGAAGGTGGAGTCCCCGGGTGGAAATATCCAGAGTTGCAGAGGTAGCATTGCCAGCAGCAGCAGCAGCAGCATGGAGCACCTGTAGGAATTTGACTTTGAGGGAATTTGATCCAATCAGGGAGACATAAAAAAGAGGAGGAAGAGGAGGGGGGAGAGGGAGGAGGAAGAGGGAGGAGGAAGAGGGATAGAGGAGGAGGAAAGAGAGGGAGAATAAGGGAGGAGAAGGAGGAAAGGAGGAGGAGGAAGGGAAGGAGGAAAGAGAGGGAGAGTAAGGAAGGAGAGGAGAAGAGGAGGAGGAGGAAAGAGGGAGAGTAAGGGAGAAGGGGAGAAGGAGGAGGAGGAGGGGAAGGAGGAAAGAGAGGGAGAGTAAGGGAGAAGAGGAGAAGGAGGAAAGGAGGAGGAAAGAGGGAGAATAAGGGAGAAGAGGAGAAGGAGGAAAGGAGGAGAAGGAGGAGGGGAAGGAGGCAGCAAAAGTAGGGGAAACAATGTATGGGAAAAGGAGAAGGATGTCTCTAAAAACTGAAGAGGAAGGAAGACGTTGGGAAAAAAAGCATTGCTTAAGCAGAAAGAAGCTCCCGTTTGAAAAGGTGAAGTTAAAAGTCTCCCTGTCCAGTCGTGTCCAACTCTAGGGTACTCATCTTTGTTTCTTAGCCAAGGGATCCCAGGTTGTCCGAAGACCATGGTTTTGTGGTCAGCACAGGCTACAAGCCAAAGGTGCATTGAAATGGTACCTGTTTATCTACTCGCATTTGCATGCTTTAGAACTGCTAGGTGGGCAGGAACTGGAGCTCCACCCCATTGCATGGAGTGCGGGTCTCAAACCCGGGCTCTCAGCTCTCCGGCTGGCAAGCTCTGTGTCTTTAACCGCTGAGCCATTGTGCCCGGGTTTGCAAAAAGAGGATTGTAATTGGGACCGGGAAAATCGCAAAAGACTTGGAATGGCAAATGCAAAAACCCCTGCTCCATTACTATTCGGTTTCCCCGCCAATCTTTTGCCTGTAATGCTACAACTGATTATTGGAATAATGTAATTTGTTAAGTAAAAATGTAATTTCAGGCGGGAGTTGAAGTCCACCCATCTTAAAGCGGCTAAGGTTGAGGAACACTGACTTACATCTACCACAGTGGTTCTCAACCTTTTTAATGCCGCGACCCCCCCAACCGGTCGTAAATCGAGGACTACTCAACCGGTCGTAAGTCGAGGACTACTCAACTGGTGCAGCACCGTTTGCAGAATGGGACTTTTGGCGGGCTCAGCAGGGCAGAGACAGCCTGGACAATTCCTATTGGCTTTTGAAAGCCAATAGAATTAGACTCTATTCAAGAGAGTCTATTCTATTGGCTTTCAAAAGCCAATAGAATAAAAGGGAGGAGCACAGCTAAGGAAAAGGGGGAAAAAATGGCGGACTGCGTTGTTTGGCGACCCCCGTGAACTGGTCGTTCAACCCCAAATGGGGTCCCGACCCACAGGTTGAGAACCACTGCTGTAGCCGCTCTCTGTGGATCCTAGAGATGGATGCTAGGGAGAAACAGGAGAGTGAAAACTGCAGAGCATCGACAAGGATGGAGAAAGCATTAAAGGACTAGAATAGGGTTCAGAACATGGAAAAGGAGAGGGGAAAAAATACGGCATAGTTACGTTACCTGGACATCTCAAATCTCAAAGAAAAATGACCTGCAGATCTTCGAGTGAAAAGAAAAGTGGGAGGGGGGGAGGAGGACTGGGCTATCAACCTACCTTGGCTGCCTAAGCCCCTTTCCAGTCAGCAAAATTTTAGGGAAGTTTGCAGGAAGCCCCATCATTAGGGCAGGAAACAGAACTGAGACATATTGGGGGGGGGGAAGACCCGCGTAGCTTTAATTCTGCTCCTCCCTTAGAAATTAATCTGGCGAAAAACAGAGCTGCCTTCCAGATGTGGCCAGCTGCATCACCCACGGCAGGAAAAAAGCACAGGCATTCCTCAACTTATAACCATTCGTTTAGTGAACATTCGAAGTTACGACGGCATGGGGGGGAAAAAGGGACTCGTGGCCGTTTTTCACACTTACGACCATTGCAGCATCCCGGCGGTCAAGTGACCAAAGTTCGGATGTTTGGCAACCGACTCACATTTACGACGGTTGCGGGGTCCCCTTTTGTGACCTTCTGACAAGCAATGTCAGTGGGGAAGGCAGTTTCACTTAACAACCGTGTGATCAAGTTGACCACTGCAGTGGTTCAACTTAACAACGGTGGCAAGAAAGGGCGTAAAGTGGGGCGAAGTCCACTTAACCTATGTCTCGCTTAGCGACAGAAGCTTTGGGCCCAGTGGTGATTGTCAAGTCGAGGACCATCTGTGGCTGGTCTTCCGACGGGGCGAATGGCTTGGAAGAGCACTGTACATTTGCTGACCCTTTTGGTATCGGCCTTCAAAAGACAAGAGCCTAGAGAACGTGACCTTCACGTACCTTAGTTCTGGAACAGGCCTCAGTGGAAAAGTAGAGAAGTCACATCATCACCATAAGGCAAGGAAGGACACAGATTCTGCAACCTACATGTTTTCCTGCCAGGAAAGATCTTTAAGCTGGAGGATTTGGACTTTGAGGGTTCTTTTTTTTTCCTTACCCATCAAAAATTGGGGAGGAAGGGTAGAAGGGAGAAAAACCGGGATCCGGAACACACCATGTACCTATCTCTTTCCTTAGACTGGCAGAACATTTAGACATGCACAACAGGTGGACCTAAACACCTTCCCTAAGCAGGTAGGTGCATATTTTAGATCTACATCTCCTCTGTCTCACCTTCGCTGGAAAACGTAACCAAGAAATGTCCACGTTTTGCAGGCTACGCAAATCACCCTGGTTGCTATCCCCTGGCACTTACACTGAGCAAGGATCCCCGACAAAGCCAGTTTGAATTTGTCCTTCGCTTCCTCCATGTCCTTGTCGTGGACCGCTTTTTCGTTCATCAGTCGGCGGATGTGGCTGTTAACGGACTGGACCATGGTGTAGAAGCTGTTGGCCGTCCTCCGGTTCACTTCCCCCCTCTCTAGCCAGGCCAGCAACGTCTGAACTGCTTCCAAAAACTTGGCATCCACTAGATGAAGAGGAAAACCCCAGTTCAGTTACAAGCACAGCCTTGTCTGCTGGGCACGTGGATTAAAGTAAGTCATCCCTTTACGAGGATAGATTTTTTAAAAAGCACAACAAAGGAAGAGAGGGATTCCTCACAGGGGGCGACTGAGGTGGAATTGTCCACTCAAACATAGTGCAAATTTGGGTGAGGAGGCTCACCTTATCACCAGTTGCAATGTTCTCCTCTATATGTCGAAGCCTGAAACTCTGGCAGCTATGTGCCTCTGCATTTCAACTTGCCTTTACATAAAGGAGTGGGGAGGTGTTACTCTCAAGTGGGCAGACGGAGAAAACAAAACTTCGATTCAGCTGCAGACGGTGGGAGCCTGAAGCCTTGTCAAGGACACCAGAACAGGTGTGGATTTGAAGCAGACAGTTCCCATAACAAAGTGGACTTGTTGATATGGATTACGTTAAGACGTTGGGGGTTTGACTGGGAAAACTACAGCTTAAGTCTATAAATTGGTAGTGGGAACCTCAGAGTTAGTTTTACTTTGACATAACTACGCAGTGTATTCAATAAACTAAGATTTCCCAAAACGGAATTAATCTGGAAGTTTATTTGGATTCTCGAGCTGGATGTGGACACTATATTTATGTGTTGAGCTGCAAAACTCAGGGATAGAATCTCTGCTTTCTCTGCAGAAGGTCCTGGGTTCAAATTCATAGCACTCCACTCCAAAAAAAAGGCAGAGTGCAGCTAATGAGGAGATATAGAATCTCCTGCTTGAGCTGGGGGCTGGACTAGAAGACCTCCAAGCACCCTTCCAGCTCTATTCTGATTCTGATCCCTATTGGAGATCCTGGAGAGGCATCAGCTGAGCTCCCCCAATGCATCATGCCCGATGAAAACTAAGCCTAATACATCTTGATAAAAATGGGAACTGGATTGCTGTGCCCTGTAAACGGCACCCAAGTTCTCCTTGTCTTACAAACATTTGTTTAGTGATCATTCAACGTTATAACGCCGAAAAAAGTGACGTGGGAGTCTTTTCCACAATTACAAACATTGCAGCATCCCCAGAGTCAGGTGATCAAAATTTAAATGCTTGGCAACTGGCAGGGATTTATGACGGCTGCCGTCTCCCGGGGTTACGTGATCACCTGCTGTGACCTTCCGATAAGCAACGGGGAAAGCTAGATTCACTTTGACTAACTTAACAATTGCAGTGATTCACTTAACAACCGTGGCCAGCCAGGTTGTAAGATCAGGCAGAACTCACTGAACAAGTGTCTCACTTAGCAACAGAAATGTTGTGGTCGATTGTGGGCGTAAGCCGAGGACTACCTGTCATAGGTGGGATGAACCAGCCAACGGAGGTCCACTGAGAACGAGGATATGTCATGCCAATCACCCTCTGCTAAGTGGGCAGAGGTCAGAGTTTATGCTTTCGGGACCATCTTCCCGATGAAAAGTATTTCCAGTATTTACCTTTTAGCTTCTCCACCACCAGGCTGCACTCGTAGTCCGAATAGTTCGCCACGGGAGGCGGGGAGGGTGGGTGGAACCGCTCGTCCGTCTTCCTTTTGCGATGACGCTCTTCTCTGGCCAGCATCCGCTGCTTGCATTCCCACTCGTAGAGATCATCCCGGGCTTCCGCAAAATCCACGTGGAGGCGTCCCGTATCCTTTTTGTCGGTGCTGGATCCCAGCCGGATGCGATAACCTGGTGGGCAAATTAATTAAGTCTCTGGCAGAGGGAATATTTAAAAATTAGACACTTGTTCGAACGTGGTTGAAGACACAGAAAGATTTTAGCTTCAGAGGGATGATCCCCCCCCCCCAAGTAATATAGTATTCTTTCTTTTCTCTTTTTTTTTTTTACTTTTGTTTTTTGATATGAGAAATATAAAAATGTTTGGGATGGTCAACATCAGGGCTTTTTTTCTCATAAAACGCCCAGAACAGAGTTCCGGTACCTTTTTTGGGATGGAACCTTGTAGGGTAGGCAAAGAGGGTTGTATGACATGTGTGAGTTCCGGCACCTTTTTTTTGTTTAGAAAAAAAAGCACTGGTCAACATAAACTCTCTGCACCGCCTTCCTGTCTGAAGCAGAGATGCTTCCAAACCAGACTGTGATTCTGTATGACAGGATGCCCTCGATCGTCCCTAAATTATACCTAAATTACGGAGAAAGAGAAAGTGTGCTCCCTCTCCGAAAACAATCTGAAGGGCAGACAATCAACGCTCACCAGAGAGATAAACTGCTTTATCCACCATATACTCCTCAGTGAAACGGATATGGCAGAAGTGCTTTTTACTTTTCCGAAGAGCTACGATCTCCCCGCACTTCTCAAAAATCTCCACAATGGTCTCTTCCGTCCCGTTTTCCGGCAGTCCTCCAACAAACACCGTCTTGCACCCAGGCGGCCTCTCCCTTGTCGTGGGAGGAGGCAGGTCTAGAGATACGAGAGGAAAATCTTCCGTGAGCAAAAGGTATCAGGTGCTCATTGATAAGCTGACAGCAACTGCTCCGTCGCCAGGCCTGCAGCTGGTGTCACCTCCCATCTCCTTCCAAGATCTCTGAAACCAGATCTCTGTAACCTCACGATCCTTTTCTTGATCTACTGCTAATCCCGGGCAAGAGTGGCGGCTGACTTTCTAATTCCAAGGGCTTCCCGCAAGCCCTCCAGGGCAGTCACAGGCATTAGCGCAAGGCTCACTTGGGTTGGGTGGAAAGAGGGTGCAGCTTTTGCAGTGAATGATCTCCTTGGCCACCGGCATGTCAGACAGGATAGGCGGCGGCACAATTCCCAAGCCGGGCATCAGTGGATTAATTGGCGGGATCCCCGTCATCATGCCAAGGGCGGGGTCAAAGTCTGAAAGACACAAGGATTTCAGACGTAAGCGCACGAGAATCCCCCTGAAGATTCCAAGCAGATTACGCATCCGTTAAGAATCAAGAGGCCCAAGATTGTGAGAGATTCCTAAGGCGACAACCAGCTTGGCAAAGCCAAGCTCGTTTGTCAGCATGCAGCCATCTCATAAAACTGGATCTTCTGGGTTTTGGAAGAGTAAGAGATCTGGAAGAGGAAGCATCCACAGCTTGTCTAGTCCCTTCTCGAGTGGCTCTCCATCCTTTCCTCCTGCTGTGTAGCTAAAATGAAAGCTGGGGATGCCAATATGCTGAACCCCAGAATGGGACAACTTGTTGTGCCCAACCAACCGCAGTCAACTCGCCAGGGGACAATTCAACAATTCAATTTAATTATTTTTTAAAAAATGTTTTACTTTTTGTCGCTCATGTTTCATTTGGTCCCTCCCTTGGCATCTTTTATGTAATGATTCTATTCCACCCTTTCTTCAATATTAGTGTAACTCCTCTCCTGCAGTGAGTTGGCCGTGGCGAGTTATACTAGACCAGTGGTTCTCAACCTTTTTAATGCCGCGACCCCCAACCGGTTGTAAGTCGAGGACTACTCAACCGGTCGTAAGTCGAGGACTACTCAACTGATGCAGCACCGTTTGCAGAATGGGACTTTTGGCGGGCTCAGCGGGGCAGAGACAGCCTGGGCAATTCCTATTGGCTTTGGAAAGCCAATAGAATTAGACTCTATTCAAGAGAGTCTCTTCTATTGGCTTTCAAAAGCCAATAGAATAAAAGGGAGTAGCACAGCTAAGGAAAAGGGGGAAAAAATGGTGGACTGCGTTGTTTGGCGACCCCCGTGAAATGGTCGTTTGACCCCAAATGGGGTCCCGACCCACAGGTGGAGAACCAGTGTCCTAGACCCTCTGAAACACTTGCTTAGTTACTTTCCCGTCTTCTTTTTCATCCAGATGGGTTGCTCTTTCTGCTGTTTAAAAAATAAAGACTCACAAAAGATGGCTTCCAAGCTGGAGGCACCAAGAACCCCAACCCACTTGAAAGAAGAGAGGGAAGCAAACTGGAGCTTGAACTGGAGAGAGTAAAACAGCCTTTCGTGCATCAAAACGCTGCCCAGATCAGCATTTTCAATGCCTCCATTTAGAATCTGTACTACAAAAATTGGTTACGATAAGAATCACTGGGATACAGGCTATCCACAATGTGGATCGTTCTACCCACCAAGAGACCAAGTACAAAAAAACTGTCCATGCATATGAATAGCCCATCATAACTTGAGCTAATGAACCAAGTCACGAGTTGCAGTGAAACTAAGTAGGGGAAAAAATAGGGAACAAGTTGTAAGTGGCTAAATATCTCAGTTTATGAATGAAGGCGAATCTACGTGTCCCAGGATAATGTTGCAGGATCCAATCTGGGTCAGTCTTCCAGACCCATGTTGGTGCCCATCTTCAAGGGAACTTCTCTCTGGGCTACGTAAGAGAGATGTACCCTGGCGATGGGCTCCAGCACATGTCCAAAAGCTCAGAAGACAAAATCTGTGGTCCTAGTTACCGACACAGATTAGATCTCAGTTTATACATGCTTTCCTAATTAATATGAGATGGGGAGTAGGAAAGCATTGGGCTATCGCCAGCGCTTCTGCAACATGTTAGCTCAAATATATGTATTTTTCCTCAAGAAAGGAGGGTTTCATCTGTCAAGGAAGAAATGTCAGGCATTTGGGGGTGTATTCTTAAAGAACAACGATATTTGATCCATTTGCACGCTTCTGGATCAAGAGCGTACTTACTACGTAGAGGGGGATCTGCTGTCATTCCGATTGGAGCCATTCCTAAGTTATTCATCGCGGTGGTCCAGGCTGTTGGATCAGACATGCCCAAGTCCATTGGAGAAGAGTCAAGACTCAGAGGTTGGATGCTGTCTGCAGAGAAGGTCATTATTAGCAAAAGGGACCAAGGTGCTTTTAAAACAGTGGTTCTCAACCTTTTTAATGCCGCGACCCCCAACCGGTCGTAAATCGAGGACTACTCAACCGGTCATAAGTCGAGGACTACTCAACTGGTGCAACACCCTTTGCAGAATGGGACTTTTGGCGGGCTCAGCAGGGCAGAGACAGCCTGGACAATTCCTATTGGCTTTGGAAAGCCAATAGAATTAGACTCTATTCAAGAGAGTCTATTCTATTGGCTTTCAAAAGCCAATAGAATAAAAGGGAGTAGCACAGCTAAGGAAAAGGGGGGAAAAAATGGTGGACTGCGTTGTTTGGCGACCCCCGTGAAATGGTCGTTCGACCCCAAATGGGGTCCCGACCCACAGGTTGAGAACCACTGTTTTAAACCTACTAAAAATGAAGGGATATATTTTTTTTTAAACTGGTAATTTTACTTCGGGGGAGGATGTGAAATGGAGCCAGAGAGAAAACATTATTTGGATAAAGAGTAGGGACGAACTCCAATTACAGAACAGAATGTAACAAGAGATTCAAGGTCCTCTACGCCATAAGAACTTAATGGAAAATATACACCCCTGCCTCGAATAAGGACGTGGTCTTCGCAACACCAGAACTCGGGGCGTCAAGGTTCAAGCTCAAAATAGATGTTTACAAAATAGAACTTTGCAGACACCTTTCATGGCTTCTAATGTTCCCCCCGATGGCAGGTGCACAGCCCCCTAAAACGCAAGCCACGATCCAGAGCAGTGCGCATGTGTTATTGGCACCCAAGGAGCCATTTGGCAAAATTCCCTTAAAGCTGCCAAACTCTTGATCTGAAAAGCAGTCTCAAATGAAGAAAGGTCGTCTTTGTTCTACAGCGTTCTACAATTCGAACTGATCAAGGGATGGGAAGGGAAAGAGTTGCTGTGGTGGTTTTCAACCATACGACAACAGTACAGAATTCTTGCCTTCATCAGGAAAATATGTTCGGTTTCTTTCCATTATTCTTAAGAGTTCTCTTCTTGTTTGACAGCAAAGAGAAAGCATTGGGGCCTGAAACTCTGCTCAGGGGTGCATCAAGTAAGATTTTGCCCTCCAGATTTCTGCCCCATACATTTAACAGCCTAAGGGGCTTGTACACAAAAGAAGATCCAGTGGTCCTCTGGTTATTTTTGGACTCCTGCTTCCATCCCTGCCTTAAAACACATCTTTTGGGAGAACTGCACAAACCAATTCTGAACCACCAAGGAACCGAGGTGGCGCAGCAGTTAGAGGGCAGTACTGCAGGCCACTTTAGCTGACTGTGTTCGGCAGGTCAGCGGTTCAAATCTCACCGGCTCAAGGTTGACTCAGCCTTCCATCCTTCCGGGGTAGGTAAAATGAGGACCCAGATTGTTGGGGGCAATGTAAATATATATATATACATTGCTTACTGGTGTACACCGCTTAGAGAGTGCTTGCACTTCAAGCGGTATATAAGTCTCATAAATAAATAAAATAAATAAACCGTCTTCTCCAATCAACTGTTCTATAGCAGCCAACTCGATATCAGTTTAGGATAATTTATTAGACGATACCATTTCTTCTGTTTATCTTTTTCTACTGTGTGGCACCAACAGAGTACATGCTGTATTTTGTACCCGGTCTCTGTGGCGCTTTGGGGGTCTTTCCAAAGGAGGGGTAGGATCACAAATCCTTTAATTTTACCCAGCTGATCAAACTGACCAATCAAAATAAACCCAGGTATACAGACTCAAGCATGGACAAGGTTTTACCTTGTTGACTTCTAGCTAGCGGGTGACCAGCAACAGAAATTTCAGAATTCAGGCAGCTGAATGAGCTAGAAATATCAAGACTCCCTTCCTCCCAATTCTGAGAAGGCTGTATTCATGATACCTCCCCGCTTCACCGTCAAATGTCTCCAAGCTCAGTTCGTTTTCTACATTCCCAAAACAGGCAGCCTAGTTTACCAGTTTACCTGGTAGCAGGTTAATTCTCTTCTGCGTCTGGCTCGCCTGCCCTCCATTTTCAGCAAATCCTGCCCTGCTGTTTGATGGCACGGGGTGGCTGTTTCCAAGGTCAGAGGGCAGCTGGCTTAGCCCTAAGAGAGATGGAAAATGGGTTTACCAATGTTTTCCAGGTGACCTACACAGCAAAATTAAAACACGCAAAAATGCCTAAAGAATTCAAGCCAGGGCAGCCAAGAGAAAACGATATAATCAAGACAGGTCGTATAATTTGAGAAGCAGAAAACGTCAAACTCCTAGAAGGAGGGACATAAAAATCTGGGTGCATCAGGAAGGTTTCACTTGGCGCCCCAAAGAATTTGGAGTGAGTACCTTTAGCACGAGTCACCTTATGACATTAATGTGCCCCCCCCCCCAAAAAAAACATTTCTTTTGATGACCTGCAGGTTCCTTGTCCACTTGCCTTTCAACTGAAAGCCACAAAGCAAAATATTGTGAAGCTACTAGCCTAGCCACAGAGCTATTTGTAGAAATGTCTTTGGTCCCATATCAGTCTCACTCCAAGATGCAAATCTGGTGTCTGGTCATGCACCCACCACACCCTCTCCAAATTCCAAGTGTGCCTTCTGCTCTAAAATGTTGCCTGCCTGTACCCTGGAAGGGTGCATTCAATTCTCTGGAAGACATAAATGTCCGTCAAATCTTCAGAAGCAACTCTGGAAACATTTCTAACAATTCCCAAATATGAGAACAGGCAACCCAGCTGGTTCCAGATGTGTGGGCTCTTTAGTGATGATGGTGTAACCTGGGGCGTGTGTGTGTAATGAAAGCTCTGCAAGAAAACAACCAAGCTCAGAGTGCACCAAGGACCCCACAGCTCAACCCAAGGCTACAAACATACTCTTTGATTAGTTCCCGTCGTCCAGGGCTTGAATGGGTAAAAAAAATCCACTTTTGTCTTGCAGCCTTGCATTCATTCACCTGAAATGATACCCTTTGGAACTTTAACTTGGGTATCTCCAACACCTATAATTTAGCGGATGTACAATGCGAGGACCATCGCCTGGACAAAGCTACAGCAGGGGTCCCCAACCCCCAGTCCGTGGACCGGTCCGTGGACTTCCGTGACTGAAGCCCATGCTGGGAGACTACCAATGCCAGAGAAGGTGTCTGGATAAACAGGCATTCTTGACCAGTTCTTCTTGGAATTTACTGAAAAGACCCCCTGAGGAGAAGATCTGCTGTCAAGTCCCATCTCAACCCAACCTGCCTCTTGCTGACAGAATTTTACATGACGGTGTCATGTCACACCATGCTAATCCCGAAGCCCTCAAGAGAGAAGCAGCAAGGGACTTCAGCCATGCCTGGAATGGCTGGAGAGGCCACTTCAGAATGATAAACATTTACTATAAGAATCAAGCCTCTGCTTCCCGTATGGAATCAAAAACGGAGGAAGCGCCTATGTCTTCTCTAGCAAGGAACAGACGTGGTTAGAATGAATGACCAACTTTTAGCCAATGGTGGCCTACAAGAGGAGCTGCGTCCGACCTCTTCAATACATCTTAAAAAGTCTTCTGACTTTGCTATCTCAAAAGGGCTGGCTAGATTTACCTAGAAGGAAAAATGAAATCAAGGGGGGGGGAGCATAAACACAGCTATCTGTGCTGTAGAGATCTTTTCTAGAGCTACATCTGGAGAGATATCCAGAGAAAAGGACTACAAGCAAATCCATTTGCCAATAACTCTTTGCAGATCACACACGCTGAGCCTTTTAGCATCTGCCTAGTCCAGGGGTAGGCAACCTTGGCTCTTTTATGACTCACAGACTTCAACTCCCAGAATTCTGAGCCAGCATAGCGTAGCTGGCAAAGGAATTCTGGGAGTTGAAGTCCACGAGTCATAAAAGAGCCAAGGTTGCCTACCTTTGGCCTAGTCACACCATCTTTCATGACTCTTAATTTAACTGCTTTTCAGTCTTTCTCCATCAAAAAATTCCAGCCACAAGGCTTGTGTACAGAAATGGGTTCAAGATGACAAATGTTTGGTTTTGTTTTTTTAATAGTCATGCAGCTATTCTAGAATTACTAAAAAGTCGTACAATATTTACTGGGTTAGTAAACGACACGAAATTCTTTCTCTTTGAGCTATAATGTTTAAAAATTGAGAGAGGTGGAAGGATGAGTTACACCTAAGTTTGTTTGTTTTTCCCAGTAAAAGACAACTGGAAAAGAAATCTTTCTTGAATCAGCTGATGGCTGAGCTGTCCAGGCATCTAAGAACTACATTCTTAGCACAAATTAGCAGCAAGAGCTGTACATTAAATCACAGCACTGTAGTACAACAGGGCATCTTCCTTTAATTCAGTAATGTTCTTGACAGCTAATTTTAATATTCCCTAAGGCAAAAAATATAATCGATGATAAATGACAAGTCGGAATAACTAGTGCTAACTATTTTCAGCAATGAACATTTATTATATCACCCTCATCATTTTCTTATATTTTTCCCTTGGCCAGCATCTAAGACTGATATCACCTACTTGCAATAAGTGGAAGTAAAATCCAGTAAATTTAGGGAGATTTGTGTTTGACTGGATAGCACCTTTTGAAGTAGAACTTAAAACTGTTACGTTGCGGTTTCCTTTGCAAAGCCTTATTCGCTTAGTATTTATCCAAATCCTCTTTTTTCAGGCATTGTGTGAATCAGAACAAGACTTCCCACCATTTTCAAAAGGTTCTTAGGAAAAAAATATTTATGGCCTTTGGATTTCTATTATTACTTTGCTGATCTCTACATTTTTCAGCCGGAAGAGCTTATAACCAACATGACTAGTCTACAGACTAAGGTGGAGTTCACACAGCAATCCACTTTTTTGTTTTAAATATAGTTTGTTGAATAAACAACAGTAGCTAGATGCAACCCATAATTAAGTCAGAAGCCATGATTTACCAGCCACAATGACTGGTATCGCAAATCGTGCTAATTCTAAATTAATCAAAGTACATACAGTAATGGCTTAGATTGAGTGATGTCTGTAGAAGCTAGTAGCTAAAAAAAACCCCACCCTTAGGACATCTTAACTGCATACTTTAGAATCAGTATTTATTTCTCAATATTTGAAATTCAAAGTTTAAATTACCTACTTCCTTCAGTTCCTTGCACTTCAAGCCACATTTTGAAATACCTTCCACCCAACATCTATCTGTGCAAGAGAAACAGTTAAAAGGGATTTTAAATCCCTTGCTGGCACACATCTCAATGCACAAAGAATCAAGAAATATAAAAGGCTATGACAAAAAAAATGAAGTTAAGAACGTTCTTATTGAATATTCTTTTGAAGATAAACCCCTCTGTAAATCCAGAAGTATTTGGAAAGTTAAAAGATGGGAATTCTGCCTTCAGGATGGTGTAATTACCAATTCAATCGAGTGCGGATTTAATTTAATAATGTTACCTTTAAGTGGTATTCTTGCAAAATTCGTGTAATCTGAGAATAAAGATCAGGGATCAAAGACTAAGTATTACACTTGAGGGCACACAGGCACTCTACGTGGAATAATGATTTTACCTGGTTTGGCTTAACATCACCAACCCTTGATAAATACTGCTAAAACCCAACAATTTGGAGGGGAAGACTTCCTGCTTTATCTCACTCTTCCAGAATTCACGCCCTTACCTGTGAACTGCACCACAAACATGGAGCTACACTGCTCAGGCAAAGCTTTCAGTCCCAGCGAATATTTTGCAATATACCCAACAACATACAAACATCATTCAAGAGGATCATACTCCAACCCTCGGGTGACACATCAAGTATCCAGAACTTCTTTTAAAAAACCAAGTGCCTGGAATACGAGTAACAAGAGCAGAGCTTAACGTCAATAAAGCCACAAACAGCAGGATGCTAAAGAGCAACAGGCTGGAGACTTTTTAAAAAAGCTGAACAGCTGCCCAGTTCTGCATCTGTCCTTGTCAGTCACCACTCCGTGATACTTTTCAGACCGAGTCCTGGAATATTGCGGAGAAAGCAGTCAGAGAGCAGGTGGGGAAGCAATTAACAGGAGGCTTATCTGTGAATCTGCAAAGGATTTGATTTCGGACCTCAAATTACTGAAAGACAGAACGCAGTTGGCAAGTCCTGATCTCGCTCAGTAATCTTACAAGCGTACATCTTAACAGACAAGCGAAATCCTGACTTGGCAGGCCAAAGAACTGTGTGAAATTCAATGTTCAAGTCACTGAATTAAAATTTGCAATTCAGCATTCAAAACCAGAGTTCTACACACCCCAAATGTACTCCCCTGGAGTGGGATATAGGCAAGAGAAATCAAACTCTACTGGTCAACGCATGCACAAGGTTTAGCATCGTGGGATTTGGGTGCAAAAAATACTGTTGCAGTTATTTATTTTCCCTTTTCTAGTAGCATCCACAATGCAAAATACACACAATGCATCCTGCTCATCCTGCTGCTATCATGTATGGGAATTTGGGGTGGCTTATTAAAAACACAGGGAGTATTTACCACGTTGTCTTGAACGGAATCAATACAGGAAGGAAGAAAAGGTCAGAAAATCTCCTCAATTATCCATTGGGCTAAGTAAATTTCGTTAGAGGGACTTATTTGTAAAATTTATGGGCCACCCAGCTTACCATGGAGTAATTCTGGGCTTATATGGAAATGTCTGTATATCCTAATACTGATAATGAGTTCAAAGATTAAGGCCAGCCCATTTAAAATTAAAGCCTTCCCCATCCTTAGAGTCTGATTTCACACAAATGCCATGCACTCTTTGCAGATTAAAATTGGAACAGATATTCTCATGCCAAGAATATCAAAGCTTCACCGTTCACACTATACACTGTTTATAGAGTTTTATCCCGCATTCTTAAACCTCATAAAAAAAGGGTCAAGATATCAAATTTGATATTCTGGTCAGATTATATCTACAATCAATTACTATAACATGCTCCAAATGAAAGAGTTTTTGGAAACTGCACTTGCTCAGAATGTAGCACCAAAGTTCCTAGGTCTTGCACTGAGTGAGTGGCATTATATTAGGTCTGCACGGCTTGCCAATATTGTTTCCAGGCTCAATGACAAGGCCTTTTCCTAATATTTAAAATCTTAAATATTGTTAAGTATGATAAGCATCAAAGTATCATAAAGTCTAACTTTTCGACTTCTTAGCCCTGGATGGCATAATTTGGCACTCTTTCTTATAGCAAAAAACCTTTCTGTTTGGACCCAATATGTACCCAAATGTTATCTTATACCACTCTGATTCTCTAATGCAGTATTGTGCAGCTTGAAAATTAGGGTTGCTAGCTGATACTGAATTCAGAAGCGGACAAACAGAATATAAATCTTTAAAAACTTGCATGTACTTTTGAGCACAGGATGAGAAACTGTGGGCATCTTAGCAAACCTATATGTGCTTTTACAGAGTACTGCAATAAAACCGCATTAGCCATTCAGGAATCTGACGGTTGCAGCACCCAATTTGATGCTCTTCATATGTGTTGGGTTCTGTGTCCCACTATCCTACCAAGACAACCAGCTGTTAGACAGATGAGATGAAGTCCTTCTCAAGGGACCAGGGTAAGGAATGGATGTCCATATACAGAAAGGACTTTAGTAATATAATCTTCCCCCTAACTCCTGTATAAAATTGATAAGCTACTCCTGCAGGAATTCCACAAACTGGCCATGGATCTATCCACAGATGAAGATGATGATGATAAAATATATTCACCAGTGAGAAAATGAATGCATCCCTTGAAACCATAAGTGCTGACAAAATCACCATCAGTCAATTGCAAAGGGCAGTTTACATCCTGTGACGATACTTTTTAACACCATCAAACAACATTTGCCTACCCCAGATCCTTGAGAAAGGACTGGATAGGTGGATTAAAAAATGACAAATCCAGCCTGAACATCTGGCAGACGGGACAACCAACCACAATAATAATAAATTAAACCTCTAAGCCGCCCAACTCTCAACCTCTTAGGAGATAGGCTGGCCTAATATAGAATATAAATCTTGCTTAAAGTCAACCACAGATTTTTACAGGATCTGAATTCGGATCTCTCCATCTCATTTGGGGGGGGGCATTTATTCATTTTTTAAGTGCCAAAAACTGCAGCATCCCTCCCCATGGACTGGAAGTAACCGTGCAGAAGGTGCGGCAAGCCTGCAATGCAGAAGGCCAGACGGACACACCTGGGCACGCCTTCCAGACGCACCAGGACTACAAAAGCCATGATTCCCAGCCAAAAGAGGCATGCCATTGGGGATAGCTGGCGCCTCCCAGGTGTGCCAGGACGGCAGCTCCTTTCATGCCCACCCAGCAAGGCCCGCAAGCCCTCCTCCGGATCCTGGAGGGCTGTGGACCAGGGGAATTGTAGTCCCGGAGCATCTGGAAGGTCGGGCAGCTGGCTCAGGCCAGTGGAGCCTCCCGTTCGGATCTGAGGAAGGACGTGCCCCGCCAGCAGCCCTCACCTTGCCTTCCCACGCGTCCGCCGACCGGCCCCACCGGCTTCCGGCCGCAGCTCCCCAGAGACATCAGCCTCTCGGCCCGCCGCTCCTCCGCGGCTCCCGCCCCGACGGCCAGGCCTCGCCCGCTCCCTTGGCCCCGCCTCCAAGCGGCCTGCGCGCGCCCCCATTGGTGCCCGGTCTCTAGGGGCGTGACCGAGAGTGAGACCCAATGATGGAAGCGTGGCCGACGCGCGGAGGGAAAGTTCCATTCCGCGCTCGCTGATTGGTCGGTTCGAGAGGCTACGTAGCCGCTTGGTCTCAGGGTTTCTGGGCAATGTAGTTTAAGAAAAGGCGCTTTTTTTGAGAGAGAGAGAGCGAGAGAGAAATGGGATTTCTTCACTGCTTGGGGAGAATGGGTCACTTTCCTCATCTCCTCTTTAAAAGCTATATGGTGCTAGGCTTCCTTCCTTACGATGAAATCCAACAAATCCTTAAAAAGGGTCGTTGATGTGGCCTCCAGCCAGACGATTGGTCCCTTGGGAGCATCATTTATCTAAATACAGGGGTAGGCAACCTTGGCTCTTTTATGACTCGTGGACTTCAACTCCCAGAATTCCTGAGCCAGCTATGCTCAGGAATTCTGGGAGCCAGCTATGCTGGCTCAGGAATTCTGGGAGTTGAAGTCCACGAGTCATAAAAGAGCCAAGGTTGCCTACCCCTGATCTAGGACATGTGAGGCTGCACTTCAGAACATGCACAAATTGGAGCAAGGCAGGAGGCGCCTTGCCGATATGAAAAGATTGTCCAGTAAATACAAAATAACAGTCAGAGGAAGAAACGGATTATGTGGGAAACATAAAGATTTTAGAAAGTGGTTTCTACAAAAGAGCCACTCCTGTGTAAACTTATCTATGAAAATGTCTTCAGTGACTGTGGTCCTTCTAAGCTCCTACATCTTGCCTGAATTGTCGCATAAGGATGCTGAAACCTGGTTCTGATATCCTTCAGAATTGGGCCAGTGGCTCCACCACAGCTCCGCACCTGTTCTTCTTGCAGAAAAGTACGAATATCCCTCGTTGATGTCTTCTGCATTTGGGCGGATTGAAAAAAGAATGGAGAGTAGATATAAACAACGAAGAGGTAGCAGGCAAGTCCATTGCCAGCTTAGTTCATAAACTGACTCTTGGTCCGAGTGTTGAGAAATCACGGAAGAAGTGTTTCATATCGCTCGACAATTTGCCCCCTTAATGAACACGCTGTCATAGGAGTAAGAAACTACTCAATTTCCAGAATTCTGTATTTACACCCAGGTAAGCATTAAATTCGACTGGAGTTGATCGGTCAATACATTTAAATGAATACTTAAAGGTATGTTGTTGAAGTCACTGTAATTCTTTTCCAGCTATGTGGGAACTCGACAATTTCTGAAGAAATAAAATGAGAATATGAGGCAGTCTTTGGATGTAGTGCTCAAAAAAAAGAGAGAGGGGTTCTTCTAAGGAGGTGACTTCTTTTTATCAGGGTACCTTTTAGGACAGGTTTGCTCATTGTGTTAATTCCACAGAATTCATTATAATGGGTTAGGAACATAATGAAACCATTGATAGAGTTCAGACATCTGCACACACATACCGAGGGGTCATGTGTAGAGGCCAAACACCATTTTTCAAATATACTTGAAGAGCTAAATGCAGGAAGTGACTTCTCTTCACGTTGTCTGGAAACCAGGGGTGGGACTAGGCAGAGCATTAGTAGCAATACCCAATGTACTCAGCTGAAGGCTGCAGAAGGGAGCAGGCTAGGTTGGCTAAGGATACACAGCCTTCCATCTCTTGAGTTCTGAACGTTTACCAACCAGCTACGCAACATGGAAACCTTCTTGAAAGACGGTTCAAGAAGGGTCTACATTTAGACTGGTTTTAAAGGGACTCTACTACACCCACCTTGCTCCAGAAAAGAATCATCAATATGGGAAACATTGCCTTTGGCGTAATCCTTGCTGTGCTGGCTTCACTGATTATGCTAATCAATTGTGTTGTGGTCCTTGCACTGGTGCGGCTGATCTGGAAGAACCATTGCCCTAGCCTGTGCTTTGTTTTAAACCTCGCTATCTCTGACTCCTTGGTGGGCTTCACCATTACGGGTCTGGTTAATGAAGAACTGTCTGGTCCTAAGCACCAGACACCCCAGCGATACTGTGTCTTACAAATGGCTTCCATCACCTGCCCTTCCGCTGCCTCCATCTTCACAGTGATTCTGGTCACCTTTGACCGATACCTGGCTATTACGCATCCTTTCCGCTACTTCAGAATCATGGCTAGCCCAGTGGTCGGGATTTGTATCGGAGGCCCCTGGCTGCTGGCCTGTTTGATCGGCTTCGTACCTGTGATGGTCCACAGTTTCCAGGAGAAGAACTACCAAGGTCTGTGCACCTTCTTCGCAGTATTTCAGCCGACGTACATCCTGGTGGTCTTCTGTGTCAGCTTCTTCCCAGTGTTCTTTATCTTCCTCTGTTTCCACTGCCGCTTGCTCAAGGTTGCTTCTTTGCACATCCAGCACATCCGAGAACTGGAACCCGCCGGTCTGCCAGTTGCCTGCCCAGCCTCTCAGCCTGCCAATGATACCAAAGCACTGCGTACTGTGTCCATCCTGGTTGGTTGTTTTGCCTTCTGCTGGTCCCCCTTCTTTGTGGTTAGCATTGTCCAGATTGCCTGCCAACGCTGTTACCTCCATCGCCTGCTAGAGCACTACCTCTGGGTGTTGGGCGTGTGCAACTCTCTAGCAAATCCCCTAATCTATGGATATTGGCAGAAGGAAGTTCGCCTGGAGATCTGTCAGATGTGTTTGTGCCTGAAGAACAAAATCTTTCCTCTTTTTCACTTTGATAGCCACCCTGATGCTGCTGTCACCCAGGCTGGGGGACCACTCTATATCATCTCACTAGCCCAGCTGAAGGACTGATGTAGGTTTTTTTAAAAAATGTCACTCCTGGTAAGGTTCTTCTCTTATGTGTTTCACCAAGTCTTCTGTCCAGGAGCAATGTTATTCCATGGTAAATGGGTGCAGTCTTTTCCCCATAGCAGTAAGAAGTTTAGGGCCACTTTGAAGACTTTATACTCCAACTTTATTTATTTCTTCTTAACCGTGCATTATGACTAAGCTCTAAAAGGCAATGGTGGCAGTGCCAAGAGACAAACTCTAGACCTAGCACTGGAAAGGAATCAAAATCCTTGGTCCCAAAGAACTTCCCATTTTGGATCATCTAGAGATGTTTGGATAGTTCTTGAAGACATGTGTGCATTTATTGGTTCATGGTTTCTGACAAAGAATAACAGCAGCTTAGTCATAATGTACAGTTGGTTATCTATAGACGGTGAACTGCTGCTTTTTACAAGGTCAACTAAGGATGCATCCTTATGGTCAGTTGAGGTCAACAGTCTTGAGGTTTTTACTCTTTGTCTCCCATAAACATACCATGATAAGAAAAACGGGAGAAATGATGAAAAAAGAAACACATTTTGTTTCTACAATGTATGCAAACCAACGTGGAGATCCACTCCACTAGGTTTATAAAGTTGGTTATACTTTTCCGCCATTCATGAAGAGATCGTATCCTGACGATTTCTTGTTGAATTAGATTGGCAGATGGACCATATTTACTCCCTGGCCATTAATAGCTTGGATCCTGATAAGTGAGCCTTGGAAAAGCAAGTAGTGGAACCTGGAGATTTCAAAAGCTGTTAATTATATAATGCTTGCATTTCCTCTCTATGGAAACAGAGGACAGGAACCACACTTTGCTGAACGCAAACTGGATTAGCCTTGTTTGTGCATTAACAGTGACAACAGAGGCCACGTGGTACAGCAGGATCAAGCAAGCCAAATTCATAAAGGCCAAAGTGGGAAATGTTCAAATTCTTGTCTGGTGCAGTGTGAGATTACGGTGGGGATTGTCAATCTCTTGATCAATGGCCATATTTTAACACTGGAAGGGCATTTGTCTCCTATGGCAGAGTTTTCAATTGATGCCCATGTATTTCAAACTGATATATTTGCATGATGATTTTAATTCATTTGCACCTCAAAATGGCAGCACACTGTCAGTGGAGACTTCAAGACCCACCCAAAATAGAGGGCTGGCTGGGAGTTGAAGTCCACAAGTCTTAAAATTGCCAAGTTTGAAGACCCCTGGGCTAAGGTCAATGTTCTCCAAATCTTATAATCCCATGAATAGGGATGCTTTATTCTACCCTGCAGATTGCAGCCTAGAAGCAAAGGCAACAATGCTTTGCAGCAGAGCTCTCCAACCGTGGTAACTTTAAGACTTGTGTACTTCACTTCCCAGAATTCTGCTTGCTGGGGAATTCTGGGAATTGAAGTTCACATGTCTTAAAGCTGCCAAGGCTGCAGACCTCTGCTTTACAAGGTTTTCTGGCAGTATTATCATTTGGTTATCCCTGTAAACAATTCTCAGATCTAGGTGATCATATCTTTGGGGAGACAGAGCAGGGGGGGAAATTAATGGCCTATTTTTTTTTATTCCTTCCAGGTGATAAACCACCACCTTCCATAAGCAAACCATTGGCTAGTGAAAAATGTTGTGGGATGCCGCTGCTAAGGAAGGAGAGCCTATATCCAAACTTTATTAACTCTCGGTGCTTAATTGCGCCAATGATGCCAAGAAAGTCTGGCGTACGCAAACATAAGCTCTGAGAAATTACCCGTTTCAGTTTTATTGTTTTATTCAGTCAGTTTTATTGCCCTTTGATTGTGTTTGCCCTTAACAAAAACAGACATATGGAGGAGTGAACGATGCTGAAGAAACCCCGAAAGGAGGAATATTAACAAATATGTTGGAGCCCATTAGGGAGAATTGAGCTGAAATGCCCATCTGTGATGCCGGATCGCGCATCGAGAGCAGTTGGTGTGTTGCCACAAAAACTTGACAAAGAAGATGCCAGTCCATCTGACCAGTGTGGGTGGAGGACTGTTGTTTGGGAAAACGTCCAATGCCAGTTCCACCAACCACTTCAGATGGATCAAGGAAATCAAGAGGATCATTCAGTTTTATCCATTTGCTAGCTTGTGACTGATATTGTGGAGGTCTTGGTTATGCACAGAACTGTCACACACACGTTTTTGCTTGCTTAAGGGTTGAAGAATCCATCAAGGTTAAATCCTGTTCTATTTTCTTTCGTAATAGTAAGATCCCTCTCCCCAGGCACCTGCTGCGTGGCTGCTTTTATTGTCCACTGTGTTGTCATGCACCTGCTGTAGTTGAATTGCATCATTTGGATTCATTTCCCTTTCCTAAGGACATCTCTCTCGGTATTGTGTCTTGGATAGCCATGTTCCTAAAAAGCTATTTTTATCTGCTAAATGGTGGTGGGAGGTGTAAGGGGTTTTTTTTTTTGTAGGAGGGAACCCATATTGATTGATTGTAGCCAAAAATCAGGCTTCAGGTCCGGTACCATCTTTTCATCTAAGAGATTTTATTAAAAGGCACAAGCTTTTATGAGTTGCTAACAACCAGTCTCTCTCTGATTTTTCACTCTTATCGTGCGAGTTATCCTGCAGTCAACCAGAAGCTACAATTCACTGGATGAATCTTGAGGATTACCCGGGTGATCCTTTCTCTAGAGTTGAACTGGTTTGCAACGGTACCAAGTCAGGATTCAAGGACATTAACTTAACCCTGGCAGGTGTATAAATCACGTAGCTGGACAGGCAATTCTTATTTCTTCCTTTCAAAGAAAAGACCTGTTGTTTAAACATGCAGGCGCCTGCCCTAGTTTCAGAAAAATGTTGTATTTGCAGATATATACACATACACGCACATCACAGGATTCGATTCCAATAAATAGTTTTAATAGGGTTATATGACACTGGAAGAAGGACTGCAGCAGCCCCCATATTTCTCCCTTTGGCATTAGCCAAAGGGAGAGGGATTGCCTGCTGCAAAAGCCACATGTCAGTGAAAAGGATTTCTGACTCAAACGCTCTTCATGGAAGATACAAACACAGACATAAGTGCTCTCCCTCCACGTTCCACCGTCTTCCTTGGGGGAAAGCACATGCACTGGGCACTGAATACTGCATTTGTGGACCCATTCTCCCCCTCCCCTGAAGCCACCCTCCCAATACTGGGCACTCAGCACCTGGAGGGTAAAACAAAGTCCATGTAGACAAAAAGAAAAGAAAAGAAAAAGAAATACGTGAAGATGCAGAAATGGAGAGGAGCAGGAAGGACAGCTGGGTTGCCAATCCAAATGGGCACCTTAGAAAGGGAGCCTCTTCAGCTGCTCGTAGGTGATAAAAAACTGCCGCGGAGTTAAAGAAATATCTTTCAAAGGAAGAATTTCTAATCGTTCCCTCCCTCGTCTGGGTCTCCTTTCCAGCTAAGTAACATGTCTAGTTTTGCATTTCAACGAGCCCGAGAGCCCAAGCAGACTTACGGGGTTATAACTGCAGAAATCAAGGGAATATGTTAGTGTGAAAAGAAGGGAAAGTTAAAAGCAATACACAAATTAATAGCTCTGATTTCCGCCTCCCCGCAATTTGGAATTATAATGGTTGATCATCGTCTATGACACTCATGCAGGTGAGCCATGATAAGAAAATAGGGACATTTTATATCGCTTCAATGGAAGGAACAGCTCTGGATAGTTAGCCAAAGAGGAGCTAATAGCCTGAGTGCATCATAAATATGTGAAGGTGCCTTATAAATTTGGCAGAGTTCTCCAGTCACTTATGCAGGAGTCTTTCCCAAGCCTTAAAGATTCAGCAACTGGATTTGATAAGGATAGAATATACCCAGGTTGCTTTTCTCTGCTCCTCTGAAGTGTGTAGAATTATTCAACTCACAAATTCATATGTGCTGTTTACATCAGCACACTCCCAAGAAAAGTGCACTATTCAAATGTCTCTGCAGAACAAATCGTTTGGGAAGGCTAAATTGGCCCTTAATTGTATCAGTTAAAAATTCAGAAGCTCCCTTTGCCTAAATTTGACCCTAGCTTTCTTTGCTTTCGTGATTCGGCAAGTGGGCATGAGTCAAACGTGATTGATTAATCACTCAAAACACTGTGTAAGCACAAGAGGTGATGAGCCGAGGTGGCGCAGCAGTTAGAGTGCAGTACTGCAGGCCACTTTAGCTGACTGTGTTCAGCAGGTCAGCGGTTCAAATCTCACCGGCTCAAGGTTGAACTCAGCCTTCCATCCTTCCAGGGTAGGTAAAATGAGGACCCAGATTGTTGGGGGCAATGTAAATATATATATATATATACATTGCTTACTGGTGTGCACCGCTTAGAGAGTGCTTGCACTTAAAGCGGTATATAAGTCCCATAAATAAATAAATAAGAGTTGGTACAGCAATCCAAATTAAGTGCTTAAAGCAAATGTTGTTTAACATGCACGTTCAGACACTTCACCTAGCTCAGTAAAAATGAGTTATTGTTCTGGTTCATACCCCACAGATCGGAACGGGTAACTTATAATTCACTACTGGCAGGAAATTTGCCGTATCTACAAAAGTCTTGGCTACGATCGATAATGGCTTCAAAAATACTACCCGGCCTTCCCTCTGCTTTGCGTACAAAAAGGATACAATGATATTCCAGGGGCCAAGTCTCAACCAATTTGGCCAGAAGCCTTTGTAAAGTGCAAAGAAGCCCTCGCTTTTCCAAGTCTGCAAAAGTGGTAAGAAACCACATTCAAAATACACCCTGGTCCGTACTTTCTGTGATGTCCCCAATATTTATTAAGTTTACACCCTGCCTTTATTCAGGAGCTCGAAGCACCCCATAAGGGAATTCCCATTTCACCCCTAGCTCCTGCTTCCACCACAGCAAGGAAAATAGGCTGTAGGGGAGGAGAAAGACAAAGTCAACCAATGCATTTCCATGACCTAGGATGGAACTATTAGTCTGCTATTAGTCCAGCACTTGAAGCACGGCACCACACTATCCTGACTCCCTCAAGATGGAGGCACTCTACTTACCTTTAGCAGGCCATCCATTGTTCCCCTATAGAGCTCCACGCTTCCCACGATGGCCCGCTGATTCATCATGCGAGTTCGAACCACATCCACGGGGTTGGAAGCTATGGCACCAGCCAGTCCACAGGTAAAACTGGAGCTGGACAGACAAGCAGAGAAGAAGCCATTTAAAGGCAGGTGCATCTCACAGAGTAACTAGAGCAGCGGTTCTCAACCTGTGGGTCGTGATCCCATTTGGGGTCGAGCGACCATTTCATGCGGGTCGCCAAACAACGCAGTCCGCCATTTTTTCACCCCTTTTCCTTAGCTGTGCTACTCCCTTTTATTCTATTGGCTTTTGAAAGCCAATAGAATAGACTCTCTTGAATAGAGTCTAATTCTATTGGCTTTCAAAAGCCAATAGGAATTGTCCAGGCTGTCTTTGCCCTGCTGAGCCCGCCAAAAGTCCCATTCTGCAAACGGTGCTGCACCAGTTGAGTAGTCCTCGACTTACGAACGGTTGAGTAGTCCTCAACTTACGACCGGTTGGGGGGGGGTCACGGCATTAAAAAGGTTGAGAACCACTGAACTAGAGATTGTGAATTTCTTCCTTCTAGGTGGCACTGGTTTCAGAAACAGGCCCAGGACAATTCTCGGAAGAAAATGTGTGAAGAAAACCACAAGTTTTAATTGCGTGTAGCAGAATGACCAATCGTTCCTCTGGTTTTCCACGACCCACGTAAAATTTTAAGAACAATAATGCCAGCACCTCACCAGAAGATGGGGTTGACACAGCAGGGTTAAGTCTCTTTGCTCCTTACAATTTCTAACAGGGGTTTACATTTGTTTTTGCTATATTTTAAAAGCGACAAGCCACGGATTACACATAATAGTGGGCCATAAATCTTGGTTTATGTAACTGGGTTAACATGTCATACTAAATCAAAGCTAAACAAGTGCATAATGTGGCTTTGTGCAATGCCAGTCTCCACCTACTAGAAGAATGCACGATCTCCAGGAATCACAGGGAAAAATACCACAATGCCAAAATGTGAGCTCTTGACTACTCCAGGCGCACAATCCATGCCTCATTTCACAGCCAACACAATTTGAGAAGAATGCATTTAGGTTAACAATCAGAACAGTCGCAGGTACTCACATAAAATGTGTGAGGATTGTGTCCCCCATGAGTCCTGAAAGTATTAAGTGTTTCTTGGTGATGTCATAGACTGGTAACTCAACTCCTACCACAATAGCAGCTCGCTGAGCAGTGGGAACCACACCCTAGCCAGAGAAAAGACCGGAAGTTAGAATGGCTTTAAGCACGACATCACAGTCAATGACCTACTAACTTCCATTCATCCCATCCTTAACTGTTTTGAAGTTGGCAGGTTGCGTCATTTTTCACAGGAGGAAAAAAAAACAGTCCACTGGCTCTTAGGTCTGATCTCAAGATTCTTACAATACTGCTTTAAAAAGATTGATCTATAAGTCTGATTTATCAACTTCTCTTTGGGCAAAATCCTGCTTTTGTTAAGAAATGCTAATGCCAAAAATTAAAATCTCTTATTTGCTATGCATTATTCTGGTTTATTTGCTTGCTTGCTTTACCATTCTCGTTCCTCTAGAGCAGTGGTTCTCAACCTGTGGGTCGGGACCCCATTTGGGGTCGAATGACCATTTCACGGGGGTCGCCAAACCACGCTGTCCGTCATTTTTTTCCCTTTTCCCTAGCTGTCCTACTCCCTCTTATTGGTGGCCACACCCACTTGGGGGTCACCACAACATGGGGAACTGTATTATGGGGTCACGGCATTAGAAAGGTTGAGAACCACTGCTCTAGAGAATTAGAGTCTTACTTGCTGGTCCCTGAAAATGAAAAATAAGGGACTTTGGTGAAAAAAGGACATTTCAACTGAGGAACAGGATTAAAACTATTCAACTGTTAAGAGATCTCTCTTCCAACATTTTTTTTTTTATAATTTTTATGACTGCTACCACCGTGTTTTAGACACAACAGTGATACTAAAAATTCTAGAATCAGCCACCAGTTGTCAAATCTGCTTAAAGGGCTGAGCCTTAAATTCAACAAATTGTTTAAGTGATGGAGAGCAGATTCAAGTCTCCACTTAAGAGCACTTAGCAATAGCACTCAGAATTATATACTGCTTCATAGTGTTTTACAGCCCTCTAAGTGGTTCACAGAGTCAACCTATATTGCCCCCAACAATCCAGGTCTTCATTTTACCGACCTCGGAAGGATGGAAGGCTGAGTCACCCTTGAAGCTAATCGAACTCCTGGCAGTGGGGCAGAGTTAGCCTGCAATGCTGCATTCTAACCACTGTGCCACCACAGCTCATAATAGTGGGAGGCCCTGGCCAGGTTTGAGGCAGTAATACTCTCAGACCGACCAACCTCACAGCATTATTGAAGTGACAATGAAATGAAGGGTGATTCTTCTGAGCACTATTGTGAGTGCTCAGAGGAGATTCAGAGGACTGATGATGTTACCTAAATGGGTAACAAAACGCCTGCAAGAAAACAACCAAGCTCAGAGAGCAAAAAGGACCCCACAGTCCTCCGCCTCCTTCTCCTCCACTCCACAAACCCCACCCCCTTCTAGCATTGATGATGTTGCCTAGTTTGGTGATGAAATGCCTGCAAGGAAGCAATCAAGCTCAGACAGTATCAAGGACAACCGAGGAAAGGCAGAATATAAACACAAGAAAAACCGTCTTAGACAAGCCTTCTCCACGTTGGTCTTTGGAAGCAACCACAAAACACCCGGATAGTGGGAGGCAACACAAGGGGCCCTTACCCTCCAGAGGCCCCGCGTGCCTTCTTGCTGGTAGATGTCTATGAAGCTTCCAATCATGCCTCCTTGGAACAGGCTGCCCTGAGCTTGCATTCGAATCTGAAAATGAAGAGAGCAGGGAAGCCCGTGGACATATGCAAGCCAACATTATTGCTCGGAGGCCAGGGAACTAAGCATGAATATTCATTGCCAGCCTTATCAGGTAACCCAAGTGTCATGGTTCTGACAGACAACACTCTTCAAAAGAACTTCGAGGCATTGCTTACCTTAAAGAATCTTTATTTTGAGTAGCAAAACATTGGCGCTGCATAATCGAAGCCAAAAACTGAACTCCCCTCCCCTGAGCACATAGTATCAAAGCACAATTCCCTCCTCCAATTAACAGTCATAAATCACATTCCCCAATTAGCTTGAAGCATGGGCCTCCTCTCCAGTTCTCCAGCGCACACACACCCAACAATGTCATAGCTGCAATTCAGGTGCTTGGCAGCCAGCTCACGTTTACAGCTGGTTTCAGCATCCCACGGTCACAGGATATGATTTAGGATAGTTTGGCCAGACACTACCTATTTTTTTTCCAGCCCAAAATATCCATAGGAATGCATTGGGCTCATTTAACGACTGCTGCATAAAAGGTCATAAAACTGGGTTGGTTACATGGATGCCTCGACTTACGACGTCATGACTGATGAAGGAAATTCTAGCGTCCATTTTAGTCCTAAGTCAGGGATGAGCTGCAATCTAGTGATAGAGCGGGACTGTTAGTATCATAAAGTGACAGAATTTGAAAACTGCCAGGAAGTAAAAACAAAAAGCACCAACAGACCAGCAATGAGTACAGACCGTGACAAGAATCCAGCAAGAAAGACTCCTCTTACCTTTAGTACATCTGTTGGATTAGCCAGAGCAGAGGAGATGACGCCTGAAATCACCCCGCAGATGACATTGATCAATAACGTTTCATCTGCAATTAGGAAGAACGTGATATAACCCAAAACTCTGCTCAAGAAGAAACAAGCGACAGAAGTAGATTTCAGGAAGGAAAAGCAAAGATGAGAGAGAATATATATATTGAGTCTTGAGTGTTGTTTTTTTTTATACACCTGTAAGCCCAAATATGGGAGGAAGAAATCTTTTGCCTGTATCAGCTCAATCTAGAGCCATCCACAGGCAGCAGTCGCTACTGCGACATCATTTGTATTTGCTAAATTTTTCAATTGCTAACAAAAGAGTTAAAGGGGGACTGGGACAGCTCCCTGATACAGCTGACAAAGAGAGAAAGAGCCTGTGGGCTAGAGGTTAACACAGCTGCCTAATGTGCAAGCAGCCCAGGTTCGAATCTCAGAAGGGTATGGCTGGCTGATGAGAGCTAATCAGCTTGAAATAGCTATCCCAGTCCCTTTAACTTTTTGTTACCAATCCAAAAATTTAGCGAATATATCTATATCTATATCTATATCTATCTATCTATCTACCTGCACTTTTTTTTTATTTTTTAGATTGCTAAGAAAGAATAAAGGGAGAACTGGAATAGCTATTTCGAGCTTCTTAACTCTCTTCAGCCAGACATACCCTTCTGAGATTCGAACCTGGGCTGTGTGCATGTTAGACAGCTGTATTAACCTCTAGGTCACAGGCTCTTTCTCACTTTGTCAGCTGTATCAGGGAGGGAAGATATAATTCTTTTATATATATAAATTTATTTATCTCTTTCTTGTGCCTAAGGTATCAGGGATATATTGTAAATCTGCAAGATTCCAATCAAAGCCATTCTTTTCCAAACTGTTAAACTAAAGCAGGGAGTTGATTACCAATTTCCTTGCTTTTGCCGGAATTGTTAAGAGTCTGAAGGAATGCTACCCAATCCCTTAAGCTTCCTGAGAAATAGACGCAGAAAGAATTGTTGATAGAGATTCAGTAGAATCTGAGAACTGGATTTTTTTTTTAAAAAAAAAAAAACAACCCAGCCAATGTGATTAGAGAATTAATTCAGAAAGGAAAAGCCAAGAGTTAGAGCAGAGTTAGGCTGGGAAGGGCAGGGGTACTGACCGCAGCAATCTCCAAAGAGACCGGGTCACTGTCTGCCCAGGGCCTGCAGGAAAACAAACATTTAAGACATAGTTCCCATAAGCAGAGACCAAAAAATAGCACATGTGACAGTGTAGGCAGAGGCAACTTGGTGGGCGATGAAAAGGCAGGCAGGGCAGCATAACATCTGGATTTTTTTTTTTTTATCATCGTGATATTCCCCCGTTTTGAATTTTGGAACAAGCGTCAACATTACTGCATTCAGATGTGTGTGTGTGTGTTTTAAGAGGAAAAGCCCTGGATTCTAATCTTCATCAAGGAAAATAGGAGCACTGTGCATCCAGAGACTTGATCTAGATTTATGAAAATGTCAAAAAATGGATTCAAGAGGAAACCAGATAAAGGTAGTCCTCAACGTACGATCATAATTGAGCCCAAAATTTATATTGCAAAGTGAGACAGTCACTAAAAGTGAGTTTCTCTCCATTTTAATGACCTTTCTCGCCACCCTTGTTAAGTAATCACTGCAGTTGTTAAGTTAGTAACATGATTCTTAAGTGGATCTGGCTTCCCCGTTGACTTTGCTTATCAGAAAGGCAATCGCGTGATCTTGGGACACTGCAAATACGAATCACTCGTCGAGCGTTCAAATTTTGATCGAGTGACCATGGAGATGCTGCAATGGTCCTAAGTGTGAAAAACGGTCATAAGTCACTTTTTTTTCAGTGATGTTGTAACTTTGAATGGTCCCTAAATGAACTCTTGTTAAGTTGGGGACTACCTATAGAAAGAAATGGGTGGAATGAAGGCCTGAATTTTGCTTGCTGCAGCAACTTTGCCCTCCATGACCGAGCATTTCTCTTTATTGCATCTGTTTCATCTAGAAAAACATCCATGTCCTCTCTAATACAAACATCTGTGTAGGCTTACATAACTGCCTCACATAGCAGCTATTGGTGGAGATTGATAATGAACACTATTTGGGGTCTGAGTGCAATGAAACAAGGCACAATATATCTCAAAATGATGTAGGAAGAATCAGAAGTAAAGATTTAACGAGAGAAAAATATAATTCAAACTTTCTTGGGGTAAAAAATAAATAAATAAGAAAGCACTTAATAGAACATAGGTGATTTTCTATCCCATCTTTATGACATCTTTTGCATTTTTAGTTCTCTCTTTGTCCACTTTGGGAATCTGAAAGTCCAGGAAATTAATATATCTGACACTTCATAGCTCTGTGAAGGGGAAAAAAAGATGCACAATGTTTCCTTTGCATACCAACCTTCTAAACGGTCCACAAAAAGTCGTTTCAAACTCTGATATATACCAATCTTGATCGTGCCGTAAGATGCTTGTCTTAATAAAGCTGGTGCAATGCTGCAATCACAAAGAACAACAATGATCTAGCTAGGAAAACAGCAGTACACCCCCACTTCATTTAGCTGAGCCCACAACAAACAACCCTGAACCAAGTAATTCATGGGTTAGTCTTTCATGTGATCCCAACCATCAGTGGAGAGTCCTCCACTGATGCCCCACAATTGAGCCCAAAATTTATGTTGCTAAGTGAGACATTTGTTAAGTGAGTTTTGCCCCATCTTGTGACATTTGCTCACGGAATCACTGCAGTTGTTAAATTAGTAACATAGTTATTAAATGAATTCTGGTTTCCCCATTGACCTTGCTTGTTAGAAGGCTGGAAAGGGGGATCACGTGACTCCGGGACACGGCAACCGACCTAAATAGGAGTCAGTTGCCAAGCATTCCAATGTAAATTATGTGACCATGGGGATTCTGCAATGGTCGTGTGAAAAATGGTTACTTTTTTCAGTGCCATTGTAACTTTGAACGGTCACTAAATGGACTGTGGTAAGACAAGGACTAGCTGTATAGGGTAGGGAAAGCAGCTGTGCACACAAGAGAGGAACAGAGGGGAGCGGTACTTACCCAGAGTATAATGCTAGAATGCCTTCTTCTCTGGAGATGCGGAACAAGGCATGGAACATGCCCCGGTATCTGATCTCTCGGAAACGGGAATCAATGCTTTGTCCTTGCACTTGAAGTCGTGTTTTGGTGAGATCCACAGGGAAGGTGCCTAGGAAAGAAGAAGCTGCTGAATCACACAGTAATACTTAAGAAATGATCTAATGACTGCTCTAACATGTTAGCTGTTCCGCAATTTGTAGGACTGACTACAGCAGTCACAGGCCTGCCTTTTTCCCCATTTGAGGCTAGCCAAACTATTCATCTTTATATGTGTGTGTGTGTGTGTGTGTGTGTGTGTGTGTGTGTGTGTGTTTGTGTGTGTATGTTTTCTGAGGTTTTCGCGGGTGTTTGTATGTAGGTCATTGGTTATTCGGGTTTTCTCCCGTGTAAAATTGGAAGTGTCTTGGCAACGTTTCGACGAAGTCCCATTCGTCATCTTCAGGCTGGTGTTTTATCTATATCTATATCTATAAATATAGATACACACACATACACACACACACACACACATATTGGGGGGGAAAGGCATTCCACTGATTACAGACAGCCCTCGACTTACACAGTTCATTTAGTGACTGTTCAAAGTTACAACAGCAGTGAAAAAAAGTGACTTTTGACAGTGACTTAAAACCATTGCAGCCTCCCTAGTGGTCTTGTGATCAAAATCCAGACGCTGGGCAACTGACTCGTATTTACGACGGTTACAGTGTCTCGGGGTGACACGATCCACCTTTTGCGACCTTCTGACGAGCACAGTCACCGGCGAAGCCCGTTTTCACTCAACACTCGTCTTACAAACGTTAACACCTGCAGTGATTCACTTAACAACTCTGGCAAGACAGGTCGTAAAAGGGGGCAAAACTCACTTAGCAACTCAGCAAGGAAAACTTGGGGCTCAGGTGCGGTTGTAAGTCGAGGACTGCCTGCACTTATGCTAACTGTCCGATTGAAAATGTTAGGGTGAAATCCGATCCGGTGAAAATAAGAGTCACGTTTGTTTTGCATTTTACACAGCAAGAACTCCGGCGTTGGGATGCTTTTCTCTCCACTAAGGACTGGACACCCAAGGTCAACTGCTGGACAGTGACTGGGGGGCGGGGAGCTGGACCAAGGCCTGCCCGCCCAGCGGACTTCCCTGCCCTTCGGCGCCAGGTCTCCGTGGACCGAGGCGGAATAGCTAGGCCGCTTCGCGGTAGAGCCGGGCTGGGGCGTTGCTAGGCGCCGGGAAAAGGGCGTGGCCTACTGCCCGGTAACTCGAAAGGGTAGCGTCCGAGAAACCGCGCATGCGCGCCCGGCCCTGCCTGTCCTCTCCATCTCACCCACCGAATTCGGCCACGAGCGAGGCCAGTCCACCGTAGACGAACGGCTTCCAGCTGAGGGCGGACATCGCGGCTGCGGAGGAAGGGAGCCGGCGGGCCCCCTCCCCCCTTTCCCGGTGCACCGTTCTTTCTGCGCGCCAGCTGCGCTCCTTCGGTGCTTCCCCGGCCAGAGAGGATTCGCGCTAGGTCCGGACGGCAGCCGGGAAAGGCCAAAAGTATTAACAAGAAAAAAAGGGGTTCGCTCTCAGCGGGCTGGGGAAAAAATGCGGAGAATCTCGAGGCTTGCGATTGGACGAGCCGCCTGGACGTGCTGGTGGGCTGGGGCTAAAAGTAGCCAATGAGAGCGCGGCGGAGCCCAAAAGTCTCGCCTGGGCGAGGGGCGCTGCCCCACCCTCCTCCTCTGACTAGGCGTTCCCTTCAAGAGCGAGGGGGCGTGGCTAAAGAAGAGGGGGCGGAGCCCAGAGGGAAGAGAAGGCTTTGATCTTGCCAAGGGCACCTTTCCATCCCCCGCAAATGGGGGAACAAGAGACCTGCAGGAGATGCATAGAAGCCATCTTGGTGGGCCCTAGGGCAAGGATGGAAGACCTGCATCCATCTGCAATAGGGACAATCTTGCTTCTTCAAGTTCGCCCTGGTTGGGCATCCACCAATGGAAGTAGTCTTAGGAATAGGATGGAGGGCTGCCTGCATTCACAAGTGCTGAAGGTCTAGCACAGTGATGGCGAACCTTTTAGAGACCGAGTGCCCAAACTGCAACCCAAAACCCACTTATGCATCGTTGAGTGCCGGGTGGGTGTTGCCCATTGGGTGGGCATGGCTACGGTGGTAACGGCAGACTGGGTGGGACTAAAAAGTTGAATCAATTCCAACTTTGCAAGATCTTTTTTTTTCCCCAAGAAGTTGAAATTGATTGAACTTTTTTTTTTTTTTTTTTGCACACAGCGGCAGAGGCCTAAAGCGAAAAGGTTTTATAAAACCCAGCTGAAGGCCTAGGACTGGGGCGACGGCACGCATGCCCAGAGAGCGAGCTCTGAGTGCCGTCTCTGGCACTCATGCCATAGATTCGCCACCACTGGTCTAGCAGATGCCTTCCTTTGCATGTGAAGCCATTATATTAGTTTAGTATAGTGTGCAGCCTCTCAGAAAATGAGTTGTGTAAACTGTCACTTGCAAACATATTTTGGATTATCGCCCTTGGTGGCTTTCTCGCTCTCGTGTCAGTTTATCAGCACTTGCCATCCCCTCATCTTGAGGTACAGTGTTTTAGTTGAAGACGAGAAGAAACGCACCTTCTCGTCTGTCAATAAAACAGAAAAGAATATTTGTACCTCCGGGTTGACATTTCATTACCCAACCAGGGTAACATCGGTGTTAGAGGGGATTTGCAAATTCTTAAATCCAAAGTATCCTAAAATTCTGAATAAAATAATCTCATCTCTGTAGGGGAGGGAAACGGGATTCAAGGATTACAAAGATATTTTTTATCCAAAACACAATATCTTCTGTGTTGATTAAACATAACAGATCTCCATGGTTTAGGATAGAGGTGTGCTGCTTGTTGCATTTCTACTTTATGTATTTGCCGACTCTCAAAAAAAGGGTGGGGAAGCCAAGACAAATTCATGGATGTTTTCCACTGTTTTTTTAAAATTAAAAGTAAATATAATGAATACATAATACAGTAATACATTTAGTCTGTATGTTTAAAAATGTCTCGCTGACATATATTCAGAATTATAGTTTGATAATTTAGAGCTCCTTAAGACTCACAACAAGCCTTTGGGGGGCTAAATACAGCCCTGGGCTTGTGCACTTTTGTTCTGGTGCCCCACCTAGCAGTTTGCATACTTCCTCTGCTCAACCTATTCATGTACCATCAGATCGGATCAGCTCATGACAGTTTACCAGCACAACAATCAAACATTACAAAGATGCAATGTTCACTGATCAATGAACAATTAACCTCACCATTGTCGTCCCTAATGTGCATAGCAAGAGTTATTGAAAGACTAGAAAGGTTCTGCTTAATTATCTATAACATTGCAAAGATGCCAAGGTGAATACCAACCAGGCCATTTTGGAGAGGTGGGGCTGTTCTGCAAGGCGAGAGCCCCCACCCACCCAAAACACATTATTGGCGAGCTCCCACCTCACCTAACCTTTGTACCTCCCCTTGGGAGAAAGGTCCAGAACAAGTGAAGAAATCTGGGATCAAAGCAGTTTCATCAATTACAATAAACACTTTGAAATGCACCTGGAAGCCAATGCAATGCTCACAATGCTGGGGTGGTTCTTGCCTTCCAGCAGGTGGGCAGCTGAAGCTTTAAACTAATATTCAAAAGCATGTGCATCTAAAATATGTTCAGTAGCCTAGCTAGTGGTGATAAGGGCTTAAGTCACACTCCATGGGGCCTTTTGCTCCTGATAAGGCTGCAAATGGCACATCTCCCTTATCAGGAAAAAAAATATTATAAGCTGCCTCTGCAAACAGAAACAGTGTGTTGTGTACATCTTCCACCACTGCGGGTAAAAAAAGTGCCAGGAGGAGGAAAAAAATAAAAGTAGAAAAAGGAGCCAGCAAAAATAAGAGAGGGTGAGAGATTGCAAACTGGCAGATGCACACCCACATGAGAGAGGAAGCATGTTAGATATGTGGGTGCATGTGTGAGAAGATGAATGGATGAATCGATGCGATGAGAAAGGACATGAACCAAAGTTTCAACTTTGCCCCAATTAACCTCAGATGCATATGCAGATCCTGATTGCTTAGCTAAGGGAATGCAGGCCCTGCCTTGAAAAGACTGCTCATCCCTTGCCATACAATTATACTGCAACAAAGCAAAGGTGAAGGTGTTCCTGCAGGTAGGAACTTTGCTAGCCGTGGCAGACTTTAGGAGGCGGTGCTCATATTTGTTTCTTCAAGCCACTCAGCCCGTACTCCCCAAAGACATTCTTGACATCATGTGGCCAGCATGGCATCATGCTGCACTGCAGAACATATGGCAAAACACAAAATGCTGCTACCTTCCCACAGAAGTGGTACCTATTTATCTACTTGCGTTTATGAGCTTTTGGTCTGCTAGGTTGGCAGGAGCAGAGGCAAGTGACGGGAACTCGCCCCACCGCACGGAAGTAGGACTCAAACTGCGAGAGCACAGATCTTCTCCTTTTAAGCCGTCGCACCTCCATGCCGCAACTTAAGAAGGATAATTGCAAAAATGCAAGCAGCAGAAATGAAGTTGGCATTGGAAGCTGCAGAGGTGGCAACCATTCAAAGTGGACTTATTAAGCCTAGATTTTGAAGTGGGGGGAATGGAAGGCTCACACGGCTGTTTTGCATCTGGAATTCAGGCCTTTACTGCAAATGGTAGGCAAAATAGCACCTTGATTTTGTTTCTTGTGGTTTTCCTTTCTGGAGAGACAAACCGCAGCTCCAAAGAGCACCCCAGAGTTTTCTCCTTCAATTCCAAAATTTAATGCTGCGCTGCCACCCTACAACTCCACCTGTTTCACCGAGCCGATGTTCTGACAGCACAGGCTACGGCTGGCCTTTCTTGCGTGCAAGGAGAGAAAACAGCAGTTGACTTAGTAATGACTTGAGGATTTCTCCCGGGAAGACTTCTCTCTGTTCTTTGAGCGATCACGTGATCTGCTTTCTGATGCGTGCTGTCTATCTTTGATGGCTTCCGTTTTCTTGTGCTTCTCCTCACTGGGGGGCATTCTGCGCTCATATCTGTCCCTTTCTGAGCCTCTTTCCCCAGATCGCTCTACCCCCCTCTCATATCTGAGCTCTTGTCCTGGTGGCATCCTACTCTGGTGTTGGTGCCCAGATGTGCTACCCCAGGTTTCCTGGTTTTCACCAGCATAGCGTTCATAGTCCGGGTCTTCCTTTTCCACTTTAATCTTGGATTTCGGGAAAAGCACATCTGTACCAGATTCCTCTTTCAGATGCTTCCGATGCGCTCGCTTTTCTTTCTTCTTCTTCTTTTTTTCTGAAAGTACAAGAAATGTAATCAAAAGGATTTCCACAAATATCTCGTTCAGATGCTTTTCTAATGCCTCCTTTATACATTTCGTGGCATTCCATCTTTCCAGAAACTCTTTCCTAGCTTTCAAATTGCATGCAACTTTCTTTCTAAATGATTTGATAGGGAGTGCTCCTAAAACTGTCTTGCCCCACTCTACCTGACCCTTTTTCTTTAATTTTCTATTTCTCTTGCTTACCCAGAAATGTTGACTGTTAACCCTTCTATTTATTCTACCTCCTCTAACGGAAATGACCAGCACTTTCTATTTCACTTTTGCTCATTCTCAACAACTTTAAAATGTGTGAATTTCAACTCCCCAAATTTTAGCAGGGAAAGTGTAGGAGCTAAAATACAGGCCATCTTACATTTGCTCAGAATGAGAAAACAATGCTGAATTTTATCTTATATCGCAACAGAACTTTAAAAATAGGGAATCGGCTTTTTCTCTTTTCATCCCAAGGTTCTTTTGGTTCTCTCAAAGTACTCCAGTTAACTGAGTCTGAAACACTATGTGTATATTAATGCAGGTACAATTCTATTATGTCAGACATAATTCACACGCCAGAAAACTAACAGGATCCTGGACCTCCAGCTGATTCTTCTTCATTGAAATGCTGCATACGTTGTGTATTCCTACATCTGGAAGCTTCCCTTAGCTTTAAAATGAGATTTGCATACAGCATAGAAACACACAACAGCCTAGTTCAAATAAGGCACATTGTAGCACAGCATATTGTGCAAATCAAGTCAGTTGTGACTTGATCAAATGTGATTAAACAAACTATTAGTTTTCCAATTTGTATAATTCTGGCTACAGAAAGAAAAAAGACTTATCACCTTTCTTGTGCCTTTTTACTTCCACTTCATCTTCTTCTGGGGATTCAGCTGAACTTTGAGGAGGAGTTTTAACACCACAGCCTTTCTCTCGGAGACCCTTTGTAATCTCATCAATGTCCTCAGAATCTTTTGGTGGGCGGTAGTTGGCCACGTGGTCCACACGAATTGTCCTTCCTTTTATCTGCAAACATTATGAAATTACGAACATTATGAAACTATTGGTTTTTTTTCCCCCACTGAAGCTACATGAGCAGGTAACCATCAAATATAAGCAATTAAGATTTTAGCTTAAGACACAGTGAAGCCTGAAATAATCTTTGGATTATTATGAAAGAAGCTTTATTTTTGCTGATAGGAAAAGAGGATTCTCTGCCTGCTGCTCCCTTTCTGCTATGTCCACGAAGCCCTACATAATAAATTCACTGCATCCTTTCATAAAAGGCCTTAGTGTTTCTAAATATATATTGTATGTGAAACTGGGTCACAGCCCAATCGGAGCAGCAAAATACCCAGAGGATCTTCAATAGCTAAGATAGATTAAAAGAGCCGAGGTGGCGCAGCAGTTAGGGTGCAGTACTGCAGGCCACTTTAGCTGACTGTGTTCAGCAGGTCAGCGGTTCAAATCTCACCGGCTCAAGGTTGACTCAGCCTTCCATCCTTCCGGGGTAGGTAAAATGAGGACCCAGATTGTTGGGGGCAATGTAAATATATATATATACATTGCTTACTGGTGTACACCGCTTAGAGAGTGCTTGCACTTAAAGCGGTATATAAGTCTCATAAATAAATGGCCAAACTAACCTTTATCCCATTAAAGTTATCAACTGCAAGAATAGTGCTTCGCTGATCTTCGTAGCAAATGAAGCAGAAACCTTTAGATTTCCCCGTCTTTTTATCGCGTACCAGGTTTATGTTCACAATTTCTCCATACCTGAACAGAAAAATGGAAGTTGACAATATTTAGTCTTGGGTCTAAAAAAAAAAAAAAGGAAACGGCACAAGCAGGGATAATTTTGAGAAATACAAGTGTTGATGTAGGGCTTAAAGACTATAGCCCTTTTCCATACACTGAGACTAAGAACTATTTTACTAGATTACATCTCATCCAGCATTTTCAATCAACTAGGGACCTACAAGCGTTCATAAAGCAGTGTAAGAATATTACTTATTTTCTAAACTACTATTTTAGCAAATAATCTCAGAAAAAAACACCTGCCCTGGAATAGATGTTGTTCCAAAATGCCTGGGATTTCTCTAACAAAACACTTAAAATCTTTTTCATATTTGTTTCAGCTAATCTGATGCTTTTAGTAAAAACTAAAGGTATCAGTTTAACTAAATAAAATAAATACTTTTTATTGTTCAGAGCTTTTTTTTTTTTTTAAGGTGTCCCTGGTAGTATTGTGGTAAAGACAAGAGCTGGCAAAATTATTGGTAAAACTACAAGACTAGACTTCACTCTTTTGAAGTAAGCATTATTCAATTCAATAGCAGTTGCTTCCAAATAGATCAGTGGTTCTCAACCTGTGGGTCGGGACCCCATTTGGGGTCGAACGACCATTTCACGGGGGTCGCCAAACAACGCACTCCGCCATTTTTTTCCCCCTTTTCCTTAGCTGTGCTACTCCCTTTTATTCTATTGGCTTTTGAAAGCCAATAGAATAGACTCTCTTGAATAGAGTATAATTCTATTGGCTTTAAAAAGCCAATAGGAATGGTCCAGGCTGTCTCTGCCCTGCTGAGCCCGCCAAAAGTCCCATTCTGCAAAGGGTGCTTCACCAGTTTAGTCCTCGACTTACGACCGGTTGAGTAGTCCTTGACTTACGACCGGTTGGGGGTCGCGGCATTAAAAAGGTTGAGAACCACTGAAATAGATGTATGTGATTTCACTATAAACATTTCAAGCTAATTTGCAAGTTACCCTTTTATTCCCATTCATTGTTATTTGCATTATAGTTTGGTTTTAATTGAAAAGCAACATCAAAGCAATCTCAGAGAAAGACCTTATTTTCTGAAGTTAAGTTTTCATTGTTCTTACTTACTGTGAAAATACACAGATAATGTCCCCCTCAGTCAGTTCATATGGCAATCCCCCTAGAAAGGGAAAAGAAGGGAAGTGATTATTAAGTGTTTAGCCATTTTGCTCTAGGACTAATCATAGCTTATGATGCCACAAGGGAGTGACACGGTAAGATGTCTCTAGGCACATTACGTACCCACAAATACCCAGGCGCTGCCACTATACTCTGCATGCCAGGAAACCTTATCCTGCACTCCCAGCTCTGCTTCACGCTGATTCAACTCATTGATCAGCTTCACTTTGGTTAATGGGCTACAGAAGGAAAGAAGAATAAAAACGAGTCTTAATCTACACTTCATAATCCTTCTGAACAGCGATGTTCCAGCAAGAGGTGGAATTACTTATACAGGTTACTTATACAGGTAGTCCTCAACTTATGTCAATTGAGCTCAAAATTCCTGTTGCTAAGTAAGACATTTCTTAAGTGAATTTTGCCCCATTTTTTACGACTTTTCTTGCCCCAGTTTTAAGTGAGCGACTGCCGTTGTTAAGTTAGTCACATGGTGAAGTGAAACTGGCTTCCCCATTGACTTTTGCTTGTCAAAAGGACACAAAAGAGGATCACATGACCCCGGGACACTGCAGTCGTCATAAATATGAACCAGTTGCCAAGCATTCAAATTTTGTTCATGTGACCATGGGGATGCTGCAACGGTCGTTAAGTGTGAAAAATGGTCAAAAGTCACTTTTTACAGTGCCAATTTGACTTTAAACGGTCACTAAATGAACTGTTGTAAATTGATTCATTTTATCCCAACTTCATCCCAGAGATCTGTATTTCGTACACAAATTTTATCCCTCCACGTCCACACACTAGGCCAGCAAGAGTGGTCAAGCTGAAAGAGGGGACCTGAATGGACACACATATTGAACCCTGGGCTACCCCATTTTCCAGCCCAAAACAGGGTAATGTACTCCTCCTAGCATCTCAAGGCTTAGCCTTAAGAAGGGGAGCGGAAAAAACCCCGCCAATGATAAATATTGCTAGATGAAAACGCACTCTGTGTAAGCCCAGAAACACTCTTCCGCATTAGTATTTCATCGATTCCATGCTTTATTCGCAATGTAATTCCGAAGTTGAATACTTATCCCAAAATAAGCCCTGCTCCCCCTTTTCCCGCCTCCATAAAAATATTTATTAATACTATTCTTTATTATCAAACTCCCGCTTACTTCATCCTGTAAGTGTCCTCCTGGGTTTGCACATGCGCCCTCGAGCCCGCTGTACTGCGCAAGCGTGAGCCCGCCTCTCCCTCTCTCCGGTAGGCTGCGTCTCCTGGGCTGTAATGATTGGTGATTTTCCCTTCCTTCCGCTTCATCTCCTACTATTCTCTCCCCCCCCCTCTGAAGTTCAGCGGGGAACCATAGAGATAGAAATGGGTAGAATAACATAAAGCTTAAATTCCGCGCAGAAGGAAAGATCGGCATTCTGATGTTGCCGGTCTAGGACGCTTATCGATGGTGAAAATTCTGCAGTTCGCCTTGGAAGTTTGTAAACGAATTGCATTCGCGATCCAAATGCTCCTAAAATCACTTTTGGGCTCTAATTGTGCATCACGTGTTGCCTATGAATTCATTGCATGCCATACATCATCCATTCTTAAAACCCTTCCTGAACAATGTAAATGTGGCCACTATCCTTGATGTTTTTTTAAAAAGAATGTTGAAGGAAAAGTCTTCATCATGGTTCAGTCCAAGCTGGGAATAAACCACATGTGACTGCTTTAGAAAGAAGGTTGCAGTTTATTGGAGAAGAGAGCCAGGGTCTCCTAGCACTCTAAAGACAGCTTATGTTTCCATTACATGACAACATTTTTCCTCCAAGATTATTGTTGGTAAACAAATAAATCAAGGTTTGATAAACACTTAGACAATCATCTTACCATGATGATTAAAAAGGGACAGAACAATGGATTGTCAAGACATATAAACATACTTTTTTATAGCCTGATGGCCTCCAGATATTGGGCAGCCACAAATCTAGGAATGTATCTTAGATGAGGATCTGCTAAGGAGACTTTTCATCTATGAATGAGGATATATTTTTCAAGTGTTAAAAGGTGCCACAAAATCCAGGGCCATTCAGACCTTTTGTTAATGGGTTTGACGTAAAGAAGGAGCACAAAACGTAGCTCTGTTTTCCATTGCAGACATCCTTATTGCCCATCACATGCTGCGTGAGAACTTTTGGAACATTGTTTGTAAGCAAAACAACTAACTGAACTTCAGCCTTCAACCAGTCAGCAAAATGTTCCTTATGATGTTTTTGCTGCCTGATGTGGTTTTTCACTGATAAGCTACGTCCACTTGAACACAGTTCATTCAATAAACCTACAATAAGATTTAGCATCAAGTGTGAACCAGGTCATTGCCAGGTAAATCCAGCCAGGGAAATGGAGCAGCCCAGATAGCACATACTGATGACCCTTAACTTATGACTGGCTACCCTTCAAAATTACAATGGACCTCAAAAACAGGGCTTACAACCCGGTTTTAAAGTTACGATGTCTGTGCCACCTTCATCTCCCTGGGACAGTATGTGGGCTTCTCGACAGCTGACACACACCTATGGCCATTTGCAGCATCTTGTTGTCCTGTGAACACAATTTACGGTTTTGTTGGAAACTGGTGTTTACTTAGGGTTTCCAGCAAAAACTGCCCCATAGCGAACCATCCCATAACAAACAATTTTAGCAATAACAACAGCACCTAGACTAATATACTGTTTCCTAGTATTTTACAGCCCTCGCAAGCTGGTTTACAGAGTCAGCATTTTGCCCCCAACAATCTGGGTCCTTATTTTAACCGGCTTGAAAATCAAGATCGAACTTCGGGCAGTCAGTAGAATTAACTTGCAACACTGCATTCTAAACCACTGCACCACCGCAGCTCTTTTTAATTAATGAATTTTACACTTCACGACCTGCCACATTTGCTTAGTGACTGCCACAAACAAGGTGATAAAATCGGGCACAGTCCCATGTTGACCCATTTTATGACTGTCACAACTTATGACTGAAATTGTGGACTCAATTACAATCCAATAAAGGAGAATATTTGTAGCTCAGAATTGAAACGAGGGCTCCTTGGTGCTCTCTGAGCTTGCTTGTTTTCCTGCAGACATTTTATTAGCCAAACTAGGTGCTGATGACGTTACCTAGTTTGGATAATGAAACGTCTACAAGAAAACAACTAAGCTCAGAGAGCACCAAAGACCCCTAAATTACAATCAAAACTCGAGGACTATCTGTGATGGATTTCTGAGGAGGATAGAGAAAAAGCCACACCCAAACCAAGTGTGAGCCATACAAATGTTTATTAATTTAACATGGAATTCACTGGAAACGAGCCACGTTGATTCAGTTTATCGAGGCACACAAAACCACCTGCCCAGCCCTCCCGGTTCAACAGTCAAGACCGTCCTTCAGCAAGGACAGGAATTCCTATTGCCAGAGGCCGGCGCCAGCTCTATTTTCTGTCCCTTCCCTTGCTGCCTCTCCATGTCCCGATAGAGCAGAGACTTGTGAGCTTTCAGCCGGCAGGCCAGACACATGAAAATAGACTCCACGTTCTGACTCTCTTTGGGGTCCTTTGCGGAGGTTTCAAACAAAAGCATATTGTGGGCATCGGCAAATTTCAGGGCCATGCTGGACGGGACTTGGATTTGATCCCGCAAGTCACACTTGTTTCCCACAAGCACTTTGGGGACAAGAGCCGGGACCGCGTGGCCGTTGCACTCCTCAATCCAGTTTTTCAGGTTGAGGAAGGACGCCATTTTTGTGACATCATAGACAAACACCACAGCGTGGACGTTGCGGTAGTAATGTTCCACCATGCTCTTCCGGAACCTCTCTTGACCTGCTGTGTCCCACACCTGGACCTGCAAAAGAGAGCACAACACTTGCTATCGATATAGCTTTCCTGCCTCTTCCATGGGTTCTTTGCTCCGTTGTGGGATCCCTAACTCTTTTCAATTTGCCCTTGATATAATTCCCTTTACCGGGATGTATTCTTGGTTCCAGGAAATGATGCATTTCAAGCGGCAACCCTAGAAGTCCTAGACCAGGGGTCTTCAAACTTGACCCTTTTTTAATGACTTGTGGACTTCAACTCCCAGAATTCCCCAGCCAGCTGAGGAATTCTGGGAATTGAAGTTCACAAGTCATTAAAAAAGGGCCAGGTTTGAAGATCCCTGTCCTAGAGAAAAGCACCAGCAATATGCATTTCTGATGCCAGGAATCTGGCAGATACACTGACGGTGTTGGCCCTTGCATTTACAGAGAATCCTCAGCTTATGACCACAATTGAGACCGGAATTTCCATTTGCCAAGCAAAGAGGTTGTTAAGTGAGTCGCATCTAACTTTACGACCTTTTCTGCCATGTTCGCTAAGCGCAGTTAAGTGAATCACACAGTCATGAAGAGAATCCGGATTTCCCATCAACTCTGCTTGTAAAAAGTCAACGGGGAAGGTCACTAATGCCGATCATGTGAATCGGAACTCTGTAAATACAGATGTGCTTGAATTTGGATCACGTGACCCTGGGGATGCTGTAACAGTCATAAGAGTGAGAAACAATCGTACTGACTTTTCTCAGTGCTGTTGTAACTCTGAGCGGCCATTCAATGAACGGTTGTAAGCTTAGGACTCTTTGCCTACTGACATCCTTCTTTCAAGGATAACGCAAATGTTTCTCCTCGTTCATTTTATTCTCCTGACAATTCTGTTTTGGATGGGAGAGGTTGACTCTCACTTGAGGACCCCCACAGCAGATTTGCACATGGAGATTTGCACACTCTGGAGACAGCATTGATCCCATCTTCATAACTCAGCATAGCCTGATAGACCTTGCCTGGCTCAGCAAACAGAGTGTCATTCCCCTCATCTCATTCCTTTCTCAGCCAGGGCTCTTTTGCACAAGCCGGCCTTTGTATTCTGGTCTCCAGAAGCTTCTTGGGGCTACAAGGCTATCTTTTGTCCCCAGAGGGTGTGTGAGATTGCACTAACCATAGAGCAAAACAGGGTGATAAAAATAGTTTAGACTGAGAGAGAATTTCAGGTAAAGGGCAGAGAGAGAAGCCACTTTGGACCATCAAACAAAAGAACAGTAAACATCCTGGAAGGACACAGGGCTTCATTGGAGAGAAAATATTCAACCTTCTACATTTTTTTATTTCTTACATTTTTCTCAGTTTGCATTACTCATTTGTCTTTGCATTTTTGAGCTGTAATTATTTTTTTTTTCAAGAAAAGTCTCAGCCTTATGCCTGCTCCTTAAAGTCTATTCTCATCTCCTGAAGATCCTTCAATCCTTTCTTTACTTAAAAGACATTTTAAAATAATATTGCCTCAGGCCTACAGCTGGATGATGGAGGCAGATCATCAAATACTTCTTTGAACAGAAACACCTCCCTCATTTTGCAAAAAATAATGGAAGAAATCAAAGGCAAAGAAATATTTTTTTTCTCTCTCTCTCTCTCTGATGGCTGGAATAGTTCCTGGATACTCAAAAGGTTAAAAAGCAGCAGTGTTCCATAGAACCTCCCTCTCCTGCAGGAATACTCTGAGGTCATCTTGCTCTCATCCACATCTGTGCAACACAGAGACAGAACAAAACAGAAATAGAACAGGTTTCCACACATTCTAGAGCAGTGGTTCTCAACCTGTGGGTCGGGACCCCATTTGGGGTCGAACGACCATTTCATGGGGGTCGCCAAATCATGTTGTCCACCATTTTGTTCCCTTTTCCCTAGCTGTCCTACTCCCTCTTATTGGTGGCCACACCCACTTGGGGGTCACCACAACATGGGGAACTGTATTATGGGGTCACGGCATTAGAAAGATTGAGAACCACTGTTCTAGAGAGTAGGCTAAGATCACATTTTGCAAATTCTATATATCAGAGGTCCCCAATCTTTTGGGCACTAGGGACCGGTTCAGTGGAGAGGTTTTACCATGGACCAGAGTGTGTGTGGTTTTCTATGTGCATTTTTTTTTTAAAAAAGTAGGAACTAAAGATTATTGACACTTCTGAAACAATGGAAGAGTACAGAACCTGTGTTTCTTCCAGACTTTAGGGCAATTCAAAAACCTGCACCCTTCTGCAGTTATTTCAATGAAGTATCTTTCTAACTCTTCCAGACTCTTATTTATCCATTCACCCTAGAGTTCTGACTGGCTAGACAGGATACAGCAGATATAATCAAAGTGGCATAATTTACAGATGACCTAACATGTAAAGTGAAAGAAAAATGAAGCTTTTTCCTAAGCAACTCTTCTGTTTTCCTCCACAGAGAACATAACAGAAGGACGCTCAGCGATACCTGTGTTAAACCGATGGGTTTGTAATCTTGGTGTTCTCATATTTCTCTTCCTTTTTGCCACATTTTTATCAGATTTTTGCCAATGGGATAAATAAAGCCCTCATCATGAGTGCATTCAAACATTACCAAATCGGTTCACCCATGCCTCATCATCTGATCTGGCAAAACAGCAATCTATGTTGAATGAAGCATGACAGCTCAAACATCGATTCATCCCAAAGGCAACCTTGGAAATCCGTGCTCAATCCCAGCATTGTGTAACTAATCAATGGAAATGCAAAGCATGTTCCAGGCAGTCAGTTTGATTTTCCTTTTTTAATATACATAAACATATTTTAATACCATTCTAATCTAGCCATTGTCTCTCTACTGAAGGCCTTTTCCACATGTTTCCTTCTGTGATCGGGGCTTTTGTTGAGGCGAGAGGGCTTGTGTGAGTAAATGGAATTTTGGGCTATGCCGCCAGACATGTATATGTCCAGAAGGTCACCAAGGCGAACAGGCCATGGTGGATCCCCCAGACTAACACCAATCGTATCTGCCAACCCACATTGGATTAGCGTGTCAGATTATAGTCTATTCCTTCAACATGTCAATAAAACCTCAAAAAAAATTAACATACATTATAGTATAAAACAAGGAGCCAGTTGGGTGTAGCGGTTAAAGCATCAGCCTCGAAGCTGGGAGATTGTGAGTTCTAATCCTGCCTTAGGCACAAAACCAGTTGGGTGACCTTCGGCCAGTCACTTTTTCTTAGCTCTGGTAAGGAAGCAGTGGCAAAACCACTTTCTAAGAAACCTTGCCAAGAAAATTGCAGGAAGTCTCTGAGAACTGGTCACAATTGAACGGAAGACAAAAATATATTAATAATTATATGCAAATATATAATGCACACTACACACACACACACACACGCAAATGTATTGCGTTTTCTCAGTGGAAATTAGCAATTTGGGTCCCTTGGCACCTGGGTGGGGGGGGTACAACAGTTCCAGAAATACTAAACTGGGGAAGCCATTGTAAAGAGGGCCAAACCAGGAAAATGCAATTTGAATCCCTAATTAGTCACCCAATTCACTAGATGACTTCAGGCGAGTGTTTTTTCACACTCCCCCTTTCCACTTGACAGGGCTGTGGGGAGGCAATGGGGGAGGACGGAAGAGAAGAAATCAATGGCTTAAATCAGTGGTTCTCAACCTTTCTAATGCCGCGACCCCATAATACAGTTCCCCATGTTGTGGTGACCCCCAACCACTTATACATCATCGGGTGCCAGGGATGTAGCCAAAGAAAAGGGGGAAAAAATGGCGGACAGCCTTGTTTGGCGACCCCCGTGAAACGGTCGTTCGACCCCAAATAGGGTCCCGACCCACAGGTTGAGAACCACTTGCTTAAATGAAAAACAAAACTAGAGCCCCACGATGCATTAGCCACACATTGTATTAGAAGGATTACAATTGGCTGTTTTATACAAGATCCGATTCTGAAAACCAAGGTGGAGCAATGCTTAAGGTGCTAGTTTAAAATTCAATCCAGGCTCAGCCACAGAAGCTCAACAGGTAACCCTGGGCTAGTCACTTTCCCAGGTTGCGCTACCTCACAAGGCTGTGGGGGGAAAATGGGAGTATTCCTGGAACATGGCATATAAATCTACGGTGGGAATAAACACGCTGGATAACTCAGGAGCTACGTTTACCTCACCCCTAGCCAAGGGCAAGGATCAAATCATCTCCTTGAGTGACCCTTCCTGGAGGAGCCCTTCCAGCCATTGAGAGAATGAGATCACCACCTCTCCCCTCCGGGTCAAATTCTGGCCAGGCTCTGGCTGCATTCACACGACCTTCTAAACCCTAAACCCCAGATAGTTCTGGAAATAGACGCCTCGCGCTTGACGGGCTAAAAACAGATGATATCGGAGGATGGAGGAACGAAGCCACGGCTGGCCGGCCTCAAGCCTTCCCAAGGGGTCCCCCCCCCGCCCCCTCCGACGGATTCAGACCCGAGCCTGCGGCTGCCAAAGCCAGTGGCGGCCGGCGAAGGGATGCAAGGGTCCCTAAACTGGGAGCCGAGCATCTCCTCCGCCCCCGACGGCGCCCACCGGGGAAAGATGCTCCAACCCGGAGGAGAGAAGTCGGGGGGGGGGGGGAAGGCCCCGCCTCGGCCGCCCTCCGCCCCGCCGCTACCTTGATGTGCTCGCCGGCGATCTCCACCGCCTTCTCCCGGAAGTCCACGCCGATGGTGGCCTCGGTGCTGGCGGGGAAGGTGCCGCCGCAGAAGCGCACCGTCAGGCAGGTCTTGCCCACGTTCGAGTCCCCGATGACGATGATCTTGAAGATGCGCGCCTGCACCGACTGCTCCAGCGAGGCCTCCAGCTCCATCCCGGCGGAGCGGGCGAGCAGGAGCAGGAGGAAGCCGCGGGGAGCAACGGAGGACGGCCGCGCGGGGCTCACCAGCACCGCTTCTCCGGCTCAGCCAGCAGGACGGAGGGGCGGCCGAGCCGCGGGCTCCCACCCAGCCGCAGCCGCCGGAGCAGCCTCGCTTCGCCGGCCGGGAGCCGCCCCTGGGGTGGCGCGGCCATTGGCTGTCGGGCGCCCAGCCGGCTTCCAGCGCCCAGCCCGGCGAGGCGGAGCTACAGCTGGCCGCAGCTGGAACTGCGCCGCTCGGCTCGTGGGGGGGGGGCGCCGGGGCAGGGCTGGAGGGCGGCCCCTTTGCCCGGTCCACTCCTCCCCTGGAACTGCTCCGAGCCGCGCTTCGCGGACCCAGCCAGGGGCTGCTTTGCAAAGGCGGAGGAGCCGTATGAGCGAGGCAGGGCTTCCCTCTCTCGCTCGCGCTCAGACGTGCGGCGGGCTGGGGCGGATCCAGAAGAGTGCCGTGGCTTAAAAGGGAGGGGAGGGGGCTGCCGCTCGTTACGAAGGGCCGCCGGCTACAGGTAGCCCTCGGCTGAACAGCCACAATTCAAGCTAGTCTCCGAAGCACCAGAGGGCAGGACAAGAAACCGTGGAGGGAAACTAACGAAGGAGAGAATCAACCTAACACTAAAGAGAAATTTCCTGACAATTAGAACAATTAATCAGTGGAACGACTTGCCTCCAGAAGTTGTGGATGCTCCAACACTGGAGGTTTTGAAGAAGAGATTGGACAGCCATTTGTCTGAAATGGCACAGGGTTTCCTGCCTGAGCTGAGGGGGTTGGACTAGATGACCTCTAAGATCCCTTCCAATTCTGTTATCCTATCCTATCCTACCCTATTCTGTTCTATTCCGGGCCCCATTGCTAGACAAGGCAGTTGCTGATTCTAGTCCAATGTTAAGATTATTATTTTTTAGGTTTTTAAGCCAATCACTGCAGTTGTTAAGCGAATCCTGCAGTTGTTAAGTGAATCGGGTTCCTCACATTGACCTTGCTCGTTGGAAGCAGGCTGGGAAGGTCAGAAATGGTGATCATGTGACCCCGGGACAGTGCAACAGATATAAATACATGCCGGTTGCCAAGCGTCAGAATTTTGATCATGGGGATGGCGCAACAGTCCTAAGAGCAAGGACAGGACATAATTCACCTTTTCAGTTTTGTTGTAACTTTGGTCGTTAAACAAATGGTTGTAAGTCAAGGATGACCTACATTGGAATAAGAAGCTCATTGAGACATAGGCATCAAGAGGGCAGGCTCCTAAAAATTAGAAGGGAAAGGATGCTTATTTGGGATTCCTATTATCCTATGTTGAACAGGTAAGAGCAGAAGTTCAAAATCTGGGGGCCAGACTGTTCCCCCCCATTTTATTCAGGAGTGGGAAGAACAGAGACAGGAGATTTTACTTAAGAGATGCAGCAGTGTATAATAATAATATGGGGCGCACGTGTTTTCTTCATCACAATTTTCTGTTTTTAGGCCGGCTTTAAAAGGGATCTGAACTGTGAGAATTACACCCTGAAAACCACACTTAGGTGACATTTCATTAGAAATGAATGAACACTTGATCTCTGATGTAATGCTAGGGGAAAAAATCACATTGGCATGTTACAAAAAAAATGTATTAGCTATACCTAATGTGGTTACTGGCTGTTAATTTCATCCATTTTCCCTTCTGTCACAATGAAATAGAATCTTTTGGAAAGATGCTTGGGAAATCACTGCCAAGGATTGGGAGGAAACATTTATCACTTTTGGGCCTTAGTGTGTGTGACTCAGTTGGTTAATTCTCAATTCTTGATGAGCTTCTTTTAGCCTTTTGGAACTGTTTTGCCCCATTGAACCTGCATTAATTTCAGAATTTGTAAGATTTCACTTGTAAGATTTCAAACTGCAGTTTTAAAGACCTATGAACAAATGGCTCCCATTTAAGAACTTGGAATAAATGTGGTTAGGCTTGCACTGTTCAGTGCTTATTTGCGTGCCAATGTTTAATTACAATGAGTGGCAACAAACTGCCTTCCGGAGAAATTAAAAAACTACTTCATCTCTTACAGCTTCCAGAATTAGCTGCTGTAAAGATTTTTATAGCATCCATAAATTGAAGGCAGACATGTAAAAAATGCCATTTCATCACTCAATAAGAAGGCAGCAGAAATCACTCTTTGTGATTTTAGCTTTTGCAGTCTCTTTAAATCTTCTTACGGGAGTTTCAATACCACAATAGGAATATATCACCTAAAGCTACATTTTTATCGTTCATTTCCTCCAGCTCTTCCAAGTGATAAATAAATCAAGCAATTAATATGGGGACTTTAACTCCAGAACAGAAAAGCAAGAGTATGAAACAACAATGCGTGTGTAGAAAGAAAAAAAATATCTCTAGGAAGAACAAAGAACTGTGCGGTTTGCTGCAATTGCTAAAAGCTTTGGCAATGGGTGGTGAAATATAAACAATAAATGCAACCCTTAACATTGTGCACCTTAAGGGTTGTTTTCCTTTCCCCATGGTTATTTCAGTTTTAGAGTAGAATCATCATTCTTTACTTGATTTACTTAATCCCATACATCTTGAGAAGACACATTGAGAAGCAAATTACACTAGAATAGAAAAATGCAACCCCATGAGGAGTCCACATGGAAAGCTAAAAATAACAACTCAGAGATCTGAGTTAGCTGCGTATTATATGAAGCCTCTCCCCCTTACTTTGGTTCACTCCAACTGCACACTCTCAGAAGTCTTAGTTCCGTGTTCCTCTCTTTAAAACAAAATTAAGAATCTGTACAATTGGTGGCTTCAGATTTTTTTCAGCCTGGGAAACAGGACACCAGGATCCGGCCCGAGCTTCCTGCCTTCAAGGGGGCATTTTCTGCCATGATAGCGAGGGAGAAAGTTTAAGTCTTTTAGAGATCTTTCAGTAGGGGAAACCCCCAACCTTGAGAGAAGCTTGTCAGCCATGGCTGGGATCACTGGCTGCAGCAGGAGCCCATACACCCGAAGACATTCCAGAGTGACATGGAGAATGGTCCCTTGCCACTGTCGCTCTGTGGGATCCTCCGGGCATAGCTTCCACGGCCTGTGCCTCTGGATGAAGCCATTGGTCTGCCTCACGCACTCCATAATGGATTCCAGAGCCTTGTAGATCTGGAAGCGATCAAAAGAGGCACTCACTTTCATAGGCAGGCTCTCGACCAATGACACTAGCTTATAATCCTCTGCTAAGGCCTTGCCAGATCCACTTTGAATCCCCAGATCCCTAGGGAAGCAGGTTTCGGAGAAGATGGGGTAAGCCCCACTGGGATTCAGGGCAGAGGCGGTGCACCGGTTCAGGAGCCCCCCTAAGGCATCGGCTAGCTCTGAGTTGAGCAGCTTAATCACCTTCTCGTCATAGTAATCACAATCCCGCTCTGGGACCCCCTGTCTCAGCAGGAAATACCGAATCCCATCTACCGTGTAGTGCCGGAAGCACTCCTTTGGGTCAACGACATTGCCCAGGCTCTTGGACATCTTCTGTCCTTGTACCGTCCAATGAGAATGGACCCAAATCCGCAGGGGGGGCTCCAGGCCTGCAGCCATCAGCAAGGCAGGCCAATAGATGGCATGGAACTTGAGGATGTCTTTGCCCACAATGTGGCAAACGGAAGGCCACCAGGCCCGGTGCTTTTCAGGATAACCTACAACTGTCAGATAGTTCACCAGAGCATCCACCCAGACATAGATGGTTTGCGTCGAGTCCCCAGGGACAGGGATGCCCCAATGCAGCCGGTTTCGGTCACGAGATACGGAGAGATCCGGAAGGTCCCCTTCCAGCCACTGGAGGACCTGCTGATAGGAGGGCTCGGGGCTTATGGCGTCCTTATTCTTGTACAGCCATCGCTGCAATGGCTCCTGGAACTTGGACAGCTTGAACATGTAGTTTTTCTCCCTGGTCCAGTGCACCTAAGATGCAGGAGAGGAGTTATCACAAGGTTTCTTTTTTTTCTGGTTTCATCCACCTCTCCAATACAATATATATTTACCCAAGCATTTATATTAATGTCTAGTTTTCCTCCTTTAGAGCTGAAGGTCACATGCATGCATCAGAAAGCTTGCCTCCCACCCAGGATCTCATCTTCTTAGCTTCAGAAAGGTAGCAGCATGCCGGGCCTTCAGCCTGTTTTTCCCCAGCTTTCTGGGACTACATCTTTTGTTCACGCTATTGCCCTTTTCTATTTTTGGCGATCCTTGCTTATCAGTTTGATGTAATGCCAAAGGTATCGGCTTAGAATTCAGGAGACTATGAGTTCTAGACCTCCCTTGGGCTGAAAGCCAGCTAGGTGACTTTGTTCATTTTCTCAGCTCAACCTACCTCACACGGTGGTTGTGGGGAAAAAAGGAAGCAGGAGTATTAGGAACGTTCACCACCTCAAGCTGACCTACATATATATAACTGAAATAAGCATCTAATAATAATATAATAATATGGAGACTCTGTAGATTATTTAGAGGTAGCTTCTCCAATCTGAATGCTCTGTAGACAGGAGACACATTCTATTATTACAGACAACTTGGTGCAGTGGTTAAGGCGCAGGCCTAGAAACCAGGAGAAAGTGAGTTGTAGTTTCAGCTTAGGCATGAAAGCCAGCTGAGTATTTTGGACCATTACCCAGCCCACCTGACAGGGATGATATTGTGGGGTAAATAGGAGGAGGAAGGAGTATTAGGTATGAATTACCTATAAATTAATAAAGATGGAATAACAATCTAATTCAGTGGTTCTCAACCTTTTTAATGCCGCGACCCCCAACCGGTCGAGGACTACTCAACTGGTGCAGCACCGTTTGCAGAATGGGACTTTTGGCAGGCTCAGCAGGGCAGAGACAGCCTGGACAATTCCTATTGGCTTTTGAAAGCCAAGAGAATTAGACTCTATTCAAGAGAGTCTATTATATTGGCTTTCAAAAGCCAATAGAATAAAAGGGAGTAGCACAGCTAAGGAAAAGGGGAAAAGAAAATGGCAGACTGCGTTGTTTGGCGACCCCCGTGAAATGGTCGTTCGACCCCAAATGGGGTCCCGACCCACAGGTTGAGAACCACTGATCTAATTAATAAATAACCACAATATGATACTGTTTGGAATTTGCATGTTATTGGCTGAATGTTAAAGCACAGCCTAGAACAGGGGTAGTCCACTTTGGCTCTTTTATGACTCGTGGACTTCAACTCCCAGAATCCCCCCCAGCCACGCTGAGGGGAAAGAAAGAGGTTTCCAAGCTGAGCCATACTGGCTCAGGAATTCTGGGAGTCGAAGTCCACGAGTCATAAAAGAGCCAAGGTTGCCTACCCTTGGCCTAGAACAACCTGATTCACAAAACCTAACTACGACCAAATCACGTGCGAAGGAATAGCAAGCTGAGTGACTGAAGGCCCGAA